AGCTTCTCCAGGAGATCCAGATCCAGGAGGACCTTGACCCCTTCGAGACGTCCAAGGAGACTGCTGAAGAGTTCAGACGTCAACACGGCGAGAAGGTTGAGATCTTCGAGATCCCCGAGTCTGGTGAATTCCAGGTTAGACTGAGAAAGGGTGCAACTCTGCTCATTCCCAAGGCTCTCAGATTCGACCGTCTTGTTGCTGGTCAGATCCCCACTGGTTGGGACGCCCGCAAGTACGGTGTTCCCGAGGACATTATCGGCCAGGTCGACCCCGTCACTCTTTACGTGCTCGTCTCAACTGCCGAAGCTCTCCTGTCTTCCGGTATCACTGACCCTTACGAGTTCTACAAGTACGTGCACATCTCGGAAGTCGGTAACTGTATCGGTTCCGGTATTGGTGGTACTACTGCTCTCCGTGGCATGTACAAAGACCGCTTCTTGGACAAGCCTCTTCAAAAGGATATTCTCCAGGAGTCCTTCATCAACACCATGTCCGCTTGGGTCAACATGTTGTTGATGTCCTCCACTGGTCCTATCAAGACCCCTGTCGGTGCTTGCGCTACCGCTGTTGAATCCATCGACATTGGTTACGACACCATTGTCGAGGGCAAGGCCAGAATGTGCTTCGTTGGTGGTTTCGATGACTTCCAAGAGGAGGGCTCGTACGAGTTCGCCAACATGAAGGCTACTAGCAACGCTGAAGACGAGTTCGCCCACGGCCGTACTCCTAAGGAGATGTCCAGACCTACTACCACCACCAGAAACGGCTTCATGGAGTCTCAAGGTTGCGGTATGCAAGTCATTATGGATGCTAGACTTGCTCTCGACATGGGTGTTCCGATTTACGGTGTTCTTGGCTTCACTGCCACTGCCACTGACAAGATCGGTCGCTCCGTTCCCGCTCCCGGAAAGGGTGTCTTGACCACTGCTCGTGAGGACACCTCCAAGTTTGCCTCGCCTCTGCTTGACATCAAGTACCGTAAGAGACAGATGGACGCCCGCAGAAGAAACATCAAGACATGGCAAGAGTCTGAAATTATGTACCTGCAGGAGGAAGTCGCCGCCATGCAAGCTGAGAACTCTGAGTTCGACGCTGCTGAGTACATGGAGGACAGAGCGAAGTTCATTGAGCGTGAGGCTAAGCGTCAAGAGAAGGATGCCCTGTACAGTCTCGGCAACAACTTCTGGAAGCAAGATCCTCGCATTGCTCCTCTCCGTGGTGCCCTCGCCACCTGGGGCCTGACCATCGATGACCTCGACGTCGCCTCGTTCCACGGTACCTCAACTGTGGCCAACGACAAGAACGAGTCCGATGTCATTTGCCAGCAGATGGAGCACCTCGGCCGTAAGAAGGGTAACGCTCTTCTTGGTATCTTCCAGAAGTACCTTACCGGTCACCCCAAGGGTGCCGCTGGTGCATGGATGTTTAACGGCTGTCTGCAAGTCCTCAACTCTGGTATCGTCCCTGGTAACCGCAACGCCGACAACGTGGACAAGATCATGGAGAAGTTCGACTACATTGTCTACCCCAGTAGAACCATCCAAACCGATGGCATCAAGGCTTTCTCAGTCACTTCTTTCGGTTTCGGTCAGAAGGGCGCTCAGGCTATTGGTATTCACCCCAAGTACCTGTTCGCCACTCTTGACCAGGCCGAGTTCCAGTCTTACAAGACCAAGGTCGAGGCCAGACAAAAGAAGGCTTACCGCTACTTCCACGACGGTCTCATCAACAACACCATGTTCCGTGCCAAGGACAAGTCTCCTTACGAGGACGACCAGATGAGCACTGTCTTCTTGAACCCCAGCGCTCGCGTTTCTCAGGACAAGAAGACTGCCCAGCTCACCTTCTCTGCCAAGCCTCAGAAGCCTGTCCGTGATGCCAACACCACTCAGATGGTGGAGTCGTTGCTCAAGGTCAACTCCTCTGGTAACAGCAGCCCTGGTGTAGATGTTGAGAGCATCGATGCTGTCAACATCGAGAACGAGACCTTCCTTGAGCGCAACTTCACTCAGCAGGAGATCGACTACTGCCGCAAGGCTCCTAGCCCTCAGGCCAGCTTCACCGGCAAGTGGTCCGCCAAGGAGGCTGTCTTCAAGAGCTTCAAGGTTGCCTCGCGCGGCGCTGGAGCTCCTCTCAAGGACATTGAGATTGTGAACGACGAGAGCGGTGCTCCTACCGTTATTGTAAGTAAATCACGCTTGTTGACAAGAGAATCACATACTGACATTCCGATAGNNCTTCACGGTGACGCCAAGGCCGCAGCAGAACAGAAGGGTATCAAGAGCACCACTGTCAGCATTAGCCACAGTGATGCTCAGGTCATTGCCGTTGCCATTTCTTCGCAATAGATGAAGATTTCTCAGGAACAGGGGTGTTGATGTTCGACCATGATAAACAGCGCTTCAAGAGATGTATGAAAGGGGAGGGCGCACGATACACATACCACGTCTTGTAATTAGGCATTCAGGAGTTTTGCTTTGGGTGTCTTGCTCTCAGCTTGTTTTTTCCCCCAAACCTATACTGTATTGTACATTGTAACCATAGCTACTATTACCACACTTTTTTTTTCGTGTTTTCCCTATCGTTTCTCGTTTGTCGCATATTGTCATCTGATAAGCAAAGAGCCCATCAAGGTGGTTCGCTCCTTCCCGCATCCTTCCGACTGCAAGAAGCGATGGGTCTTTCTTGTGGCACAGAAAAGCATGCATGTGTCAGCTTTCAGCTTTTCAACCATATTGAGGGAAAACATCATGCCATCCGCCCGCGACCCCGTTTTCAACCAGAAATCCTTCCTCAACCTTGGATTCTGTTGATTTGATCTTCCCATGTTGAGGAAGTTGTTACGAGGGCTTGCATACTGTGCCCTGAGCTGTCATCGGTAGTGATTATGCAACCTGCAGTGTGTTGATGCAGGTCTTTCAACGATGATGTAGTAGGATGATACTGGCAAGGGTCTGCTGCTCGAGCTCAATTGATCGCTCTCAACCGTCTTCCGCTGAGCAGTGATCGGTCTCTGGTAGCTTGTTTGATTCGTGGTCTTGTGAGTCCACGAGATGACAAACATCTTTGTTTATCCATCTGCCAAACGACGTATACCCTACGCAGAGCCGACTTCTGCATGGGCACTCCCCAGACACATCTCCTAAGCTACTTTCAACATCAGTCTCTCTTACTGCTCTGACAGCACCTGTGTCGTTGGGAGAACATAACTTGGCATATGGACAGACATGATTGTACAAATCTTGGATTGGCTACCCAGGACTACAATAAGAGCACATATGCCAATGCTACTTTCATCTGAAACCCAACAAAAAAAAAACTCCTTCCTAGCCTTTGATCATTTCTCCGTTATACAAGATTCATCAGTACTCGAGCGTGATTTCCTGGCCCTTGACTCGGCCAATCACGATACCGGCGGCGTACTTGGGGATGACCTCGTCGTCGTGCAGCATCTCGAACTCTTCACTGGCGTCTCTACCCATGTGACTGAAGAGAGCTTGGGGACCGCCAGGGTGTTCTTCCACCCAGTCGGTCACGTTCATGACGACACCCTTGACAGCAATCCAGAGATCTTCCTTCTTGTTGTGCTTGGCTACTTCTTCAAGAGTGTATTCCTTCTCAGGGACCTTGAAATCCTTGATGTCATTAGGCTTGGACACCTTGGCAGGGTCAGATGAGTCTGCAGTCTTGCCGTCTGGTGTCATGACTGGGCCAGCAGATTGTTGCGACTGTCTCTTAATGGCTTCGTCGGCGCCTGATGAAGCACCAGCACCAACACCGTTTGCCCACTCGACGGAGATCTTTCCAGGTTGGTTGGGGTCGATGTGCAGGCTGATCTGTCCAAGACGCTGGGCTGCTGAAGAGCCGCCACCGTTCAAGACCTGCTGGAACAAATACTTGCTTGCTGAGTCACCAGCAACGCGACCGTAAACGACACAGCCGAGCAAAGATGAGCCACCGAGACGGTTGGATCCGTGAACACCACCCGCAAGCTCACCGCAGACGAAGAGACCGTCGAAGGGCTTTCCTTCAGAGTTCAGACATTGTGCCTGGTCGTTGATCTCGATACCACCCATGGTGAAGTGGAGGACAGGCTCCATGACGGCAACGTGGAAGGTGTCGTCTACCTGGAAAGGCATGTTGTGGAAGTACTTCTTGCCCCAAGGGTCTTTCTGCTTGCCATCGGCGATTTCGTTGTAGTCGCTGAAGGTCTGCTCGAGGTCCTTCCTTGAGCAACCGATCTCTTTGATGAGCTCCTCGCCACTCATCTTCTTCATCAAACCACGACCAGAGTAGTGGCGAGTGTGGAAGTCAAGAGTGTTGGATGCCTTGGAGTTAAGAACAAGGCGGATTGGCCATGTGCCCTTCTCCTTCTCCTCCCACATCTTGCCCGAGACATAGTCACGGTGTCCGAGTTCGTCTGAGAAACGCTGACCCTTGCCGTTAAGGAGAAGACCACCTTCACCACGAAGAGCNTATGATACGTCAGCAAACGATATTGATTGATTGAATTTCATAGACATACCTTCAGCGGCCAAGAACTTCCACTTGGAGCCAGGATCCTTGGGATCTACCAAACCAGTAGGGTGAACTTGAACCTTGTCCATATCGATGCCGTTGGCTCCGATTTGCATGAGCATCTTGTGACCATCACCAGTGGCGTGAGCACCGTTGGTTGTGGCCAAGCCAAAGGTATCGGGTCTCCACTTCTTCAGCAGGGAATCGTCTGTAAAGTCGGCAGCGTAACCTCCGGTTGCGAGGATGACAGGGCCGTCAACTGTGACCTCTTCGTTGTTGAAGGTGTATGTGACACCGGTAACGTTGTTTCCATCCTTGTTGATCTTGGTGACCTTGGCTTTCTTGATGAGCGATACGCGCTCAGGTTCGGTCTCGGCGAGCTCCTCGAATTTTTGCATCAAGGCATATGTGATGGCCATACCCGGGAACTTGGCATCGTGGCCACGGTGAGTACGGGGGAACGAATGACCTCTGTGTTCTGGTTAGTTTGTGACTCGACATGGATGCTTCGGTGTAAACTCACCCNNGAGACGCGAAACAAGTGTCAGATCCAGGTTGAAGACATCTTGCAGCCATTCGACGGCACCGGCTGACTTGTAGGTCAAGACTTTGATGAGATCGGGTCGAGCCTTGTCTCTGGCCGACTTCAGAGTGTCTTCGTAGAATTGCTTGACGCTGTCTTGGATGCCTAGATCGGTCTGTGTACGGGTGAGGGCACCGTTGATTCCGGATGTGGCTTTGGTGGAGTTTCCTCCCATGAAGTCTGTAGATGACAGGTCAGCAAGACGTGACCTGACAAGGAAGCGCATGTACTTACTGTTCTTGTCGAGCAGAACGACATTTCCGCCGTTCAGGTAGATGGTGTGAGCGGCGCTCAGGCCGGAGACTNNGCTCGATGTCAGGACTAGAATCATGAGAGAGTTGATGGGTTCCGAAGACTTACGGCCAGCACCGACAACGATGACTCTTGCAGGCATGGAGGCAGAATCGGGGGTATCACAAACAATAAAGAAATGAACAGGATAATGGGGAAAGAAGGGGAAACGGAGGCACGAGCAAAAGACGAGGGCAAAGGGTGTTTAATGGGGACCGACCACATGCGCTAAATGCACGTGTGGGGAAAAGGTATGGAGATATGGACCGAGGCACCCCGTCGAGACTCGAGCCAAATTGTTTGCCTTCCTGCCTGCTTGAACCCTTCACGGAACTCCGTGAGCCAACCGCTACTTGACTGCTCTATAGGGCTCGGGGACTGATGACCTACTGACACTGTGAATCTACTCCAACAGGCAACTCGGGCTCCTTCACGTGTGGGGACAGCGTCGGCAACGGAGTGCTTTGAGTCGTCTCAAAACCCGCTCTTTGTTTCCTGTCAAATGCAGGAAGGCACGAAACCAAGTCCGGGGTAGAGGAGGGGTCGGCCAACCGTCGGCAAGCTGACATGTGATTTCCAAGGCTCGGATGACCTTTTCCTTCTAGCGAATCAACGTCCGTTGCTGACTGCACAGACACGTGATAGTGGTCTTATATCGTCTTTCATGTGCTTGTGCTCCTGAGAATCGCCCGAGGAACAAAAAGGTCATGTTGTGGCCATGTCTCTGCAAGTGGAACCTTTAAGCCAATCAGCAAGCGACGCACAAGTTCGCTGAGAGATAGCCCGAAGGAACGGACACTCTTGCGCCGAACGTCACCAAGATCTGGAGAACAGACTTCGGCTCAATCACTCCATCTCTCATCCTCGCCATAATATCTGCCGGCATGCCGCTGCGGCTCCCCCGAACACCATGTGAAGTCTCCCGGGCATCTTCGAGATATTCGAACATTTTTGTCACCTCGCGATCCTTCTGGTCACGCACGACGCCTGTCGCCGCGCCTGTGCCGACAGGCCCAGAACTCTATGATGTCGTGTGCGTTGGTGGCGGTCCAGCAGGACTGAGCTTGCTCAGCGCGCTCCGTAAGATCAGACACAGCATCTGTAGTGTAGAATTGAAGTGCTGAGATGTGTAGGTGNCTTCTCCCAAGACTGCGAACCTCAAGATTGCCCTGGTCGAGGGGCAAGACCTCAACAAGTCACAGGTGCAAGCCGAGTCGACGACCTTCTCCAACAGATGCAGCTCCCTCACTCCTGGCTCGGTCAAATTCTTGAATGACATTGGAGCATGGAAGCACATCGCTGCCTCACGCGTGCAGCCATACCAGGCCATGCAGGTGTGGGATGGCGTGTCTGGAAGCAGCATCAGTTTCGATCCCTCGTCGTCATCAAACGTCTCGGATACAGTGGCTACCATGACCGAGAATACCAATCTCACGTCCGCCCTCCTGGCTCGCCTCAATGCGTTACCCTCGATTGACGTAATGGACAAAACGCGTGTTGAGGGAATCGAGCTTGGAAAAGAAACAGAGAGCATGGATTTGTCAAATTGGCCAGTCGTGTCTCTCAACAACTCGCGCAAATTGGCTGCTCGTCTTCTGATCGGTGCCGATGGAGCAAACAGTCCTGTACGAACATTTGCTGGTATCCCTTCAAGAGGCTGGGACTACAATCGCCATGGCGTGGTAGCCACTGTGCAGATTGAAGGGGCCAATTGGGGCCAAAACGACCACAGAACAGCATATCAGCGCTTCCTCCCTACCGGTCCTGTCGCACTATTGCCTTTACCCGGCAATGTAGCCACTCTAGTGTGGTCAACAACACCCGAGAAAGCCGCTCTCCTCAAATCACTCAGCAGCACCGACTTTACTGCCATGGTGAACGCTGCGTTCAGACTCTTGCCAGTCGACCTCGAATACATGCACACCATGACATCAGGTCAAGCCGACGAGCTTTCCTGGCGTGAAGCCAATACCGCCTTCAATTCTGAACGTATGCCGCAAAAGATTTCTGCCGTTCAAGATGGCAGTGTTGCTTCTTTCCCGCTGCGTATGCGTCATGCAGATACTTATACCGGTCACCGCGTCGCTCTCCTCGGAGATGCAGCTCATACTATTCACCCTCTCGCTGGCCAAGGTCTGAATCAGGGTCTCGGTGATGCTCAGTCGCTTGCTAAGCACATTAACTTCTCGCTCTCCGTGGGCAAGGACATTGGCAGCAACTGGGCGTTGGACGCATACAACGCTGAACAGTGGGCAAAGAACAACGCTATGCTGGGCGCCGTAGACAAGTTGCACAAGCTTTACAGCGCTGGCAGTGGTCCTGTCGTCTGGGCAAGAAGTCTTGGACTTGACGCTGTAGACAAGATGGGCTTCCTCAAANAGTTCTTCATGCGCCAGGCAGCGGGAACATAAACTTTGGAAAAACTGTACACTACTCTATAGAACTTTTGATGAACAAACTGTGTATTATTATAATCTCACTGTCGCGATGCATGTTTCATCCTTCGAGATGTCATGTCTTACTAGATCGTGTTGACACTTCATGCTATACAACCTGTATGACAGCTCTTTCCCAGCATGGAAGCAATTTGCACTCGTCTTTGACCTTTCGATAGTCTGATTGTCTGAGCATATATGCCGTACTCATCAATCGTATATTCTGCATAGGTCACTAGCTCTCATGGCCGCACGATGTTGTTTAGAATACGAGTAGGGCCAAGAGGAGATCTGACAAATCAAGTCAAGCAGCGAAGCACTTACAAGAATGATGTTGTTCAATGCTTATTTGCTTCTGGCGTTTTTCACAGTCTAGCAACAAAAGTGTCGGTTTGCGAATGCTGGCAACGCCAATTGTGCTCGACAATAGGGAAAACATGAAGGGCGGCAAGTCGAAATAATTGGATGGTTTGGTCCGAAGATGGAGGTAGGATAGATGCGTGAAGACGGAATGGACGAATCACAACACATGCTCGATGTCAGCAGGAAGGCGTCATGATTGATCTCCAATATTCTTTCTTTTTTCTTTCTCCTTTGCCCCACCACAACACACTTGCATCAACCCCAATCGCATCCCACCATCTCTCAAAGCCACACCAAACACCTTCAATCAAACACACATATTCCTGCAAGCACAAAGATCTTTGCACAATGGACAAGGACAATGCAAACCCCGCCATCCTCAACCCCAGCGACCTGCCCTCCCGCCGCGGCGCCTCCCAGACCCAATCCTCTGCCCGCGCCGGCCTCTTCGACGGCCTCATCCCCTCCTACCCCCACTACGACAACCTAACCTCTGGCTCTGCCTTCCCTGCGCCCATCCCTTCAAACTCTTCCGACGACATCTCAGATGACGACGACGACGACATGCGCGAAGAAATCGACGAGCAGGAAATCTTCGACTTGATCAGCACAATTTCCGATCCGGAACATCCTCTGTCGTTGGGTTCGTTGGCTGTGGTTTCGTTGCCTGATATCTTCATCTTGCCGCCTGCGAGCCCCACGTCAAAGATTTCGACTGTGAAGGTGTTGGTTACGCCTACCATTACTCATTGCTCGTTGGCTACTGTTATCGGGCTGGGTGTGCGTGTGAGATTGGAGCAGTCGCTGCCTCCGAGGTTCAGGGTCGATGTGAGGATCAAGGAGGGTACGCATGCTAGCGACGAGGCCACAAACAAGCAATTGGGCGACAAGGAGCGTGTTGCTGCTGCCATGGAGAATGGCACCTTGGTTGGTGTCATAAAGAAGATGTTGAGCACTTGCGAGTAGAGGGAAGAGGGAAGAGGTTTATGATTATGATGAAACGCATGTCGATTTTTCTCCATTGCGTTTGCTCTCTGAGTCGTGGATACATTATGCTCTCAATACGCGATCCTCAAACGGACCGGACCCATGCAACAGAAACGCCTCCATCACCATGCTGAGGAAAAACGCCAGAATCTCTATCAGAGTGCTGCTATCGAAGAAGAGCAAAGGAAAAGCAGGAGGATGATCAAAGAGAAAAGGAAGGGAAAAGGAAAACCGGGTATCTCTTTCGTATCAAGTCGAAGTCAAGCCAGCGAAGGCTACCAGCTTCTTACTGAGTGTGCTGGTTGGTGTTGTTGTTCTGGGCGTTGTTGAGCGGCAACGAAGCGCTGCTTCCCTCGCCAGCGACATCATTCCTGGCAGGCTGCGTGTTCTGGTTGGCAGCAACCTTGCTCGCGCCCTGAGGAGGCTGGTAAACTGGCGGTGCCTCCCAGTTGCCGTACGCAGGTGGTGGCGGCTGGAACTCGGCAGGTCCGTGGTATGCGCCGCCCATGTTCTGCATCGGATAACCTTGCTGAGGTGGGTAGGCGGGGTCTTGCTGGTAGTAGGTGTAGTTGTTTTGAGGGTATGGTGTAGCCCTGTAGCGACGACGCGAGACGAGCCAGCGGTGATAGGCAAGGGGCTGCAGACCTTTGCGTATTCTGCGTTGTGCGTGGAAGTAGGAGCCGAAGAGCAGCAGAGCGATGCCGATGAAGACTAGAGCGATGATTGCGTAGCGAACTCCGTAGCCATCCTGTGAACAGATGTTGTCAGTCCATNNCGTCTTTGATCTCAGAAACTCTTTGGGCAAACATACACTGCTCCACCACCAACTGGAGTCATCCGTGCAGTTAGGATCTTCATAGTAGTTGCAGCTGCGCTTGACAAGGAGCGGCGAAGGTGCCATAGGTAACAGCGCGTACTAAGCGAACGATGTTAAAGTAGAATCCAGGGAGCCGTGGTTCGAACGAGCGTAGAAGATGCTTGGAGGACAAATGCTCAAATGTGTTGCCTTCTCGTCAGACGTCGTGTTGCCCCAGGAATTTGCTTTGACAGCGAGTTGACACTTTCTTGAATTGTGGAGTTGGAGTAGCTTCAATATAAGCGCAGGGGCGGCGGTGGCGAGATACAAGCAGCTACGTCCGAGGAAGGTGCGAAAGGGGGTTTCGCGATGATTTCTAGAAGGCAAGGAGGACAGACGGAAGCAAGAAGCAAACAAGGAGGCCGCTCTTGCTGGTCGATTTGGCTTTTGGTATTCACGACCGTTACGTAGGCTGCGGGCGCCACGCGCTTTCCATCTCCTTCCCGTGGCTGTGCCGAGCGGCTGGCTTGCGCGGGCGCTGGTGGCTGGCTGGCTGGCTACTCCAGAGATGAATTTATATTGCTTCGCCAACCACTCTGATAAACGACAACGTACTTGCATCTAGACACAACGGAGTATCGTCGCTCGGTCAGAACATGGAAAGCATGTCTGTAGCAAATCTCTCACATTCAGAAAGATAGTGTATAAGCAAGGCTAACCAACAGATACTAATTTAGCGTATGGATATATAGGCGCGCGCCTGACTTGGATAGGAGTAGGGATTGCGCTTGGAATAGCACGGATGGTTGCATGTTGGTTTTTTCTGGTCTTCAGAGCGCCTAGGAACCGCTTACTACATCAATTCTATCTAGCAATCTTAGAAGCCTCTTCGCTTAGGTACGATGGGCTTTCTGACCGCGCCGACAGCGCTGACCTTTTTGACGGTGGGTTTCCGTACCTTCTTCTCTTCCTCTTCTTTGGCCCTGGCCGCTGCTTTTTGTCTATCCACGGCCATCTGCTGTTCAATCTCGACCTTCTTGTTGAACTCCTGCTCAGTGGTACGCTTGAGCTTGGTGTTATAGCCTTTTGCTTGACAGAGTAGAAGACCGCTCCTAGATCAGCCAGCCAGGTCGCATCGACAGCAGTCACGCACGACATGTACTCCTTAGATGTAAGGATGAGTTCATGGTAAATAACATAGTCCGGTGGGTCGCCAGAATTGTATAGCGCAGATGTAGGATGTAGTTGCATCGACACAGAGGTGCGCAAGTTAAGATACTCGCCCAAACCCTTGCGCTTGGCGGCTTGATGGTAGTAGCCCGAGCAAATACAGAGTCGTACAATCTCCATGTCATAGCCGCAGCTCACCAGCTGCATCTTGTTGCTGACCATGATATCGCGGATCTGGTTGCGAATCTCCTCTGCTCTGCGCAGAGCCTTAGGGTGCAGGAAATGCGTTACACACCATCCATCGCGTCTTCCATTGGCAGACCATTGTTGGTATACATGTAACAGCGTCAGGTGGTCGGAGGACGAATCAAAGAACTTTTCACGTGCGGCATCGGCCTCCTCCATACGCTCCTTTGGTCGGTAGAACACAGAGGGTACCGAAAGCATTGACACAATCGTCAAGATCTCCTCGCTACAGCCGTATTCGCACGAGGTTATGACAAGCTTTGCCATCGAGGGATCCATTGGGAAGGAGGTCATCTGTCGGCCGAGCTCTGTGAGATCACCCAGGTTGTCCAGAGCACCCAGCGCCCAGAGGTCGAATAGTGAAGTCGAAATTGTTTCTTGCGGAGGAGGATCCATGAAGTCGAAATCCAATAGATTCCTAACACCAAGCGATTTCAAGAGGAGAACGGTATTCGCCAAATTGGTACGCTGGATCTCAGGAATGGTTTGGATGTAGAATTCGTCGCGGAAAGCGCGCTCGGTGTACAGGTGGAAAGCTTTTCCTGGACCTGTTCTTCCAGCACGTCCTGCTCTTTGCGATGCGTTTGCTTGTGAGATGGGTGTGATTTGTAGCGTGTCCATACCCATACGAGGGTTGTATACCTTGAGCTTACTGAAACCAGAGTCGACAACATACATGATGCCATCGACAGTCAGTGACGTCTCAGCGATGTTGGTGGCAACAATGACTTTACGGACGCCAGGAGCAGCGCGATCGAAGATTTTTGCTTGCAGATCGGCAGGCATTTGACTGTAGATGGGAAGGATGGATAGCTTTGGCGGATCATTGAGCTGTTTTAGACGCTCGTCAATCAGCTCGCATGTGCACTCAATATCCTCCCTGACCAGTCATGAAAACAAGAATGTCTCCCGGACCCTGAGAAACGTGGATGGCGAGGACCTGCCTCACAGCACTATCCACGTAATCCTCGCAAGGGCTTCTTGAGTACTGGATGTCGACCGGGAATGTACGTCCAGGGATGAAGAATTCAGGGGCGCCGCCATAGAATCGCGAGAAGCGGTCAGCGTTCATGGTGGCAGATGTAACGATCAGCTTGAGGTCCCGTCTACGGGCAAGCACCTTCTTGATCAGGCCCATCAGAACGTCGGTATTCAATGCTCTCTCGTGTGCCTCGTCCATGATGATGCATGAATATTTGTCGAGGTCAGCTTCTACGAGAGACTCGCGCAACAAGACACCATCTGTCATGTATTTGATAGAAGTTTCCTTGCTTGTACAGTCCTCGAAACGGATAGCGTAACCGACCAACCCGCCCAATTTGACCTCCATCTCTTCGGCAACACGTTTGGCGACACTCATGGCGGCGACACGACGCGGTTGAGTACAACCAATCAGACCATGTTTCGCGTAGCCATCCTCGTATAGGAACTGCGTCAATTGGGTGGTCTTTCCTGAGCCAGTCTGACCAACAACGATAATGACTTGGTTGTCACGAATGACACGAAGCAGCTCCTCTCGAACAGCAAATGCGGGCAGGTACTCGCGCTGCTCCTTAAGCGTTTTGCTCCTGCTGAAGGCACTTTGGCCCTCGCTCTGCTTCTTCATGTGTTCTGCAAACTTGCTGCCTCCTTTTTCTCCCTGGCCAGCAGGCTCTGGGGCAGCACTATCGGTATCCTCCTCTTTAACGCCCATTACATTGCCCAAGGCGGTACCGGCAACCTTTGTGGCTTCCTGAGCAGCCTTTGCTCGTTCTTTTTGCTGACGTCTTTCGCTCACGACTTTACTGCCCTTGCGACTGAATACGGCCATATCGCTTTGCGGATCTCTGACAGCCGAGACTGGTTCCAGTTGCTTGGTGAAGACAGTCTTGCCATCAAGGAATGGCGGTTTCAGGTCGTGGACCAGCAAGTGGACTCTGGTGCCATCTTCATCGTCCTCGAAGCCAGTGTCCAGCTCTCTTCGTTGTGCGACACCAGATGTGAGCATGCGATTGGTCTCCCAGGCGTCGTTCTCGCGCTGCCTCTGCATTGCGCGTGGGTTTCCGCGAGCACGTACAGCCATCTTCTTCTCCAGGAGAGCGGCCTCACGCTGCTGGTCCTCCCAAGTGGCGTCATCCCCGAATGGGTTGTGTGAATCGTCGCCGAGGGTGGCACCGCCTTCGTCGCCTAAGTACCAGTCGCGGTCCAAAGCAGTTTGGTCCTGGGCATCGACACCGGGCTCGGGGCCATCGAACTCTTGCTGGCGCGGCTTTGCGCTTTGCGACTGTCCCTGGCGCGGTCCATCTCGTTGGTGGGAGGAGTTGTGTTTTGAGGGTCTTATGGCGAAATGGCCATCGTCTTCGGCGTCTCCGTCATTGTCTAGCTTGCGACGTTTGAAGGAAGACATTTGTCGAGTCGCGAGGTATGCTTGACTAGTTCAGTACAAAAGACGAGTTGCCGTGACGCGATGGCATGAATCACTATCGAGCAGATAGCTCTATCGATATAGAACGTTTTGGGAGTGCTTCCTGCTCAACTCTAGCGTGTCTGAGGCTACTACAACAAGACCGGAAGCTGTGGTGTGGGATGAGAGTCATTTGAAGATCTTGAACGGACACAACTGCCTCGAACAATCCTTGATATTGGGTAGAGCTGTGCATTTCTGGAAACAGCATGTGTACTGACAACCGTTCTGTATCGACTTGCGGCGAAGCACTTGGCACTTCCGGCGCAAGACTTCCCCGCATTTATTCGCGCCTCGAAAAATATCAAAGTTTCCCGAGCAGGGTGCATTTTTTCTTGGACCATTCAGACATAACACACACAACATGTCTATGATCACAGCAACAGCGTGGGTGCCGCGAGGCTTTGCGGCACCTTTCCCGACAAAATACACATTTGACGAGGAGGAGTTTGAGCGCATCTCCAAGCTGGCCAAGCTGGAACTCGACGACGCAAAGGACGACCTCGCCGAGGCTCAGGCCGAGTTGACTGGAGAGAAGGTTGCCAAGAAGGATGAGAGCGACGACGAGGATGACGATGAGACACACGCGACCGACGCCGCGACACAGGACATCGACCTCCAAGACGACGACTTGAAGGAGTACGATCTCGAGAACTACGACAATGATGACGCCGCCGAGAACGAAGACGGAGAAGGCGACGGTACCTTGAGCATGTTCGGAAACGTACGCAACCTGGCATACCACGGCTCCAACGCAGAGGACCCCTACATCACACTCAAGGAGGGCGAGGAGTCGGACGACGAGGAACGCGAGGAGATGCAGATCTTGCCCACCGACAACATGCTGCTGGCCGCCCGCATCGAGGACGAGGTCGCCCATCTCGAGTGCTACGTCTACGAGGACGACGCCGACAACCTGTACGTCCACCACGACATCATGTTGCCCGCCATTCCGTTGGCCGTCGAATGGCTCAACATGCCCATCTCCAAGCCTGGCGAGCCCGTTCCCGAGGATCAAAAGGCAAACTTCGTCGCCGTCGGTACCATGGACCCGGATATCGAGATTTGGGACCTTGACACTGTCGACTGCATGTACCCCAACGCCGTCCTTGGTCAAGGAACCGCAGAGATCTCGGCAGCACCCACCATGCCCGGCCAGAAGAAAAAGAAGAAGAGAAAGAGCAAGCAAATCAACGACAAATACCACATCGACTCGGTCCTCGCCCTGTCCGCCAACCGCTTCCACCGCAACCTGCTGGCCTCGGCCTCGGCCGACACCACCGTCAAGCTCTGGGACCTCAGCACCCAGCAGTGCGCAAAGTCATACAACGACTTCCACACCGACAAGGTCTGCGCCCTGCACTTCCACCCCCACGAAGCTCACTCGACCGTCCTCCTGACCGGCTCCTACGACCGCACCGTGTGTGCCGCCGACCTGCGCGCCGCAGAGGGCACAAAGCCCAAGCGCTGGGGCGTCGACTCGGACGTCGAGCAAGTGCGCTGGGACCCCCACAACGAGCACGTCTTTTACGTGTCGACGGAAAGCGGTATCCTGTATGCCTTTGACGCCCGCAATGCCCCCACCACACCCGAAAAGACACAGGCCATCTGGCGCCTGCAAGCCCACGAGTCGTCGCTGTCGTCCTTTGCTCTCAACCCCACCGTACCTGGTTTCATCGCCACCGCATCCACCGACCGCACAGTCAAGCTCTGGAACGTCGATCAAGCGACCAACCAGCCCTCCATGGTCGTCTCGCGCGACCTCGGCGTCGGCCGCGTCTTTTCTACAAACTTTGCTCCCGACGATGCAGTGGCCTTCCGTCTCGCCGTTGCCGGATCAAAGGGTGCTGTCCAGGTCTGGGATACCAGCACCAACAGAGCCGTGCGTGAGGCCTTTGCCGGCCGTGTCAAGGGCATTGACGCAACAGAGGTCAAGGAGAGACTTGTTGCCGTTGCCAACGACGAGGAGGCGAGTGACAGTGATGAGGACGAGGAGGAGAATGAAGACGAGGCCGGCGCCGACGAGCGTGGCTGGGAGAGCATGTCCGAGTAATGTGTTTTTGAAAAAAAGCGTGTCCCTGTTTGCAAAATATCATGACCGATTTATTCCATGCCCTTCACAAAACTGCTAGTACCTTCTTTCGAACATTCATGTAAATATCGAATCCCCGTCCTTGTCATCTGACATGAGGACGACCTATGGTCTTCGGTTTCAAGTCTGATAGCGACAGGGTTGTACCCTCGACCAGTATTTCTTTCATCTTCGACAGTGGAGTCTTGTCCTAGCAGTGAAGGTACGCTCAAGAAATCCTAGATTTATCTGTGGTGGGCTTAAGAAGGTCACAATACATGTTTGAGGTCGTTGGTGCGCTGTGGGAAGCAAACATGCTGTGTTTGCGATATAATTCGAAGCATTTTTGAAAGTCAAGTCCAGCACTGTACCTCCATCATCGCAGTTTCGCTAGACACTACTGGCCTATCGTCTTTGGCTTGTTGCAACAAGTAACACGTGCAAGCTGACAGAGAAGAAGATATTGAAGAAAGTTGATACGGTTGGAAACACTGTTGCTGTCTTTTTGGTCTCTTCATAATGTTGGTCGATAAGCTGACAATTCAGTACTCATATTGTAATATAACATCTTATTCATACAAGTCCTGGCGTCCTATCGTATCGTACAATCTATTAAGGCCATCAAGGCCATTCCTAATCCGACTCTCCGTTCCATCCATGCGTAATCATCCTGATGATGTACAATCTATCGCTTATGAAAATTGAGAAAGGAAACAACAAAGAAAAATTCGAAGACACGGAAGAGCTTAATCCTCATGCTTACTTCTTCTTCTCAAGCTCAGCCTCTTCTTGAGACCTTCGCCTGCTTTGCGCAAGCTGCTCGTTCGGTTCATGTGGGCATCAGTGTCGGCCGCCATCGTGAGGTCGGCGTAGCGAGATTCACCGCCGGCAATCTCAACAGGATCGCGGTTGTCGAGCTTCTTTCTGTCCTTCATCTTGTCGTAGTCGCTCATAAGCGGACGGTCTGACAACTCGATTCCACGCTCGCCATCAAAGTCACGCTCGTGGATGGTGTGAGCCTTGAGAGCGCGGTCGAGAGAGAATGCAGGTTCGCCCTTGCCCTTGAGATCGTCTTTGCTATATTCCNNTGTGAAAAGGTCAGTGAATGATGAGGATTCGATGTTATATGGAGAACTGACTTCTCCAGGCCATTGCTTGTAAGCACCACCCTCAGGGTTACCCTCACGCATCATGTCAGTTCCCTCTTCGTAGTTGTAGACACGACCAAGCTGGTCACGTTGACCGGGAGGAACGACAGCAACGCCATCAAGAGGCTTGTGTTTCTCGAGAGCATCCTTGATCTTCTCAGCAGGGGTGGCCTTCAGTGCTTCTCTGTTAGAGTCCTCCAAGGCGGCGATAGGGCTGGACTTGTAGCTGGTGTTACGGGCTAGCAGAGCAGCATCATAGGGGCCCTCGTGATGGTAGGGAAGCTTGTTGGGGGTTGGGTCGAGGCGGTCGATCGTGTCAGCGCCGGGAATGTGACGCTTGTTGAGGTGGGGAGCGCGATATGCCTTCTTGCTGTCCTTTCTAAGCATGTTCAGAGGCTGATTGGACATGTCTCCAGCATAGCGTTGACTAAGCGAGCTGGTTCTACGAGGACGGCTGCCAGATGGCTCGCCCATCAGATGGTCACCGCTGAAGTTGCGACGGTGGGGAGAAGAAGGGCCCTCCTGATAGTCTGGAAATTTGGAGTTGCTGCCGGTCGAGCTTCTGCTGGAATGGCGGACATGTGTCTGAACACCACCCTTTCCGCCCATAGAGTCGCGGAAAGGGTTCTTGGACGACGCTGGAGAAGAGGGCGATGCCGTAGGAGATGCAGTCTTGGTGGCCGTGACCCCAGGAGGGTAAAAGTGCGTACCCGGGCCAGTCTCTTGTGATGGCTCGGGAGCATTGAGAGGGTCGATGAGGTAGGCCTGAGCCTGGACACGGATTGTGAGTGGGGTTCAGGCTGATACGAAGACAGCGAGCTCGGATCATACCTCTTTGGCGCTGACACCTGACATGGTTCAGTTTGGTTTGGGTATTAGTATGCAATGCACAAGCAGGAAGCAAGATGAGAGAAAGAAAAGGTCAGCAGGACGGCGCAGGTACAGCAGTTTAAAAAATAGGATGATCCTTCTTGGGCCGCACCTCCCTCGTCGGCTCTGAGAGTTCGCATCACTCACTTTTTGGGAAGGCACGTCATAGCCGCGCACGCACTCGCACATGTCATTCTTTCCCCAGGCACTCGACATCCGCCCACTTCCACCTCTCGGTAGCTATCGATCCGTCGATAGTGCCAGAGAATGACACTAGTCGCCTACTCGGATTCCGAAGAGGACGACGAGCCCGTGGCCAAGCGACCCAAGAAAGAGGCAGACCACAAAGACGACCTCCCACCGCTGCCAGCGTCTNTTTTGAATCTCTATTCGTCCAGCGTCCGCGTCAGCAACACCGACGATCCGTCTTTGCACCACGGCCGCAAACGCGTCGTCAAGCACGTCGAGNGGAATTGGCCCACCCATGTCTATCTTGAATGTACGTTGCAGTTTTGTAGTGATTGGGTAGAGCTCAACCAGACTTACACAGCCTCCCTTGCAGGGCTCCCGTCACCTGCTGAACATGACACACTGAATAGACTGCTCAAAGCCTTGCCAGAATCCTCAAATGTGCATTCTCTACTGCAAACACCACTCCAAGTGCCTTTGCCTCTACACATCTCCCTCAGTGCACCTCTAGTATTGCGCACTGAAACCAAAGACGCTTTTCTGAATACCATAACCGAAGGCATAACTCCGATAATCCAGTCACTGCGACATCCGATCGCAGTACGGCCAGCTTCGCTCTCATGGCACGGCAACGACGATAGCAGTCGCTACTTCTTGGTGCTTCGCGTCCAAGATGCCCAGCAATCCCAAGAACCCAGCTCTCTAACCTCACTAAACCAACTCCTTCAAGCCAGCAACAAGGCCGCCCACCAATACAACCAACCCCAACTCTACACAAAGCTCAAGCGCCAAGCGGGAAGCCATGACTTTTCACCCTACTTCCACATCAGCATTGGCTGGTCTTTACCATCGCCAGACCGTAATTTGGAAGACGACAACCTAAAGTTGCAACCAGTTGTAGACTCCATACTCAAGGAGCTATGTGAGAAGATGGTTGTGTCTTTTGCTGCAGTCAAGATCCGCATAGGTCAGACTGTTACAGCTTTGCCGATCGGAAGTACACAACCGCACTCTAGAAAAAGAGGTGGTGTGTTCGGTTAAAGTAGATAACGGGGGTACTCTTCGAACCTCTAGAGTGCGTTCAGAATAGAAGCATATCACTAAATTGTCCGTTATTACTTCCGTGCTCCGGTAGGTTCATCTACGACACAACTTGTAATACAGACAGCAGAAGCTCATGAAAGTGGTAAAATACAGTAATTCTGGCAATGAAACACAGTGTACAGAGTACAGTGTCTATAGACTCTCGTTAGCAAGTCTACAAAGCTCCATGAACGTTAACTTTGAGGCTCGCTTCACATCGTGCTAGTAACATCTTGAGATTGTCATGTTTTCATTTTAATTTCCATTTCTCTCAAGCTAAGTACAATACTCGATTGAAAAGCCCCATTTGTACAAGGGAAGAAGAAAAGAAGGTAACAAAGCAAAAAGCTGTCCAGTCGCTGGGAAAAATGACCCTTGCTCCCCTGCTCGCCGAGTGTCTTTGCATGGCCTAAAAGTGGGCTTTGCAAAGACACGAAACCCAACAAATGCAACACCCCTGTCCCAAAGCAGAGGAAAAGGAGAAATGAGAAAACGCCGTGCAGTGTGCAGTTAGAAACAAAGCTTGAAGACAACGAAGTACCATGATCCATCGCTTGGGAGACCAAGCTGCGTTGTCGTCAAAAATCAGAGAAACGCGAGGCAAAGTCCCCAAACTCGGGCAAGGCCGTGTGGAAGCATGTGATTGTTCGGTGACATTGATGTGTGAAACTGTGTTTTGTCTTCGCCCCAGTGTCTGGCGCTCGAGTCTGGAGGGAGTGGAGAATAGGAAAGCTGTAATTGATATTTTTGGATTTGTGTTTCAAGCTCCAGCGGTGCCCTGTGGTTGTGGAGGAGGTGGAGAACGTGGATCGCTCTGACGAAGTCGTGGCTTGATTTGTGGTTCGATCAGAAATCCGAAGGGGAACAAGGTCTAATTGCAGTCGAGCATCATGGAGGTCATCACCGTCGTCTTCATCGTGGGCAGTGACTCCTAGTGCACTGGAGGTTGGTAGTTGATGGGGCGCCTGAGTTTCTGTCAGCTTCTTGATTCTTGCCGAGCGCAGAAAGCCGAGACTCACTTGAATAGCAGAATGTGCGGCTCGGGCTCGTGGACCTCGTAGTGTTCCCATCCCAGACTCTGANNAATTTTGGTCAGTCTCTCGTTCTAGTGCCGTGGTTCAAGAACTCGACATACCTGGGTAATACCCAATGCTCTCCACTCGTCCTCCCACAGCAGCTTGAGAGTGCCTCGCGAACCATCAAAGTATTCCTTTGGTATCGCCTTCAGCATCTGCTTGGGCAGCTGCACGTGTCTGTACTCGAAGTGGTCGTCGGAATATCTGCGCAAATCAGTATTGATGATAGAAGTGGATGTAAGATCTTCTTACCTCGACGAGTAGTGGATGCTCTCGATGAACTCGTCCAGGCGCTCGCGCTCGGAGTCGCTCAGAGGGCGCGGCTTCTTGTTGCGGCGCGTAGCGTCAATGTCCATGTTGGCCATTGTGGATGTTTGGTCTGGGTGGAAGGTGAAAGGCGGAAGATGTGCTGGTTAAGAGCTGAAGAGGATGTCGCGTGAGAGACAAGCGGTGACTGTGGTGGAGCCCCTAATTCGCAATGTTTCTCGGAAAGAGGCGTGGAGCTGGAGCGACGCTGGTGGTGATAACTGCTGTGTAAGAGATGCGCTGTCGAATGCGCCGGTGTTGGTATCTAACCACGGCGGCCGAGCGGGGCAAGGAAATCTGGCGCAACAATGGCTTGGAGGGGGCGACAGCGAGCAACAAAAGCGACGCGATCGATCGAGGTTCAATAGCGCTTTTGATGGATGGACCTGGGAATGATGACGAGATGCGACAGCACGGTAGACGGAGATTTGGCCAGGAGGGGAAGTGGTGGGAGGAAAAGTATTGTTGTTGTCGATTGTTGTTGTTGACCTCGCCTTTTGCAAGAAGGTCCCACTCTTGCTTGGTCTAATCATCCGCAAAGCCCTTAGTCTCGCCTCGGCTCCTTCCGTCGCATCACCACTCTTAAACCTTCCGCCTCCACGCACCAGCTCCGTCTATCCATACAGATAGGCCCTTCTGTATAACATCTCCTTAGCCGCAGTCTATCTGGAGATCGTCCTATCTTATCGTCTCACAACGCACAGAAATCTGTCGGACGATCAACCAACGTCTACTTGCACTAAGTGAGGCTCTTGATGCAGTCCATCTCATCCCGTTCGGCATTGCTGTAGCCATGCTACTAGTTGCCTTGTTTTTGTGCCTGGGGTTTCAAACTAGTTTATACTGTATCTCGATGCCGTGACTGCCACCGGCTATGCCTGCTCTACCTACTGTATATCTGGCCTCTTGACCGCCACGAATCGCTCTTGACCGCTCAATCCCCTTCCATTTGACTACACCTGACGTCCTGTCAACCCTTATGCTATCGCTGTCAGAAACGTGGGCATGGCACCTCTTGCTAGAAGCACTGGCCTCAATAGTAGTGTCGGCTGGTACGGCAAAAGCCCCGTGCGTGCCAATTACCGTGGGTGACTTGGTAGCCTGGGGCAGAAATTGACTCACTACTCGTGCAGATCAGTCCACTGTCGAGGAGCAGAGGTCGGAGTTGGCTATCCCACTCTCACGCGATCTGCTGCAAGACATAATGGTTGCAGTTGTGGATGGCGGATCTTGAGCTACTTATTCATGGACAATATGCACAGAATAACATTGATTCAGGAGACAAGTAATTGAGCTTAGAAGTACATTTGCTACGTCTAGCTGCATAAAAGACACCGCACCACCGTTCCCAGAGTGCTGTACGGCCTAGATTTTGGTCATAAAATAAAGAAAATAAAGAGTGAACGGGACGAAGGTGTTGCCCTCTCCCAAGAAGACTGCCCGAGTATTTCGTATCATCATAGCCCTTTTTTGGGAACATCCATATCCCAACACCAGTAATACATCAAGGCACCAGTCTTCCGTGGTAACGTAAACAAAAGAGAGTAAGAAGTAAAGAAGAATCAGACATGAAATCGACAAGAAGTGAAGAGTCGTATCGGAGTGTCCTCAACCAAGGGAGGATAGATTATGCCATGGTCCCGCAAGTTACCAGCCTTGCGACCGTGCTTGACATTTGTGGGCGGCAATCTAGAAAAATCCAGCCTCCTCGTACGGTGTAGGTTCATCTTCGAAAATGACGTTGAGCATGTCTGCAATTTCCATCATGTAGTCGTTGGCAGAGAAATGATCCAGGCCATGGGCGTCCATAAAGACACGGTCTGCGTCGGCCTCAACATCGCGAACTGTGCTTCCAAACTCCTCGGCGATTTCGTTGAGCTGCTCGAGCTCCTTGCCGAAAGGGTGAGGTGAGGCAGGGCCAGAAGCACGGAAGAAGTCGGTCGAGTCTCTGGTAGTGATGATGTCTTCGGGGAAGGAAGGAGGGTTGCGCGAGATCGAGCGCTTGTGGCTCAAGTCGCGAGAGACTGATCGCTTGTGGCTCAACTGGTGGGCGTGCTTGCTGTGCGAGGGTGCGCGTTGAGGAAGGACAGGGGCAGCGCCGGAGGGAAGGAATGAGCTGACAGAAGTATCGCGGTTGTGGCTGTGCTGCAGAGGCTCATCGTAGACGGAAGGCTTGAAGTAGCAGCTGAGGTGGTTAGGCTCCGGAGACAAAGGCGACTCGTCGAAAGAAGAAGCGTCTGTGAAGGTACCTCCAGAGCGGTGGCCGATGCTGCTAGAGTCGCTGTACTCGATCGAGCTCAGGCTGTTGGAGCTGGAAGAGGTTGTAAGGACTCCTGCCTTGTGGGCGATGGGGTTGGTTCCGAAGATGTCAGGGGCCTCGTATGCCAGAGTGTTTGTCGTCGAGATCAACTCGATAGGACCGGAAATCTTGGGACGCTGGTTGCGCTGACTGGCAGAACGATCCAGGTCCGAGTTCTTGCGGGCAGCCCGTCTGGTGGTGAAAGCACGGACAAGCGACATGTTTGCTGATAGCAGTGGTGGGGGACTGTCAAAGACCAAAAGTACTTTTTGAAGAAGAGAGAAGCTCCGGGTGTGAGAGTGAAAGTGTCACTTGGTAGCAGGTCTCACACGTGTAACCGAGGCGATCACAAGATATTGTTCACTTGAGGTGTGTGCTGTAGAGCGTGTGATCAGATTGTCTCGTCAGTTTCCTGTCTTGCAGAAAAGGTCACAGCCTGTTGGTGTCTCGAAAAGAGGTCGAAGAGGGCTTTGTGAGAGAATGAAGGCTAACCGGGACACAGTCCTTGCGGTTAATGAATAAGAGAATGAATGGTTCTGACTTGATCGCCCAAATGAGAGGAAGCGATAGCCAGGTGGGTAAAGCGCGACGTCCTGAGACGGATTGGCGCTCAAGGGGTGACAAGGAATGACTTGGAGAAACAGGTGGTGTCTTGAGAAAAGAGCAAGAGAAGTTCTCTTGGGGTGGCACCTCCTTCGTTTTGAATGTACCCTCCTGCACCTACTTTCTGGCGGGCGCCAACGAATCGGGAAGGCTGCAAGTGTGAAAATCGTGCAGGGCAGAGTTCCAGGCACTCGACAAAGGTTCACATCGCACGCTATTCAACCCGCTTGTCTCAAGGCACGCCTGCATGATTGGCTCACGTCTCCTATCTTCTCCGCGTCGACGTTCTTTAGCGCATCGCAGAGTTGTCTTTGACGGGACGCTTAGGCGAGTCCAACCCTAATCAAGCCATGGTTTCACTCGACTCACAAGAGCGTGGCTTTAACGATCGTGCCATGAGTGGGCCATGGGGTGTTTAACGGTCGCCGGATGCTTGCCAAAACTCCACCACAACCGCCCAACTGTTAGGGGAGGTGGCCGTTTAGAACCTCGATGGTTTTGGTGAACCGTCAAAGTACCACGTACTAATCCACTGGCGCTACTGAGGACTCGAGTAAAAGACCACGCGGACGGCGCGTCTTCTGGCAGAAATATGCCGTGCTACACAACATGTGTACACACACCCATCGATCACGCTACGTGACTCGCCCATCTCATATTGGCTTGCTCGAAGATGAAACGCAGCCATCCGGTCACCCCAAAACAGCGAGTCCAATCTATAATTCCACGTGCCATGGGCATGAAACAATCACCTGCCATGGTTACCTCTACCCAATCTATCTCTGGATGCAGATTTTGCGTCAACCAGCACGGACGGATGATCGAGTCTGATGCGCAATGCAACCGAATTGTAAGGAGCTCATAAAACTATATATACTGTCAGTGTCTGCATAGACGTTGCGAGGCTCTCGTCCTTGAATTTGGTCGGCTGTGCGGAGCGGTGTAAGGTAAAGGACGTTGTCAGGGGCTGTCCAGTGTCCACGCGCAACGAAGTATTTGACAAGGAGGATGGACCGAGCCGAGCGAGCCAGAAACACAGGCACATCGCAAGCTCCTCGACCTTGCTTGGAGTGTTCCTTGCTGTATCTTCGCTCAGGCAAGTAAGGTAACGCACCGTTCGGCCACAGATCTGTATCGATAGGCACCCTCTTCGATATTCTTCTATCTAGATAGTGATAACAACCGCTCGGCACATCCATGCATCCCGAACTCTTCCAAAGAATCTCGCAAACCATTTCCGTAAACGCCAACGCTATGATGAACTGACATGCATATGCTGAAACACCACCGACGTAACCCTTTTCATACCGATGATACTTTCTATAGCTCATCTGTAGTGGGCAAGCGGAACTCCCAAGAACGTGGTGTAATCTCAAGACCCAACCAACGTTGCCACAATCTGGCTAGCTCTGTGACGAGGATGATGAAACTGATGGACAAATTAGTGACGTTCTCATGGTGAACACACAAGACAACTTACAGTGTTTGAGGGATCTCAATCCAGCTCTTCAGGACAAACTTGGTGACCGACCATACCAGATAGACCTCTGCCTTGGTCTTTTGCCATTCAGAAAGTGGTGGCGGCTTGGGCTTCTCCCAAGCATCGTCGTCGTCGAGTTCGTCTTCCACAGCAATCTCTTGCTTTTGCTGCTTCTCCTCGACAGCAGCGCTCGGGGCGGGGACTCCCTTCTCTTCGGCCAACATGCGCTGGAAGTCGCCAAGTGCCTTGATGGCATTGCTGACCTTGTCCAAAGTGTTGAAGAAGGCAACTAGCTCGATTCTTCTGAGAGCTGGAGCAGGCTGGTCGTTGTTAAACTCGAACAAGATCTTCAGAGCTGTGCCATAACCTGCAGTCTGGAGCTTGCCCCAGAGCCTGCATTTGTCGCAGCCAACGCAGTCCATGATGCGACTAACATTGCGGAAGCGGTTGCGGAAATCCTCCTTGAGGCTAATGCCGGTATCACCCAGTGGGTTCTCCTGGAACATGACACTCTCATCAAAGATCTCGGAGCCGGCGGGTATGGTGTTAGCGACCTTCAAGGCCATGTCCTTTGTACGCTTGTCCTGCTTCGGATCACCAGTACAGAAAGTGTAGTCTTGGACGTAATCCTTGAGCTTGCCAGCAGCTCTAGCCATGAGAGCGTAGTTGAAGTACAGGTTCGAGATGCGCTCAGGATGAGTGTGGAGACGCTGCTTGTAGCACTGCAGATTAGGACCCCATTTGCCAGTGGATTGGTTGAGGTAGTCGTGACACAGGTGGGTTGAGATGGAGGCGTGCATTCCAGAGATGACTCGGTAGAAGACACGCTTCTCAAGGCACTCATCATCAAACTCCATGTTGTCCTCGAACTTGCCTTCTAGCGAGGCTTCTTGGCGACCATGCTCTTTCATGACAGATTTGAGGTCTTGTGCCGCTTGGCCCTGCATACCTGAGAAGCCACCGAAAGGCGGAGCCAGACCACCAGCACCTTGGCTCTTTGCATTTGCGTTCGGCTTGGAGAAACAGTTCTCGCGATAGATGGCTTCCCAAATTTGATGAGCGCCTTCGCCAGCGTATCCGGTGAAACGTTCAGGGTTGTCGAGCAGACTGACGTAGTCGCCCTTTGCACTCGCGCTCTCGTCTTCGGGCACGCAGTAATCTCTTTCGTCGCACTCGTCGTCGTACTCGACAACACAGCTTTCGCCAACGTTCTCGCCGAGCTCTCCTTGTAGTGGCCTCTCTAGTTCCCTCTGCTCTTTCTTGCCAGGGTGGTGTGCTTTAGGGCCTTCCAGTCTACTCAGCTCTTCAGCTCTCCAGATTTCTGGGATGTCTTCTTCATTCTCCAGTGTCGTGACAGCGCAGGCTATATTGCCGCAAAGACCTTCGTCATCCGACCAGAAGGGGCACTTCTTGTTGTACAGGTTCAAGCGGTAGTAGGAGAAGAAATCGGTCTTGGACACGAGGTCGTGGAGGGCGGGATTCAGGCGGGTGTTGAGGTTGTCAAGGTCGCCGTATGATGCGCAGGCATCAGATACTGTAGCACCAGGCTCGACNCTGGAAATTCGCGTTAGGTCTTGCTCTCGCTGAGGACTCGAAACTCTGAGGAGGCGGCTTACAGGACAGATTGCTGGATTTGAGGATGCAGCGTGTGACGAGGCTAGCAGTGCAAAGACTGCTAGGAAGAAGGAGTTGGCGACTGACGGTCGCATCGTGCTGCACTGTATTCTGTTTGACTGGACTTAGCAAGGAGGCAACATTGGAGAATATTTGTGACAGTCGCATACCAAAGTGGTCAATCGAGGGCGATCAGCGCATTCTTGGCCGTTGGCACTTTCAAAGAATTACGGCTGCGGAAGGTGACAACAAAGAAGAGGCGTGTGCGAAAGAAGGTGCAAGCAGGCTATATACCAAATACGGCCAAGAAAGACACGATATCTCGAGCAATGCGGCGTCAAATTGAGAGGTGGCTTCTTCAGACTCTCTCCTGGTTGATAATCAAGAGCATCCGTGATCGTCACCTCACCGTCCGCAGCCGCTCGGCACGAGCATTGACCGGGTTTCCGACCGCCTTCAGCCCTATGCCATCCACGTCCCAAATTTTCTTCCGCGACCTTTCTCTCCAACCTCTGCAACACGCGTGTTGGAATGCGTGCCGGACGGCCATGATCACAGTTTTGACGTGGCCTTCTGGGCTGTCGCTAATGTAAGTTTGCTGAGTTTTCTTGCTTTTAGCATACCACATACACACCTCTACAATGATGAGTTATTCTTTACCCATACATCTTTAGGAAGAGCCGGAAAAGGTACGCTGGTATCGACATATACCTTCGTCGCTGCTTATAATCGGGAATCTGAAATTCACCTCTATTTCTGCACTTTATACATCACATTCAGTCAGACCAATAACTAACAATGTTTGTTAGGCATCACTAGGACGTCTTGCAACGAAATCCCGTATATCTTGCCATGAAAAGCTGTGGAGTTACTCATATCATATCATATCATTATTTTTGGTATATACTCAGTCGTTATCAATCTAAGCTATTGCCTCTTCCAGGTTCTTCAAGCTCTCTTCCATTCGAAGTGGTACTTTCCAGTGGTAGGAGCACCCTTGGGGTCTTCCCCCNNCTTCTTGTCGTACATGTGCTTGCCGAAGTAGTCAAGTTCGGCTTCATAAAACTGTGTCGGAAGCTCCAAGCCAGTCTGGTACTTGATGTAGTCGAGCGAGGACGAGATGGCGGGGACTACATGGTCGCCAAGTACTGCCTGGACCACAACACGCTTGAGTGCTGGCTGGCCCTTCTTGAGGTCGCTGGCGATGGTCTTCTCAAACAACAGGTTCATGGTGTCCTTGTTGCGGAACTCGGCGAAGATGGGCTCGAGCAGAGAAGCGATGTAATCGGCCTGGATGATGCAACCAGCGCGCCAGATCTGCAGAATTTCCGAGAAGTTGATGTTCCAGTGGACCTCTCTGTTCTTGTGATCAATGACGTTGATGCCTTGCACGTAAGCAGCCAAGCATGCTGTGTATGTGGCCACCCGCAAGTCTTCCAAGAACTCGGCCTTATCCTTTACATCCAGTTTCTGTGCCGGGAAGTCTCCTCCGAATGCCTTTTGCGCGCGATCACGTTGGGCACGGTCGGCTGATGCCAAACGGAAGAAGTGAGCTGAGCTCAGCGTGGGTGCAGGGATGTGCTCCCCAACAGCCTCTTCGTTTGACCAGATACCAGTACCTTCCTCGCCAGTCACGTCCTGCACGACCTTGTCTTCGACGGTTTCCAGGACACGCTCGCCGTTCTTTGGGTCCTTGGTTCTGCAAATGTCCGCACCGATCTTCACCAGGAAAGTACCTTGCNNTGTTGACAGTCAGCACACGGCTTCAGCGCAAGGTACATATCATCTTACCAGTTCTCCTTCGTTGTTCCACTTTTCGAACACGTCGCCAATCTCATCTTCCGACATAACAAGGCCAGTTCTCATGATCCCCCACGCTTCCGAGATGGCACTCATCATTCCGTGTTCGATGCCATTGTGAATCATCTTCACGTAATGACCCGCACCTCCTGTACCAGCCTTGCCAACGCATGGTCTTCCTTTGGGATCCTTTGCTGCGACCTTGCGCAGGAATGGAAGTACCAGGTCGAGGGACTGGTCATCAGCTCCTGGACACATCGATGGGCCANNCTGCGAACTACATCAGAGCAAATCGTGTAGGTGGACAAGGACAACATACCGACGAGCAGCCTGGTATCCTCCAGAGACACCACAGCCGATGTATCTGATACCTCGGACAACACACTTGCCCTGTCTTCTCTCTGTGTTCTTCCAGTGCTCGTTACCACAATCAATGATGATATCACCTTTCTCAAGGTATGGCATAAGACCTGCTAACACGCCATCTCCAACACTGCCATGAGGCAAGCTGAAGACAAAGATCTTGGGCGAGTCGAGGGAGTCGCACAACGACTTGTAGTCGCTGTGCTTGCTGATACGGTCTCCGAAGCCTTCATCTTTGGCTTGTTTGATGATACCATCCATGGCATCTTCAGAAGGATCTTCGAGTGATACATGGACGCCGTTCTCAGCGAATAGAAGCGCCATACCACCACCCATGCTGCCGCTGCCGATCACGGCAATCTAGTCCATGTCAGTCCATAGCTCGTTTGGATATCATCTCAAAGCCGTTGATTGCTTACATACCTTCTTGATGTCTAGTCCATCTGTGGACGAGTCGTTACTCGTGCTGGCCATTTTAATTGATACGAAGTTCTAGTCTTTGTTCGACTTGAATGTGGAAGACTGGATGGACAGCGAGCCTTGAGGTCACCAAAATATATCGTTCGAGTGACGTATTGGTGTTGATGGCGGGGTAGTTGCGATTGACGTTTCCAACTGTCACTTCGGCCCGGCTTGCTTGAGATGCTTAGCATCGATCTACGGGTTCCTCGGAGGCAGTGAGCACCTGTAGAACGAGCATGCTTGCTTGAAAGTTGTTCGTTATCATAGTAAGCTGGCTTAGATCAATCATAATCGGCTTCGTCTTCGAAGTCCATCTCGGACTCGCCATCTACCCATGAGACTGAATCTACAGTCCCCACATCTTCCGCATCTTGAGTTATTTCCTCGCGATCATCCATAGGCATTGGATCAAGTTCCTCGATCGTGGCTTCGTTCTCATGCCCCCTCTCTTCATCATCAATGAATCCAACACTCTTCCTCCTCGGAGGCTTCTGTTGACTGGCCGACGTTGCACTGGCCGGCTCCTCTGGGATATCCTCCAAAACATCTCCATTCCAAGGCTTGCACTCTTTTACGACTTCTCCGCAACGTAGACACGTCCACCCTTCACCTTCTTCGGCTTCAATGCGCTGCGCCAAGCAGACAAAGCAGTATATGCACCCGCAAGGTATCGCCTCGTATGGATTGGTGACATCTGTTTGAGCACTGCCAATGACGCCTCCGCCTGTGTTGCTTGATTGTGCGAGAACTTCTGCTTCCGAGCCACCACCCACAGCGTTTTGGTCGCGATAACATATTGCGCAGGTTCGTTCTGGCAAGAAGCCAAGCTCACCTCCGGTATTGGCGTCTTCCTCATCAGCCTTCTGAGTGAACATGCTCTTGATTTTTCTCCATGCTCTTGATAGTAAGCGTCTCCATCTACCAATACCGACGAGAGGGAGCAGGAAGAGCAGAAATTCAGTGAAAGCATGCCAAACTAGTTGACGGTTCAGGTACTCGAAGCTGACTTCTCTGCTCGTTTGTGCAGATGCCGGGGCAAGTCTGAGTCGAAGCAACCGATCTGCAAGTGTCCTGTATTTGCCGTTGAACAAGAAGACCAGGAAGGATGCCAGAGCTGCCATCTCGTGTGTCATGCCAATCCATCCGGTAAGCTTGCTAAGTTTCTTGACCAGCGGCGTGGGCTCCTCGTAGCCGCCTTCTCTTTCAAGGAGCCAATATTCTAGTTTTTGCCACGAGTAGCGACCTCCGACTGTGATGAGACCGTATGCAGCCTTTTGCCATTTTGTAGGATCTTGACCTGAGCCAGCGTGAATACTCGAAGGTTGTGTTCTTGCGTCGACATACTTCAGGCCCTGTAGACTGGCACCGTAGCTAGTCCCCCGGTCCCAAATACTAAGCTTCCATAGTATCGCTCGGAGTATTGCGCCAATCTCTGACGACCATTCGTCTGCGACGTGGCCTCCGAAGTATTTGAGGGCGTCTCCGACTTGTCCGCGCAGTAAATGTAGAAGCTCCTCGTCGAGCAATTCTGCGTCAACCTGGCCGACACGGAAGTACGGGGTAGGCGCCTGAGGAGGGTTGTGTCTGAGTGTGGTCCAGGTCGAGAGAGTGGTAGAAGCGAGTGAGCGTAGACCGGGTGGTAGGTTCAGCAGCGCGGGTGGTAGGGTTGGTGGGGAGGGCGGCGATATTGGACGAGCTGCAGCTGCGCGACGAGCGAGCACACGCGCCTGAGCGGCAGCAAAGTCTGGAGAGGTCATGACGATTGGAGATTGGACATTGTTTGTATCAACGAGTATATTATATCAAAGTACTCGCGAAGAAGCGACACCAGGCAAGCATATGAATACAGCTCCAACTTGCCGAGGCTCGCGGCTTTTGACCCGATGCCGACCGACAACTCACCTGTTCTGCTCTCATTTCCTCGACTTTGCTACCAAATCCAACATTGAATGTGAGATATCGCATGTAAAAGCTGTTCAGAGCGACATCCTCCGGCGTGTATGGTGATCGGGCTGATATTCATGATATGGATTGTCTGAAATCAACTCACGCTGGCTCAGTGTTATACATGACCTTGCGAGCGCCTGGCAGAAGCACGCGACTTGACTATTGATAGGCTAGGGACGGCTAGCACCGCCGCTCTGTACAGGTGCCATTTGGTCTCGTGCTTTTCATGAAACTTGTCCGTTACTGATGTCTCTTCTTTGTCCATCTGTCGCACCCGCCTCAAACCTTCAGACATGAGTAGAGAGCACGACGACGGCTAAAGGCGATCATGAGGCCAGGCCGCGCCTTGGCATACCGGTCGACTCCCAAGCCACCTTGGTCGCGTCCTCGTCTGCTCTTTGTCTTGTTCCCCCTGCATATATCAACTGTTCGGTCCTGCATGCACGATCCTATGGACCGTTGCTAAAGATTTCCAGATCCATCCCCTTCCCGGACACAAGCACGTGCAATGGTGTGTAGACCACTCTTGATAGCATGTCTGCTCGCATCTTGTGCTGAGGTTGTCTGGTCACAACCATGGAGCCTTCAATCAGAACTAGTTGACTCTAGCCATCAACTAGCCCTCAATGCTGAGTCTGTAAGACATGCCGAGCTAGAAAGTCAACTCACAAGTGGCACTGGCATTCTTCGACATATGATAGAAGCCCTGGATGTTATGCAATCTCAGTTCTTCGAGCTATGGATAGGGACATGGCCTTCATCCATCGATTGGACTGGCGCGGTGATCAACACTGCGGTCTCGTCTACTCTGGGAACCATTGCTCGAGCAAGCAGCGAGACCAAAGATGACCACTACTCGAAGATATTCAACAAGTACTTTTCCCACAACGCAGCATACTACTTTGGGGAAGATGCCTTCAGCATCCGTAATGAGGCCTATGATGATATCCTATGGACCGTCCTGGAATGGCTCGAGAACATAAAGACAATCGAATATCGAAACAGCACAGAGCCTTCATGGCATGGTGTCCAATTCATCCCTGCATTCAGTCACCGTGCAAGATTATTCTGGGACCTTGCTTCCAAAGGTTGGGATATTGATCTATGCGGAGGCGGTATGCTCTGGAACCCCAGACTCTTGCCTTACAAGAACACCATCACAAATCAACTATTCATCTCAGCCTCAGTTGCTATGTATCTCTCTTCTCCTGGCGATGCCATCGATTTCCCATTCTCAGCTTCCGACTCTCAAATTTTTGGTTCCATGCCAGGACGCCCGCATGATCCAAAGTATCTCAAAGCTGCTATTGAAGGTTACTCCTGGCTCAAGAAAAGCAACATGACCAATTCCCAAGGTCTATACGTCGATGGCTACCACATCAAAGGCTACTCCCAAAACGGCAGCAGCGGCACAGGCAAGTGCGACGACCGCAACGAAATGCTCTACACCTACAATCAAGGCGTCATCCTCTCCGGCCTACGCGGTCTCTGGGAAGCAACAGGAAACACAAGCTACCTGCACGACGGCTACAATCTTATCCTCAACGTCATGGCATCAACAGGCTGGTCTTGGTCCGGAAATCCAAAATCTCCAATCTCCAAATCATCCAGCTGGTCTGGGTTAGGTCAACACGGTATCCTCGAAGAGTTATGCGATCGCAGTGGTTCATGCAGTCAAGACTCTCAGACCTTCAAGGGCATTTTCTTTCAACACTTGACTCAATTCTGCGAGTCTTTGCCCGAAAAAACAATTTCTCCCGGCAAAACTCACGCAGTAAGCAAACGACTTGGAGAAAAGCACAGTGCCTTCTGCAGAACTGTGGGATCGTGGGTCGCTCTTAATGCACAAGCGGCTTTGGGCACACGAAACGCACTGGGCCTTTTTGGCACGTGGTGGGGTTGTAGGTATGCTGCAGCCGATGATCACCAAAGTCATCCTGCCCATGCAGTGGATTACCGAAATGATCCCAGTGTTTTGTCTACGAGCAAGTGGGTAACGTCGCACGATGGACGGTCAACAGATGATGTTGGTATCCAGACAGCAGAAATTAGTGAGGATATTTCGACGACAGACGTCAATGATCGCGGTAGAGGTCGTACGGTGGAAACGCAACAGGGAGGTCTTGCTGTTCTTCGTTCATCTTGGGAGTTACTGAATGCAGGCAGATCTTGAGGCTGTAAGCACAGAACATAGCGTTGGCAACGTTTTTGCGCCTTGTAGCGAGCTTTAGTACATGATGATTATGATCATTTTACGTTTTTGGCAACCCTGGAGTCAAAGCAAAACAAGTAGAGTGCTTCTCGCTTCGATAGCTCAACTACTACTTTGAAGACAGATGCTTTTCTCCCTCACCTTCCCCTTTTGAGACCACTCACATGATGCCCAACTCGCCAAACGCAGCAATGACATCCTTGTCAACGTTAACCAGCCACTCGTTCTGGAAAGTCTCCTGTCCACCAGCAGCCTGAATTGCGATCTGCAGGTAATGCTTGATCCACTGTGTAGTCCTCACATTGTGCACGGGATCAGCAAATGTCAATTCTCTTCGTCTTTCATCCTCGGGAGCTTCAAGGACGCCGGCCTCGGTTGTCCTCAGTTGATCAGCGTTCTCGTAGACCAAGGTGTCAGAGTGCACTGCGCCGCCCTCTTCGCGAATCTCGGTTACCATGTCTGTCCAGAGTGTCATTAGGGATTGGAGGGAGCCAAGAATGAATGGCTGAGAAGTAGAGAGCAGCTTTGTCAGGGCGAGACACATGAGCTTGCGACGAGAGGGGTCGCCAATGTTCTCAAAGTGGCTGAACCATTCTTCAAGCAGCCACTTCATCGAGTCGGGGAGAGAAGGCTGGTTAGTGGTGTCGCTAAGCGGAATGGGTGGTGCGGCTGCCTGCACTGCCTGCAAGAATATATTCTCTGATCCCATTGCTAGACGTGCAAGGACAGAGAAGTAGTCCGTCTCGACGATGCCGTCGACGGGTGGGTCTTTNGCTAGCGGGCCGGTGGTGCAGTGGGCGACCCAGCTACCGTGCAGACCTCGGAGCTGTTTGCGAAGGAAGTCGGACTCGATGAGGTCGCCTGCAATGGTACCGATGGCAGATTCACCTCCAATGCGCTCTGCTGACCTGATGATGAGCTCGACGAGGTTGTTCACAGTACCACTAGCATCAGCCTTGACGTAGCCAACAAGGTTAGATAGGGATGCCATGAGCGGCTTGCGCATCTCGTCTGAGAGCATCTCGGACGGAGCAAGTAGGAAATATGATGAGGCGATGTCGAGAGCCGTACGGAGGTTTTCAGATCCAAGCTCAAAGATCGAGAAGAGGTATGGCGCTAGTTGCAGCAGCTCAGGCGATGCTGGGGCAGGCGTCTGGATCAGGATGTTCGCCCAGAGATCCAAGGCGTCGTCGAGCAAGTAGACTTGTGTATCTGATCCGGGTTCAACTGCACCTCTGATGATGGGTAACACAAGATGATGGAAGGGTACAGAAGCAGCCTTCATAGAGGTGACGAGACGGGAGAGAATAGTCAGAATTGCTTGCTTCATGAGATGCTCATCTCCAGACTGTTCCCACAGATTGGGCAGAATGCTGATAATCGTTTCTGCGTAAGGCGCAATNCTACCAATCGTTAGTCTCAAAGTCACCATTCATGTATGAATCACACTTACATGGTGTTCCAATCGCTCAACCAGAACACTAATCGTGTTGAGCAACGCCATCTTCGTCTCCATGTTTTCAACCTCTTCGATGAGACTCAACAACTGTGACATCGTCGTCTGAACATGAGGCAAGAACTGCTCTGGACTGAACTCCCAATCATCCACTATGTGCTTGAGCTGTCGTCCGGCGGTTATTCTGACAACCTGATCATTGCAGGAGTCACTTGGGTCGAGCAGATGCTGGAAGATTTGGTAAACCAGGGGTCTCTTTTCTGCGGAGACCTTGACGGTAATCCATTGACCCAAGAGAATTGCAATACGGCGACGCAGAATGTTGAAACCAGGCTTTTGTTTTTGCACTTCGACAACGATTGTGTTAGACAAGAAAGAATCGAAATCGAGATGCTGTTGCAGGATTGCAGCAGCCAAGCCAATTGCTGTGTATACCGAGTCCTTGAAAAGGATATCCTCGTTATCCGGCGCTNNACGACATGTCAGTAAGATATGCTCTTTGGAGTCTCTGATGGCGTATGACACGCTTGACGACATACCTGCAACAGTGTAGAAAACATTGAGTAGCGGTTGCGTCAACAAGTCTCTGAAGTTGAGAGCAAGGTCCAAGAACAACTTCTCAGCGCAAGGTCGAACGCTATACTCCCATCCTTCGCTCTCGCCCTCCAAACTCTGCTCCCACTCTTCCGGGTCTTCTTCCCATACCTGAAGCTCGCCTTGTCGGAAGACGAAGAACTTAGTGATAACGACTTCCATGACTTCAGTCACAAAAGCATCTGTTAAGAGGTGCTCCTTGACAGCAGCAATTGCTTCTGTCTTCTCAACCTTGTCCTGCGGATGCTTGTACTTGAAGGATTGAACGGGGTTGAACACCATCTTGATACAGGCACGCACAATTTTGAGACCAGAGAGGGAGACCTTCTCCTGGAACGGCTTCTGCTCGCTGTCACCTCCACTGGACACACCAGCGGTCAAACTAGAGCCAAAAGTCTCTCCAAACTGCTTAATGAGGGCCCAATATGAACGAACAAGGTCAAGAGAGTTTGGCAAAAGCACAAAAGCCGCAGGATGGGCCTTGGCCATCTCCAGGTGCAACTTCGACAACTGAAGCAGATGCTTTTCCAACAAAACTCCGAGCTCTTCGGGAAGTGTGGCTGCTTTTGCGGAGATGAGATTCATGGAAGCGCCCACTTGGGCGTAGGTAAGCTGCCAAAACTGATGCACGTCCGACTCCCGGTTCGGAAATTCATAGCCAGCAACGAGTAATCTGCGCAGAGTTTTGATCGCTAACAGACTGGACTGCATTGATTGTTGCAGTCTTTGATCACCAATACTGCTGATGGGAGCCTCCTGCCAGGTTTGGGGCAACAGACCGGATTGCCTTGTCTGTTGCAATGCTTCTTGGTCGCCATTCCTACTGCCGAGAGTCTCCTGCCAAGACTGTACTTTCTCGAGATAGATCTGTCCGAGCACTTGTACAATCTCGGGAGTGGCAGCCTGTAAAGCGACTCTAGACCTTTGGAGGCGAGCAGCGGAGAGTTCCTTGGTGATGTGAAGGAGGATAAGCAATGTACGAGGAAGGTGGATGGGGTTAGAATTTGAGTCTATCGATCTTCGTAGTACACTTATCAGTGTGCTAATGACGTCTGGCNNCTGTACAGAATCAGCATTGAATATTAGAAGGCTGGAGAATGGTCCTTACCAATCGTGCGGATATTCGAATCGAGAGACCTTTGCCACGACGAGTGCGTTTTGGAGAGCTAAACGGTGATCGTGTTCTTCGATACCACTTTCGAGAAGGCGAGATCTAATGGCTGCTCTGTCTTCTGCCGAGACGGCACTNGGGAGAATATCAGTATGTGTACGAAGGGAACCAAACCAGGAACAGTCCAAGTTCTTGGCATGCAGAAGTAGAAGCGACAAAGCATAGGAAGGCACCACTCACTTTGCAGCGGTCTTTCGCCAGTACTTTTCAATGCCATTCTTGAGTTGAATGATGGCGAGATATCTGACTTCGAATGGTAACGATTTATCGATGAATACAGTTTGCAAGTGCTTGTAGAATCCGGCACTTTTCTCCCATCGTTCAAGTTGTTTGGCGCCTGATTGAACTTGCTGAGGGTCTGATGATGCTGCAGACCTTAATACGTTGAGTAAGGTATGCTCGGTTAAGGGNTTAGCTTCACCCGGCACCTCGATGGCAAAGTTCTGCATCGTGGTGCTGTTGATGGGTGAAGATTGAACGTCGGTGGGTTATCTTCTGTTCGAAGTCTGGGCGTCGATAGATTGTTGACTACGCTGAAATATGATGCAGATTGAAAGATCGAGTCAAATGTGTTTTCGTTCTAGGATGCTGTTTGCTCACGTCGGATGTGTTGGAGGGGCCAAGACTTTCCGCAAGACTGTTCCATGGTCAATGCGCCATTCATGAAAAGACATTGACTTCCATCTGAGAGGTCAACAACACCAAGAATTCATACTATTCATGTTCATCATGTGTTGTATATCTAAAACACCTCTACGAATATCATATTCTCTGTTTATTGAGAAAGGTTGGACCAGTGTGAGATACGCTACATGTGTTCCAGTTACACATGCTGGGAGACACTAACGTCCACTTCAACTTGTGATCGATGGCGGCAGATCACGAAGCAACTTTACACTTCCAGCGTCTTCTCATGCTCCAGAACCTCTGGCATGTCAACACTTCCTGGACTAAGCTTACTCCAATCCTCCTCGTAGCCATTTTCGATATGAGGCCACGGGCCCAATGGTGTGATTGCCTTGGGATTCACATCATAGTGGCTTTTGGTGTACTATGGTATCTGATCAGTATATGTCTCAAGTCAAGATATCGAGTGACTGACATTCTCCTTGATGTGCTTGAAATCTGTGGTGTTTCTAAACTCCTCATGATTCCAGTACATGCCTTTGAGCCAGTTATTCAAGACTGGGTAGTCATGGCGTATTGTACCGAGATTGCATTTCTACTGAGTGTCAGACTTTTTAATACCTTCGAGATAAACACTACTTACGAAGTGCTGCACATAGACAGTATCGAAACGAATCAGAGTGGCGTAAAGGCGGATATCCAGCTCGGTCATTTCTTTACCGAGGACGTAAGGACCCTTGCCATCGTGAAGCAGTTTCTCGAGTCTGTTGAGAGCCCCAAACACTGGTGGAATATTCTTGTCGTAGGTTTCTTGGTCAGGCGCAAATCCAGCCTTGTATACACCAGTATTCAGATCTGATTGCATCCACTCGGCTATCCTGTCAATCCTCTGGCGTAGGTGTTCAGGGTATAGAGTCAGCTTTGCCTTCTCGAGCGAGGTCAGATCATTGAACGCAGTCTGAAGCCAGCGCAGAAGCTCTGCTGATTCCTGGTTCAGTTGTCAGTACGTTGCTGGACAGAGTGTAGTTCTAGATCATACATTGTTGACTACGGTATTCGTCTTCTTGTCCCACAGAAGAGGTACCGAGAAGCGACCCTTGTAGTCTTTGTCGGCCTTGAAGTAAACCCCGTGCAGATACTTGGATCCAAACAGCTTGTCTACAGTAGCATTGGGGTATTCATCGTTCGACTCAGGGAACTGCCAGCCAGGCCAACCCTTGTCATTGCCTTTAGGGTAAGGCTTGACGATACTGACATCAATGACATCCTGCAGATCTTTGAGGTGACGCAGTAGGTTTGCACGATGTGCGAACGGACAGAACAGACCGATATACAGGTGATAGCGTCCCTTCTCTGGCTGGAATGGATTATCGGACGACTTGTCAATCACGCCGTGCCAGCTGTCGTCTGGTCCAGCATGAACGGACTTGGGTGTCTGTGTGGCCATGGTTCGAACAGTGGACTGAGGTAATATGTTTGAGATGGCGTATAGTCGTCCTATGGGATTTAGCATAGACTCAGGTAAGATGTATACAAGGATGGCAATGGACGTGAACAAGAGAAGTGATCTGAGGTGGGTCAGCATGATATAGCATGGGTACGCAGATGAATGTGGATACCTGATTGAAGGTGGCAGGAACGATGCAAATCAGCACTTCAAGTAATCTGTTCTGCAAGGACGATTTGTAACAAGATGTTCTTCTAAGGACGATTTCTAATGAACGATGGTTGCGATTGTATGACGTGGGGTGGAAGAGCGGAAAGTCGCCGCGGCCCATCGAGATCACGAATGAAATATCTCAAGCTCAATGGATCACTTGCAAACAAAGACGCGTTGACATTCTTCATGGCAGGAACGTTCTGAAAATTAAAGAAATCACTTTTCTCATCTAGATAGATATTCTATGCGTACAGAGATGCGCAATTATTGCGTCTTCTTGGCCTTGGACTCATCAGGCTTGCTGTAGAGCCAGACAGCGACAAAGATCAGCCAGCCAGTGGCCGTGACACCGATACCAGCAATCCAGGGGTAAGCGCCGCTGATGACGAAACTGCGCGGCCACTCATCGTGAGCAAAGTGGCGGACAGTGACGGTGCGCTTCTCGTAGACATTGCTGAGGAAAGGACGCTTGTAGTTGACGATGAAGTTGAAGATACCATGCTGGTCAGGTACAGTGAAGCTGGCCTCGAAGATGGTGCTGTTGGTAGTTGGCGAGACGGGGTCCAAGGTCACACGGTGGAAGGGAGACAGCATACTGAACTCGAGCTGAAGAGAGTCTCCAGCAGCAGGAAGGAACGGAATCCAGCGGTCACCGTTGTACTCTGACAGTTCAATCGAGAAGTGCTGAATGGCTGTTAGCAAAGAGAGTGTATATGTCCAGAACAATACACTTACAACATCATTCTTGATTCTGTACATGATAGGGTTGATCTCGGGGCGCTCAGAAACAGTCAAGTTGGTGGACTCCTTGACCTTGCCCTCGTTGAGGTAGTGCTGAACCTTGCCAACCTTGAGCACACCAATCTCCTGGAAAGTCCAGGCCGATAGACGTTCGGCAAAGGCCTTGTTGGCAGTGCCGGTGGTCTCGGGAGCGCGAGGAGCCTTGACCTGGGCGTCGAACCAGGCATCTTGCAACATTTCGGCGGAACCGAGAACGGTGAAGCGGGCCGAGTTTCTGGCCTGGAAGGTAGAGATGAGCGACAGCTGAGAGCCAGAAGCAAAGACATCCTCGAGGGCCTCTTCCTCCTTGGGGTTGTACGAGTATGCGGTCTCGGGAGCACGCAAGACAGGGGCAAGCAGGGGGCTGGCGTTGCCCAAAAGCTGACCGACGGCGCGAGGGACAGCAAGGGTTCCGTCAACGTCAAAGTAGTTCTTGACACCAGGTTTCAGGGTCTTGGGAGCGGGAATGAGCAGAACATCGTGCTTGTCGGCAGCCGAGTTGGTGTCGTAGTTGATGTGGTCGACAACAAGGGCACTGCGCTCCGGAGGGAGGGTGACATCGAACTCGAGAAGGAGAGAGGCAACAGCAGCAGGGATGGGTTGATCGGCGGTAAGAGCGAGCAGAACGTTGCCGTTGTTGTTGACGTAGTCGACGAGGATGTTGGGGGTCAGCTGGGGACCGAAGCCCTTTGATTTGGGAGGCAGGAGGACGAGATGGTCGTATGCGAGGTTGCCGTGCTTGAACAGCGAGAGGCTCTTGGATTTTGGTGACTCGTATGTAACGCTGTAACCGCGGNNGCTGGTTTCGTCTCAATCAGTACAACTCTTCGTTGATACAAGCAGACACAACTCACATTCAAGATCGCCAAAGAAGGACGAGTACTTGGACTTGTCCGAGGCTTCCTCGAGAACTACCAGCAGACGGTTGCCGGTAGAACTCAATGCCTGGACCAAACTGACGAGGCCCAGCAGTAGCAAAGACAAAAAGGCCTTCATGTTTGCTATGTCTCGATTGAACAGAGAAAGAGCAGACACACACTTGGGCAAGCACGTACGAAGCTCCAGCTGTCCTCCATAAACGCGCAATGCGATGCGGAGAGCTGCCAGCGCCAAGCCCGTCCGCAAGTCGCGCCCTGACCACCTCCGCCGCCGACCAGCGAAGCATTGGAAGCAATTGACGACGACTTGTATACCGGTACATCCACATCTCACACACACAATGGCTCCCGTACAATTCTGGTCGACCCCTGGTCTCTACATCAAGTGGGCTGCCCGCAACAAGCCCGCCATCTTCTGGTCCATTGTCGTCGGCAGCGTCGGTCCCGTCATGGCCCTCGTCGTCCCTCCCGTGCGCGCTCGTTTCGGTGACGGTCCTCGTCCTCAGATTCCTTTGACCTACNCCGAGTGAGCCACGACCAGCTTCCACGGCTGAAGCCAGCACATGTTTATCTGTGCGCCGAGCACTCCAGCTAACACATCACCCACAGTACCCAATGGCCCTCGCAACATTCCCTCCGGCTACGAAGACTAAGCTCGTCACAATCTCATCTTATATCCAACCTCTCAATCACCCGCCATTCCGTCTCCGATACATGTATGTACACAGCCGCTACAAGAGCAACTCCCCGCTGTTACTACACAACCCCCGCCATCAAGAAGAAGCCGACACAAGGAAACATCTCGACCGGAGTCTTGGGGATAACCAATCGGCTTCTTCTCTTTCCCAGGAATTTGTCCTTTTACGAATGCCAAAATACACCAGCCAAAGGCTATCTTCTACTGTTATCTCGTGTGCCAAAGCCTTCTATGTGCCGGACTTGTTACCTTTTGCACTTTACAACACTGATCGTCCGACGGTAGCAGCAAACGCGTGAGATGAAGGGCAGAAAAGTCCGAATTAACGAAAGTGGTTGTTTATGGTAGTGATGCTGGCTGTAAGATATGCTGGGGGTCGATGTATGCAATCTCTGGGGGCCCTCCAAGTTCTCTTCTGCAGGCACGTCTCTGTGTCGCAAGCATTGTAAGTCTCCCCTCCATCTAGAGTCCCAATTTCTTCGATTTGTCGTCATCCCGTTCTGTCCATTTGTCTTCTTTTCCAGGGTGCTCAATTTGTCATTTCCTTCCAAGTCATCATTTCGTTGGCCTCTGGGGAACCATTCAACCGGCGCGTAAGCATTCGAAAAGTTCAGACCTCTTCGCCCTCGGCGTCTTCTTCGTCGTCGTAGTAGCCAAGATCTTCCTCCTGGAAGGGCTCAACAGCGCGCTTCTTTCCCTTGCCTTTGCCGACTAACTCGACAAAGGGATCGGCCTCATCAAAGGCCTCTTCAGCGCGTCTCTTGCCCTTGGCCTTTTCAGAGACTGGCTGGGCGCCGTACAACTCTACAGCTCCCTGCTTAGTATCTTGTTCAGCTCCTTCCTCGGCATCCTGCTCAGACCCTTCTTCGGGCTCTTGGTCGACTTCGGGGTCCCAGAGGTAGTCGGCACCACCGACGACGGTGCAGGTCAGCCACTTGACAGGCGACTTGACGATGTCCAACTGGCTCTCATTGTTCATCAATGGAGCAACGACCTTGGTGACACCAGCCTTGATGATGTCGATGTTGTGCTGAAGGACTTTCTGGCCCTTGCCGCTCATGGGAAAGTGCTGGTGAAAGCCACTCTGGATGTCGCGACCTAGGTAGTTCTGGCCGCCGTTAAACAGGCGAAGGTACATGTCATGGCCGCCGTACTTGTTGTTGTGAGTAGCNTCCCTATCACAGAGTCAGCAAGATGATGTCGAAAGATTCAAGGTTGTGATGCTCACGCTGGCCATCATCTGGCCCCACCAGTGACGGTAGCAAGCCACACCGACCCAGGTGAAGACGTCCTTGGCATAGTCGAGTCTGCCAATAGGGTCAGTCTTGGCCTGGCCGGTGACAGAAGTCTTGGTAATGCCAGGAGGATAGTGGCTGCTGACAGCCTTCTCAATGTTCTGGCAAAACTGCTTCAGCTCGGCGTGCTTGCGCTCAAGCAGATCGCGGAGGTTGGGTGGGAGCTGGTCGAGAATGTTGCGAGCTCTGGGGTACTTGTTGACGAAAGCCTCGTCAGGGGGTGTGAGGACCAGAGCGTTGTACTTGCCAGTGAGGTGGATGAGTGCCTCCTTGAAGAGCACCTTTGACTGGATGCGGAAAGTGACATCGATCCAGACGATGGGGCTGGCAGAGATGGCCCTGAAGATGTCTTGACCCTTGGCAAGCAAGCTGCTCTCGATTATCTTAGCGACCATGGACACCTACAACCACAGTCAGCATGATNNATCCAAGCATGGCAGCAGGATACTTACAGAGCCGGCTCTCTCAGCAACTTCGACCAGACCCATGGCATCAGGAAGCAAGGTGTCAATGGTCTTGTCGTCAAAAGAAATGGGCTGGTTGGCAAAGATACGCAGCAGTCTCTCATAGTCGGAGAAGAGTGAGGCACGAATATGAGGGTTCTGGTCGCTTTCGTGCATGGTTGCGTATGTCTGTGAAGGACGTCCATTGCTGTCGACAGGGACACGTCTGAAGACAGGCTTGCTGAGTTTATTAGTGGTCTTCTCGTCAAAGTCCTGCAGAACGATCAAGTAGCGGATACCGACGCGGAGGCCCTCGCGGCTGAGGAGAGGTCCAGGGGCACTCAGCAGATCGGCGAAGCAGGCGCTGGCCAGGCTGAGCTGGGTAGAGTGCATCTTGTATCTGCTCTCGTTCGACACCAGGATGATGGTGTCGGCTCCGGGCACGTTAACCTTGAAAGAAATCTTAGTGGTCGCGTAAGATCGTTAGGTTGGACTGATACGTGAGATCGCTGCGTAGGGTGAAGCGTAAGATCGTCACGTAGGATCAATACGTAAGCCTACGGAGGGTGAAGCGTAAGCCAGCGGGAGACTAAGGTCGAAAGTCGTAGGAGCAGATGTGAAAGTCGAAGATTGGAAGTCGTGGTCGCAAACCAGAAGTCGAGATTCGGAGGCATCAAGTCAAAGATCGCGAGCCGTAAGCACCGAACCAAACCTACGGGACGAGTAGTGAGACGAGAGAATCATATAGGTACGCGTAGTGAAGATGCCTACGGAGCGGGTGGTGAAAGGGCACACGGTGAAGCGACTCGTAGGGTACGCCAGGCTGTTTATGTCAACAAAAGCACGCGCTGGGACCGTACACACGTACGCATGTACCTCGAACCAACACAAGAGCTTTTGAAAGCGTTTCGCCGTAGAATCGCTGATTCCTGGATACGACCAAACAATCCTTACGTGCTGTAATCGTGCTGACACAGTTACAAGTCATACGGCGCTGTGACTTCTTATATCTACAGCTCTCAAGCCTACGAGTGACACATGCGAACAACTCAGACTCTTCGAAGTCCATGAGCAGACCTACAAGCAGACTTACAAACAGACTTACAAGCAGACCTACGAGCATCTATAGACCGAGGAACAAGTGAATCCAGCATGATTCCAGGTAGGATCTTCACTGCTATAGGAAAATGATGGATATGAGCACTCTCGAGTGTTGGTGCTATCTTGCATGGCGCTGTAGAGACAGAACACTCTAAAGAAGAGCAGGCGATCGCACCGAGAGGCATCATCTCGTGAGCTCTCTCTGGGCCTACCTCAATGCTTGAATCCGCCTGTGCACTTCTATGGCTCTGATTTCGCACCTGGGCGTGCCCGGAGCAATGCTGCTTGTCGGCTCTCTGCAGTATTCCGCGGGCTGTTTCTGACTGTAAACATACACAATAGCTTTGAGAAGATGAACAGCATCCACTGGGAGCAATCGTATCGCCAACTCTCACTGGACACTGCTCTGACTTCGATACAATCCTGCATTTCTATGCATTTCTATAGGAAATTATGATAGTTCATGTCGGATCGAGAGAGAGGAGAGCTAACAGCCTACCTGGCTCTCCTTGGAAAACGTCTCAAGTTTCACCACCATCGTGTTATTTTATAGGTGTGAAAGTCGGATTGCTTCGCTGTGAGATAGGGCGTAGACGTCGGTATCCAGAACCTAGCAGATGATGCTCTTGCGGCTGAGCGGCGTTTGTAGGGCAAGGAAGAATTATCTCTGTATTCTCATCCAGCCGCATGAATCATCTTGTATCATTCAACCAAAATTGCAAGACCAGAAGCGCGTGCGGTAGGCATTGTCGCGAGGATGAAAAGCGACGTGACCGACCGCGGAGCGACTAGCACCAACAAGGCAGCTCGCCTTTGTTTCTCCCAGCCGTGAGTGCTTATGAAGCAAACGCAGGTATCTATCGAACGCAACATCAAGCTGAGTCTGCAGCCAAGAACTTCTTCGAGACAGCTATGATCGATGTGCAGCCGGTCGGTAAAGAAACCGCATGCTTGTCTGGATTTCAGCCCTTTTCTCTACATCGCAAGCACGTGGGTTTATCAATGGCCGAACGATAAGCAAAGAGGCGATCCCCGTCATATAGCACCGCGCCTGCATATTGTGAGTCTGTGCAAGCAAGATGGCAAAAGCATGTTGAGAGCCGCATCTTTGTGTTAAAAAGGTCGATAGGAGCCATATTCGTAGGTAGGTAGCATCAAGCAGTCGGCTCCTTCTCTTTGTGCTGACCGGTAGAACAATCACGCGTTTCTTTTTCTGAAAAGCATCTCGACAGTCGTTGCCTCTTCATCTCGCAAATCTACTAGTTCAACTCCATATCATTCATTGACCATTCGACATGCGCGTCAGAAACAGTGTTTGGGCTTCTGTCCTGCTGGCTCTGAGCACTCCGGCCTTAGCCTGTGAGAGCTGTGAGCACCCAGAGCAAGATGTTGTCATGACGAGAAATGTACGACGCATGCAGCCAGATGCCCAGAATGCTACAGTCGGTCCTCGCGGACCATTGGCCTGGGGTCAGCTCAACTTTTTGCACACCACTGACACCCACGGCTGGCTCGAGGGACACATTAGAGAGCAAAACTATGGTGCAGACTGGGGCGACTATGTGTCGTTCGTCAAGCAGATGAGACAGAAGGCAAGGGATCTGGACGTCGATCTTCTAGTGGTCGACACTGGTGTAAGTTACCACAAAGAGTTATTGTTGAATCATGCTCATCATCACCAGGACCTTCACGATGGTGCAGGCCTCAGCGACGCTACTGGAGTTGCTACCTACGGTGGTGTCAACGGACAACTGTCGAACCCGATCTTTGAGCAACTTGACTACGACTTGCTAACCATCGGAAACCACGAGCTTTACGTTTCTGCAATCGCTTATGAGACCTTCAACCAGTTCGCCAAAGCATATGGTGAGAAATACTTGACCAGTAACGTTCAAGTTAGGAACCCAAGCACTGGCGGGCTCGAGTACATTGGCAAGAAGTACAGGTACTTCAAGACTCAGAAGGGCCTCAGAGTCATGGCCTTTGGTGTGCTATTCGACTTCACTGGTAACTCGAATGCTTCAGTCGTTACCAAAGCTGCCGATATGGTCAAGGAGTCTTGGTTCACTAACGCAGTCAACCACAAGAATGTCGATGCCTTTGTGTTGATCGGTCACAACCCTGTCGGCCTCAAGAGCAGCACTAACACTCTGCAAACTGTCTACAAGGCTATTCGTGCCATCAAGCCCGACACACCTATCCAGATGTTCGGTGGCCACACTCACATTCGCGACTTTGCAGTCTACGATGACAAGTCTGTCGGTATTGAGAGTGGAAGATACTGCGAGACTCTGGGCTGGTTGGCTGTCAGCGGCATCAATCCCCACAGCAAGGCAAATCCTAAGGGAGTCCCTAATCCAACGATGAAGGCAAAGAAGAATGGCACCGCTTCGGCTTCTGCTAGCCTCGCTTCTTCCACCAGTGCTTCGAACTTGACCTTCTTCCGTCGCTACCTGGACTGGAACCGCATGACTTTCGAGTACCACGCCGAAGGTAGCCAGGCCAAAGCATTCGACACCACCAAAGGTCTTGCTGTGACCAAGAACATCACTGCCACTCGCAAGGAGTTGAACTTGACTAGCATCTACGGCTGCGCTCCCCAGACTTGGTGTCTCAACTGTGCGCCTTTCAAGTCTGAAGGCTCTATCTACTCACTCCTGGACAGAGCACTCTCCGCCACCATTGTCACCGAGCAACGCGCTGACAAGCCTCGTCTTATCATCACTAACACTGGTCACATCAGATTTGATCTCGCCGAGGGAACTTTCGACTATGACTCAAGCTTCATCGTCTCACCATTCACCGACGCCTTCCAATACCTCCCTGACGTTCCTTACCACCTTGCTAGCCAAGTCCTCTCCGCGCTGGAAAGTGGCAACTACCCATCGAAGCGCGATCTATCTTCTCAAGACTTCGGCTTCACTCAAATGAACCCCTCGCTCGACAGCTGTATCGATCCTCCCGTGACTCACGACCACCTCATCACCAAGCGCTCATACCCAGGTGGCCGCATCATCAGACGTCAGACCACCACCACGCCTGGATACACCACCTCCGACGACTTTGGTACTGATGGAGATGATACCATTCACTCCAAGATCCCTTACTACTCCACCCCCAACTTCTTCCAAGCCAACGGCAGTCTCCCTGCCAATGGAACTCTAGCCGCAGATGCTGTTGTCGATCTGATCTTCTTGGACTACGTTGCTGCCAGTGTCGTCAAAGCCTTGAATGGACTAGGTGGAAGCTATACCAATGACCAGGTCACCTACTATTTGCCCAAGGTAAGAAACCCTCGCATGTTGTCCTTGGAGGAAGGCATCAGAAAAGCTAACTGAAATTTAAACAGANACTTCACCACCAACTCGTACTTGCCCAAGTACGCACAGATGACTGCAGAGTGGCAAGCCAATGTTCCCAACTGCCCAATTGGTATGGGCATCGGTTACAACATTACCTCGTAGATTGTGCAGATTTGGTGTGGATCATATTTAGAAGAGGAAAAAGTCAGGAGGAAACGACCTTTTTGGACAACTTTGGAAATCTTTTGGTATAGAAGGGTCGTGTTCTAGACATTTACATTGGAAGAACCTGTAAGTAATACTGTGGTTAGTACATTCGTGTGAGACACAAATCATTTGCTATCCATCTGAGAATCTCGATTGCTTCATGTCGCACTGCTCGGGGGATGACCCTGGCATGAATGAGAACTCGAACCTGTTTGACAATCGAAAGATATCGATGCCCAATTTCTCGTCATGGAATACGTTCTTACAACTGCTCTGTCTAGAGAGAACGTCAGCTGCCGTTTATTCATTGATTGTGACCCTCTGTCAACAAATACAATGATCGAGTCCGGCTTTATCGTGATCCGAGCACCAATGTCGCGCAACAAGGGTGTAGATTTATTGAACATTACACATGAAGAGCGAGCAGAGACGATGCAAACAATGAGAACACAATAACCTGACTGTTTTCTTTTCATGTATAAACAAGAATGCTGTGCCTGCTTTTTCTGTCCTCTTGTGACGCGATTGTCTCTCATAACCAAAAACCGAGAAAACAACAAAAGAATCGAACCAACCTTCTTAGATGACCAGACAATCAATGGTTGGGCGAATGTTTCAGAGGTACTCCTAATCCTCGGTCAAATCACCATACTCCCACTGACCGCGTCTATCACCCTTGGCCTCGTTCTCGCGGGCCTGGAGATCAGCAATCACGTCTCCGGCAGCCCTCTCCCAAGCCTTGAGCTTCTTGGGCACCATGGCGAGACCTTCGGAGATGATATCGGCATTGACGCTCTCGTTCAGGCTGTCGCTCTGCTTAGGATCAAACAGCGTGACGTGCAGTGTGCCCTCGCGAGGGTCAACGTAATCGACATTGGCAACCAATTGGCGGTCGGCAGTCGAGTCGCTGATGATGTTGACGGCTTCGCGGAGGTATTCGGGGGCGGTGGGGAATTGGAGGAAGGAGAAGACGGCGTCGAGGGCTTGGGCGCGCAGCTTTTGCACGCCGAAACGGGTGGGGTCGAGAGTGCGCAGGCGCGACCACGGGATCGTTTCGCTGTTGCCGTAGTCGATGTAGACGACCTCGGATGTCTTGTTTTCGCGGTCGTTGCGGCGGATGCGGGCGCGGTACCATTCGTTGTCTTCGCTGAATCTTGCAGACACAAAGTCGCCGGCCTTGGGCGCTTGGTCGAGGGGCTTGTTGGCAGAAGAGGAGATGTGGAAAGAGCGGAACGAGTTCATGAGGTCGGTCACNTGGGCAAAAGATTAGCGCACATCTCATTGACTGACGAAAGATCAGGACTTACGAGCTGCTGTGCCAGTTCCAATCTCCTGGATCTTGATGCGTGCGTTGGTCGAGTCAATGTTAGTTACGACGACATCGCGGTAGTCCTTGCGACGCTCGACAGGAGCATCGCCGTTGTTGAGGCCGGCAGCACCAGCAGAAGCGTCGTACTCCTCGCCCTCCTCAGCGACCTCCTTCGAGGGGTCCCAGTCGTGCCACATGCCGCGTCTAGCCTCCTTTGCCCTTTGCTCGGCAGCGAAGAGCTCGTTTGCATTGCCAGACTTCTCTGCACTATAGGCGTGGACCGAAGCAAGACCCTCCTCGACGAGCAGCTTAGCGAAGCTCTCACGGTTGATGTAAAGCTGACCAATGAAGCCTCCAACCTTGTCAGTGCCTTCAACGTCGATCTCGACATCGCGCTGCTGACATCTGCGGTTTGCAAATTCGTGTGCCTCTTGACCAAANGGTTCGCCCTTCTCGCTGGGGTTGCGAGCTGAGCGAGGAGCACTGATACCAGACAGGACGAAGGTCAACTTGGCGTTCTCACGAGGAACCAAGACGGTGAATCTACTTCCACTCTTGACGAAGTCAACGACAGCAGGAACCTTTCTTTGGCGAGACAAGAGAGTGAGCTGACGCTTGGCCTGATCAACGGAAGCGCTGTAATCGACATATTCGGTCTTCTTGGGAGGCTTGGGGTTCCACATGCCCTTGCCAGCACTCTGTGCAGCCTCCTCAGCGGCAAGAAGATCATCGTAGATAGGCGAACGGTCGGTGTCGTCCATGCGATGTCTGATGACCGAGGCGTATCCCTGCTCAACGAGCATCAGACCCACGTTCTCGTCATTGAGAGTGACAGTGGCCATCTCGCGCTCATCGAAGCCCTCGGTGGCCGGTCGCTTGCCATCGATGGTGACCTTGACGTGCTTTCCGATCAGGCGCTTGCGCAAGAACTCCTTGGCCTCGGCACCGAAGGGTGATTGCTTGGGGTCCGAGGGCTTGGGTTGACGAACACTGCTGAGGTTAACACGCTTCTCAGCTCCAGCCTTGTTACGGAGGAAGAGGGTATCGGCAGAGAAGACGCGGCTGACGGTGGCTTCAATTTGACCTGTGCCGGCTGATCTTTGCGAGACGTGACCCTCGAACAGACCCAGCTTGTTATCCCGGGCATGGCGTTCGGCCTGTCTCAGCTTGGCCATCTCAGAACCAAGCCATGTCGAGTGGTGGTCGGTGCAGCGAGCGAGACCAGCTTTGAGAAGAAATTCGGCGATGCTGCCCATGGGGTGTCTGACTTCTCCGACGAGAAGGTTGTTGGGAGAAACACCAAGGATGCGGACCTGAACTCCACGCTGCAGAAGTCTCTCTTCGACGAAATGGTGTGCTTCAGTACCAAAAGGCTCAGCAGGTTGCTCTGATTGATCCGAAGGGTTGATTCTTCTGGTGGCAGGGGCGCGGACACCGGCAAGCAAAACAATGGTCTGGGTGTGCTTTGTGGGCTGCACCAACAGACGACAGATGAGACGGTCTGCACTGAGGACACGTTCGACAATGGCGTCAATGGGCTGACCCTTGTAAGCCTCGGCGAAGGCCCTCGGATCTGAAAGGTCGTGGACATTGTCGATGCGTTGTTGGTCGGGGTTCCAGAGGCCCTTCTCGTCGACCTTGGCGTGGCTCTCGAGGGCCTGCAATCTCTCGAGCAACTCGGTGCCTTGTGGTGTGTCCTCCTTTTTACCGGCGTCGTCTCTCAGCTTGACGAGACCCTCACGTACAACGAGGTCGAGCAGGTGCTGGCCGCTTTGCAGGATGATGACACCGTAATCGCGAGGTGAAGGCGTGGGAATGTTGTAGAGAACGCTGAAACGGACAACCTTGCCGACGCAGAGCTTGCGGACAAAGTCTCTGGACTCGAAAGCACCAGGCTCGTCGCCCTCTCTGCGTATCCTAGGGGCACTGACAAAAGCCAAGCTCAGAGTGCGTTCTTGAGAAGGATTCTTGATGTTGTGTAGAACGAGCGTGTCGCCAGAGAGCACGCTCTTGACCTTAGCTTCCATAAGAGCCATGATGGGTGGGTGACAATTGGTAGCGAAGATAGAGATGTTCGGTCTGTTAGGGAATTGAATCAGTTGCTGTCCTGGAGGGAGACTGAGTGGCAAGTTGAGAGGGGTGTGTGGACTGTGTGGCCAGGGCTTCGAGGGGTCTCGTGCTCACCAGTGGGGTGATTGCAGCAGCGAAATGCAATCTGGAAGGAAAGTCAATGCCGTGACTCGAGGTCGGTTTTGGCGGAAGAGTAATTGTACAGAACGAAGCAATTGCTCTGGAAACAGGAAGCAGTGTTATACAGAACTTGAAAGGCCCTCAGGGAGGTCGAGAAACATAATAGAACAGCTGGCGATGTGGGGTGAGCTCCGACAACGTCAGTGCGCCGCTAGAGGGTAATTCGTGTGCCCCTTCTTCATCTTTACTGTTCGCTGCGCTTCGATAGCTGCTGTAGAAAATTGTGTGGTTTTGGCGTGAATTGGCCAGGTTGCTTTAAGTAGTCGTGCAGTTCTTTCTCGTCGCCGGCGGCAGAGGAAAGATGTGTTCACGGGGTTTCATATATGGCAAACGTCGTCAAACGCAACATACGCCATGAAGCATCTGCATGGTCAACATGAGCGTATACGCTTTCAGCATGCTCACTCAGACACATATCACTTAGAACGATAAACCAGCAAGATAGCTATAGGTATAGTTTGATTTGGTCATCATCTGTACATTTCAAAGGCACATCTCGAGGATGTCCATTCCAATACTACTACTACTCATTCCTCATCTTCAAGACATTAAAGGTAGGCAGCTTACGAGGCGATACCAATGACACCTATATGTGAGATCAGTACCAATTTTTGACGCGGCGAATGTGGAGTGTGAATAGAACTTACCGCAAGCAGGGCGAGGGCCAGCGTTGCCAGTCTTCTTGCTCTCCTCGTGGCCACCCTTGCCAAGGTCATCAGTACCAGCGTGGACGACGATGGTGCGGCCGAGAACGCTCTCGGGACCGATCAGCTTGATGAGCTTGTCGCTGACGGAGCCCTTGGCGTTGCCCTGGCCGTCGGTCTTGAAGTTGCCCAGGTCACCGACGTGGCGCTCCTCGTCCTCGGGGGCACCATGGGTCTTGCCGTGAGGGTTGACTGCCGGTATATGAGTATTTGTATATTCCTAGTACCGATATGTCGAGCAAGGTTACTCACAGTGAGGGCCGGCGGAGGTGCAGCCGTTGGTGTTGTCGCCGAAGGCGTGGACGTGCATACCACGCTCAGCGTTGGCATCGTGGCCGGTGATGTCCCATGAGATGGTGGTCTCGGCACCCTCAGAGGCCTGCTCGAAGGTAACGGTACCGGAGACCTTGGAGTCTCCACGAAGGACGGCAACTGCGAATTGTGTCGTTAGCTTCCACTGGTTGTTGCTTCTCTAGGGATACACAAGGAGTCCCGAGTCCCGATCTGTCGAGTCTGTTGGCCACCAAAAGCTTGCGGCAGCAGATGCACAAGTCCTGAAAGGATGTCCCACGGCCTCCTTCGACGCCATTGGATAACCGTTGGTTCCCAGGCCACCTTGGTGGACAGGATGTGCGTGGAACCTGCTCTTGCTCTTTGCCTGACCCCACTTTTGCTTCTCCTAGCTCGAAACAGACCCGCTATTGGACGGAACTCCTGTCGTGTGTTTGGACGTACCTGCTTTGACCATTTTGATTGATTTGGACTGTTTTTTTGGCTTTGTCTAGGACTTGAGATTGGAGGTCGAAGAGAGGCGGAGTTGGGATTGAAGGTCAAGGGAAACAGCCCCGCTTTGCGGGTCTCGTCACCACAACCTAAGCTCCTTCGCACTTTGCGGCTCCTAAGTCCGGAAGCTGCTTCGTCAGGCTTCGCTCGGCTTCTGCTTGGAAGGGACCTGGTGCACGTCGACGTCAGCCAAACAAAACAAATGAAATTTCACCATCTTTGGTTGAGCGCAACCAACAAGCCATATTGTGTGCAAATCACAAGACGAGGGATCATCAAATTAATAAGAACGACAACAGGGGTATTTTATTTTTTGTTGTACGTGAAAAAGAAAAAGTCATGTCGCGCCAGTCGTCATATGCACATCGCCTGAACCATCATCAAATTAAAAGATTTAAGCCTTCTGGAGCTTCTCCTTGAGGATATCCTTGAGGGTGACGGCGTCAGCAGCGAACTTGCTGATACCCTCGCTGAGCTTGTGGACGGCCATGGGGTCCTCGTTGAAGTCGAAGCGGAACAGGGGCTCGTCGTTGAGGTACGACTTCTTCTGGATGTCGAGCTTGGTAGCGTCAGAGGCGCTGAGCTTCTGGGGAACCTCGTCCTTGCTGTTGTACATCTCCTCGAGGAGGTTGGGCTGGAAGATGTGTTAGAGAATAATCGAAATGCTCCTGGGAATTCGGTAACTTACCGAGATAGTGAGGTAGTCGCAGCCAGCGAGCTCGGTGATCTCACCAACGTTTCTGAAGGAAGCACCCATGACGATGGTCTTGTAGCCGAACTTCTTGTAGTAGTTGTAGATCTCGACAACGGACTTCACACCAGGGTCCTCCTCCTTCTTGTACTCCTTCTTGTGGTTGGCCTTGTACCAGTCAAGGATACGGCCAACGAAGGGAGAGATAAGGAAAGCACCGGCCTCAGCGGCAGCGATGGCCTGGACAGGCGAGAACATCAAAGTCAAGTTGGTGTTGATGTCGTACTTGGACTGCAGGATGTGGGCAGCCTTGATACCCTCGTAGGTCGAGGCAATCTTAATAAGGATACGGTCCTTCTCGATACCGGCCTCCTTGTAGAGCNNTGTTTCAAGTCAGACAAGTGCTAGCAGAACGATTTGCGCTGTGATATAACTCACCTCGATGATACGGAGGGCCTTCTTGACACTGGCCTCAGTGTCGAAGGAGAATCTGGCGTCGACCTCGGTGGAGACCTTGCCGGGAACGATCTTGAGGATCTCCTTGCCGAACTGGACAAGGAGAGCGTCGAGNACAGCATCAACCTGGTCGTCGATGTTCTTGCCGTCGGCGTGCTCCTTTCCGTAGGTGACAGCGTTGTCAATAAGCTTGGCATACTCGGCCTTCTTAGAGGCTGCCAGGATCAGGGAAGGGTTGGTGGTAGCATCCTGGGGCTTGTACTTGTCAATGGTAGCGAAGTCACCAGAGTCGCAGACGACAACCTTGGAAAAGTGTTAGCACTGCGTCGGCATTTGACCCCTCCAAAGGGGGCATGTGCTGTAGGAACGTACGGTGCCAGTGGCCTTGAGCTGGTCGAGAGAGCTAGACATTGTGGGTTGTGAATGAGGAGAATTGGATTGTGATAGGAGAACAAAGATGTGTGTAGGAAAGAAGATCAAGTTTCAATTGTTGTTGGGAGAAATAAAAGCTCCCAGCGAGCCCCGCGCTTATGTCAATCAACCCAAGTCTCACCAAAAGGCCAGCGAGGGCAAGGGTCCCTAAGCACCCGCCACCGTAGTTCCGTCACTTTCTGCCTTCCGTCTTCGTTCCACTTCTTCCGAGCCCCTTCACGTGGGTAGGCTAAATTCGCCGAGCGCTCCGAAACTTGGGTTTTGCGTCTCGCATCTCCTTGGAGATCGCCCGCCGGGACCGCTTGCCTGACTCACAAAACCGTTGCTGTAGCACGTCTTGCGCGAGCGTTCTTGGAGGCCACTGTAGCGCCGAGCGAGGGGGAGCGATGACCGACATCATCGCACGATGACGAAGGTGCCCATCAACAACACGTCGCAGAGCTCAAGCACTCGCAAATAATTGGACACTTTTGACAAGGAATGCATCGTTTGAAGGCAAGGTCTTTTGTTTCTTCTATCTGATTAATGGCTGGACCCGTCTATCGGTGTTCATCCTTTATCGGAGCTCTGTTGCCGATTCATCATTTCAGCCGACGGGCTTTGGCAGAGAGGCTGCGAGGCACTCAGGCACGGCTCTTAGCCGGCGTTGCCAGTCGAGCATCCATCTCCGCTCGGCTTCTGCAATCATGCCTTCTTGATCGTTCTTCCACGCTCTTCCATATTTCTTTCGTTCTCTTATCCGACTAATAAGACATACGACTTTTCAGAACTGCTGACTCCATGTCGTTGATGGGAAATGCTCTTTGCACGTACAAATTCTGACAGACTCGTCAGGCACTAGCAAGTATTGGCGACCGCTGTGCGCAGCCATGTTTGTCTTGTGAAGTATGTTGTTCGCCCCTGCGATTTGCGCAAGTGGGCAACCGAAACATCAGGTCAGCAGCCACTTGCGATCGGAGTCTCGATTGCTAGGCCCTCTACAATCCAAGTATGTTGGAGGAATCTTTGAAGAAATCTCTTCGGTGCTGGGCAACGCGTGTGGCCACAGCCTCGGTCTCGAGATCGTTTTCGTCTCTCATCTGTTGCAGAATATCTCTCAAGCCTTGTCTGTACTCTGCATTATTGCCGGGGTTGCCGTTCATGCCCATCTGAAGGAGAAGAGTATCATCTGCAATGTCAGTGCCCTAAGTCAGCTACCGCACCACAGAATCAGAACGTGTTATAGAGATATCATGGACCATGTCGCACCAAGCATGCGAGTTCGTCGATTTGAAGCAGCAGGTCGAAGAATGGATGGATATAAGAACAAAGGAAACTCAGAAGGTCGCGCCCTCAGACGCACCAGAAACACCCATGTCGCGGAAATGCTGATAGTCACACGAACTATCGTTGCAAACACCAGATGCAACTTCATAACGACATAGCTCTTTGTTGGGATCAATCTGATGACTGTAGGTCAACGAACGATACCCACCCTGCACTTCACGAGGGTAATCGGGATGATAACGATAGCCCTTGAAGTTCTTGAGCAGACTCTCGTATGGTTTGAAAGCTGTGCCGGCAGATGAGACAGTGTTGACCTGTACTGTTGTCAGCACACGCTGACTTCTGTTGGTAGAACTTACCGCTTCGGGAACATCGACTTGTTGCTCGGCACTTGGCTGTAGTTCAGGGGCTAGATCGTCAGCAAGGTTTGGTCTGCTAGTGTTGCTAGACTGCGACAGAGGCAGCGAGGAAACAGGTACAGCAGCAGGCTCTGGTGAATACTCTTCAGAAGATGCATCCGAGGACTCGAGGTCCATCCGATCTTCGTCTTCGTCCTCGTTCCCATCCTCATCTCCGTCGGTTGAGGCGTCTGGGGTCAATGCCACATCTACCGATGCACCGGTTGGAATATCAGTTTTCTGCTCGGTAGAAGGCGCTGTAGCGTTGTTCTCGTCGTCCTCGCTTTCGTCATCAGAATCTGTCGAGATGTCCATCTCATCATCACTGTCACTCTCAGACGAGGCAGAGCTTGGATCGGGTGAAGGCGAGGGCGATAGCTTGGGCTCAAACTTCGACATCTGGATAGAGAGCTTGCGATTCTGTAGCTGGCGTCCACTTAGCTGGTCGATTGCAGCAACGGCTTGCGAAAGGGGGAGCTCGACGTAACCGGAACCTGTGCCTTGGTCGCGAGTAGGGTGCCGTGGGAGATGAGTGCGCTTNGCTAATATCCGTTCATGTCAGCTCGAACACAATCAAAATCAATTCCCGACATGCTTGACTTACACATCAAAGGCCTCGAAGAAAGAGCGGACGAGTTGCTTAGTCGTGGTGAAAGATAGATTCCTGATGAACAGCCATACTAGCTTGTCCTGTGACTCGGCGAGCTCGGGCTCGGTGCTTGCAGACTTGCCAATGTCGTCAGAGCCAGATTCGACACTAGCGGATGCATCTGTTGCCATGTCGTTGGATTTGAGACTTTCGTGTTCTTCGTCATCCGACTCCGAACTTTCGGACATGCTCGAGCCTGAATCAGAGTCAGAGCTGTCCTCGGAGACTTGGATTCTGCTCTGCTCTGCTTTGACACGATCGGCACGGATGTCGTCAAGAACTCTTGCGCGACCAGGGCTCGAGGTCGTTGCATCCCTGTGTTCTCGAGCGGATTGGACAGCTGTAGCTGATTGATGGTCCACGACAACATTGTCTAGCGAGCTATCAGACTCACTTTCGCTCATGGACACGTCCATATCTTCGGCTCGTAGGCCATTGTCTGGTTGAGCTCCGTTCACACCGAGCCCGACAGTCTCGATGTCATGTAGGTCCTCAATCTCTTGCTTTTTGGCCTCCATCTCGGCTTGGGTCATTCCTTCCGTGTTGACGTCTAGACTTTCTAGTTCTTCACGAAGCTTCTGTTGGTTTTCCATGTCTTGGTCATACTGCCTTTGCATATCTGCCATTTGTTTTTGCATCTCCAGGATTCTAGCCTTTTGGTTGTCAATATCGGCGTTTCGTGCTGTCAAAGCAGCCTTTAGTTCAGTGCGTCGATCGGTGGGCACGTTGGGCCGATCTGCGGCTGGTGCATGTGCTTGTGATGCTGCAGCATTAGGAGTAGGGAGCGTGGAGGTCTTTTCAGAGGTTGATGCGGCCTGAGGAGTCTGGGTTTGGCTCTGAACAAGGTTGCCCTTCGCCCTGAGTGCAGCTTTGCGCTTTTCGTACTCTTGAATTCTTTGATTGAGAGATGTTATTTCCGACTCTTTCCTTCTTAGCTCTTCGGCATCACTCGATGCTCCAGGGGTTCCAAGGGGCGGTGTGAAGATCCCCGACTGCTTGTGGAATGCTGCTGAACGTTGAGGGAAGTCTCGAAGAGGAGGCAGATCGCGGATATTCTTGTCGCGTTGTCCAGCTGGAATTGCACTGGCTTTGACCAAAGGCTTTACACTGCTCAGCTCATCGTCGTCATCATCAGATGTGTCTTCATCATCGCTGACCTGAATGATCATTCCTGCATCAAAACTGTTCTGTCTACTTTGCCCAAATGGCCTCTTGAACGGACGATGGTCGGCAACGTTTTGAGCCTCGTTGAGGTCGGATGCTACAGGGCGTTTCCTGATCATAGGTGCGGATGTGGTAGTAACAGGCTGGGGGTTGAGTTATTCGAAGAACCTGCTGAGGTACTAGAAGTCGATAGGCCGGTCTGAATTTGAGGCTGAGGCTGTGGAGAATTGGCCATCGAGGTCGACATACGTAGACCAGGTATCATGCTTGCAGTTGCCAGCTGGGAAGATGGCAGCGGAGTTGGCGTAGGCTTGAACTGAGATTGTCCCGCGGCATTTGCGATGGGCACTGTAACAGGAGGCNACGGAAGTAGTGGAAGTACTGTTGGCCAAGCGGCGTTGTGTCGCCTTCAGGGCCTCCATCTTCTTACGAATCAACTCGGTAGTTTGCGACTGCTTGTTGTTCATCAAAGCGGACTGGGGAGTGACTCTTTGCGATTCTTCAGGTTCAAGTTGTGTTTGATCAGGAAGCACAACTGACGGAGGTGCAGCCTCATCTTTGACAGGAGTCGCGGATTTTGTTGACAGCGTGGGCTGCGTCGGAGGGACAGCTTCGGCTTTCTTGTTCTTTGCAGCTTGTAGGCGTGCTAGGTAATCTTGACGGCTCATAGGTGGCGCCTGTTTGACAGGGACAACGGGCTTGGGATCCTTCATGGGAGGAACAGTAGAAGGCTGAGAGGGGACGGCACTCGTTGCCTTTACAGATACGATCTCTGTCGCCGGTGCTTGTGCACTGGGAACCTGCGGTGAGATAATGGGAATTTGCAAGTCTCGATAGACTTGACGAAGCAGATTCTCCTCAAAGCCCTCGCGGACAAATTCGTTGAAGGTGAAACCTTCCTGGTGCAGCGCAGCAATGAAAGGCAAAGCAGCTTCCCTTTTCTGTTGTATAGAGGCCTGACTTACATCTGGGTTGTTATTTGTAGGAGTAGAGGAGGGGTTGGACTGAGGCGCTGCTGCACGATGGGCCAACTGCGAAGTACGCGATTTCCGCTTCTTAGAAGAAGGCGCGGTGGGAGCACGGTTGACGTGTTGCGAAACATCGCTGACTTCGCCCTCCTCACGATCAATGTCCATGCGAGCAGGGACTGCGGTTGGCGCCGACAAATTTGGACCGGCGACAGTTTGTGTTGGCACGGGAGGTGGAAAAGGCACAGGCGCGAAGGACGCGACAGACTGATAAGACTGTGGTGGCGGAGGCGGCGGTGGAGGAGGTGGGAAAGGAAAGGTGCCAGCTTGAAGGTGAGTCAAGAGCGCGGCCATTTGCTGAGGAGTGATGTTCAAAGCCTGCAGCTCTGGCGGTAGCGCCATGGTCTGTCCTGCAGCCGGCGGTGGCATAGGCGGCGGGGAGGATAGTTGGAAGGANTGAGCAGATGGCGACCCAGCGGCAGGAGGCCATGGAGGATAGTGCGCCATGGTGTGCGCGATGACTTGTCGCGTGCGAAGCAAGTGCGAGGCAGGTATGCGTTTGCGCAAGTGTGGGAAAGCGCGGTGATGCTCACGCAGGGGCACAGAAATGTGCAAATGTGCTAGGACGCGACAGATGGCCTGGTTCTATCCAGGCACGCCGGAGCAAAGGCTGTACCGAGTGTATTGCCTGTCTGTGAAAGTGACGACGCGACGATTCGTCAACCGACAACAATTTATCAAGAAAGTGTCGTTGCAGTGCAATCGACAGTGCCGGCGGAGGACGGAGTTTGACGAAACGGCGGCCCGTGGAAAGTTGAAAGTTGCAAGTGAGCGAGCGAGCGAGCGGGTTGAAACAAGGCGGCCCGCGATTGACGCTAACGATAAACAGACCTTTGTTGATAAACACCTGCATGAACTAACGACAACAGCCCTCCGCATCGCGACCGCCTTGCTAGAACGCAGAGAGCCTCCTCCTATACCGCCAGCAGCAGTCGACTGTACATAATACTCTGATCTCTGGAAATGCTGCTCTAGACGGACACACGCCCACATGCCATCCTAGAAACCACCGACTCCCTCGCAGTATACTAACCAAACAGTGAACATCCCACATGGCTGTAGCCACTCCAACGGGGAGCCAGCGCTGGCGAGACACCCCTCCTACCGCTGCCAATGCCACTCCCTCTCCCGGTCCGCCTCCTGGACATGCTCGATCTCGCTCCTCGGTATTACCGCCTCCAGTGTCATCGCCGACCACCAACGGACACGCACGCCACCAGTCGTTCGCAGAACTAGGCTTCGGCTCGCTAGAGCGCGGAGTCTCACGGAGAGGCTCAATACGCCCTCCTCCGACAGGCACCTTTGCCCCCAAGTTCATCAAACCAGAGGGCCTCGATGGCGCCGAAGAAAGAGTTGGAGGCATAGAGGGCGAGAACGACTTTTCGGGCAAGCGCTATGTCTGGGTTAAGGATACCGAACAAGCCTTTGTTCGCGGCTGGGTGGTCGAGGACTTGGCCGACGGTCAATTACGAGTTCAATGCGACGACGGAAGCGTATGTCCCTTCTCACCGCTCCCAAACAACGCACGCTGACAAGTCCAAGCAACGCGATGTAGATTCCGAGACTGTCGACAAGGTCAACCCTGCCAAATTCGACAAGGCCGACGACATGGCCGAGCTTACCCACTTGAATGAAGCCTCGGTCGTGCACAATTTGCATATGCGCTACCAAGCCGACCTCATCTACACCTACTCCGGCCTCTTTCTGGTGACAGTCAACCCCTACTGTCCTCTCCCCTATCTACGGCCGCGATTATGTCAACATGTACAAAGGCAGAAGTCGCGAAGACACAAAACCGCATATCTTTGCCATGGCCGACGAGGCCTTTAGGAATCTTGTTGACGAGGGCACCAACCAGAGTATCCTTGTCACGGGTGAGTCCGGTGCAGGAAAAACAGAAAACACAAAGAAAGTCATCCAGTATCTCGCTGCCGTGGCTACATCAGATACCCCTCGGGCTAAGAACTCCGCGAGACAACCTTCCAACCTGTCCGAACAGATCTTGAGAGCCAATCCTATTCTTGAAGCCTTCGGTAACGCTCAAACCGTCCGAAACAACAACTCTTCGCGTTTTGGAAAGTTCATTCGTATCGCCTTCACTCGAGCCGGCCAGATTGCTGGCGCTTTCATCGACTGGTATCTTCTTGAAAAGAGCAGGGTAGTGCGTCTAAACTCGCAAGAACGTAGTTACCACATCTTCTACCAGCTCCTCTCCGGTGTGGATGATGCTACTCGTAGCGAATTCTTGCTTGATGGCATGGAGCTCGGGGACTTCGAGTACACCAAGCAGGGCAACGATGCCATCTCTGGTGTTTCAGACAAGGACGAATGGAACTATTTAGTGGAGGCCTTCCACGTCATGGGATTTAACGACAAGGATCAGAAGTCCATCCTGCAAACTGTTGCAGCTATTCTTCACCTGGGCAATATTACTATTGCGAAAGAGAGCATGCGTGCAGACCAGGCATCTTTAGCCGCTAACGCAATGAATAGCGTCGAGAAGTTCTGCCAGCTGGTCGGCATTGCGGTTGAACCCTTCGTCGAAGGCTTGCTCCACCCTCGTGTCAAGGCTGGCAGAGAGTGGGTCAAGAAGGTCCAGACACCGGAGCAGGTTCGCCTGGCAATTGATGCATTGGCCAAAGGTATCTACGAACGTGGATTCGGCAACCTCGTAGATCGTATCAACAAACAGCTGGACCGATCTGGGTCTGGCATGGACGACACATACTTCATCGGTGTTCTGGATATCGCTGGTTTCGAAATCTTTGAAGAGAATAGCTTCGAGCAGCTGTGCATCAACTATACCAACGAAAAGCTGCAACAGTTCTTCAACCACCACATGTTCGTTCTGGAACAGGAAGAGTATGCTCGAGAGCAGATCGAGTGGAAGTTCATCGACTTCGGCAAGGATCTGCAACCCACCATTGAACTCATCGAAGTGACCAATCCGATTGGTATCTTCTCCTGCTTGGACGAAGACTCAGTTATGCCAAAAGCCACCGACAAGTCGTTTACTGAAAAGTTGAACTCTCTCTGGGACCGCAAGTCAACAAAATATCGACGATCGCTTCTCAAGCAGGGGTTCACATTGACGCATTACGCCGCTGATGTAGAGTATTCTACCGAAGGCTGGCTAGAAAAGAACAAAGACCCTATGAACGATAACGTTACTCGACTTCTCGCTGCTTCTACCAACAAGCATGTCTCGCATTTATTCGCCGATTGTCAGGACAATGATGGGGAAGCAGGCGCGACCAGGAATAGAGTGAAGAAGGGACTTTTCAGAACCGTTGCCCAGAGACACAAGGAGAACCTATCGACGCTTATGAACCAACTACACTCGACTCATCCTCACTTTGTCAGATGTATCCTTCCCAACCACAAGAAGCGTCCGAAGCAATTCAGCGCACCGCTTGTGCTCGACCAACTCCGCTGCAATGGTGTTCTTGAAGGTATCCGCATCGCAAGAACTGGTTTCCCGAACAGATTGCCCTTCGCCGAGTTCCGTTCACGTTACGAAGTTCTTTGCACAAAGATGCCTAAGGGTCCGCTCGAAGGGCAAGTTGCAGCCAAGCTGATTCTCGAAAAGCTCAACTTGGACCCTTCCTGGTACCGTGTGGGTCTCACGAAGGTGTTCTTCAGAGCTGGCGTTCTTGCCGAGTTGGAAGAACAACGGGATGCGCTCATCCGCGAAATCATGGAGAGATTCCAATCCGTTGCGCGAGGCTACGTTCAGAGACGCATTGCGCACAAGAGACTGTATCGGGCTGAGGCTACTCGTATCATCCAGAGTAACTTCAAGGCATATCAGCAGATGCAAGCCAACCCATGGTGGAACCTCTTTGTAACGATGAGACCACTCCTTGGCGCCACTCGACAGTCGAACGAGGTTAAGAAGCGCGAGGAAGAAATCTTGAAGCTACAGGAGAGGATGCGACAAGATGAAGAAGCTAGACTGAAGATCGAAGACGAACGCAGGCGCGCCGAATCGGAGATTCAGAAGATCCAGCAAACTCTTGAGAGCGAGAGATCTCTTGCACTCGACAAGGAAGACATCTTCCGGAGACTGCAAGACAGAGAATCCGAGTTGAGCGAGAAGCTCCACGGTGCCCTCGAAGATCAGGAGAGACTGGAGGATCAGCTCGAAGCACTTATGGAGGCCAAGAAGAGGGCAGAAGATCAAGCAGATGAATGGCACCGACAAGTGGAGCAAGCAACTCTGATCATCACTAAACTGGAAGGCGAGAAAACCGATCTGAACTCTCGAATGACTGCTCTAGATGCTCAGCTTCTTGAGGTCGAACAATCTCACTCACAAACCACCGAATTGGAAGAGAAGCTCAGCCAAGAGATCAAGATGCTCCAAAGTCATGTGAGCCTCAAGGATCGCAAGCTTCAGGACATGGAGGCAAAGATGCTCGAGAATGACCATGAACTCGATCTCAAGCTTTCTACTGCCAATAAAGACGCTCAAGACTCGAAAAAGAAGATCAAGGATCTTGTGGATGAAAATCGCTCCATCCGTCAACAGATGTCTAAACTCGCTTCCACATCGACTAGCTACGAAGATCTGATCCGACGCAAGGACAGTGAACTTGCTATCCTCAAGACCGACCTCAAAAGATTCCAAGATGACCGAAAGCGTTTCGAGCAAGAAAAGCAAACTCTGACAAGCCAGCACAACAGCATTCAAGGTCAACTACGAGGCACTTTGGCCGAGATGGAGGCCATGACTTCACAGAAGGCCCAGCTCGAGCGCGAGGTTGCAGACGCCAAAAGAGCTTTGGAAGACAAGACCTCGGCAGACACCCAAGCTGAGATGTTGCAGAAGCAGATTGAAGATCTCAAGAGCGAGCTTTTCGAAGTGCAGACGGAGCTGAGCCGCGAACGTCAGTCGCGCGACGACGTCAAGAAGATCGCTGAGAGTGAGTACGAAAGTCTGAAGCGAGAATTTGACGCCCTCAACGATTCCAAAGTCACGATTGAGAAGGAGATGTATGCTCAGTCAGATGTCACGCGCAGAACAAATGAAGCTCGTGCCGCTGCAGAGAAGGAGCGCAAGGACTACCAGTCTGAGCTTCAAACCCTGCGAAAGCAGTTCCTGGATCTTCAAGAATCCAAGATTGAGGCTGAAGCTGCTGTCGAGCGCAATGTCACTCGTCAAGCCAACGAACGACAAGCTCTTCTTAAACGCGATCTACAGAATATGGAGAGGCACGTCGAGGACCTTGAGGCCGACAAGAGCAAGATGGCGGCAGAAGTGCAAAGAATGAAGGACTTCATTTCTGGCAACGATTCATTCCGCCTCCATCAGGACCAACACAAAGAACGTCTAGAGCGGGAGTTGGTCACCATCAAGGGTCGGCTGGCGGCATCTGAGAACGACAACCGAGCTCTACTGAACAAGCTTCAACAGAAGAATCTGGATATCGCTCGATCGAATTCTCGTGCTGTTGACACACAGCGATCGAAAATCAACCATCTCAACGCTGAGAAGACGAACGCTGAAGAGAATGCGAAGAAGCTTATGCGTCAGCTTGAAGACGCACACCTGACAATCACTTCTTTGGAGAAGCAGAAGGAGAAACTCACCCTCAGTCTGGAGGATCTTAACCACGAAATCACTCGCGAGCATCGCACTACCAGAAACGCCGAGCAAGCGTCCTCGACCGTCAACCTTCAACTCGCCGAAGCCAATCGCAAACTTGAGACGGAACGACAGCTGCGTTCTCAGGCTCAAACGAATACTCGTGCCGTACAATCCAGCCTCGATAGCGCTAACAACGAACTTGCTGAGTGCCGTGAACAACTCACACTTCTTCAGAAGATCTTTAATCCGGACATGAAGGACCTGCCTTCCAACGTCGATGGCATGAAGCCCGACATGGCTCGCACCGTCGATCTGGCAAAAAAGCTGGAAGCATCCCAACAAGCTCTCCACATCGCAAACGAGAAGTTCTCGCGTGCCGAAGCACAGTTGAACGATCTACGTGCCCACCACCAGGACGAGATGCAAGAGAATGATCACAAGCATGCCAACGCTAAGCGCGTTCTGCTTGAAGAGATGAACTCGAACCAGGTCAATGCCCGTGCCTCGCCTGTCCCTATGCGCAGGGACTGGGAGTCTAGAAAGCCCTTCTCTCCTGTGCACACGCCATCTAATCAGCGTCACCTGAGCAACTACACCACAGACTCTGCACGTTCTGATCGTACCAACGATACTGCTGCCTTCAACAACCGCATGGATCTTGCGGCAGAGCTCGAGATGGTGTAGAACCAGCTCCAGATGTCTGAGATGCATAACAGACATCTGGAAGCTCAAATTGGACGCAGTCCGTCCAAGCAGAATCTGCAAGACGAAAGCCCTTCGCTTCGCAGAGTGCAAAAACTCTCTCTTGAGAACAGTAGATTGCACGATATGTTGGACGACTCTGCCAGGAAAGTTTCTGCCTTGGAAAACAGCATTCGTCTTGGTCAGCTCTCGCTCTCCGAAGTGCAGACCAAGACTCACGAGGAGCTGTTCGACCTCATCAACTCTCAGGAGCAATCACGTAGATCTCTGCTCTCTTCGCACAACATGGCCATTTCCGAGCTCGCAGATGCGAAGACTGCATTTGACGAGATCAAGCAGAGCAAGGTTTCGTCGGATGTCGAACTCCGTGATGTCAAGTCTGAACTTGCCGACTTGTCTTACGAGAGAGAACAAGAGGCTGCTAGCCATCAACAGCTGCTTGACGAATTCTCTGATCTCCAGATCAGGCTTGATGCGGAGACATCTAAGCTCCTTGACGTTACGTCCAGCCTCAACCTCTACCGTGCCAGAGCCGATGAGTACTTTGGCAAGCTCGAGCAGGCAGAGATCGCGGTCCTCAAGGCAACCAGAGCAGAACAGTTCGCAAAGACTCAGGCTAGAGAGGTTGAAGACCAGTGCGCAAGCATCATGTCAGAACGCAAGCACATGGACTCCTTGGTCGAGGACTTGCAGCGCCAAACACAGCAGTACGAAGAGAGAATCGAAGACATTTCTGCTGATTTCGACGGTGCCCTTCAAGCAAAGAAGCGTCTGCAAAACGAGCTCGACGACTACAGATCTCAACGCGCCATGGACATTGAAGACAAGGAGTCCTCGATGGAGCAAACTCGCAAGAAGTATCAGTCAGAACTTGCAGCCGTTAGCAACGAGCTGGAGATTGAACGCGAGAATGTTATTCATGTTCGTGGAGAGAATGGCCGTCTTCGTGACGAATTGGAGGAGTTGCGCAACAAGTGGGACGATGAAGTGTTGAACAGCTCTACCTGGGCCAAAGAAAAGTCGCGTCTCGATGTTGCTCTGCAAGACTTGTCCAACTCTCGTGACGAAGCTGTCGATGCTCACAACGAGGCTCAGAGCAAGATTGTCGATCTGCTCAGCCAGGTCCGTAGTCTTCGCACTAATGTCGATGATGTCGTTGCTGAGCGAGACATGCTTGTCAAGGAAAAGAAGGGGCTCGAGGCACGTCTCAGTGAGGCTGCCGACCGCCTCGAAGATCTCTCACAGAACGGATCGCCATCTAAGCGCAACGCAGCATCCGCGGACCGTGAACTGCTCGAACTCAAGTCAACCCTTGCTCACCAGGAAGACGTTGCCTCCGCCGCCGTAGGCAAAATGCGCAGAGCCGAAGCACTCGCCCAAGAGATCCAAAAAGACATTGTCACGGAACGCGAAAACAACGTGACCCTGCACAAAGAGAAAGCCACGCTCGAAAAGTCCATGAAGGACTTGCAACTCAAGTGCATCGATCTCGAAACCAAGGGCTACTCGAGCGTCAGCCAGGACGTCCGCTTCCTCAACGGCCGCATCCACGAACTCGAATCCCAACTCGAAGACCTCGAACACACGCGCAACACCGAAGCCCGCAGTGTACGCAACGTGGACCGCACAGTCCGCGACCTGCAATCTCAGATCGAGCGCAGAGACAAAAGTGTCTCGCTGCTCAGCGACGACATCAACAAGTCCCGCGACAAGATTTCCAATCTGCTCGCTACGATTGATGAATTGCAGGCGTCAGACTCGTCAAATCAACTCGCCGCCAAGCGTGCTGAGAGAGAGTTGCGCGAGGAAAGGGAAACGAGACTGAGATTGGAGAGGGAGTTGGAAAGTATCAAAGGTCTCCAGATTGAGAGGGGTAGTGTGAGGAGAAGTGCGCTCGCCGCGTATAGTGATGCTGGAGGCAATGGAAGCAGGAGAGGCAGTTCTATCGGGCCTTTGCCGCCGTCGCTTGAGGTGCCGCAGAGGATAAGCAGCCTTAGCAAGGGCTTTTTGTAGACGGCGAGAGCAGGATGAAAGATGGTGAGAGCACTATTTTTCGTATTCACTTTGGGAGGCGTTTTTGATGATTTTATGATCAAGAGGAAGGTGGTTTGGGTATTGTTTTATTGTTAGTTATTGCCCTCACAAGGGCTTTTCGAATGAAGTTTTTCGTATTTCTTTCAGCAAGTACTGTTTTGCTCCTTCCGTCAGGAAGATCGTCAAACCTGGGATTGAGTATTTGAACATGTCATTGAGAAGAAGAATACACAAGGTTACAACAGCTTTACTATCACTTCCTCAACAACCACCAATAGAACAAGAACGCCGGCCCACCAGCCATGGCTACTTCCCTCCCAAACCTGTCCACCAACTTCCTCCTAAATGTCTTTTGGNNCACCCTGGGCTTCGGTGCCTTCCTGAAGATAGGATTACCCCAATCGTCACTCTCATCATACACCTCTTCTTTATTGTACATCTGATACTCAGGGTTGTTCCCATAGTATCCCGCTTTCTCTATCAGCGAGGATCCATTGGGACGGGCAGTGGGAAGTCCATAGCCCATTGCAGGGCTCACACTGCGGGTTCTAGCATTCGTGCTACGGGCGGAGAGTTTGCCGTTCGAGTGTTCGGAGGAGTACATGGAGTTTGTCGCGCCCGAGGGAGCGCGGGAACGTAATTTGGAGTATGTGTTCTGAGATTTGGGCTCGGAAGTCGGAAGATCGCTGGAGTTTGGCATCGAGGCTGCAGCTTCTTCGTTTCTGACTTGGACCAAGGTGTTGATGGCGAGAGTGATGATTGAAAAGGCGGCTAGGATGCCGTAGATGATGAAGGTGCTGAGCTGGTCGGGTAGTAGGCAGAGGTGAGTCTGCAGTGTCGGGCCGTCGCGAAGAGACTCTCCATTCTCGTCGACTGGATTCCAAAGACTGACTAGTTGGAAACCCGGCCTGCGGACGCCCATTGCCCAACTTATGCTCTTGACCGTGATCTCGCGGATGCCCCTGTCGTGTCTCGAGGCATAGTCCGGGTGCAGAACTTCACAGTAATCGTGGTCATCGCCTGAGAAGGCATGCGCAATGTTGCCAATTTTCTCAGCGACCGTAGTTGACAATTCCTGGGTCAAGACGTTCTGATATTGATAGCCACCAGCAATGCGGATGGCGTTGGGCTTGTCATGCTTAAGATTCGGCGCGGCTGGTGGGTACTTTTCGCGGAGGGGGCCACAGGGAGTACCTTCCGGACGGTACAGGGGTACGTGACTGAGGAGGATAGTCGGAAACTCAGGCTTCGACTCTTGAGCGAGATCTTCCTTTGAAGGCTGGCGACCTAGATCGCGAGTGTGCGTGACTTCATGGGCCCATCTTGGATGTGGTATTAGGCCCTGCTGTTCCTTGAGCTCTGCACGCACGGCCTTGTATTTGAGGTGCTGAGCATTTTCGAGAAACTCCATAGTCGCGTTCCAGATCTCTGGAGAGCTGTCTGGTTGACCCTTGGCGCTCAAGCTTACAGCATCGATGCTGACAAAGGTGTGGTTTCCGACAACATCAATCCTGTCACCCTCGCCAAAGTAAGCCTGGTAGCGGTTTCGAATTGGCACTTGAACGCCGTTGCCAAAGCCCAAGTCGTGGTTTCCAGGAAGACTGGCGACGAATTTCTTGACCTTGTGGGCAGGCAAACCTCCGGTAACCTGGTTTTGTGCAAAGAAGATGTTGCCGAAGCGATCGTACTCGTTGAGCCAGTAGTTGTCACCGTACTTCTTCCATTGTTGCTCGGATGGTTGGAAGCCTTCAAAGTGTGTAGACCATTCTCTTCCTCCGTCAAATAGATCACCCAAGAACAAGGTGGTGTCGGGATCGATATGGCGTTGCAATAGATAGTAGGATCGCTTGATGTACTTGTCGGTGGCAGTGATGGTCAACGAGGAGAGGGGCCACGGTCGGCCGGGATATGTGTGTGGATCGACGAGCTGAGGGTCGGCGATCAGAGCAATGCGGTGAGGCTGCGCGTCTGAAGGCTACATGTTCTGTTAGAGATGTGACGATGGGGTACGACGTGGGCTGGACATACCCATTTCTCCCATNTGGTCCCATTTGCAAGCATCAATGCTGCTGCTGAAGATACTGCGCTCTCCCCATAGCAACACAAAGAACCACAGCAGAAAGATGGCCGTCGGTAGTGTCAGCAGACGTCGGCGGGCAATGGCCAGTCTCGTCCTCGGTTTCCCTTTGGCGTCATACTGCGACTGTCGCACCAGGCGCTGCCACATGGCCGTCAGGCGGCTCTCATCTTTGGACGTCGAGTAGGACGTTGCATATTGATAGCTCATGGTATCGGCAGGTTTGCACTCATCGTCGCGGGCTTCTGCTTGGTCAAGAAAGAGCCAACGCGACTGTTTAAACTGCCTGCCCCTTTTGACCATGCGCGCTCCAGACTGGCAAGACCGAGGCGTCGTCAGCCGCGCCAACCTCATCTAATCACCTACTATTATTTTTTTCTCACTCATCTATGCCTCTCCATACAGCTTTTCGTTTGAGAGAGTTTTGTACATTCGAATCTCATTTGTCGAGTCATCTACGCTAGGTGCAGCCCTCTACCTCGGAGCCATGATATCCCCCAAAAACGCCTTCGCTATGCTTCGTCCCATCATTCCCAAAGATGCTGTCCATGAACCTCGCTTCCCACGCAGATATGCAGGCTGTGACTAGGTGAACCGGACCTTGAACTTGAAGTCGATGGTGAAGGCAGGGTCACTAACGCCGACTTCTTGTCCATCAGCCAAGAGTTCGTCCAGCTTGCGCTTCAAGTTGGGACGAGTCTGCTCCTCGAGACTGGGAGGTGCCGAGTAGTAGAGCGACTTCTCCTCAGTCCGGATCGATGGCTTCTTGAGCTGTGCCTCGGGTCTCTCGGCCAGGTGTTCGACAAAGTCCTGCAAAGTCCACTCTCTCTTAACCGAGATCTCCTTGGCTAGATTGCCGCACACAGGGCAGTCGTCCTTCTTCTCGTGCTCGAACGTGTATGTGTAGATGCTGTCGTCACCGCTGTACATCATGTAGTTGTTTGCGCCGGGATTGCCCAGGAATGGGTTGGTGCCGGTTGCAATCTTGAAGGCCTCGTTACAGCAAGAGGCGGCGACAATGGCGTTGGTCGAAGCGATTGCAGGAATAATGTTCTTGACCACACCTTGAGTCATCGAGTAGGTGACACCTGGGATGTTGAACTCCTGCGCACGCTTCAGGGCCTTTGCGAACAGCCAGGAGATGTGCTCTGTGTCATCCGTATCAAGTGTGATGTCTNNAGGACGGGTCAGTGTCTCCATCGCAGATACGTTCCTGCTCTAGGTCTTACCCTTGCGCTCTTCTTCCCAAGCGATGAGATGGGCCCACTCGATACAGTGCTGAGGCTGGCGAGGAATCGTAGCAAGGGTGCACAGAGGAACCGCAGCGCGAGGAGCATGCATATCCAGCTGGCACTCGATACAGCTTGTGACAGTGGGCAGAATGACCCTGGACTGTCCTCTGAATCCTTCAGTGCCGCCATCAATCAGAGGCTTAAGGCTGTCGACGTTGTCCTCATCCACCATGCCGACCAGAGTCGCGTTGATCCATCTTCTTGCTTCAATGCTGTCCAGACCACAGACGATGATGTTGAACTGGAGGTAGTAGTCCTCGTCCTTGTCCTGAATCTTGCCGCAGTATGGGTTGATCTTGACTCCTTTGACACGACTTTCTACGAAGCGTGCAGCCACCTCGGCCTTGTATGATCCAACGTCGGCCTGGCGGAAGAGGAATTGGCGGTTGAGATTGGATACATCGATCGTGTCNTGTTCAGTCGTTCAGCACAAGGCGCATGGAAGGAGAGGGTTCGGCGCACCCATATCAATAACATCGATGTTCTTGAAACCAGAGAGGGCAAGATTCTTGAGAATCTCACATCCGAGACCGCCAGCTCCGNNCTATGAAAGGTTAGGTCGGTATGCGAGATGGATCTGGGCTTGTACAAACATGACTCTGTCGCAAGTCAGCTCTAAGAAGTTCACCAAGTAAGCCCTTTTCACCTACAGGATCCTTGCTTGTTCAAGGCACTGGACGACACGTTCGCCGGGCACAAAGTCCTCGTCTGTGAAGGCTCCCTTGCGAGAGAGGATCGTGTCCAAGTGCTTCCTGCATCAGATCAGTCTCGGACACATGTTGAAGATGGCTGTCTGTTACCATCTTGAGCGATCGCCTGTGACACCTTGAGTAGGCTGCGATGCGGCTTCCGTAGCCATGTTCAAGCTTTGATTGAGTTGTACTTGCGAGTAAGGCGTTTGAATGCTCGAGAGGAAGATGTCATCGGCGTTGGCTCATCGGCAATATCGGCGTTAACCACGGATGCACAGTCCGAGCGCTCGCTTGGAGTTGACCTCTTGAAGTCCTGCCTCGACTATTTACCAAACCACCAAGAAGTCGCAACCAAAATCGAAACATGGGCGATTTTCTGACAGCTGTGTCAACTGTTTCCTACCGACCAAAACTATCGTCTAAACCACTCATCTCTGAAGAAATTATCTCTGAGAGTACCAAACCTCGCACTGTCCGAAAATCGCCTACGTCGGCCGACGAAGTACTACAGATTCTACGCTCCAGTCCCGACGAGCATGCACTTCATGACCTTCTGGCATTCTTGAACCGACCATCTCAAGAAATCGCCGGTTTCCATGTCAGAATCCCCACTCCATCTTCAGCCAAAATCATCAACGAGCTTATCGACAAAACTCTGCCGGATTTCTGGGGCAGCGACGATCAAACAAATGGCTTGATCTTAGACTGTCTAAGGAGTGTAGCTGGTATCGGTGCCATACTCACGAATCTCCGTCTTCTGATATCACAGCATCAGTCGACTATACAAGATGTGAAAGGGTTAGAGTCAACACGCCCATTATCGGATCTAATATCAGTCTTGTCGCAACTGCTGAACTCAGACAACCTGACTCAGAATGTATATACCGACATCGACAGACTCGTCGAGAATCAGACAAAGCGGTCGCTCTTGTGGAAAGAGTTTCTCGCGTTAGTCGGGACAGGAAAGATCATAGCATCTGTAGCAGAAGCGGAAGATACAGTCAAGTCTGCCGGAGGTCGACATACGCCCTCATGGCTCTCAGATGGCTCGAAGTACTCTGCATGGCTGGGAAGGAATGTCAGTGCGATGTTGCATCAGATCACGAAGAACACAAGCACATACAAGGCTGCAGCTCAACTTTGTGGCAAGGCTCTCGGTATTGGTTATCCAGGTAGGACAAATTCGGCACTAAAGAAGAATAACGCACTAAGTCTCTTCNCAGTTCGAGTTGTCGGGGACATCCATGCACGTATCACATTTCTCTCGTCCGAGTCAGGCTCTGGGCTACAGTCGTTGCTGCCAAATTTGCAGGTACACGAGCAGAGGCAATTTCTAGACCAGACTTTCAAGATCTTGTCAAATCTGTGCCTGCCCCTCATGTCACTTCCAGACTTTGACGACCATCTAACGCAGACGCCTTCTGGGATCGCTGCGACCTCAGCTACGATCATTGAGCTGATGGGAGAAAACGAAACGATGAGAGCCCATCTCGGAACATGGCTATCAGATCCTGTACTGAACGCTTCAGAGTCATTTGGTCTGCGCCGAGCAGCCGTTTCTGCATTCGCCCACGCAAGCGCAAAGGCCACGAATATGTTGGAAGATTCTATTCAAGATCTCATGGAGAAGACTATGAAACGATTTGGTGACAACCTTTTCGTCAAGCATTCGCCGATCTTACAGCAGGAAGCTTGCGCTCAAATCCTACTCCTGCTTGCAGGCTATGCGCATCGAGCTCAGCCAATGTCCTTATTCATAATGGCTCGCTCGAGCGCATATCTGAATGGAATGTCCAATCACCTGAACTCGTCTTCGCCAAGAGCTCGATTCCTTGGTATGGTTGTTGGCATGGCCATATCGGATCTCGTAGACAAGCCGGGATCTAAAATGAATTTCGACATTGACGACCTGAAGACAGCCGAAGCAAAGTGGTACCAGCGCCTTGTCAGAGTCGACGACAAAGTTGGTGATTACACAGATATCAAAGAAGTTTTCGGCAACAACAAGCTCACAGAAAGAATCTCTGAAATCAACACCAAACCGCGCACAACCAACAAGCCCACACAAACTATGCCACAACCCAAGCCTATAATTCAGGAAGAACCTCAAGAACCCAGGATTATGGAAGTCTTCGACGACTCGGAGGAAGACGACGATCTTGTGCCTTATGCCAAACCGGACTTTGACCCTGAAGACGAAGACGAAGATCCGACTATGATCAATCGTGACAAGGCAAAGGCCCCAGTGTACATTCGGGATCTGATAGCTGGACTGAACGACTCGGAGAACTACGACCGACATAGTCTGGCTCTCCAAAACGCTGCTGCTTTGATCCGACGCAAGACTTCGTTTGGTAAAGAAGTCGGCGATCATGCACTCGAGCTTGCGGCAACCTTGGTAGGACTCGGCGACACGTTTGACATGGAAGACTTCCTCGAGCTGCGATTGCAGGCACTCATCGCAGTGCTTGTATCAAGCCCAGCGCAGATGGCACCGTGGTTCGCACGACAAGTCTTCGACGGAGATTACTCTTTGAGTCAACGTACTACAGTCTTGAGCGTTTTGGGGCTAGGTGCACGAGAGCTGGCTGGCTATAAGGACGAGGACGAAGACCTCAACCCGAAGCTTGCAGCAACATCGTTCCCAAGCAAGCAGCTACCCGAGAGATTACACAAAATGTACACCGCCGAGCGCAACGTACCGGTTGCTCGGATCGCTTCCAGTCTCGAACGATCCATGATACAACCAATGGCCCTCGACGCAGCTGACAAGATGTCTGGACCCAACGTATTGAAGGTCCGAACATTTTCTTCACGCATGGAAGTGGAGAAGAAGAGAAAGAAGGTCATCCCCAATGCACTGGCCAAGATCGTCGCAGAAGGCTTCTTCTTCCCCCTGACTGGACGATGGTGGCAGAATCTACAGGCGTATGGAGCGGACAACGTGCATTTCCAGCCGTTCTTGCTCAGCACCTACCTCAAGACACTGTCATTGATCTTACATGCGGCAGGTTCCGGAACGATTAGCCTGCCTCAAATGACAGCAGAGTTTTGGGAGTTGATCTTGAGTGTCAGGACGAATGCGTTGGCGGATGTCAGTGTCTTGGAGGCCGTTCTATTTGCAACTCTCACTCTGCTGGATATGAACGAAGACAAACGCAGGTTGGCCGAAGAGCATTCGAAACAACTGATCGAAACACAAGAGTGGGTTGAACTTGTCTTTGATCGGGTTGGCGGAGGTGACGAAGAGGGTGAGAGGATTCGCATGCTTGCTGCTAGCGTTTTGATGAAAACCAGAGAAGTGGTGGACAAGTACCAACGCTTACTGGTTGGCGACCTCGTAGATTATTGAGAAGACGTAGCTTAAGAATTCAGTAGCACAAACCAAGCAAGAACATCAAAGCATGTCATCGTTACCTGAACATATTGCTCTCAAAGGATGAGCCAAGTCGTGAGCAGGGTCGCCCAGATGACTTGGCCTCCAGACTACGACATCATCAACCTCAAAGCTCCAAACCACGACACAATACCAACACACCAACATGCCCGACTCAGACGACGCCCTGCTAGCCAGATTAAACGCTCTGCGAAAGTCTCCCGTCACACTAACCAAAACGACCTCCCTGGACCTTCCAGCAACAGCACAACGAACCACAGACTCAGACCTATCGGCGCGATTCCGCAGCCTGACGCCCAACAGCACCATCGCATCCCCATTCCAAGAGTCAGAAGATACAGAGCACAACGAAGAAGATGACAGGACCATCGAAGAGTTATTGCAAGATCTAGGGCCGGAAGAACAATGGTCTGTCCAGCGTGATGAGGGCGAGCGGATCCGCGACTTGATGGCTGAAGCCAAGAGTGCTCTTCCTGTTGAAGACACAGAGAAAGAGGAGGGTAAAGATGTGGATATTGAAGTTGGAGTCATTGAACCTGATCACGATGATGAAGAAGATGACGCGGACAAAGAGCGCAATGAGGACAAGAGAGATGACGAGGAAGCCGATGATTACGTGCAGCGCGTGCTCGCCGAGCTTGCGTTGGAGAAGAAATATGGCGGCTCCGAAGATGAGGAAAATGCAGATGACGGACAGAAGGAAGATGACGACAATGGACTATCTCTACCTTCGGCGCCTACTGAGCTGCCATCATCACCTGCCCCTGACCAGGACGCCAGCATTGACGATGCGCTCTCGGCACGTTTTGCTTCCCTGTCGCTACCTGGAGTGCCTTCTTTCAATCCGGCGAAGAAGCCTGTCAACATCCAGAAGAGCGTCAAGTCCAACTTGCCCAAATACACAGATGAAGACATGGAGAGCTGGTGCTGCATCTGCAACGAAGACGCCACTGTAAAATGCATGGGCTGCGATGGCGATCTATACTGCCAGGAATGCTGGAGAGACGGTCACGGAAATGGACCTGGTCAAGAAAGAGGCCACAGAGCACTTGCTTACGCCAAAGACGCTTCCTGAACAAGCTTTACATTATGACTACTCTGGTTCTTGATCTTTGAACTTCTCTCTGACGGATGCGACGTCAATCCCGCACACTTCTGCCTTTTTGACGATCGCTTTGGCTTTGCCTACCACTGGCACGTCGATCATCTTCCCGTCTAACGTCCAAGCACCTCGACCTTGGGCATCTGCCTTCTCGTCTGCGATGACTACTCTTACGGCATAATCCACCTCTTCCTGGCTGGGACTGAAGATGCTCTGGACCAGCTCGACTTGGCTGGGATGGATGCATTGCTTTCCATTGTAACCCATTCTCTTACCGCCCTCGCTTTCTCCCTTGAGGACCTGCTGCCCCTGCTCGCCACGGAATGCAGTCGTGACCAGATCAATGGTTGAAGGAAGGTTGAACGCTCTAGCTGCCGTTGCAATTGCCGACCGCGCATACAGGAACTCCTTGAGGTCTGGCGTACGCGTGATGCTGAGATCAAGAGCAAAGTCCTCGGCAGCGAAGATGAGACCACTCAGGTATGGTGAGGCTTTGCAAATAGCAGACAAGTCCATGACTGCTCGCGCCGACTCGATCAACGCTATCAATCTAAGTGGAGATTTGGCATCAGGACCATGTCGTTCGGGAAGCGCATGACGAATGACATCGGTGACAAAGTGTAGATCGGAAGCACTGTTGACTTTTGGAATGACGAGAGCGTCGAGATTGGGCGCTTTGAGGACTTGGGTCAGGTCGTCGAGGGCATAGCCGCTGTCGACCGAGTTTATGCGTACGGCTTGCTCTTTTATTCCTGATACTCGCTCTCGCGATAGGATGGATTGGAGGTTTGATCGTGCTTCTGCTTTCTTGCCGGGGGTCACCGAGTCTTCTAGATCGTAGCAGATGGTGTCGACGGCCACGCCTCGTGACTTTTCGAGGAAGCGCATCGATGAGCCAGGCACNTGTGTCGTGTCTTAGCTAGACTTCTTAGCATAGTATCTGCTAGTCTCACCGTAGAGGAGTGCTCGCCGCACAATAGGAGAAGATGCCATGTTGAATGTATACAACAATGTTCTGTGAGGATGTTCAAGAGGAAGATGTCGATTGATGCCATCATGGTGGGGGCTCGGGATGGCCGAGGGACGGCATCGGCATCCCGGAGGAGCTCTCCCCACACGTTGTCGACTCGTATGCGGCGATGGAAAGCCAATAGGAGAACAACAGATATACAACCACGAGTCAACAGCCAACGACGCGTCTCCTTGAGTAGAGCTGTCCGATAGCAGCTGCCTCTTGGACATCTCGTGTCGCAAACCACCTTCTCGTTGCAACACACCTCATACCGCCATGGACAACCCGCAGCCAGGCTCTCTGAGCTGGCGACTAAGTTCGCACCCCATCACCCTCCTCTGCTTCCTCGGTTTCCGCCTGTGTAAGAATTCACCCCTGTCCATACCAAAAAAGACACACTAAGCTAATCTGTTCTCTCCCTCTACACAGNCAAGCCTCCTCACCTACCTCTTCGGCCTCTACTTTAGCCAAAACTACGTCCTCATCTTCATCATCACAATCATCCTGCTCGCCATCGATTTCTACTATCTCAAAAACATTGCTGGCAGAAGACTGGTGGGTTTGCGCTGGTGGAATGAAGTCAACGCGCAGTCTGGAGACGGCAATTGGGTGTTTGAGTCTGCGGATCCGGAGACCAGACAGATCAATGCTACGGACAAGAGATTCTTTTGGCTGGCGCTGTATTCGCAGCCTGTGAGTTGGGTTGCGTTGGGTATTGTTGCCATCTTTAGATTGCACTTTATTTGGTTGAGTTTGGTTGGTATGTTGTCTTCTTGTTCATCCTTTGCTGGGAGTATGGTTGCTGACAAGAGTGTACAGNTCATCGCTATCGTCCTTGCCGTTACCAACACCCTTGCCTTTTCGCGCTGCGACAAGTTCAGCCAGGCTACGAATATTGCGACCGGCGCCTTTTCTGCCAGCGGGCTTGCGAGCAATCTCGGTGGTGCTGTGATTGGCCGTTTCTTCAGATAGAGAGAAAAAAAAAAGCTGGGTTCATATCACTTTTCCTTCTTGGTTGCGTTTTTGCTTGCATGGTTATCTTCTGCATGTGGTATTCCCCCTGGTTTGTTGTTGCTGGCATGCAGGAAAATGCAAAAGCTTCTTTGTGTCCACTGCTGCTTTGTCCTCTTGTCTCGTATGTGCTTTTGTGCTGTAATCTTGCTGTTACTGTTGTCTGTGCTTTGTGTTTCTTTTGCGCTGGACCTCCTCCTTGCTATACAAGCCATACACGTTGTTGACCATCCTCCTCTCTTCCAGATATGGTTGCCCTGGGCAAGAGCTACGGCAGGAGTGTAGCAGATGCGCGACCCGCAAGGGGCCAGTTAGGGGGCAGTCGCGATCAAGCCCTGGTGACGATGTCGACCGAGTCGCATCAGGCAAGAGCTCAGAGCGGCAGGAGTGAGTGACGACGTGCGAAACGATATGAGATGACGGCGGCCCCCCAGCAATGAGCGCCGCATATGGACGAGCAGAAAAGCCTTGATGCTGCGGCGACGAATACGATGATGGAGGAAACACGGTCACCGCAATGCACATTCGCAGACGGCAGCAAAGTGAGGTGAGTACAACGAAATGCGATGGATGGAAGTCACGGCAAGTGCTGAGCGCAAGAAAAGCAGACTCGATCTAGGAGGGCGGCGACTAGTCAGCGATGAACGACAACCGACAATCGCTCAAGTCGACGGCGACGATGGACAGGCCGAAGATGATGGACGAAGACGACCGCATCGACGAGAGCTCTAACACACAGAAGTTGCGAGCTCTTGCTGAGACGACTGCAATCTATCTAGGACGACTGCCAGGAACCATGCAGCGATAGGACAGCGTCCGACAATGATAATGTGTCGAGGATGTTCTCTGGACACGATACTTAGCCTGCGAGAAATGATGACGACGCTACAACAGCACGATGGCATCACGGAAACATCGCCTATGCCACGAAACACCAAACAAGAACCATCGACGTCTCTTCTACGAGTCCCGGCATCAGGGCCAGCAACACATTGAAAAAAAAATCATTGTGGAAGTACTCAAACAGGACTAACCACGAACTCATAGGTTCGAACCAGAGTTCTCTTGATGGGAACGTACCCCAGCTCAAAGTTTCTATACCACTCAACTCGGATCAGCGCAGCATCATCAATAAAAGCAAAGAGTGACATGTAACGAAAACGACAAGGGAGCGCGCCATGAGCCCTTAGCAACCAGTCAAACTGCCAGCTCGGATTAGATCACAAGTTGAATTGTTCTTTCACCCTCACCCCGGCACAAGCAGTATGTAGGGCCTGCTCGCGCCCCGGACTCCTCTCTATGGCACAAGGGCCCTTGACAAGAGTGGTAACTTTAATGCCCCTTTTCTTAGACCCGGTAAAGCGCGGTTCCGCCAGGTCAGTTTGCTCCAAGGAGACTCAGTTGTATTGTCGAAGTGCAGCCGGGGGCGGGTGATATTTGAACCTGGCCATTGGACGTCCGATCTCAACTACGATGCTGGTCCGCAAGCAATTTTGTGTATGAGAGAAAGAAGAAGAGAAGGTCGGAGGAGGGATGGGCTGTTCTTATACTCGCTCATGCTTAGTAAAATCGAACCCGGAAACACCCTCGTGTGATCACGGGAACCGCGACAAACTCCCTCATAAGCTCTACCACCAAACTCGGCTACTTACGCGCACCAGATGGTATGAGAACACGAAAACACAAGCTCTCAAGACACGAAAGTCACGACGCCTTCGCGAGAAACACCGCACAAAAGTCCTGCCTATACCACGAATGCGAGCGTGAATAACGAAGGCTACCATGGCAAGAATACCTGATAGGGGTCAGAGCAAGTGTCAGAAGATCAATATTTGCATTTCCTCGCCAGATATCAGTCCTCATACCATAAAGATCAACCTGACCGCACCTTCATGCAGGATGGCCGAGAGAGGGATTTCCGATACAGGAGAGGCTGGCCCACTAGTTGCTTGCTCAGTATATTGGAACAGTGGTCATGCTGTAACAAAGTTACACATAGCGTGAAACAGTCACGAGAACCAGCTTAGAGGTACCATATCTGTTATGCAATGGAATACCTTCCTAAAAAGCCAAAATCGAATCACAGAGTAGCGAGAATAAGTATTGTTCCCCAATGCCTGATTGCGTTTCAAGAGAATCATCCAGGGGTGACATTGACGCGCTGGAGCGTCAGCATCGTCTCAGTCAAGGTTACCCTGACGCGATAACGAGCATGATCTTGTCATGAACTATTGAAGCTCCCAAGTGTATACATATTGCTTAGTCAAAATAAAAAACATCATTGTATTAACTCCTATAAATTCGTAAAAGTCTCTTTGGTTCCATGTGACCCCTTGACCATATTAATTTCGCCCTCATCATCGCTAATGTCATCGATGATTAGTGTCAGTCTAGCTGGTGCAGGAGCCGCTGCCTTGGGCGACCCGAATGTGCTGTCCCATGAGACGCGCCCAGTATTGGATGATGGCGAAGGTAGTGCGAAGGTTTCTTGCTCAATAGTAGGAACTTCTTTCAGAGTCCGTGATGAGTTCCAGGTATCCACAGTAAGCTTCTGTGGGCCGAGGATGGGCGAGAGCTTGATGAAGTCGGTGGTTGCCCCTTCCAGATATGTATCGGTCGCAGCTCGTGGACGAACATCGTTACTCTTGGTTCGAGCCAACATACTTGGCAGTTTGGTCGAGTTCGTCATGGAAGTCGCGATGATGCCGAAAGCCATTTCAGCCACCATGCATGCGATGATGTCGAGATTTGTTGGGCTGAAGTTTTTCAGGGCCTTAAAGGTGCCAGACCCCAGAATGCGAAAGGTAGCAGACAGTCCACTCATCGTACCCACGACCGTGATGATCGAGATTGCAAACTTGACTTTGAGACTCAGTCTGGACAGCCAGATGACGAGAGCAGGGAGTAGAATGTAGATCCAAGTCACCACGGCGTTGAAGATGGAACCGGCAAACCACCATTTTACCATGGCGGGGTAGCGATTGCATTGCTCGAGCTCCTTGTGAGCCATGTCACTGGGTTGTCCACAGAAGAAGAGATCCAAAAAGATCCTGGTGCTCGCATAAATGTAGAATAAGAGCGTCATGTTGGTGATGAGCAGACGCTGCCATCTCTCTGCGAAGCATCTGTTCAAGGAGAGCGCGAACGAGGTTTTGACGCAGATCGAGGTCATGAAACCGAGATTGTAGGCGGCCATGAACATGTAGGGTACAATGTCCACGGTGGTGACTGAGTGTTGTCGGGGAGTGGCGCTAACCAGGACCAGGATGCAGCTACACTGGCCGCTGAACAAAATNCTGTATTTGATGAGCTTTAGGCGCCATTGTACGAGCAGCAGACCTACCATTGCTAGCAGCAAGATCCAATCATCCCAACGGACACGACGGATCATGAATACCTTGACCCAGAACCGTACAAGGACAGACGCCCATGAGAGCGAGAGACAAACAACAACCAGAGCAAGCACGTTAACCATTTTGCAGGCCTCCAAAGGCGTCGACGCCTATGTAATATCAGATATCAAGGCGTCGACAATTCCCTTGAGGGATGTCAAGTGTCAAATCGGACAAAAGGCAGATCTGGTGTGGATGGGATGCAGTTATACTCTGCTGTGGTTTTGATCAGCTCGAACAGAGATCTGGCCCAGTCATGTAATAGGACATGTGCGGGCACGTTGTACAGTTCAACGTTGGTACCATACGATTCTCAACTGCCGCCCCAAAGGATCACGAGAATTGACAACGGCTGAGCTTGGTAGGAGTTCATTTGAAGTCACAGATTGAGTGGATGGAGTATCCGAGACGGTTCTGTGTGGTACTGTGTAGACACAGATTGTCGCTGGGCTGTAGAAATCTCATTCCGTGTTATCTCTACGACCTGCGATGAGCAAAGCGGGCAGATCTGGTTGAAGAGAAGACGTCGGTGGTGGAACAAGGGTCGGCAACTTGCACCTCGACACCGAGTCATCAAACGTTCAAGCTATTGGAATTGACCCCGACGGCGGTTCGGGTACAACAACGTCTGATATGCCTATTATTCCAGAAGAACATGAGGAAGGGATGTCAAGAAAAGCTGCGGAGAGACTTCACCTTGACTCGCAGTGACATGTTAAACGTCGGCCAAAGAGGGAAGAGCATGTCGCACGACGTTGAAGGACTCGTCCAGTATTTCTCCGATAGAAGAAGTGTCTCATGTATCGACATAAGCGAACAATTGAACCTTGCCTTGATATGGACGTGTGTTGGTCTTCAGCGCTTCTTGAAGTGATGTGGTGTTGCTTCCTATGTGCTTCGAGTCGCAACGTAGAAAAGAGCCCCTCCACAATCCCGCTAGTTGCGCATCTCGGAAGGTGCGGCGCACGTCATAGTTGCCCTATATGTTATCACTAAAACCAATCACCATTTATAATCACGACTCACTGACAACTGTACAACCTGGAAACTTTGTTTCATCCACCTACAATTCATCCGCCAACCGCCGCTATTGCAACGCCAAACACCATCATGGGAGGAGGCGAACACAGAGAGGCCGTTCTGGTCACACTGCCGATGCAGAAGCCAGACGCGGCAATCGAGAAACTGCAGAACAAGTTCCCTCATCTCAAGATAACCTACCGTAACGTGCCTTGGACAAAAGACCGCGCACAGTTGGAAGAAGCAGTGCCCAGAGAGCTTTGGAGAGAAGCCACTGTGCTGTTGACCTTGTCCGCTCTGCCGCCTAAACCAGAGGATGCTCCTCTATTGGGCTTTATCCAGCTCTTTTCTGCTGGATCTAACCAGCTTGCCAGCCATCCCATCTACACAGATACAGATATCCCTATTGCCACTGCGTCGGGCGTGCATGGCCCACAGATTGCTGAGTGGGTAATCATGACCCATCTGATCCAAACCCACAAGTACAACCAGCTCTATGAAGCTCAGAAGGAGCACAGATGGGCCAAGGGAGGTTATAGTGTCAAGGACTCTGTCGGCATGCGTGTCGGAGTGCTCGGCTATGGAAGTATCGGACGTCAGGTCGGAAGAGTAGCCAAAGCCATGGGTAAGTAAGTCCTAATACTCCTATGAACCTAAGGTAACAAATCTACCCAGNGTATGGATGTCATCGCCTTCACAGCATCACCAAAGGACACGCCAGAGAAGAAGAAGGATGTCGGCTACATCGTGCCTGGCACAGGTGACCCCAACGGCGAAATCCCTTCAGCATGGTACTCAGGTCTGGACAAGGAGTCCCTGCACGACTTCCTAAAGCAAGACATTGATCTCTTACTCATCTCTGTACCACTCACAAAAGAAACGACCCATTTCTTGTCGACAGAAGAGTTCGAGGTTCTCAGTCAGGATGGCAAGAAACCCGCTTTTGTGGCCAATATCGCAAGAGGACCTATTGTCGACCAGCCCGCACTGATCGAAGCTCTGAAGGATGGAACTCTTGCAGGAGCTTCTCTAGACGTCACAGACCCTGAGCCTCTCCCCTCTGACAGCGAGCTATGGGATCTTGACAATGTGATTGTCACACCGCACATCAGCGGCAATGGCGAGGCATACGTCGACCGAGCATTCCAGATCCTCGAACTGCAGCTAGAACACAAGCAGAAGGGCGAAAAGTTCATCAACGTTGTCAACAGGAAGAGAGGATACTAGGGAGAATACTGCAAAATATATGTTACGGATTCATGCTATCTAGAATATACCGCCAATGACTCATGACACTCCCACCTCATCACCAATGCATCATTGCAACAAGAGTCTGTAGGTAGCCACCTCGAAAGCTCTCAGCTCAATGTCAAATGTACCCTTGTCGATGTGCACTTCTTCAATGTCATCTTCCAAGACATTGCACTTCCACACCTTAGCAATCGGCACCTGTCCAACCTCAATCGAGCCACGGCACCTCCCTCCCAAACTATCGTAGACACGAACAATGACGTTTTTGCCCTTACGCTTGGGAAGCTCACCACGGCTAACGTCTTCATCGTCCTCGGCACGTTTGATTGTGTCAAGAACCAAGCCTTCATCACTGTCCTTGGACAACTTGAACGAACTCATCAAGCCCTTGATATCTGAGACCCTGGGGTGCGAGTGCACTGTCATGGGGTTGTTGAACTCGAAGCCCGCACGAACAGTGCGGTGATCGAGNGGACCCTTGTGAGGGAGAATTGCCCAGCGTATCTTGTGCTTGCCCATATCGGCGTGAGCATCGGGAGCCTTGGGAGCACGTAGCAGAGAGAGACGCATCAGACTACCGCAGGTTGCGAAGCCGTATTTTGAGTCGTTCAAGATACTGACACCGTAGCCGTTCTCCGAGAGATCGGCCCACTTGTGACAGCAGACCTCGAATTTCGCCATGTCCCACGTCGTGTTGTAATGCGTCGGGCGTCGAACGATACCATATTGAGTTTCGTAAGATGCTTCGGTGTTGGTGATTGTGGTTGGGAATTCGACCTTCAGGAACTTCATGTCCTCATGCCAGTCGACTTCTGCTTCAGTCTCGATGTACGAGCTACCTTTCTCAGGTGCAAAAGAAAGTGAGATTGTCATCGTGATGGAAGACTTCTCAGAGATCTTGGTTGTTGTCTGGACTGCAACCCGATGAGGAGTGTTTTCGCTGATGATTGATGAGCTTGTTGTGTGAAGTTCCTTTCTTGAATTGAGATGGTAGACCTCGACGTCCCATGCTTGCCAGTAGAGAGGCTTGTCGTCGAAGATGACCAATTGGTTCGCCTTCTGGCCCTTGGGAACGATATCCCGATGAGCTTGTTTGTCATAAAGCATGGTGATGACGCCGTCAGAGATCTCAACAAAGTATTGCGTGTTCATTAGATGGAAAACGTTGTTTCCCATGTCTTTGACTTCGACGGAAGCGGTCATATCGTTCATGTCCATTATAGAGTCGATGCCGGTTTCGCCTTGTAGCAGGCCATAACGACTTGTCTGGTCAGGAGACGGCAGCGAGACTACTTCGTTACGGCCCCATCCAAGAGTATTCAGCGCAACTAGCTCATTGTCGTGGCACAGTTTGTCGTCGAATCCAAGAGCGTGGAGAGCTTCAGTCAAGACTTTCTTACCAGTCTTGAAGACCTTCGCATAGAGNCTTCAAATCGTTAGTCGTGAACTGTTTCAGGTGCATGCACAACTTACCTCATCAGAGTCATCATAACACATTTCAATACAGCTTCCAGGCAAGCAGTCGTGGAACTGACAAAGCAGAACGTTCTCCCACATGTCGTCGATGTCCTCTTTGGGGTACTTGTACTTCTTGCTATCCTTTGAGACAACATCTTGGATGCTGGCCAATGTTGCAAGGTACTCGATGTCATGGAGCATGATCTCGGACTTGCGGTTGTTTCGCTTGTTGTTGGCCTGTGTCGTGTAGGTACCTCTGTGTAGTTCAAAGTAGAGTTCGCCATACCAAGTCACAAGTTCGAGTCCTTCCTCAACCCTCTTCTCCAGGCGGGCAAAGAAATCATCGACCGAATCGCCCATCTTGACACGAGGCAAGAGACCGACCTTATCGCTTATGCCACGGCATCTTCGGAGCTTCTCGAGGTGCTGCCAGGTTGGGCCACCACCTCCATCTCCCTTTCCAAATGCCAGGAGCGAGGTTGGATCTTGATCCATGGACTTGTGCTGCGTAATACTTCGTCTTACATCACCAAAGTTGGCTTCGGCAGTATAAGTCTCAGCAGGTGTCATGTGGCAAACGACCTGACTGCCGTCAAGCGCGACCCAATTGAAGGTAGAGTGGGGGAAGTTGTTGATGTTGTTCCAGCTGAGCTTTTGGGTGAAAAATCTCGTCATACCAGCGAGTCGGCAGATCTGAGGCAGTTGGGTCGAGTAACCAAAAGTGTCGGGCAGCCAGAAGGTAGTACACCTCGAACCGAATCGGCTTTCGAAATAGCGTTGACCGTAGACGAACTGGCGGACTAACGACTCTCCACTGGGCATGTTTGTATCGTGCTCGACCCAAGACCCACCAATCGGCTGGAAGGTGCCCTCCTTGACCTTGCTTTTAACGCGGTCGAAGACAGAGGGATACAACTGCTCTAGCCATTTGAATTGCTGAGCTTGTGATGCAACGAAACGGTGTTCTGGGTAACGCTCCAACAGATTACATTGGTTGGACCACGAACGGGCGACCTTGCGCTTTGTTTCCGCCCAAGGCCAAAGCCAGCAAGTATCGATGTGGCAGTTACCAATGGCGGTGATCAAAGCAGGCTCGTCTGAGTCGTAGACTTTGGAAGAGTTGACGTCTCCGATGTACTTCTTTGCAATTTTTCTGCATTCTACGATAGAGTGGTTGCTTCCATTGGCGGCAATGAAGGTGTCCATGATGGAGTTACAGACTTGAAGAGCTTGATGCTCCTCCCATGAGTCTTCTGGAAACTCTCTTGCAGCATCTCCGATGATCCAGAAGTCCATGAAGAGAGCTCTTGCCTCTAAATTGATGGCCACGATATCGGCTTGCTGCAATTGGAAGTATCTGTCGGGACGTGGTGGCTGGATGCTGTCACCTCCAGGAGCATTACCGAACATGCCGTTGCAAGCCATCTCGACGTAGAAGACATGTTCTTTGCCGTCCCGGAACGACTTGGGCAGAATCCACTCAATACGCTCGCCTCCTCCAGTAAGACCTTGTAGTGGTTCTCCCTTCTCATCCCAGATGAGACCCTCATTGTTCGCATCCCAATGTAGTTCTAAGTGCTCCTCATCGGCAAGAGAGGAGGGTACGGTAAGACGAACGCGGAACCAATGTGTAGACCAGCTAGGACCGAAGGACTCGCCAACTTTAGCAGGGCTGAAATCGTGCAAAGTTGCGTCCTTGAAGGTGGGACGAGAAAGGTCTGGCGGAGAGTAGACTTCGAGCTTGATGTGAGGATGGCCAGATGCACGCTTGGGTTCGATCTTTNNCTGCTCATGTATCAGTATCTCGATAGAGTCAAACGGCAAGAGCTGGACAAGTGCATACGGTAGCAAGCCCTGGTTCCTGTACTGGCCATTGTCTGTGAACTGCCTCAGTCTGTCGGTATAGATCTTGTGGATCTGCTTGCCGACAGGCTTCGCGGCGAGTCGTGGATAGCTAGAGGCTGAAGCCATGGTGGGATGAGAACCGCCGCCCATTGTGAATGTCTAGGAGCTTGAGGAAGGCAGGAGGAGGATAAGGCAGGCAGGAGCTCGAGGTCTAAGGATTCAGGTACGGCAGCTGCATCTGACCATCCGCCATTGATCGTCGCTCAGTGCGGGGATCCCCTGCGTCACGCGTAATCGACCTGCTCGAGCCGATATCCCCGGCCGACCATCTGTATCTCCGTGGCGGTCAATCTGGATACAACGACATCTGTGAACCACCATCAACCTCTCTGTGTCTTCCATAGCGCTCTCATCTGACCCTTGCCTCAGCACATGACGATATGGAAGAAGTCGTTCCCTCTACGCGACCACTTATCATGATTGCCTAATGGAGCGCTAGCGTCAAGCTCGGAGGCGGGCACGTTCTTCACATGCAAACTCCACAATTGACTCTCAAGGCTGTTGCTGTTTCCAAACCAAAACACAAAAATGCAGTGGCCAGACTGGCTCAGGTGGTCCGAGTCTGACAAGGACAAGAAGAAGCCTGTCGCTTGGTCCGACTCGCTCAACGCTACCGACTGGTCACATTACTCGTCGCCTCGCACCATCCTGCCCACCGCCATCTTGACCTTCTCCACCCTCGCCCTGATCCGCATCTACCGCAGACACCTCCGACGCGTCCCCGAAGCCCAGTACATCACGCCGAGCTACTTTCACAAGCGCAGTCTCTATGGCTACGTCAGTCGTGTCGGAGACGGCGACAACTTCCGCCTGTTTCACACCCCTGGAGGCCGTCTCACCGGCTGGGGCTGGTTACCCTCACGGAAGGTTCAGGATTGGAATCTGAAGGAATTCAAAGACAAGACTGTCCACGTCCGCATAGCAGGTGTCGATGCCCCCGAGACTGCCCACTTCGGCAACAAGGAACAGCCTTTTGGAAAAGAAGCCCTCGAATGGCTCAGGACTCTGCTTCACAAGCGCTATGTCAGGGCATACATCTACCGACTTGATCAATATCAAAGAGTCGTCGCTAGTGTTTCATACTGGAAGTGGGGCTTCTGGAAGACAGACGTCGGTCTAGAGATGATCAAGAATGGCATGGCTACCGTCTACGAAGCAAAGTTTGGCAGCGAATTCGGAAACAAAGAGGCCAAATACCGCAGTGCCATGGAAAAGGCTCAGAAAAAACAGATCGGCATGTGGAAGCACACCAAGCCCAGCTTGATTGGCAAATTGATGGGCCAGAAAGATGAGAGAATCGAGTCTCCACGCGAATACAAAACTCGCATAAGCCTTCTCGACAAGGCCGAGACTGGCCAGAAGAAATAAACACGACATACTCCCACCAGCTCTTACTCCTCTGTGCTACAAATGTCTAAGAACATTTTTGGATCCGCATCTTCGGCTCTCGACTCGCTAGTCCTCGATGCTAAGGAGTTGCGTAAGCCATCTGTCTCAATCTCGACCGAACTCGTGCCACAGCAAGCACTGGAGTCACTGGAGCAGCTCTCACAACTTTCATCAGATCCGGAAAGAAAGCCCTCATAGAAAAGCGGAAAAGGTTTCCTCAGCGGTAGCCAGGGCGCTGTTTCAAGGAAATCTGCCATCAGCTCTGCAGCGGTTCGATCTCTGCAGACAGTGTAGTCGATATGATCCCAAACACCCGCATGTATACCCGCGAAGTAGTGCAGCACGCTCTGAAACATCGAGTTGTATGGATGCAGTGTGCCTCTGCTAAAGCAGAACTCGGCCATGTTCTCGTCGATGTCCAGACGATATCTGGCTTCCACCTCGCTCGATATGCATCGATCGCGAAGATATACGAAACCAGTCGATGGGTCGAGATTTCTTCTTTTCTCGTTCTCTTCAGGCCATATTTCGGCTCCGTACTCTTCCATCCACAGCCATGCCGCGCGCACAGGATGACGTTTCATCCCTAGCTTGGAGTTGCACGATTGGACGTCTTGGACTTCCCACGACCAGCGCATCACTTGCTGCGCCAATAGATGGGTCTTTCTTGGGTTTCGATCGATGTCGAAGCCGAGTCGTGATAGAAAAATGTCTGTACCAGGGTACTGTTTGAGTGTGCCCTGTTTGTGTAAGGATGTTTGTTGTGTGGTGTAACTCCGGGACCATCTTTTGACCTCTTGTTGTAGCACTGCGTTGTTATCAAAGTTTTCCTCGGAACTGCATGTTGACTCCATCCTATCGTGGTTGCGGAAGAAATGGTGGATATGCAAAAAGCTGGAAAATAATCAACTGTACATATGTCCTTTATAGTCCTACATAGATCAATCAGCCATACCGAGACATGTCTTTTATTTCTTGCTAATCAAGGCTTGGTGAGACCATATCTGTCTTGACCGAAGCTCCTGATGTACTTCTGCTCACGTCGAGTCAATGTGAATTAGAGACAGTCTCAAACGGCGACGTGAAGCATCTCAGTAGATCTCAACGCACAAACAGACACAACAAAAGAGCAAGACCAAGATAAAGAAAGAATGCAAAACAGCAAGCACGTCTCTGCGTTCTAGCAAGAAAGCACAAAGAGGTAGCAAGAAGAAGAGACAGATCGGAGAAATACGATTCGTTCTCAAAATACACATCGAGAGACAAGCGCTTAACAGGTGTTTGTACAGATGTATCGAGATCTATTGCTTTAATTTGCTATATGTCATCTTTGCTAATGACCTCCACTCCCAGATCCTTGGGCCAGTACGATGAATCCACACCATTGGTTCGCATACCAACGTTACATCCAAGCTCGACCTTCTTGCCTGGGAAATGGATGACTGGGTCTGGATACTTCATCACTTTGCCGCCCACATGTTTGATCGGATACTCGGTAAAGTGAGTGGGCTTGAGCAAGACACCAGCACTGTTGTTGAGCACTTGACCAAGGACTTTTGGCCAGCATGTATGCCATAGATATAACATATCTGAATAAGTCGAGATACGGCTTTGCAAATCTGCGGCAGTTTTGATTTGTCTTGTAACGGACAAGTTCAACAAAGCGAACACCGTTTCCAGAAGACTTGCAAAGTATACCGAAATTGGTTTAAATCAAAGCCTGATATAGATGCACAGGTATGACTATAATCACATGGAATATAACAATAAAAACAGGTGAGAGAACGATGAAAAAGAACAAATATGATATTCAAATGATAGCAGAAATAGATGGATCCAAAACTCCAACGCAATGCATATTCCGAACAGAGAAAACAAGATGACCCAGCATCTCTTTCCTAATCGTCAGCCCCAAGAACAGCAGTCTCATTCGAAAANATGCTAATCGAATTGAACAACCAATAAGCAGTCTCGAAAGCCTTTGGGTTGTTCTTGACATACTCAGCACAAGTAGTAACCCCAGTCTTGACATCACATCCGTCTTGACTCCAAGTGTTGCCAGCCCAATCACCGCAAAAATCAGTATTGATGACGAGTTGCAGGTCTTTGAGGTGAGCGTCGAAATTGCATCCGTCGCCAGAGAAGACAGCTTGAGGTTTAGAGGTCCAGGAAGATGGGTCAGGGGTGTTGGATTTAATGTCGTTGGGAATGTACTCGCGAGGGAAAAAGTAGATGGAGACGCCGGTGGAGGTCCAGAGGGTTGCGTAGACACCGCCGAGCTGGGCGTTGAAGTTGTCGCCGGCGGTGGAGTGGATGCAGCTCTCGTTGCCGACGGTGAAAGTGTCGTTTGGAGGTGCGCGGATCCCGCACCCGGCATTCTTACTTTGTGAAGGAGAATTGACGTCGCAGTCGGGTGTCGTAAGGGTTCCGGAGAAGAGGTCAGAGTGGCCGCGGTTGGTGCCTGTTATGGCACAGTTGGCGGAAGTGTGAAGGGTTGCTGTGTTGTAATCGTGACCATTGACTTGTTCAACCNNTATTTAGAAGTTAGCAAAGATTCTTTTGGTGAGGGTTAGGGTGGGATGGCCATAAACAGCCACCCAAGGGGAAATACGTACAATATCGATTTCTCCTGAATTGGGCCAGTTCGGACCCGTCATCCAGAGTGCAGGCCATACACCACAACCGCTAGGCATATGCTTGATATCAGCGAGCACTAGGGCGTGGTTGTAGGACTTNTTGGAGGTAAGGCGAACAGAAGGGCGATTGGCAGTAATCGTTGTAGAGTCCACGCCGATATAAGCAGAAGGCTCAGAACCATCGTCGTTGAGGACGACGCCAATGAGCTTGTTAGGGGCAGCAGTAAGTCTCGAGGTGTAGGCAGTTGCGCCGTTCGTGGGATCGGCCTTAGTGAAAAAGTCGAAGCTGTCGAAGAAAGTACTGCCGATGTGTTGCTCAACCAGTTGATAACCGTGGCTGAGAGTTGTGCTTGCAGCCAAAGCGGCAAGTGAAAGTTTGATAAAAGACATGATAGATAAATTTGGTATTGTCAGTGTTGTTGGTGTTTTGAAGACTTCGAGTATGATGGTGCCTGCTTGGGATAAATAGAAATGACATTCTCGGAACAAGGACAGTGACTAAAAGCCTGGAACAAAGGAGAAACAACAGGGCTGCTCGAGTCAATAAAAGCAAGACACAATAGCAACAAAGGGATACTCCATCAAACAAGGAGCAGGTTCTATTACCTTCACTTACACACAGAGAAAGAGAGTGGTTGGGTGGGAGAGGAGACAATGAACATCCTTTGAAACGAAGTCCGTTTGATTTTGTATTATTAGGCGCCGGTTATGACATGGCGAGTATCTGGTACGAATTTTGGGTGGAGAAACAAAAAGGAATCTTCCTGACAAGCCTGAGATAGAGGCTCTTACATTCGAGAAATGAATGCAGAAAAGTATGATCGCATGGCGATGGTGGTGGTTAAGAAACCCAGTGAGCGCTCGTCTTCGGGTGAACCGTCTACAGCTTTCCCTCAGCTTGTGCCTCTCTGACTGTCTCGAAAACCTGATAACAGTTAGTGGATCTTGTATGAACAGTAGGATTGAATTCGGAAAGTGATATCCTTACCTTGAGGAGCTTTCGTCTAGCACCAAGAGCATTAACACCCTTCTTGTCGAGAGCGTCGTCATCAAGCTGAACAAGGTCTTGCCAGCGCATGTCTTTGAGTTGGTCTGTGTACTTGTGCAGTCTCAGACTACGCAGCCAGCTGGGAACGTCACTCAAAAGCTGGAGGTCAGTGGGGTCCTCTGGGGGCTTGGAGCTGCCACGTCTACCACGAGGTGATCTACCGCGAGCTTCAGAGTGATCGGAAAGATAACCTTCGTGACCGCCCATGCCAAAGTTGGCCAGGTTGAGAGCGCCCATGTTTGCATTCAGCATGCCAGCATCATAAGTCGAGAGGAAACCGTTGTTTTGGGTCATGGGAAGGTGACTCATGTTGGAACCAGGAGGGCCAGAGATGGCAATACCGGGAGAGCTGGGACGCGAGCGGCCTCCTTGGAGGGCAGCAAGCTGCTGAGCTTGCAGAGCGGCGGCCTGTTGAGGACTCAGAACCTGACCGAGTTCGTTGGTCATGAGGATGTTCATGTTTTGCTGTTGCTGATATTGGGGCTGACCCTCAGAAGAGCGTGCTCGGCGGAATTTCTTAACATCATCGAGCTGGATGCGGTTGTTGACAGTAGAGAGAGCGGCCAGCTTCATAGCAGTGGCATTGGCGACCATGTCTGCATGCGCAGCACTCTGCTGCTGTGTGTTGAAGTTGGGGATCATGGGAGTGTTGACCATTGAGGCCCAGCTGTTGTTGGGGTTGTAAGGCGAGAGGATGTTCATAGCAGGGTCCTGGTTGGGTGCAGAGACGGTGGTGTTCTGTAGGTTGGTGTCACTCGACAGTTGGAAGGGGCGGGGCGAGCGCAGAGGCTGGCTGAACTGGCCCATGGGCTGTTGACCCTGCGATGAGCGGGGTCTAGTGATGGGAGGTTGGTTCTCGTTGCGGCTGTTGTTCCAGGGCGAGGGAGAGAGTGGCACAGGGGCATCTTTCTTGTCATCGAAGAGAAGGGATGAGCGATCACCAACGCGGCTCGAGGTGGGAGTGTTGCCGGTGTGCTCCTTGAAGTCGGCCTTTTGTTTTGCGATAGCAGCGGCGGCATCGGGGAAGAGCGAGTTGATGGTGCTTGGGTCAAGTCCCGAGTTGCGCTTGGCTCCAGGGGATGGTGGGGGCTTAGCACCAAAGCCGAAAGATGATCTCGTGCCCTCCATGTTGAGTCTGCTCATAGCATCGTTAAGACGGGTGGACATGGGATCTNNGACACAGCATCACAGGTCAGCTAGGTACATGAAGGTCCAAGGTGTTGCAAACGTACCCTTCTCGCCGAAGTTGGCAGGAGACAGAACACCCGACATGGGGTGGCTCTTGGCCATCTGCTGCAGGACTTGGATGAAGAAGCGAATCTGCACCTGGGTCGTCTGCTGCAGTAGGGCGTACAGAGCGGCGGTGCGCTCGGGCTCGCTGAGCACGCGGAACCACTGCTCAATAGCGCTCAGCTCGTCCTTGAAATCTTGGTCCAATGTAGCAGCGGCCATGTCCTCGAGCGTCGTCTCGTACTGGTCGATGTCGGCGATCCATTGCTGAGCGGCCTTGTCGGCGGCGTCATCCTGGCTACCAAGGCCAACACCGCTGAAGTAGACCTCGCTGGCGGGTCGGATGCCCCGGGATGCCAGAGGGGACGAGGTCGAGAAGGCGCCCATGTCGGCCGAGGCGCGCAGGTGGTGGCCGGGGTTCATGCCGCGAGACGAGGGCGGGCGCAGGGTGGAGCTGCTCGCATCAGGCGTGCTGTTGCGGTTGCCGATGCTGTGGTTGGACGACGACATGGTGTTTCTGGGCAAAAGGAATGTGGTAGTGGCTAATAAGAAATATTAACTGACGGAGAACCTGCAGTTCCTGCTGTCCTCAAAGGCCTCCGGTCGTAGCTTTGTCTTTGACGCGGCTACCGTGCGCAGACAAGCCAATAGAGAAGAAAAGGACAGAAGCGACGATGTGGTGGGTGACGGAGAGAAAGAAAGTCGAACAAAGCACAGAGTCCTCGACGTTGCTGCCACACGCTCAGACTCCTGATTCCTGCTGCACCGAAAGCCTGGCGCTAAATTCGCCAATTGCTGCCGCTGTGAACAACTCTTCACCATCATTCCAACACCACTTGTTCTTTTCTCTCTCGTTGAGCTACCTAGTCTGCCTGTCCGTTTCTAAGTCTTACCACCCATTCATATATCCTCTTGCTGCGCCATGCCCATTGTCCGCACGAGCTGCTACTGCCTTCGAGTCGTGGCCCAGTAATATAACCCGCAGCTACCTTACTCAGCCACTGATGGCCCTACGCCATCCAATATCGCTTTGCATATCACTACCTCGTATATCTGTTTCTTGCTATATCGCCCCGTCGTGTTTCAACCTGACCCTCTCCGCCTGTTCTTGCCGGCCCTCATCCCGAAACGATCCTCCACGCCAAGCTGACCGTTGATCAACCTTCCCCGTCGAGTAAATGATTTGTTTACCTTCATGAATCTGTAAACATTGGTCGGACGGGTGCAGGTGGCCGCCGTGGGTTGTTATTCCTCGGGATAGCCCTTTGTGCCATTGTATGTCGACCAGATCTGTGACAAACAAGGCCCCTGTTCCGGTCGACTGTCAAAGAGCACGTTGCTTCTTGGCCAAACTCTTGATGCTTTTGGACCCTAGAAAGGTTAATCTTGTTTAAACGCCAGTCACGAGGCTCTCTACTGAACCACATGTGTTAATCAATGACAACACAACTGAAGTAAGCAATGTCGAAATGCATCTTGATGATTGATTGTGGCTCGATTTGATATTCCTATGGGCTTTACAGTCTCCACTGTGCGTCGTCCTGTTCATCCTCTTAATCCCCTTGTTTTGAAACCACAAGATTTGTTTGTTTCCTCAAGAGCCTAGCTCAATGCCATGGTCAAATGTGGTCGTGCCCTATCAAGGCGTTGTCCGGTGCCTGGAGTGTATCCTTGTGTATCCTTGCGTATCCCAGCATTTCTTCCATGAAGAACAGAGTGAGGTAGTGTCATACCCCAATCCCAGATCCTTGTCTGACTTCACGAGTTGTTCAGAACCTTTCTGGCGATGGCAGCTTCAGACTCAAGGTCGAAAGCCTCGGCCTCAAGACGCATGGCCTGGCCACGAAGACGCTTGGCTCGGGCACGCATCTCCATGGCACCAACCTGAAGGCTCTCGTTGAGCTGCTCGGTGGTCTTTGGCATGTGAGTACTGGCAGGGCGATGAGGGTTGTTGAAGAAGTTGAGAGGATTCATGTTGGAGGTGCCGTTGATCTGGTGAGTACCGTTGTGCATGTAGACAGAGGCAGGGGTAGGAGAAGGCATGTCGCCAGGGGAGCGGCCGTCGTCAGTGTATCCAGGGGTCTCATCCTGAACCTGTTCCTCCTGCTTCTTCACGCCGGGACCTGGCTCACGCTCGAGCTCCTGGAAGGTCTTCATGTCGATGTCCTGCTGCTGGATACCCTTGGCAGCCTCCCCGGCCTGGTGACGCTTGACGTTGTCAACGACGCGTTGGATATCACCAAGCAGAAGTTCAGCGACCCTTCTCTGAGGGTTCTTGCCATCTCCCTGGCGCTTCTGGACCTCGTGGACCATGAGCTCCTGAGCAACAGTCGGTTTGCCCGACATCATGGTCGACAACTCTTCGAGGCCACGCAAAAGCTCAACGCTCCAGTTCCACCAGATCTCTTCAACGCCGGCAGCATCTCCCACGCGAATCTTGGCTCCCCTCTTGAGCTCGACACGAGGGCGGATTTTCATGGGAATGCTTTCCTGGACGCTACAGCCCCAGTTTGCCTCGATACGGGTTCTGCGGTTGGTCTTGACATTTCTGTCTCTGGGGTGAAGCTCTTCGAACTTGCGACGGACAGGAGCCGGGCGAGACATGGCAATGGAGTTTGGTTTGCGTAAGTGGATGTGTGGTGTCGTGGTCCGACTGGTAGCAGAGATATTGTTAGTGGCAGAAACATTGTGAATGACTCGCGTGACATACTGACTTGGTTGAGCCTCTGCTTTGGGAAAGTGTGCTTTGTGGTCTTGGTTGCTGGTGCGGTTTCTTCAGTGTCGCCTGTTGAGGTGATACGCGCGAGTGAAGGCGCTGTGTAGTTTTGTAAGCAAAATGTCCAAGCAGGAGACAAAGATAGAAAAAGTGGTGGAAGGTGCAGAAGAAGAAGTGTTGAGGGTAGGGGGACAGGATGTGGAGAAGAATGGAGTGTAGATGTGACGACGTCCCGCCGCTCGTCGATGCCGCCTATTAAGATCCGATAAAAGCTGAGAGAGCGAGATCCTGGCTTGGAACTCCTAGTTATGGGACTCGATATGATGTGTCAGCTGGGGAACCTTTCAGCGCAGGCGTATCACCAGAAAGAATCCAGTGTGCAATCTGACATGGAAACCCCGGCCCAAAGCGAAGTCAGCACCCCGTGTTGGGCGAAGACGCGAGGAAAAGGTAAGGCAAAGCAAGAATAATAATGCCCAGGCCACACTACGAAAGTGTGTTCGTGTAGCTGTGACCCTGCGACTAAAAGCTGAGCGCCGTTGCAGGGATGGGAGTATAGGATTGGCAGTACGCAGGCCCACTTGTGACCGTAGGGACGATGTGTGTCAACAGCGACAGAGCATTCGAGCACAGATATTGTTTATATCCATAAGACAGAGCAGGAAGTTGCGTGGCATATGTTGCCCCCACCACACTGGACAGGCAAACGAAGAGGCTAGACCCACTGATAAACCAGATGTGGGCTCCTCAAGCCAGGATGGGAAAGATTTGGATGAACAGACGGTCGAGCATGATCAGAAAGAAGAGGAGATGATTGAAGTTTGGAAAATAGGGCACATAGAAGATGAACAAACAACTTACCTGACGTTCTCTGAACTGACAGAGAAGGACTGCTGTCGACAATGTCAAGAGATAACGCGAGCATGCGTATGTACGAGCAGTTCCACGACAAGGATCACTCGGACACAAAAGGTCCACGAGTGCGCTGTGGTGATGGTAACGAGCCAAGACCGAAGGAAGATGCCGGAACGTTTGGAGGTGAGACTTGAGCAACACGCAAGTAAAGTCATGGATTGTTTAAGAGATTCTCCAGAGTAGGATATTCTCAACGACTGTCAACAATACCAATATACTCCGTGGTGCCTCGAGAGGGCCAGGCGAAATCGCAGAGAGAGATCCTGGGCACAACGAGCAAACCCAAATATCCTGCACTCCTGGATTGATGAGTCCAGTCGGAGATGAATATTGTAGCAGCACAACAAACATGCAGACGGAAGAGCTCCAGTTGAAGCAATGCCAACATAGCATGTGTTCGGTCTTCTACACACTTCTCGCCTGTATGTTTGGGTCACATGCGTGACTATAAAATTGCACAATACTTTCAAGAAACAGAGCATTGTCCACCGAGAGCGGCCGTCTCTCCAGCTCTCTCTGGACATTTGTCCGTGATTGGACGCGACTGTGTATCTCAATGGCTCGCAAATCGTTCGGCGTCACCGCGAGACGGTGCAAAGACGAGATCGAGAACGAGCTTCAGCCTTCTAAGCGCGAATCAGGTCCATGAACGGGCCTACTGAACATGAAAGTTTTCTAGAGGGCCGGCTAGTTTGACCTTTCGAAGAAACCATCGAGTCAATCACCATCTACCGGGGGGTGACATCGCGTCAAATTTCGGGAGCGGTAGAATATGTGGTTGACTGTAGTTTGGAAATGACAGCAAGCGTGGCTTGGTCTCTCCATGGAAGGGCATGCCGGATCTCCGAGACCGCCTGCACTCTTTGGCAGGACACCATGAAGATTAAGAATGCGTCTGCCAGATTGAGAGCATGTCCCCAGCTCGGCCATATGTGGACGATTGCAGCATCTCACGATATAGATGAGACTCCGCCATTCGATCGATTGATATGAGCATGTCTGAGATACAGTAGCAGGTTGCGAAAGGCTGATCGCTGGATCTGCACGCTCCGTCTCGATGAGCGGTCAAGCAAAAAAATGATGGCGTCAAACAGAAGGACTTCCTTGATTGTCAGCGCATGCGGTTGTGCGGTCGGTGAGGCACGGGGTAAGGCTGAAGCCTGAGATTCTTGGCAGGAACCATCTCATTTCCCGAGGAAGAGCGCGAGGATCAACGAGTGTCTGTTTTAGCACGCCATCATGGAACAAATCGAAGGTTCATGGAAGCTTTTGCGCGTCATGATCTTGTCCTTAATGTCCTGGTGCGCGGATGACCAGCTCGGGACGAAACCAGCACCAAACGTCCGGTACTCGAGAGTGTTCCATACGTTGCAGAACCGACAACCTGCACCGTCCTCTTCATCTCCTACCGGATTCAGACAAAGGTGCATTGCTGACACAGCCTGGAAACCCGCAGCTNCTATCGACGAATCCTTCGATCTGTTTATCGAGTTGCGGCGCCTGCAANCAGCATGTGAGCTCTGCATTTCAGCTTCTACTTCTGATCAATCCCAAGCGACTGTGCCCCCCACTTGGAGAGGCTGTGTGTTATTCTTAGACCGCCATTGTTGTTTACCTACAAGATTACCAAGCTCACAANTGACGCCCAACGAACTGGATCNNCGGGTGAGCACTGGCTCTCTCTTCCAGAAAACGTCCTNNGGCCGGAGACGACTTGTTCACAGACCGTAGTGGGGTTCATNNGAGCAGTCTGGGAAGGCGTTGCGCGTCAAAAGCGCCTTTGCACTGTCATGCATGTGTCTGCGAACTCATGAGTTTGGAACTAACCCACCCCCGAGTCATTCCCNNCTTCAGACCCTGGTCAATCGCTGGCTCGTATTTTGGAACGCCATGCGATCCGTCCGGTCAGTTTAATAACGGCCCGCGCATCATGTGTGTGTCCATCTAGCCAAGTCCCGCAGGGCTGTTGCGGCTTTGCTTGCTTACACCGGAGGTTATCCATCCTTCCATGCATTGCAGCACCACGCTGCGCGCGAATCAGCGCGAGAGGCGCGTGCTCGACCATGTCATGGTGATGTTCCTTGCATTATGAAACGCAGCCTTCCACAGGTAGGTCGGTCCGTCCGGACAGCTCTCGCACGCTCCCGGGCACCCATATGAGCCATGCTAGCCCCCCACTATGGTTTCCTTCACCGTAGCATCCTTCGAACCTCGTGTATATATACCCAGTCGATGCCCTTGACTTGACGATCATCCAACAGACTTTCACATCCCCCGACCTTCACAATGGACGCCTTCAACTATCCTAACCGCCTATTACATCAACCTTACCCAGAGTCCTTTGGCTCCCCGGTACTACTTTGCTCAAGCCCTGACANNACCAAATCATCGACCACTGCTATCCGGAAGACTTTCAACCCATGTTCAACACCTGTCAATCACCTATGTTCCGTTCCCTGCAACCTATCGTTCCCACCCAGCATGAACCCTNACTCGGGACAGTGTACACCTACATCCTACTCGGGACAATGCACCCCAACATGGCCAGAGTCGTATCCTTACCAGCCGGTCTTCATGGACTACAACAACTTCAATGTTGTTCGCTCCAGCCCTTCTCTTCTCCCCTCTATCGAACACACAACCCTGAGCCGACCTGTTTCAAGAGCGCCTTCATTCAGATCCGACACGAGTTCTTCATGGATGAGCTGCCCAAGAAGCAACCCTTCCCGCTCCTCATCACCCAACGCTGGTGAGATGTCCAAGTATGGAGCTCCCAGTGAGGATGGTACCTGGAGATGTGCTTACCCTGGATGCACATCCAAGTCTGTCTTCCGCCGAGGATGCGATCTGCGCAAGCATTACCGCAGACACACGAAGACCCTCTTCTGTCGCCATATCGGTTGCCGCGCCGCAAGCGAAGGAGGCTTTTCTAGCGAAAAGGACCGCGCACGCCATGAGGCTAAGCACGATCCTAAGATCGTCTGCGAGTGGGACGGCTGCAGTAGAGTGTTCAGCAGAGTGGACAACATGGTGAGTTTCTACAATAACACGTTTCTTGATGTACAAGCAACTAACAATCCATGCAGANGAGATCATGTTCGCCGCATCCACCGCCGCAAGCTCGTCAAATGAAGAGTTGCAGAATGCTATTCACGAATTACGATATGATTGTGGTCGACTTAATGTATACATCGGGAAATGGTCACAATGAGGATGGGATGAAGTGGCCGACGGCTTACTTGTCTATATTAAATATTGACCGGCGGATGGGCTTGGCGTAACCATTGGATGGGGAGACTCTACAATAGGCAGGTGTTCATATGGAAGGAGGTCTTGGTGCATTGCTGGACTGCTATTCGGGATGGGGCGGTGGGTTTCTTTTGGTGTTTTCTTTTCTTGGATTGATACCCCTGCATTTGCTGCGACTCATGGCAATAGAAGGACAATAAGCATATACCGCAACAAACGGTCTCTTTTCATCTATGTTGTATATTGCTTGCTTGCACCATGATCTGCAGTCTCCCAATCGCTGCGCCGCCAATCACTAATCAGATCAATCAATGCCAACTCAAAACTTGCGGTCGACCAATCTGTTGGTACACTCGTGTTGGCAGCGCCATGCTAACCAGACGTGGACTCGACAGGCCTGACACCATCTCTGAGCAATTTCCCGATTCTGCTGGAAGGCCGAGATTCGTCGATTCTCACATAGATTGGCTTCCAGTCATGCGAGATGGCACGTGGATAGCCAGGGTTATGGTAGCGACTTGGTAGCGTCAACCAGATGCATCGCAGATGCAGATCCAAACCTCAGCTGGGAAGTGGTGTGTTGGTCTGCGCTGAAAGACAGGTGACAAGAATTTGAGAGATTGCCCAATCGGTCACATTATCCTATCATGGAAGACTAGGTTCATGTTTGAATGATGTCAAGTTGGGAGAGCGGTCTGTGACCACAATCGAGGCAAGCTTGGGAGTGGAGACTGGATTCTGCAGCGTTGCCGCAACAACCAGAGCTTGTAAACATGCTGGCTTTCTCTTTCCACAGTAGCTTGATCGTGAAGACAATATCGACCAAGGCAGAAAATGGCAATCAAGATGGCACCCTCTCGCTATGTGGATGACAGCGACAGCGACGACCTCCCCGAACTGGATGCGCTCATCAACAGACACGTCAAGGGACTACCTGCCCTCAATGCGCCGAAGCTCACAGCCTCAAAACCGACCGTACCTCATCTGGTACCTCAGAAACCTGCTGAAAGAACACAAAGATCCAAGACCGACACGACCAAAACAAATGCACCCTCAAAGAGCTCGACAAGAGCAAAGACGTCCAGTCAGCAACACACTGAGCTGAAGTCAGCCCCCGAAGCCAGACGAGCAGTACCGGAGCCCAAGCTGCAATTTAGAGCTCGTGGACAAGCCGCGCTGAAGGAGGCAGAGGCGAAGGCCAAGGAAACAAAGCCAAGAGCAACACCACACAGGAGAGCAAAGCCAGCATCGCGACGCCTTCCGCGCATAGAAGACTCGGGGTCGGAAGAAAGCCATGAAGAGGTGGAAGAGCAGGATGTAGAAGAGAGCATATACTGCGAAAGCGACAAAGAGGATGAGGTCCCAGTGCTTGCGCCGAGAGCTGTGAACAAGCCTACGAGAAGGCTTGTCCCTGGTCGAAGGAGTCCGGATCTAGATTCAAGTGACTCGGACGAGGATGTCTTCCATACTCCTCCAAGCAAGCAGTCACAGAAGCCTTCGAAGGAAAGCTTCACTACAAAGACTTCGGACGACCTCACTCAGAAACTGCTTCAATTGGATCTTGACGGCTCGGACAAGGAGAACGACAATCTCGCCATACTCAAGTTGTAGGTTTTCTCACATCAAAACGTACACGCGCAGTCCACTAATGATCTGATAGCTNCTCCTCCACGAGCAGCACGGCCAATCATGTTGGAACGACCAGCAACTCCTCCGCCAGCCTCCCCTTCAAAGTCTCGCCTTGTCTCTCCCTCCAAGAAGAAACAGCGCATTCCCACACCTCCTCATGCACCCAACTTCGAAGAGTTCTGGAATGTTCATGCAGTGAACACTTGGAACGACGAATACTCCCCTCAAAAGCCCCTCATGTCACCAAAGAAGAACCGCAAGGCATTGCAAGAAGACTCGGACTCTCCCTCCTCATCACCAAAGAAGTCACAAAGCCCTGCAAAGAAGACTCGCGCTGAGATGGACGCAAAGAAGGACTTTGAGAACAGAAAGCACAATCTTGTCGAAGACTTCTTTGCCGAGCTTGACGACAAGATCACGGAGAACAAGATCGGAGATCTGGCTGCCTTGACTGGTGGTGTCAAGTTCGTCTGGAGCAAAACACTCAACTCGACTGCAGGTCGAGCAAACTGGAAGCGCGAAACAACAAAACACAGAAACCTTGACGGCTCGATAACAACCACCCAAAAGCACCACGCCTCCATTGAACTGGCCGAAAAAGTCATTGACGACGAAGAACGTCTCTTAAACGTTGTGGCTCACGAATTCTGCCATCTTGCCAACTTCATGGTCAGCGGGATTAAGGATCAACCGCATGGCCACCAATTCAAGGTCTGGGGCAAGAAATGCAGTGATGCGTTTGGTCACCGTGGTGTGGAAGTCACAACAAAACACTCCTACCACATCGATTACAAGTACATCTGGACGTGCACAAACGACATGTGCAGTCATGAGTTCAAGCGCCATTCCAAGAGCATTGATCCAGCCCGTCACTCATGTGGAGTGTGCCGCGGTAAGCTCGCTCAAACAAAACCAGTGCCCAGAAAGCAGGCAGGTCCAACCAGCTATGCAGCTTTCGTCAAGGCCAACTTTGCGACTCTGAAGCAGGAAATGGCAGGAGCACCTCACAAGGAAGTCATGGCTGCCTTGGGACAAAAGTATCGCGACCAAAAGGCCAAGGGCGAGTTGAGTGTTGCAACACCACCGGCTGGAGTGGAAGATATGGCGAAGGCATTGGAGGTGGTGACTTTGGACAGCGAGTGATGTGGTGGATGCATGATTTGTCCAAGCTCTTTCTGTTTGTTTTTCATTTCCATGATACCCATGCCTTTCCGATGTTCAACTGCTCAAGAAGGTTCTATATATTTGTTTCCACCAGACCCAATGTACATATTACTGCACAAACCAACCTCGATATTCGAGACAATCATTCCTGAACAAACAAATCCCAATCCTTGATTTCGAGAGTCTGCAAGATGCGGTCGCGGAACGATGTTGCGGCATCTAGCATTGGTCCCTGCTTTCCGGCTGATGGGTCAACGTCGTCTTTGTTGTATTCACCATCTACGTGAGGGACGTTGACGGAAATGACAAGGTCGGTTTGTTGGCGCTCCAGGCGGATGAGTGTGAGTAGGATGCCAGTGAAGTCGGGAGCTTTGCCGCGAGACACGGCGTCTGCTGATGCTGTGTGTGTGGCGAAAAGAGTGTAGGCGGGTGTTTGTNNGGTCTGTGACATGGGCATGAAGGATCAGCGGGGGTTCGAGAAGATGAAGGGTATGAAGGAGAATGGGCAACATGAACGTTGAAACAAGTTGGTGAAATCTGCAAGAGGTGATTTCAAACACGATGACGAGAATACTGTGTAAGAGTTGAAGACTTACGGTAACTTGCTAAACACAGCAGAATTCGATGTCCAGAGTTTAGTAGCATTTACATCATCCTCGACGACATCTTCAAGATGGTATTTCAGAGCATCCAGATCCGGTTTGTCGACACGCTCCAAGATATCAAACACGATACTTGAGAGACCATCTTTGTCCAAGTAGACTTCTTGGTTGTCGGGTACTTGTCTAATTTGGCTGTTTCGCAAGTCAGTGAGTGTTTTGCGCTTTTGTCGTGCTGCAAGACTTGATTCTTCTTACCTGACGTCTGCGAAATTGGAGGGGAGGTCGACGGTCATGGCACCGCCGTAGAGTTCGACTTTGGTGAACGACATGATGGTGTTGTTTGAATTGTGAAAAGGCTTCGAAGTTTTGATTGTAATGTTTAGTTGAGTTTTTGAAGATATTGTGGTTTTTCTGTCTTGGAGAGACGTCTAGCACAGAATTTGTAGTCGCTGGTCCTCAGGCAGCAATACGCTGCTAGGCAGACATCGACATCGTCACACCATACAATTGTCTACGATTCGCTGATTTCACGGCTCTTTAGTTCAGCGCTTGGTAAGAGCTTCTAATCAATCGAATAATGAGTCACTGAAGATGCAGAATGATATATTTTCAAGATGAGTTGGTTGTGTTCATTGAGCAAGCATTGCGACTGAGTGCAAAGTCACAATGGCATAATAATTATGTTCAATCAATCCTCCTTCCTCCCACCGCTTGGCGTAAGTCTGCCGGCATGTTTGTTACCACGGTAAGTCGTATCCGCGGAGCGAATCTGGACCGTCGTCTCCATCGTTTGTTCTCAACCGGGATCGCCCGATGTTTGAGATGTGTGAAGCACAGGAACTTCTATCAGAACCGAAGGTACTCATGAGCCAGCGGAGTAATGATGACTGTTGTCTGCAGACTGGTTGTTCAGGTGTCAAGCCTTCGAATCCTGCTTGAAGGGCACGGCGCAACCGCCATCATGGCGAGTGATGTCTGATACGACTTGTGTGTCGAGAGCACATAGTTGTTGTGTGTATCTTGATGAGCAGTGGACGATAGTCATGCAATTGTTCAGGTGGCCTCAGCCATCTCAAGCTCGTGGTCGTCTCCCTTGCGCTTGCCGTTGTCTGTCCAGGTCAGGCCAGCAGCAGCATCGGCCTCCTTTTGCGAGTAAGGTTCTTCCTTGAGCTGACGGACTCTNGAGATACTTGTCAGTGCTGTACAAGACATCTTCAAGACGAAGACTAGGACTCACCTGCGCTTGTGGGGCTTTCCCTTGGAGTGAGCGGTCAGGTTCGCTTCAGACTCGAACCATTTCGCGCACTCGACGCAGTAGAACTGTCCCAGACCGGGAAGGTCTTCTGCGGCCTTTGTGCTCTTGTACTTTTCCAAATGCTTCTCCTTGTGGATGTCGTCGTGGATCTGGTCCAGATCGCGCGTGTGACGGCGAGTCTTCTTCTTCGAGTCTTGACCGCGAATGGCAGGCATCGTGAATTCCTGTTGAATTGTGTATACGTCGCTCGAGTGTATATGCTATTCGAGGTAGTGGGGTCGCAGTCGCAGTTGCCGTGGTCACGCAGAGTTATTGGGTTCAAGGCTTTTGCGAAAGTTGATGCAACCCGCATGGAATTTTTAGCCAGGGCACGCACGCCAAGCACTTGCTTTCCGCCTCGAAGCCAGATCCAACATCAGAGCAGTTTTGAAACATACAAGTGGCCGAACTGAGTCTCAAGACTACTCGTGGGTTTGTTACCTAGCAATTATCTCAACAAAAAAAAGCCTCGATAGCAATGCTAACTCGTCTACAGATGTGCAAATACTGGCAAGTCTGTTAAGAACACGACAAGTTCTATGTGATGGCGTACAGCACACGTTCCAAACAATCACATGCATGGACGTCGGCTCCAACTTTTGGAAAAAATTGCTCGTAGCCGATCGAACCGGCCGAGTTCGTGTCTTGCCGACCGAACAATCAGCGAGCACCGATTTGGAGACACCCGTCAACCAATAAATAGGCGGGCCCCTCCGATGTTTACCGGCACGGCTACGTGAGCACCCGCACGCGGCAGGTACAGCTGTTTCGAAAGCTGGGCATGGCAGCCCCTGGAAGCTTCAAGGAGCGCATGCAAAACAGCTCGAGGAAGGTAGGGATAGAGATCACGATCACGATAAGGGAGTAGCTGTGAACCGCCGTCTGATGTCAGGAAGACCCCCAGCAACGAATGAGGATCGAGATGACAAGCAAGCAAGCTGGACGGAAGCGAAAAAGCACAGAGGCGGCGGGGGTGTGTAAAACGAGCAGCTAGACCAGCATGGCTCGTGCGCCAGAGCCAATGGGAGCAGTTTTGATGAGGCCGGTCGCTTTGACCGAGGGCCAAGGGAGGACTCGTTGCGGTATCTTCTCTTAAATAACTCTATCGTCTTCTTTTCCCATCAACACCTCTCCGCTTCACCACCTCTCCCCACCCCCGTGTGTCCTTCTTTTAGCCTTATAGGCACCTAGGTCACTGTCAATAGCTCCCCCGCCGTTGACCATCACAATGCAGTCTGCTCGTTTGGCAGCGCGCAAGCTGGTAAGGCCTTTTCACAGCTTGTTTCCTGCCAGAACACCTCACTGACGAGCTCCAACAGCTGGGCCGTCGCGCCTTTGCGACTGTCGGCGACTCGCCTCTTTCCAAGAAGGTTGAGATGACCAACTGGGAGACCGGCAACTACATCAACTACGCCAAGATGAGCGAGAACCTCAACATCGTTCGCCAGCGTATGAACAACCGCCCCTTGACCTACGCCGAGAAGATTCTCTACTCGCATCTTGACAACCCCCACGAGCAGGAGATTGAGCGTGGTGTCTCTTACCTCAAGCTCCGTCCCGACCGTGTGGCTTGCCAGGACGCCACCGCCCAGATGGCCATTCTCCAGTTCATGTCCGCTGGCATGCCCTCCGTCGCCACTCCTTCCACTGTCCACTGTACGTACGACAAGGATACAAACAGCATAAGCCAAACCCCATCAGATGGGGTTGCGGCTGCTATGTGTTCCACGTTCAAGCACAAGAAATATGCTAATTCAAAGAAAAGGTGACCATTTGATCGAGGCTCAGATTGGTGGTGAGAAGGATCTCGCCCGTGCTCAGGACATCAACAAGGAGGTCTACGACTTCCTGTCCACTGCTTGTGCCAAGTACAACATTGGTTTCTGGAAGCCCGGCTCTGGTATCATTCACCAGATCATTCTTGAGAACTACGCTTTCCCTGTAAGCTTTTGCCATCTTGCTTCGTTTCGGATCTTGTACTGACACCATCAACAGGGCGGATTAATGATCGGAACTGACTCTCACACTCCCAACGCTGGTGGTCTCGGTATGGCCGCCATTGGTGTCGGTGGTGCTGACGCCGTCGATGTCATGGCCAACCTCCCCTGGGAGCTCAAGGCACCCAAGGTTATTGGTGTCAAGCTTACTGGCGAGCTTTCTGGCTGGGCTTCTCCTAAGGGTATGTTTTTGCTTGACCTATGTTCTTCTTGCATCGATACTGATTTTCTTCATAGATATCATCTTGAAGGTTGCAGGTATCCTCACAGTTAAGGGAGGCACGGGTGCAATTATCGAATATCAGTAACACGTCCCATTTCTTCACAAAACACGAGAAAAGAAGCTAATCATCCCCTAGCGGTCCCGGTGTTGACTCTATCTCTGCGACTGGTATGGCCACCATCTGCAACATGGGGTACGTTTCTCCTTGAGTTTTTCTCAACCCCTGTCTCCGGCGAAGAAGAAAAGATTCAAGAATATGCGGCATCTCCAGCAAGAAAGACTGCTCGGATATACCATCAACATGCACGATTCTTTGTCGCCACGTGAGGCGTCCATTGAGAGTGTCCTGCTTCAAAAGAGTCGTCCACATCTCAATGGCGGAATCAACGAGCAGACAAACTATCTTGCATTGCGATGGGGTACTCACTGCGAATGCATGGCTCTGAGATGCCGCAGACCTGCTTCTCTATTTCCAGCCGGAACATCCACGAGTTATTGGTGAACATTGGCTGACAATCAATTAGTGCTGAGATTGGTGCTACCACCTCCCTCTTCCCCTTCAACGACCGCATGTACGACTACCTCAACGCCACCAAGCGCAAGCACATCGGTGACTTCTCTCGCACCTACGCCAAGGAGCTCAAGGAGGACCAGGGCGCAGAATATGATTCTCTTATCGAGATTAACTTGTCCGAGCTCGAGCCTCACATCAACGGTCCCTTCACCCCCGATCTTGCCACTCCCATCAGCAAGTTCAAGGAGGCCGTCAAGGCCAACAACTGGCCCGAGGAGATGAAGGTCGGTCTCATCGGCTCTTGCACCAACTCCTCTTACGAGGACATGTCGCGTGCCGCTTCCATCGCCCGTGACGCTCTCGACCACGGTATCAAGGCCAAGGCCCTCTTCACCGTCACCCCCGGTTCCGAGCAGATCCGCGCCACCATTGAGCGTGACGGTCAGCTCCAGACCTTCGAGGAGTTCGGTGGTATGGTTCTTGCCAACGCCTGCGGACCCTGCATTGGTCAGTGGGACCGTCGCGATGTCAAGAAGGGCGAGAAGAACTCGATCGTCTCTTCTTACAACCGTAACTTCACCTCCCGTAACGATGCCAATCCCGCCACCCACGCTTTCGTCACCTCCCCCGACCTCGTCGTGGCCATGACTATCGCCGGTACTCTCAACTTCAACCCTCTCACTGACTCCCTCAAGGACAAGGATGGCAACGAGTTCAAGCTCAAGGCCCCTACCGGTGACGGTCTGCCCGCCAACGGCTACGACCCGGGAATGGACACCTACCAAGCTCCTCCCCAGGACCGCTCCCAGGTCAATGTTGCTGTCTCCCCCACCTCTGACCGTCTCCAGATCCTCGAGCCCTTCAACGCTTGGGACGGCAAGGACGCCACAGACCTTCCCATCCTGATCAAGGCTCAGGGTAAGACCACCACCGACCACATCTCCATGGCCGGTCCCTGGTTGAAGTACCGTGGTCACTTGGACAACATCTCCAACAACATGCTGATTGGTGCCATCAACTCCGCCAACGGCGAGGCCAACAACATTGAGAACTACACCAACGGTGAGTTCGGCACCGTTCCCGGTGTTGCCCGTGACTACAAGGCCAAGGGTATCCGCTGGGTCGTCGTAGGTGACTGGAACTACGGTGAGGGTTCTTCCCGTGAGCACGCCGCTCTCGAGCCTCGTCACCTTGGTGGTCTCGCCATCATTGTCCGTTCGTTCGCCCGTATCCACGAGACCAACTTGAAGAAGCAGGGTATGCTTCCTCTTACCTTCTCCGAGCCTGCCGATTACGACAAGCTCAACCCCGATGACAAGGTTGACCTCCTCTGCACTGAGCTCGCCGTCGGCAAGCCCATGACCATGAAGGTCCACCCTAAGAACGGCGAGTCCTACGAGATTAAGCTTTCGCACACCTTCAACGAGGGCCAGATCGAATGGTTCAAGAACGGCTCTGCCCTCAACACCATGGCCAAGGCCACCAAGAACTAAATGATGCACGAATAGTCACGTCGGGACAGCTATTATCTTCAAAATCATGAGCCGGACGCAAACATCCGGACCGGGGCGGTAGAGGAGCAATCACACACAGAGAGTGATTCACAGAACGGGGATGAAGAAGTGGTCTTTATTGTGTTTATACCTTGTACTCTTGGGCGTATCTGATTTTTATTTTCTTTTAAGCATATATCCCCGAATGAGTTTTCTATGTTCTATGATTCGACCACTCGTTCACAGCTGGAATAACATGATTGTGACATGTACGACCATATCTTGTGCCGCAACACAAGATCGTGGCCATAGAACACCATTGAAAAGCTATGAAACGTATGATCACGCACTAATCAGAGAGTGTTTTCAAGGCAAGCTCTCAGCTAACCACTGAATATTCTAGCACAAGAGGATGGCCAGTTGTTCATGGTCTGTCACCCTCTCAGACGAGAACTTGTGGATGTTCAAGGCACAGCGTCGATTCATCAGAGCAAGACCTCGAGATCAGATGCTGTATGACTGGGTGTGCGAATAGAGCTACTATCGTCTTGTGTCTGAGCTATTCAGGAGGTAGCAACCTCCTATAGTTTTTACCCAGCGCAATCATTATATGTAACCACGATATGACCATTGCATCGTGCACAAGGCTTGGGTACCATGATATTGCTGCTTGTAGCCTTCGTACATGATTTGTACACACTTTCTTGGGGGAAACCTACCTGCCTGCTGGTCTCGTCAATTGCTCGCGATACTGACTAGCAAGTTTACTTATGTCAAGGGATTGGTTCGTAGGTCGTTGTGGTCATACCTGCATGGAAGCTTTGGCGAGGCTTGGTGAAACTGAGCATAGGTCAAGAGACTCTGTGAGCCCTGCAGTAGAGTCCCACATTCTGACTCCAACGTTTGGTAGCACGAGCACGAGAAGACTTGCTTCATCATACTCTCACATCAATAAAGATAGATATTATTTCCATCACTGAGGTCATCATCTCCCTCGAGCAAATTGGTTGGAAGCATGTTGCCCTGCTATACCAACTGGTATTTAAAAGCCAGCAGTACCACGCCTGCAAGTCAAACGGCTAGTGACTTACAAGTACTTTGAAATCAAGTGCTCATCTGCCGTATCAATGTTCTCTAGTCGAGTATTGAATGCACTTTCAGGAGTTGTCCTTCACTCGGAGAATGGTCATGAAGTGAAGTGGAGAGAGTGCCAAAAGCGTCCGTGCGCCGTCAAGGCCACTCGCTTAGCGGTGTGCGCAGACTGGGCGTTCACATCTTGGCGTCATCCACAAGGCTCTTTGAATTTCGCTTTCCCTCAGATCCCGCAACCTCGACAAGTTATTCACCTCCAGACGTCGCAATGGCCAGTAAGTTGCGGCAGCATGCTGACAGACTCGTTGATGAAATGCTGACAAAATTCTACAGAGTCCAAGAACTCGTCGCAGCACAACCAGGCTAAGAAGGCCCACAAGAACGGGTACGCAGCGACATTCTCTACACCACCTTTCGACTGCCTTCCTCGCCATCAACCAGACGGATGAGAACGACCGACTGACGCGACGACACACAGTATCAAGAAGCCCAAGACCCACAGATACCCTTCGCTCAAGGGTACCGACCCCAAGTTCAGACGCAACCACAGACATGCTCTTCACGGCACCATGAGAGCCCTGGTACGTGGCACAGCTCCCACTGCCAACGCGACGCCATACTGACAACCTCTACAGAAGGAGGTTAAGGAGGGCAAGAGAGAGTCCGCATAAACGCATCAACCACATCACGAAAGTCAAAAATCGGCGTCTAGTGTTATGGGTTGGAAGCTTTGCTAGAAGGAGCACGAGATGACTCCTCGCGACAAATGCCACGAATCTGGTTGTGCAATGCGCCCCTCGGTCCCGTCGTCCATCGTTCTGGTCCACCTCTACATTCTCGTCCACCTCCATCCCCCACCGTGATCCATCCCCCAAAAACAAAACAACAACGGCATAAGTGTGTACAGCAACTCGCGATCTCCATGCAGAATTTGCTGAAGGATTTTCCATCGTGCCAATATCGAAGACCCCACCATTACCAAACACTTGACCTGTCGTCCATCGGGTACATGTGCATGGAGTTGGGGTTACATCTATTCTCTTTCTTAGCATTTCATCATTATGTATGTGACAATTTTATCTATTTCAGAAAAACGCATTCACTTTTGGACTATCAATTGTTTGTTTACTATGTGAGGTGCAACTGGTTCATCTCGAAAGGCAAGTACACATGGTCGTGCCTTCCGCTCAGTAAAGCTTGCTCATATGCGCGTTCATCACAACATTCGTTCTCGATCCCAAATCTATCTGATTGTTGTCAACATCCCCATCCCAATCACACATCTATCGAAGCTGCACCATGGCCGATGTTTATCAATGGCGCAGAAGGATTCAGCCTGGTTTCTCCCACACTCTCCTGCCTGTCGGCGAGCAAGATGAGACAGAGCCAGACATCACAAGCGGTTTCGGCTCGTCTCGCAAGAAGGTCCGACCCAAGATCAGCTCCTACTTCTCCCACCGTGGTCCTTCCACAAATCATGGCAGATCATCCATATGGTTCGCCGATCAGCGCGCCTCCTTCAAGGAAACAATATCCTCCCCTTATCAAACTTGGCCTGGAGGATGCGAGCCCGATCCCGATCAGATCATGGACTCGATCATGCGCACGCTGATAGCAGAGCCCTATCGCCCTCTGGATGTCAAGCACAACTCACCTCTGCTCATGATCTTCGAAGGATTTCGCAACCTTCGCGACGAAAACGCCTCTCTGGTGCGCAAGCTGGAGTACGAAGTCGAGACCCGGTTCGCATCACATCACGGATTGGAACTTGAACGACAGAACTGGCAACGAGAAAGAGAAGAGTATCAGGCCGAAGTCAAGAGGCTTGAACTCATCATCTCGAAGGATAAGGAAGGAGTCGCAGAAGTGATGCGCGCCAGGCAAGGTAGTTTATTGCGCAAGGAGCATAGACGGCGTACTGCATCTGGTGCCAACACGAGGAGAGATGATCCTAGAGAGACTGTTTTCGAATTTCTCGAAAGGACAAGAGTCGAAGACGAGAAGAAGCAGGAAGCCGCCAGAAAGGCCCAACGAGGTTTGTCGATCCTCTCTCGGTCTTTGAGAACATCAAGAACTCACAGCATGAACANNGTACCCTTCCGTAATCGCCCTGTTTCTCCGTCCCAGAAGATGACAATACTATCACACAAATTCTCTACCACCAACCACTACAGCGATTTCGAATCTCCACCTAGCCCTCAAGACTTTACAAGCCTCTCCCAGGCCTCCATGTTCGAACTGCTGGCTGGAAGACCGTCTTTCTCTGACACCGACTCGTCGGAGAACGAGTCTACCCAATATCAACAACATACAGGTGTGATCGGTGACGAGAGAGCGACGGATGTACCGCAACTCGATGAATTCATACTTGGACGAAATGCCAGCACCGAAGTTGAGCCTCAACCGGCCCATCATCCTAGCATTCGTACACCCTCATTCGAATCAGGCAGTACGGAACAGCTCATGTCTCGCACTCCCAAAGCTCGCCCAGGGTCGCTACATCTGGACCATTCACGCAAGTTTTCTTTTGATTACGACGACGCCGATATCCGTCCCATTCAGGTCAAGTCACCGTATGCAGTCAACTCTCCTCTGCAGAGGAGCGTTTCTGTAGACCAGTTTGCTATGAAGCGAACATCACCATCTCCGCTTCATGTCTCGGGCACCCTGGCCGCAGACAGCGTTGTTTCATCACCGATCATGATGTCTGTCTTAGAATCTCCAGGCATATCTAAGATACCCAGTCCAGTGTTTGACCCATCCTTGGCAAGACCGAGAAGGGAAGATTCATCATCAAGCCTCCTTACTGCTATCAGAGCCCCTGAAGGTGACTCAAACCACAGCAGAGCAACTTCAAGATCGAGCAACCCTTTGGATAGCCCTCACCTATCGTCCAGTCTTCGAGGCAGCGGAGATTCGACCAATAGTCAACGCCATTCTGGACGTTACGGTGGCATGCACGATGTGAACATGGCGGTCGCTGCTGCACGTGCTGCTGTTCCTTCCAATTCGCCAAAGCCATTGGCAGACTTACGTGCGTCATATCACGCCAACGCATGAGGGTCAGAGCACCCAAATCTCCTGCAGCGTACGATGCCTCGGCCACGTTGGAAGCTCTATAATTACAGCATGACGGAAGAGATTTATCATATGGCGATAGAGTGTGCACATCCCTGGAGGCTGGAGCACGTATGGTCATGTGGAGAGAGAGATAGGAATGGCAGTGCGGGGCACGATATGCAGTGGAAGAATTGCCTTTTGATGTGGCTGTGCATGACTTTCCTTCCATCAAGCGTGGCTGTCCTTGTCGCTCGAATACAGTGCTGGAACCAATAGAATATGCCATACACAGAACTCTTACACTTCCACTCGCCCTGCCAAGGGCAAAGGTACCTCTGTCATCTGTAACCTCTGGAGGTGCCGGATTACCGCAAGTAAATGATTGGTCTTACTCGATGTGTGTCTCGAGAACTGCTGGTCCGCACAGGGGGTCTACGCGTACAGATAGCACGGTGTTCTTTGTGCTGCAGGTCTCATCGCAGTCCCAGGCACCAGTTCTCGGAGCTCTTCTCCATATGTTACAGCGACAAAAGCCTCACACCTCATATATGATGATACAGAAGGGCTTGCTGCAAGTACGACAGTGTCATTAAAGAGAGTACCACCAGACCGCAATATGGCCATATCTGCTATCAGGGCCAATTCTAGACCTTGCATCTTCGCTCTGTTAGCCGCGTCATTTCCTGTCAGTTCATTCTTCGCGTGCGTCTTGTTTGACAGCGACTACAATCTCCACACAGTTTCAACAACTCTAGCGGTTCGACTCTGCGGAGATGCTTGAGGGGGAAACCCCTCTGGAGACAGACTTCCAAGCAGCAGATAGAGTGTTCTGTGCGACTCTTTTTCTTTGATGATGTGATTCATTCTTGCTGGCACTCGCGGCAAAATTGGTGCCTCTGGCTAGCCAACTGATACGCGCGCATACTGCATGCTTCCAAATACACGGTCAAGGGTAGAATGACTGTTTTCGTCCATTGTCAGATGTAGATCCCTCGAACCCTTTCTTCGATACCAGGCACCAACCGAGGATGACGAGCTCCAGACATGCTTTGCTTTGGAGGAGATCAGACAGGGCAAATGCAGTTCACGTATCTGCCACAGAAAACAGAAAAGGCGCGGGAGATTACCCTCGTGTAGCGTTGAGAACATACCAGCCTGCGGCATATTCAATGANNGCAGCCACACCCTCCCTCGCACCAAACCGTACGCGCCAATTAGNNGGTTGCAGCAAATCTCCCGTGGAAATGGNNTCACATCAAATCAAATCGAGAGAGTTCTAGGATGGACGGGCCTGGAGCANNGCGGAGCGCGGTCGAGGTGGTTCAAAGGCTGACNGGACGGTGACAGCTGCGCTCAGCCACAGCCACANNAACTCACCTGCCACATTCTCCCACAGAGTTTAGCAGAAGAGGGAAAGCATGTCCGAGCACAGCCACAGACGGAAGGTCGATAGTGGCTGGGTGGTGNTGGCGGCATCCAAGTGTGGCACAAAGCTGAGGTACCAGACGACAGCTGCCCGTNCGCAGCGAGCCACGTTCCNNGGACNNGTCGCTGCGCTAGATGGTTCGTTTCAAAAGTCACCCTTGAACTTCATGCCATCCCCGATTGTTGGACAAGACACGGCGATAACTTTTGGTCACTGCCACATTGCAGGATCTTCGGGTTGCGTCGAAGATCAAAAGGCCCNNTCCCNNGGGATAGTGGATACTCCGTTGTGCTTCGCTGTCCACCGCCACTCCGCTGTGGCAGACGCATGGGGGCAGAGAGNNGGGAAGGATCAACGGATCACAAGCTTCTCGGAAATGTTGCGGGCTAACTCGTTCGCTGATCGATGCCTCGAGAGCTGTTGCACTCGTGTGGTGCTTGGGTGGCTTTCGCGAAGAGCGAAGCGCCGTTTGAACGAACAACCCAAACAGTGCGAAGCGGAGCCCGTTAGCGCCAAAGCTTCCGATGACGAAAGTCGCATTTTTGACAGCACTCGTCTGATACGGCAGGACGTGCCCTCTCTTTTCTCTGTGCGTGTTGACCCTTAGGAGGCCATGCGCAATCACATTATGGATGCTAGTGGTAATAATAGGAAGGCTCGATATGATATAAGGTTCCGTTCAGCGCATGATGCTAGTGGCTTACCAAAGTCCCAGTGCTCCAGCAGAGAAGCACATCTCAATCTCGGTTGGTGTTGCATAAGGGAAATTGCTTCGAACAGAGAGACGGCAGAGAACAAAGTCTTCTAGAAAAGATAGGGCATGATGCCGTTGGCAGAGCGGCAGCACGCTGGGTCAAGGATTGAAAGGAGATGTGGCTGTATCGGCGAATTACCATCGCAGAGTGAATCCGCCATTGATGCAGGGTGAGATTGGATAGCATGCAGAGGCAGAAACGTTCGGAGAGGCTTGTATGCGTCAAGCCGCGCACACTATTGTGCAAATCCCCAGATGCGGCTACGTCACGGAGGTCAGCAGTCTGCCTGGCGGTATGTAACGATTGCGAGATGCGATAATGAAGGACGAATGATGGGGCCGCGAGAAAGGGTCAAGTCGGCGAGCCTCAGATGGATGCTAGTCGGATTCGCTGGCGCACTGCGCTGTACTCGTAAGCTTCGACATCGGACACGGTGCTTCATGTTTGGAAAGAAGGGATGGAGATCGAGCCGCGTCTCTTGTGAGAGAGACGATCGAAGATTGCCGTGAAGGGCTCGAGTCAGCGTAGTGAGCCATTGCGGGGATGCGTTTCCAGCCACACGAGGGCACACGCTTTCCGTTTTTGCAAGCGTGCATGTGTGAGCGACAAGCGATCCGAAGCAAAAAGCAAAAACGCAAACTGTGGCACCAGCAGGATTGTTGACAACGAAGACAGGCTTCGGCAGTCCAGGTGCTTCTTGCACAGCCATGTGGCTAGATGTGGCGCGGGCTGGGATGGTGATTGTTTGGGACAGCGAGTTGCAAGGTAGTGATGGGGTGCGAGGCACACGGAGCAGAGCGTCGCTACGTGTATCGAGCGATGCTGGCAGCATTTTGCAGCAAGCGCAAGCGAAGAAATCGGCAACGCACGGGACAGGCTGAGTGTCGCTTCCATGTTGGTAGCGTAAGTTCTGGTCGGGCCACAATTCAGCCTGCAGTTAAAACGGCGCGCATCCTGTGGCTTGTGGTTGCGCCTTTCCCTTATTGCACGCTGTTTCATCGACTCACCTGGTGACGACCTTATCCGCAAGAGTTGTCCTTCACCTTTCACATAAGCACCGTCCTCACCTCGCGCTTCCACTCCCGGCGCCCTAAACACACTTCCAACCCTCGAGTATTGCATGGTGAGCGCCCAGCAACCATGTTCGAGCACAGGTAAGAGCGAGCCACACTGCCACAGTCGGCTGAGAATCTGCGCGCGCATCCGTGGCTGACATGATTTGTTATTGCTGCTGCAGACAAAGCTCGCAAAAGCCGAGCATCGAATTGCAGAAGAGCTTCAAGCCGTACCTCGAGGCCGTCAAGTTCAACCCCAGTCACTCGCAGTCCCACGCCAATGCCCCGTCGCTGAATGCCCTCGACGTCGCAACCCTGAACCCTCGGTATGTCCACTTTCCCGCCGGCCCAACCGATTCTCTCTCCTCCAGCACCTCCCTCTGACCACTCCAACNNAGACAGTTCGCCGAGCACCACAACATCAAGGATGCCGACCCTACCCCTCGCGCATCCTCAACGGAGCAATGGAACTTTGGCAGCACCGGCCTCACCNCCTCGGTGCTGGACCCTAACAGCTCCTCGTTCAACACGTTTGCGAACCAAATGCCAGGCTACTACACCCCTACTCCTGGTGGTACAAACACCCTCTACCACCCACAAGCAGGTGACCTCCATACGCCAAGTTTTGGTCTGGGTTTGAACACTCCGCTGTCCATGCCCACCTCGGACACGTCGGCCCTTCATGCTCCTCAGCTTGCCCACATGCATTCGTTCGCACATGCAATGCAGCACCATCAACACATGAACCCATTCGGAAACCCTCACGCATTTCAAATGCACCACCAACACACCTTCCCGCCTCAGAACTTCCAACATCAAGCTCCCGTCTTTGACCAACTCGACAGCCAAGCTGCTGACTCGCCCATGTGTGGTGGTGATATGAACCTTGATGTCGAAATGTCCAACCAGGCTCAAGTCGACCCCATGTTCCCTTCCCACCTCAGCAACGCTGCACTCGTCGCTCTCCCTCAGCATCCATCGAGCGAGAATTTCCGCTACCGTGTTACCCTCAACGCGCCGACTGCTATGGTCAAGACCGCCGACGAGATTCCCGTCACTTACCTCAACAAAGGACAGGCTTACACGCTCAACGTTCACGATACTGCTCCCCAGCACTCTGTCGTCGGCCAACTCAAATACCGTACCTTTGTCCGCGTGTCTTTTGAAGAGGACTCGCAGAGAGCGCGACCTGGAGCCTGCTGGCAGCTCTGGAAGGAAGGCCGTGGTACCAACGAAGCTCACCAACGCGGCGGACGCCTCCAAGCTGTCGAGTTCGTTGATCAGAACCATTCCAACGACCTCAACCGACCCAAGCTGGAACTCGAATCTTCTTCGTTTGACGGTTTCTGTGTGACCTGGAGCCCGTCGCCTAATGCTCAGGGCATCGAGTGCCCTATCTCTGTTCGCTTCAACTTCTTGTCAACCGATTTCAGTCACTCGAAGGGTGTTAAAGGCATTCCAGTCCGTCTGTGCACAAAGACCGAGCTACTGCTCGACTCCATGTCGCCTTCTCAACAGCCCGCTCACGAAGTGTGCTATTGTAGAGTCAAGCTTTTCCGTGACCACGGTGCCGAACGCAAACTCTCCAACGATGTCGCCCACGTCAAGAAAATGATCGACAAGCTTAACCAGCAGATCTCACAAATCGAATCCGGTATGAGGGATTCGAGCAAGCGCAAGAGAAGTGGCTCCATCTCCAAGGTCAATGCAATGCCTGCGCGACCAGGCAAGGCGCCCAAGCACAAGAGAACTTGGTCCATGTCTTCCGCAGCCTCGAGTGGAAGAACCTCTGCAGAAGAAGACCTGCAAACGAAGCTCATTGCGCTGCAAGACATGTTCGGCTCTACGCGTCCCATCAGTGTTCTGTTCTTGAGAGGCGAAGCGCAAGACGATCCGGACCTTCACCCGGTTAGCTTGTCCGGAGACACTCAGGGCCTGACTAGAGTTGACACCAACGACACAAACATGTGGGATGGTCAAAGCAAGACCAGCTCCGCCATGGTTTCTCCCACTCCAAGCAACCAATCGCTTCCTTCAAACTTCCGTCGTCCTAGCGCTTTCGGACCTCCGTCTCGCGTTAACTCGAATGAGTGGGCGCGTAGCAACTCTCAAGTCGCGCCTATGGATCTCAAGTCTTCTAACCCCCAGCACCTGGCCAGCCCACCTGACCAACCAGTCAAGATGCAAGCTCACTCGCCAAACAGCGGTACTTTTGCTGGCTGGTTCGAAGCAATTGGCGTAGACTCCTCCTACCAACCTCCTCCTGAGCGCTCGAACAAGCCTGGTAAGCTCATGTCTCATCCCCAACATAGACACCATTACTGACTTTTCTAGNTGGCTTGTTTCTACCTGCGGTCACGACACCAGGGCAAGACATCTGAAGATAACTACTACCGAGCGATCTACCTTCTGCAAAGGAACCTCAACGAGTTCATTAGTGCAGCTGCCGCAAAATTCGGTGTTGAGCCTCAGAAGATTGTGCGAACTGTTCGCATGACCCAAAAAGGAACCCAAATCCTCATGGATGACGAAGCAATTCGCGAATTACCTGAGGGTCAAGATATGAAGGCCGAATTTGCAACCGTCGACGTTCAACAGGGCCAGTGGCAATCCGGATCGCCCTCCTCAGGATACGAGCTCAGACTGGTTTACTAAAAGCTCAAAACCTCGCCGATAATGACCCGTCATGAATCAACCTGCCGCCTGGGTCCTGGAGACTGAAGGATAATCAAATTCCGCCTTTGATCAGAGATCAGGCGATCTGAGATACCCCTGTCCTTTCTCACCATTGGACTTTTCCTTGTGTTGGTTCACGCGATACCCCCTCTAGCAAGAATTTCCTTGTGGTTTTCAACTTTGTTTCACTGTTTTGTTGCGGTTACTAATGTTTTGATCTTCTCTTCCTTTTGCTTCACCCTGGCGCGCACGAGTGCGATCTGTTCGTTCAATGTACACAGTGGTTGAGCGTTTTCAGGGAATGTCCACACCTGATATCGGGTGCTCAGGGGTCTGCTTGTCTGTTTTAAGATACCCTTCTTTGCTTTTATTCCCACTGGCTGTTCTACTTGCCTTCTCATTTCTTTTCTCTTTTGTTACTTGCAATTGATCACTAGCACACAATACCCGACCGTTACTGTGGTCAATCGAAATGATCTTCCCTCGATTATTAGCAACTTCTTAGTCTCTCAGTTCATAGGATTCGCTATCTACGGCCGTATCACTTGAACTTCCTATCTTCACCTCAGCCTGTGAGGAATCAGGGTTAACGGATATCAGGCTACTTTCACCCGCCCTCGTCGTCGTTTTCAAACGGTACACGACGTGTGGTTGACGCCACCACTGCTGCCAATCTTCGATCGCTTGTCCCCACCCCGTTTTCCCAAGACCGTTGAGTACGTGTGGCGGTGCGCCCAGGCGAGGCGTCAGGCTACGGATTTCGTGAGTCGCGTCCCGGTAAATGATAGACCGCCGCCGTTTGCCGGACGCGCGCTCCACCCACGCCGAGTCTTTACCAAGAGGTCGGTTCGTCAGCTTGCTTGACTCGGCAGATCATCGCGCGTCGTGGGACTTTGCATATCACTCTTTCCCGTCGCAAGATACTACATCATACTGTCCTGTACGTCGGTGATCCGTCGAGGGAAGGTAGTCGAGGGATCTTCTAATGCAGTATCTCCTCTCCTCCCGTTTGCGATGTCTCGGAGGATCTCGTCTTGCTTGGGCAAGAGAAGAGGACCTCTCAATTCCGCTCCAACCTTGCGATCCTTCTCTTTTGTGACCTTCGCTCTGCTCCGGAGACGCCGAAGAACGGAGATTTGGATGCTCATCTTTCTTCTCCCGAAGCGGGTTGTGCATTTTTTTTGCCTGTGAGACGATCGAGACGACGACTCTTTTTGCCGTTCGTCAAGCTCCATCTTGCGTTTCGGCTTTTGCACGAGACTGTAGAGTTTACCTGGAGGGGGTTGAGGATCGAGATGCCGTGACTTTAGAGCTCTTCGGATGCTGACCTCTTGGCTAACACTCATTTGGCTGCAACAGCAAGGGGGGTTGAAGGTGGGTTTGTGTTGCATGCTGGGGAGATGCTATGTATAGGTTTTACGGTGGAGAGTTTTGGCTACTGTACTCCAGCCATTCGTCTGTCAAACGGTGTATGCATGCGTGGCGGAGCATTTCCTTGAGGCTTGACGACGCTGCTTGCCTGACATTGTCGAAACTCTGACTCTTTCTTGGTAGATGTGATTGGTGTTTGCAGTGAGCTTGGATGTTCAGAAAGTGGTCTCTCCATCCTTCGTCCTCGAGATAGATGGACAGTACCAGTCAGAGACGTCACAGGAGAAGTTGACACCGCCCTTCAGAGTGTCAAACAATGCCAAGCGGTCTCGAGCTTTTACGCCGCGAGTCCGTGACACACACACCCTTTCTCTAACAGTGGATCTCAAAGCGAGAGGTCAGAGCAGCGTGTCTTCTAGCTGCCGTGATGCATGTAGCAGAGCAAGACCAATATAAAACCTTGACAAACGATGTACGGAGGTTCCGTTTGTAGGGACCCTTTTCTTTCGTCTACCCTTGGCGAGATTGTGGTTTCGTCTGGACCCTCACTGTACTCTCAATCTCTGTTGCTATATTGTTGGATTGATCTAGCGGCCGCAGATTAGATGAGCATCTCTTGGGTGTGACGCGGGCTTGCGCGTCCTTGCCTTCTCTGTCTACAACTTTGCTCCATCTTCGGTTCAACCGACGGCAGATCTCGCAGACGATATTTTTTGTTGCACATCCACAATTGATATTGAATGCCACATCTAATCGTGGCTGGTGAAAGTCAATTAATGACCTGCAGGATTTTTTTTCGCTTGGAGATTGTCGTTTTCAATCTGTAGGGTGGATCATGGGATGTCTTTGCTTGGAGGTTATGTTCTTACTCTCGTTCTTGGCCATGTACTTTTTGAGCGCTTGCGCCCGTCCAGGTTCCGAACAGACGGAGAGGTGTACGCAAGAGCCAAGATTGTTATACAAGCACCCAAGACATCTGGCCAAGGATGATGCATTCGGACAGCACAGCTGTGTGAAGAGCTACCTCCGTCTTGGCTATGAGCTAGTCATGCTGTTGCCAACTGACCTGCCCAAGGCTGGCTCGGAGTTGCATGCCTGATGGATGCCCTGATCCGTTCTTGCCGAGACCGTAGGGCGATGGCTGCATGCGGTCGAGGAAGATAACGCATGCCTAAGAGATGATCTGCTCAAGAAAGGGAAAGCAGATGATGCGATATCCCAAGCCTGCATGCTAAGCCGGGTCTCTCGGGGCTAACAAGAAGCCATCCCCGTAAACGTGCTGCAGTTACACTGGCGCGCCACACCTGGTCTTGTCGCTTTCTGTCTACATACACCCAGAGGTCTTTGCTTGACGTGTCCCGTTGCCTCCGAGGAGCGACTCCCTAGCGCGACGGCCATTGGTATAGACGAAACCTCGCGTACAAAAGACCCCGCGATGCCTATGCTCAACGACCCATCACGTGCCCGACAGCAAAGACACTTGTGTTCACGATATAGACAGACAGCGCGAAGGAGCAAGTCCCCTCCACACGCCACAATCAATCGAGCACCACTGTGGCTCTTCCGCGGAGTGGATTGCAAGTCGCAATGGACAGAAGTGGTTTGAGGAAGCGATACTGATGGACGCCACAAAAGTGTTGCTTACGCTCGTGTCTCCACAGTTGTGAGGACAAAAAGTGGCAGAAGCGGAGTGAGATTCGCCAGAGACCTGGACCACGTGCATGGTCGGATTATATTCACAACGAGGGACCAAAAGTCACCGGCCATCTTTTGTTAAGTTACCGTTGCTGGAAAGAGTTTTTAACGATGACTCGGCCGAGTTTTTGGCTTCAAAAGTTTAGCTTTCCGAATGGCGCTCGAGAAAAGTCTGGATAAACATGTTCAGCGGAGCTCAGAAAAAAAGACAAAACGGCATGTTTCATGTGAGAGAAAATATTGGTTGCAACAGCCACATTCATCATTCTTCGTAACTCTGCTTTGAAGTGAGATGAGAGAACCATGCCTTGGGCTTGCGGAATTGGTATCTGGAGGATGAGAGACTAATACCCACGAAAGACATGCAACAACAAGGGCGCAAACCAATGGCTTCAAAACAATTAAGTTGAGAGTATATATAATGTTCAAACCATGCCCCAAGCACATACGGCCACAGTCAGCTGAAAACTGGGCATCCNNCGTCCGCTCCGCCATACATAAGCAGTTGAACGGCAGATTAGTACTACGGTGGGTGACCACGTGGGAATCCCTGCTGCCGTATGTTTTGCATCTCGTTTTGCATCTTCTCACTACATCCCATCTATTGCTTTGAAAACAATATTTATTCAGTGTAGGGCAGGACTTTTGCTTGCTCAAGAAGCTGTTCCCAAGTCATTGATGATTTTGTCATACTCTAAGATGCATGACAAGATACAACGACCCAGACTCTGCTTTGCTGTATGTCAAGTCTGGTTCATACTGTTCCTGGATGCTAACTCCTGCTAACCACGGAACCTTCGACGGGCATCGAATTGACGGGTCACTGGGTATCATTAGAGCTCAGCATCATGTAGTGCCTCGACAATTGGTGCGCTCGCAGAGTTCGAGTACTAGCACACATTCAACCAGGGTCATCTGGTCAACAACCGACCATTTCCACCCAACTAATGCACATCGATGGTCTGTTTCGTCCCACGGATGTTATCACAGTGAAAGTACAGGTCCGAAAACTCACTGTAGAAGAATTCATTCCACATTATGCAACGTCGGTAACTTTCTACATGGTCAAGATACCCTGGACCTGGATATCCAAGACACTCTTCCCAACCATAACACTGAAGTCACCAGAAGGTAAGACCCATTGTTGTGTAACAACGTCCCAAATGCTTAGATCTCTTCTCCTCGGCGAAAAACTCATGACTACACCCGCACCAGGCTGTATCAACTGCTTCTCGAACCCACGCAGAACTTTGGGAACACCGCTGCCAGGAACACCGATGTATAGCAGAGCTACTTCAGCAGCAGCTACGGTACCAGTGTTCTTGAAGGAGATGGATACTGTGGCGATATTGTCGTAAAGAGACGTTACATCACCTTCTGGAGCAATACCTATCGTTGTGCCAGGAGGTGCAGATGAGCGAACAGCACTCGCGTTGACAGAGATCTTCAGTGAAGAGTAGTCAAAACTCGAATATGTCAGACCGTAACCAAACACAAAACGCGGCGTGATGGTTGTCTGGATGAACCGTCTGTAGTCGATAAATAGACCTTGAGTAAAGTCAGACTGCGAGTATTGAGGATTGCTTCTGTCAGGCAGTGTCGGCCTCAACAAACTGCCATGATCAGACTCGTTCTTGGCGACTGTGAAAGGAAGGCGTCCAGATGGCGGTTGACGACCATATACAATCTCTGTCAATGAATTACCACTGTACTGACCTGGCAGATCGGCAAAGATGACTGCGGTGATGTTTGGATGCTCGATCCAGCGGTCAACCAGACGGACGCCTGCGTTGTGGATAAAAGCCATTGTGTTCTTGCATTGAGAAGCAACATTGATTACGAGCGTGTCAGAGTAGACATCTGCAAGTGTACTGCGGTCCCAGTCTTCACTAAACTGAGAATTGATGAACACCAAGCATGGGTTGTTAGAGTCTTTGACCACAGGGTTTTCCGAGGTAGAGTCCGTATACAAGATAGTGCCATCGATAGATGCCTGATGACAGAATGCATCTTCAGGAGAGATGGAAGACACAGGCGAGATAGCACCAGATCCGCCTCCGGCGTACATCGTTCCGTTCAAAGCGACCTCGGGACCCGAGAAGCCGGCCGGAAGCACTTGTGCCCAGTAGATCAGGTCATCCAAGTCAGTATAGGGCTTTCCGTTGGTAAATTATTGTGTGTTGAGCTTCCCTTGTTGATAGAGCTGCGAGTCAGTAGCGGATGTGTTGATTCCGCCGGGAGCATCGTATCCGAATAGCGACAGGACTTTGGGCTTGTTGAGTGGAAGTGCGTTGTTTACATTCTTGACCAGCACATGACCTTCTACAGCACCCTGGAACAGAGTAGCTTCTGCTGCTGGCTGACGTGCTTCGGCATCGTTCACTCCAGGGTTTGGTAAATTGGCAAATCTATACCAGGATGTGAGAATTCGAGTAACCATATCGTCTAGACGGGTACTGTTGATTGAGCCGTTCTTAACAGCAGTAGCGAAGCTGTTGACGTCCAAAGTACATGGAATTGGGCATGACCATGTCTAGACCTGCGTTCACACTAGCCACACCGGTGTGCTGTGCATACCAATCACTGATCACAGAACTCGGTTCTCAGGAGGCCGTTCATGGTCTTGCTGCTTCCAAAGCTTTCGTCTGACCGTATGCTTGAGACCAGTCACCAATACCATGCCCCTGTGGGGATGGGTAAACAGCAGGTGAGCGGCCATAAGAGTAGTAAAGCTCAGGGAAAAGGATAAGAGTGGTCCATCTTGCGAGTCGAGCGATGGTGTCAAAGATGATGCCTTCCAGAGTTCTGCCAGCTTCAGCTATAACACTACCCAAGGAGGTAGCACTTCCAGAACCAGCAGCAGATGCCAGTGCACTTGTGATTTGAGAAAGAGAAGGTTGAGTGGTGCTCTGGCCACTCACGACTACAGAACCATAAATCCAGGCCAGAGACAGACCGGCAACGAGCCGGGAGAACAAATTGAGATGCATATCCGAAGAGAGAAACTAGAGGATGGAAGCTTGAAGGGCTATGTCTCATGGCTCTTATAAACTACAGACATTATCAAAAACTTCATACTGTCGTGCGACACACACGGGCCAAAATGGCGGCTCTAGAATATGCGGCTTCCGATATTCATAGGACAAGTTGCATTTTAGCCGTGTGGAGGCAGCATTAACGAGTGGCCATGTGGTGCTCAGATGAGGCCATCGAAAGCGACGCAGCTGAAGAGCCAGCTGAGAGTTGCTAGTCGTATCAAATACGATGCATGGTTCTAAGCGAACGCATAGCAACGTGCATATCGCTAGATTCGTACGACCATCTTATTGGTCAAACAAGCACCAAAACCTGTCAAGGAGGGCTTGCGGAGTTACGATTGACCTAATAAGGTCCACGTGCCGGCCAAACCTATGGGACTTTGTGACTGAGGATATATTATCTTTGATGCAGATCTGCACTTTCCGCTTGCATCGGCAGCATACGGTCATGGTGGTTTCCTGACTTGGTCGGATGACTGAGAGCGAGACAAACTCTTTAGTTGTTGGACCTTGCGGTCAAATTGGTATAGATTAAAAAAAGGGGTATCACAGCAAGAAGAAGATTTTTAGAAAGGTCAGAAGCGGATGCATCTGCTCTCTTCGTGAGCGCTCTTGCACTCGAGACCACAGACACGGGAACCGCACTTCAAGCATCTGACGCGGCCCCAGTATCCGCACATCTCGCAGAATAGCCTCTGCGGTGGAGCAGTAGCGGGACTGGGTGCAGAACGTGCAGCATTGTATGAAAGTTGTGGTGCTGAGAGCAGAGCCTCGAGTTCAGCCGTGGTAGCTGTAAGCGGAGCTGGCGGCGAAAGCAGAGAGTCGTGTTGTAGCTTGTTCGAGTCGGCGGCAGAGTCGACGAGATAGGGCTTGAGAAAAGATGGGATCAGAGGGGCCGACGGAGTGGTAGAAGCAGCATTGGACAGTTGTTGAGTCGGAGCGGGACTAGCTTCGACGGCAGCAGGGGTTGGTTGTGGTTTGCGTCTAGCAATGGGCGTCTTGCTGGCCCTCTGTGGTGCTTTTGAGGGTTCTATGTCAGGCTCCGGGCCATGGTGGTGTTTCAGAGCCAGAGCAGCTTCGTCCTGGTCCAGGTAATGTGAAAAGTCCTTTCCCGAAGCGAGAATGCGGCGCGTGTTCTGAGTCTGACGACGATTCGATTTGGGCGGAGCAATGTTGACGGGTTTGTGGCTGTCCTTGTCGAGGTCGTCCAGATGTCGTTGGATGGCCGTCTGCTGGCGCACCGTGAGGTCGCCTTGACTGAGNCCGGCGGCCGAGGCGCGCACACGCTTGCGACTCGCAGGGTTGATGGCCGCCTTGGAGGGATCATATCCGGTGTCGACGACATAGCTCCACCCCGGAGCTGCTGCCTTTGCCGTCGTCGGCAGCTCTTCGATGTGTGGCATGCTGTGACTTGTACAAGTGTTGGTTGTCAAAAGGTTTCAGCTCGTCATGCTCGGGTCTCTCTCGGCAGACAACCCCAGTCTGAACCCCACAATTGACCCTCTCTCTGTAACTCAATACCGTAACACCGTCACACGACGGGCGGGCGAGAGGAGATGCAACTGTGAATCGAATTGAATTATAAGAATGCTGCTTGCCTCGACTTTGCCCTTCCACCCTCGACCCTTCCCTAATACCCATATCGACATGCAGACCCAACAGCCTCCTCTCATCAGATCAGCTCCCAAACCTGCCAGTGACCCCGCTCACGGTGCTGCCATGATCTTTCTCCATGGCCTTGATGATGATGCTATGGGATGGGAGAGTCTGTCTCCTTCCCTTCTGCCCACCAATAAGAACTCACACTGCATCCAGNACATAGCCACACAGTTCCACCAAGGAAACAAGCTACCCTATATGCAATGGATCTTCCCAAATGCACCACATAACATGGACGCCAGACAGAATGCATGGTACACACCCTCGTCTCTGCAACCTGCCCCTGCTGGCCGTCCCGAACTGGCTGCAGACGAAGATGAGGAGGGCCTGATGAAAAGTGTCGAGTACGTCGAATCGCTCATTAGCGATCTGACATCAAGAGGAATACCGCCCAACCGCATAGTTCTGGGAGGCTTCTCGCAGGGCTGTGCTCTTGCTTTGCTCACCGAGTTGACTTCGCGCTACAGCGGAAAACTTGCAGGCATCGTCGGCTTGATGGGCTATTTACCGCTGCCCGAGACCATTCAAAAGTTACGCACCCATGCGGGACTACCCCACGTTGTCGGCCATGTGCCCATTTTTCTGGGACGCGGGACTTCTGACAGACTGATTCCACGTAGCAAATGGACCGAAGGCTTGAACAAACTGAAGGACTTGGGCGTCGACGATGGAGCCCTGGAGATCAAAGAGTATGAGGGCTTGGCGCATGCGCTATCGCCTGCTGTCTTGCAGGACTTGAGTAAATGGTTGGAGAAAGTGGTACCCAAGTTGGAAGATTAAGTGGTGGTGGATATAGCTAGCTTTTTATTTGTGAACTGCAAATCAAGGACCAAGTCTTTGAGTACTTCCCAGGGGCGCCAGAGTGGGAACCGGCCTAGGCGCTGCGGTCGTGGGCAGCACACCATATCTTCCATATGTCTTTTGGTCGACCGAAACGTAATGGGGAAGGCGACCGAGCAGGTTAAGCTTGCCCTCGATCCATCGCAGAATCTTCTCGTTAGGTACGAGGAATTTAACGTAGCCCAAGCCCCAGAGGTATCCAACGGCGAGACCGCACAAGTGACCAAGGAAGCTGGTGTTGGGAACAAGGACGGCGACGAAGAGGTTGAGGATAAGGGGAGCGGTCCAGGTGGGAATGTTGTAAGGGCCGAGAGCGAAGTTGGGGTTTTGTTTGTATGTCTTGATGGACTCGGAAGCCAGGAGAAGGAAGACCCAGACACTGCAGACGGAATTAGCAGAAGCAAATGTAGGAAGGTGGTTAGCGTCTGACCTTGCGCCCTGGACAGCAGTGTTTGATCGGAAGATGAAGCGCTCGATCAAGGTGTAGCTTCCTCCAGGGAGAAGACCGAATGCTNNAGCAGACTGGTTAGACAGGGAGCCAATTGAGGACAGCGGAATGAACGAACGGCCAGTAAAGAGGAGCAGAGTCGGGAGAGAGCCATTCTCGGCCTCGAAGCGTTCGAGCAGCGGAGCCAAAGCGAATATGTTGAGGATCATGTGTACGAAGCCCACATGCAGCAGAGGAAAGGTATTCAGTCGGTACACTNNAGCACGGGAGTCAGACGAGCAGCGACAAGACACAGAAGGACGGTAGATACTAGTCCCCAGATTCATCTCGTTCGGTATCAGAGCGGCCCATTGCTGGAACCAGGCCAGTCTAAGGCTGGCGATCCAAAAAGCGACTATAACCACGAGAAGCGCACGCGTGCACAGCGGCAGACGGAACAGATACGAGCGCACACGACGGGCGTCGAACTGGGGCAGCGAGAACGACGGCATGTCTTTGGTAGAGGGGCGAGAAGGTCAGGAGAAGACAGAGGGCAAGTTCGGTCGCGTCGGCGGAGGCTTGCATTCTCGCAGTCGCAGCAAACGCCTGTTCCCCCTCGAAACCACGCCCTGACCCTCCTGTCCGCGACCACCTCCTGAAGTGACAATCATGGCAGCCCTACTGTGTAAGATGGCCATNNACCACCTAGACGGACAAGCAAATAATAACTCGTGTCTCGTCTGAAGCAGGACTGCTCAGTCTCCGACACAGTCGCCGTCTGGCCCGCGTCCCGCCGTACCTATCGCTGCTGTGCATCGTCATTGGCGTCGCCTGGTTGTTGCTGCTGCCCCTCGACGAATATTCCCGCCGCACTTATGTCTCCGAGAACGCCATCCTGCCCGGCCAGGTCCACACCTACTTTGGTGGCAGCGAACACAATGTCTTTCGCGCATACAGACAGGAGGTCGCCGAGATGGACCAGCTCTCCTCCGAGGACCGCTCCCAGAAGCTATACCATCTGCTCGGCGCCAACGGACTGAAGCCCGATATCCAAAACTACTCTTATGATGTCTCGGGCCAGAACAAGACGGGCCAGAATGTCTATGCTCTCCTTCAGGGTCCGAGAGCAGATGCCACCGAAGCAATGGTCCTGATTGCTGCGTGGAGAAACATGGACGACGAGATCAACTACTCCGGTGTCGCTTTGCTCTTGACTCTGGCAAGATATTTCAAGAGGTGGTCCATCTGGTCAAAAGACATTATTGTCTTGATTCCCTCGGACAGCACCTATGGCCCACACGCCTGGGTCGATGCCTACCATGACACGCACGACACCACTGCCGTACAGGCCCTGAACATCAAGGCGGGTGCTCTACAAGCCGCAATTGCTGTTGACTACCCTGCTGGTCCATGGGGCCATCGCTTCGAAAAACTCCATGTTGTATACGATGGCATCAACGGCCAGTTGCCCAACCTTGATCTTGTCAACACTGCTGTCAACATTGCTCAGGGTCAACTCGGTATCAGCTGTACCATCCAGCGCATGTGGGACCACAAGGACAGCTACCGTGAACGCCTTGATACCATGCTCAGGGGTATGATGAACCAAGCTGTAGGTCATGCGAGCGGTCCTCATAGTGTCTTCATGCCTTACCACATTGATGCAATCACTCTGCAAACGGTTGGCGATGGCTGGCATGACGAGATATCGCTCGGAAGGACTGTCGAGAGTCTCTTTCGCAGCGTGAACAACCTCCTCGAGCATTTGCACCAGAGTTTCTTCTTCTATCTGCTCATGCAAGCCAACCGCTTTGTGAGCATTGGTACTTATCTGCCTAGCGCCATGCTGATTGCAGTAAACTTTACCATCACTTGTATTCTACTCTGGGTGCAAAGCGGTCGACCAGAACGCCAGAGCCCTAACCCGGCCTCTCCCAAGAGCGAAAAGAAGCCCGAGATGACCCTTGTCAAAGAAGGAGAGAACGTGGCTCTGGTGCCCTCTGCAGATCTTGAGGTGGTTCAAAGGGATCTGTTCAGCCCTCTGGCCATCGTTCTCGGCATTCATGCTTTGGGTCTTGTGCCATTCTATGTTTTGAATCAGATTCCAGAAAAGGTATGCAACCATTCGCGATATCGTACTAATTCCTGCTAATTATTTCTAGNNACATCTCTCACAATGTTATCGGCTCTCGTGATACCCACAATCACCATGCCTGCGATTCTCGCATTCAGCCTTCGCAGCACTCTCCGCCTTCCACCTCAGACTTTTACTCTCATCCAATGCTTCTCCTTGCTTCTACTCGGTGCCGCCCTCTCTACTCTCGCAACACTCAACTTCTCGCAAGCTCTCTTTGTCGGGCTTCTGGCTTCTCCGCTGTCTTTTGTCCGACCATTTTCACCTCCGAAAACGTGGCCAATTGCCGTGAAGGTTGTGTTGGGAGTGCTGTCTGTGGCGGTCATGATCGCTACTTCACCACCAGCTGCATTGTATGTTCTAGGACTCGTGACGGGCAAGGGCTTCGACGAGGTTATTGCAGCTGCGGCTTGGGCGTGGAGAGTGGAAAGAGTGTGGACGGGAGTCACGGTGTGGGTGCTGTGGTGGCCAGCATGGGTGTGTGGAGGCCTTGCTCTATGCAGTGGCTTCATAGGGTGAACCACCACCATGAGATGTTCAAACAGGACTAAAGACTCGCGAGTCGAAAGCAACCTTTAAAAGTATAGATGTGCAATTCCAAGCGTTTTCCTTCTGCATTTGCCAATGTGGTTTTCATCAGTCTGACTTCAACGAGGCAAGACCATCGATCATTCGACTTCCAAGCTTCCATTCATATCTCATATCTGTGTATCTTGCTCTTTCTCTTGCTCTACATCTTTGCCAAAATCTCCTCTCTAAGCTTCTTGAGCTTATCCTGATTACCCTGCTGCTGGGGCCAGCTGATCCCCAACCCTTCCTTCTCATTCGGCTTGGGAATCATGTGGAAATGCACATGGTCCACCACCTGATGGGCAATCCTGCCATTGTTTTGAAGGATATTGTAGTCGCTTGCGTTGACGGCTTGAGCGATCTTCTTTGCCACGGGCAGGATTTCCGTGAGTTGGTCGTCGGGGATGTCGTGGAGTTTTGCGCCGTGGTGTTTGGGGATGACGAGNCTGTGGGTGGTGTTAGTGGGGGATGGTTTTAAAGGGGTGGGAGGAGAAGAGGGGAAACGGACAGCGTGGCCGTAGCTCAGAGGGTTAATGTCGAGGAAGGCAAAGACTTTTTCGCTTTCGAAGAGTTTCATCGAGGGGATGTCGCCTTTGGTGGTGTTAGTTCTTGTGGTGTGTTGCTCTGGGAGCTTTTGGTGTGAGAGGTCTGTACCCTTGATGATCTTGCAGAAGATGCAGGCAGCGGCCATGATGATGAGGTGAGATTTGTGATTGGAGATTGGTATGTAGAGTTCGTGAGGTGTTACAATGAAATGTGGCTATACAGATCAACACAAAGTAAGACCCCTCCACCACTCGTCCGAATGCCAACCGAAGAAGTGACGACTGCGGGGTGGAGCTTTGACGTGAGTTTCTCTGCCTTTTTCGGAACACCTGCTTCTTCCGAAACCTGTCTAAAGTGCTTCCTGCCTTGTGACTTGTATTCCCATGGTTGGTTGGATTTCCTACTCTACCTTCGTAGTTGACCTTGTCACCTACGACTGATTGCTTGCTCATGGCTCAAACTTCCACGCATCACACTCCNNAAAGTTGGCGTAGCATCTGAACTCGTTGCTCAGGCCCTTCGAGTGCTCTGGACGGAAAGTCGTGGTGCGCATGCCGGCCTTGCCGTACAACCTGTGAGCCAGCGACTCCATACGTTCTCCAGTGCATTGAACGAGTCTGAGAGGAGCCTCCCATGTCTTGGCCAGCCAGCGGACAGTGAGTGCAGCTGTGGGAAATTTGCATCAGTACAGCATCCCTTTGAAACAGAGAAGCAATATGGTTACCTTTNNTGACTGACAGTCCTCGTTCAAGAATGGAGGATCGCAGATGATTCTGTCGAAGGAGCCCTTGAGGCTNGGCTGCCGTTGTTGTTAGCTTGATCTTGTATCAGCAATCGAGCAGTTCTTACGATCCAACTTGGTAGGCTGCTTGTAATCGTAGAATGCAAAATCATCCTTGAACACTCCAAACCTCTCGTCGAATTCAAGAAGCATGAGTTTTGGTCGTATTGGGTACTTCTCACGGTCACTCTGCATCTCATGATCAGTTTTCAGATACCTCTGATCTCGTTCCGCAGAGCCAAAAACTCACAAGNNCAAGTTTCTCAACTGAATGTACACACTCGGTGCAGAGACAACAGCAATCTTGCTATCTTCCGTCACACCGTCTAGCAACTGCTCAGCCAGAATTGTCGCCGTCTCGTCCTTGTACCAGAACTGGCTGTCCTGCCAACTCTCGGTGAACAAATCCATAGATAGAGGCTTTGAACCGTCAAATTCATCTTCGGCTTTTGACTTTAGGTCTTCGAATTGCTTTTCCCGTTCGTCTCTCTCGGTATAGAACTCTTGGAGAAGGGCAAGGGTGGAGGGATCCAGTTGANNCTGTTGGACAATCGTCAATATCTTGAGTCATCGGAAAGATTGATACAAAAAAACTTACGGACGGTCATCCTCGTCGAAGTCGTCAGTGAGTCCCATCTTTGCTATAATTATTGTTGGTATATGGTGGGATAGAAAAATTCTGGACCAGAGAGGGTCTCGTATAATTTGTTTTCCTCCAAAGCACCAGGATTGTGCTCGATACAGGCTTGTCTTGGCTCAAGGGTTCAAGGCCACCCTGTCCGTCGATTTCTGCCAAACATCTCTATTCCGATAGTATACAGAGCCGAGGTTCATCTGAGGACGACTGCCTGACACGAATCAAAGACAATTAAATATCAACCATTGTATAAATTGTCAGACAAAGTGGTTTATCTGACGGTCCATTCTACAATCAGTCATTACAGCTGATCGTCAAATCGTCAACCATGGCATCAAGTCTAGTACATCTACCAGAAATCGAGCGGATCAGCTCGCGAGTGATCAGAATACTAGGCGGCAACCCAGGAAAGGTGAGAACCACTNTGTCTTTGACTCTGGGAACCTGGCTAACTAGTCTCTCAGTTCACGCTCCAGGGTACATCAAAACAAAGTCTCCAAAGAGGAGGAAGAATATCTAACATGAGATCAAAATAGGAACAAACACCTACCTAGTAGGCCAAGGACCCAAACGCCTCCTCATCGACACAGGCGAAGGAAAGCCCTCCTGGCTGACCTCTCTAAAAACCACCTTGGAGCAAGAAAAAGCCTCCATCGACAAAGTAATCCTCACACACTGGCATCCAGATCACGTTGGGNGGATCCCCGATTTACTCTCCCACATCCCCAGTATTCAAGTATACAAGAATGAACCTGCGGACAACCAGACGAATATCAGTCATGGGCAGGTTTTCGAGATACAGGGTGCTACGTTGAGGGCTTTCCATTGTCCGGGTCATACAACAGATCACATGGCTTTGGTTTTGGAAGAGGAAGATGCAATGTTCACTGGAGACAATGTGCTAGGACAGGGCACAGCAGTATTCGAAGATCTGTCTGCGTACATGGACAGTCTGCAGAAGATGCAGAACGAGTTCTCTGGTCGTGCTTACCCAGGACATGGACCTGTGATCGAAGATGGCAAGGCCAAGATACGAGAGTATATTCATCATCGGCAAGAACGAGAGGGCCAAATTGTGGATGTACTGAGTCGAGAGACTCAAGAGGGAAAGCAAGGGTGGCAGTCGATGGATCTGGTCAGAGTCATCTACAAAGGCTACCCTGAGAATCTGCATGCACCAGCGGAAAGAGGTGTCTTGCAAGTGTTGGACAAGTTGAAGAAGGAAGGCAAAGTCCACGAGGACGAAGGAGCATGGTTTTTACAGTCCAAGCCGGCTTTGTGATCAAATAGTCGATGATTGATAATACAGTCAGCCCATCGAGTCTGTACAGCTGCTGATTACCAGATACTCCAAATCTCGCCACCAACGCCTTTGCTTGCCTGCTAATATGCTACTTAACAATGTCCATGGATAAGGTAATCCCCTTAACGCCAACAGTGCTCGATAGCTTATACCTCAATCTCCTGAACAATGTAGAAGAGCATATACGCCTCTGCAGCCAAGACTTCTTTCTCCTCGACCAAGACGACTTTGCTGTCGTCAAACAAGAACCACTCGTCACCTTCTCTGGCATAGCTCACATAATGTCCACTATCCATTTTACCCTTGTGTACAATGACACTGCTGAGCTCATACATGGGTCTTGGAGATGTACCCTTATCATCTCCACCGTTCTTTGCTCCATTTGTTTCGTTGCCGCCCTTCTTCGAGCGTGGGCGACCGACGTATGGTTGCAGATCCAATATGGTTGGGAAGTGCACCTTCGCATCAAGCTTGATGGACGTAGACGAGGTTTTTGAATGTGAGAAGCGTTTCAAGTGTATTGGGAGGACAGGTGGTAGTCGTGCCAGGGCAAGTCGTTTGGTGGCGGTCTGTTGGCTGTCGCACTCACGGCAGCGATAATCTGAAGCTTGCAGTACTTCGGGGCTTGTGAAACGATCAAGACACTCGGTCAGATCGATGGCTTGAGGCGCTACAGGCGGGTCGTTCTTTTTCCTCTTGGGTCCCGAACTTTTGAGGTCAAGAGAAAGGTCCATGAAAGGGTCCAGCGCGGTTGTAACGTTCTTGCACTTTGAACAGACGACAGTGCTACGCATCAGACCACAGAAGGCACGATGAATGACGCAGTGACAGTCTTCGGCCTTTTCCTCCTTCTCGTCCTCTTCGAGGTTTGTGGTATGGAGCGAGTTCAAGATGAACTGTAGGTACTCGTGGGCATCTTGTTGTTGGTAGCCAGCCAGGTTACCGCCTCCTTTCCAGCTCCCTTGGAGCATGGCCACTGCACCATAACCTTCTGCCTTTTCAGTGCTGTGGAACTCGGTGATGATGTCGTCAAGGGCACAGGAGGTGCATGCTTCGCGTTCGCAGTCGAGGGAGCGGTGACCAACGGAAAGGTAGAAGGCGCGGATAAAGGGATTGTGGATCAAGGACTGGAGGACGACCGACATGAAGCATGTCTGACCCATGTTATACAGTCCACGGAGGCCTTTGGCGCGGCAAGGTGTAGGTGCGGCGTTTGCGGCGAGAATCTTGCTGTCGACGTCGGACATGAAGACGGTGTGCTTGCGCTTCTTGCCTGTGAAGCGGTTAATCTTCTGCCTCNNGTGTCCTTCTCCTATACTCATACCTTGCTGAGTGCGTATCTCTTCGAGAGCATTGTCATAGACAAAATCGTCGCAATCTCGGCAGTAAACATTGCCTTTGCTTGATTCCACNGCCTAGCCTGTCATCAGAACATATTGCTTGATCTAATGTGTATATATGTCCTTACAGAGAACATGCTTCTTTTCGTGCTGTCCACGCTGTTCTAACGGGAAGACGCTCGAACATTCCAGACAGAGGTAGGTCGGTCGCAAAGAGATGGCTGATGATTTGGAGAGGTGTGGGCCGATTGCGCCATTCTTGTGCACTGTTTGCATCAAAGTCGTGTATCGTTTGATCAGATCGGGCTGTGAGGCTTCAAGTTGGCTCTTGACATGATCNTAAGAACTGTTAGACGTGGTGCGAACAAGTTGTTGTATGATCGTCATACCGCAGCCATGTGTGGATACCGAGCCTGGAGATGGAAAGCGGATGTCGGCGAGAGAGTGCTTNTTGGTGACCACTGGGGACTGTGACTTGTTCTCCATGATGACGGACCTGTGGCTACATTGCCTGTGATGCGAGAAATGTTGTGGAAGATGGTATTCGCCTTGTCGCAAACCTCGGAATCGCATGCGACATGCATCACATTCAACCGGGGTGACCTTAACTCCGGCCTGTCTCCAGATTGGGGATGCTCCCGCAAGCTCCTCCGACAGCGGCTATCCCCTTTGCTAGATCGAAGCTTTCGGACTTTCTCTCGATAGAAAGTAGGATATATTCTGAAATGACAAGCAATCTTCTCATCGTGGCGCTCTGGCCGAGTGGTCTAAGGCGTTAGACTTGAATCAATTTCAGTAATCTAATCTCTTCGGAGGCATGTGTTCGAACCACATGGGCGTCGATATTGTCTTTTGCTCTTGCTACCACGAGATGGACTCGCTGCAGAGGTCGACGCTGAAGATCAACTCGATGCTTGTCCCCCTGTCATCCTTTTGCAAATCCCTTTGTCAGAGGCGGGCGTTGCATCACAAAAGCATGACCCAAAGGTGTTGTTAATATTGTTCTGTTAACATCAAATTCATTCTCATCGGAACTTCTATGGGTATCTACAAAGGTATACATCAACTATTTACTTTCCTTCTGAGAGACTGTCGCAGCGAACTCAAGTCTTCTCTGGACTCTAGTCACCTTGGGTGTGACGGTTTTGTAGGGTGACGTGATGTTCTCCAATTGATGAGATTTGTGACCGAACCGCTTTCGATACTCCCAAGCGATGTGATCTGCTTCCTGTTCCAATTCGTCCAATGGCTTCATGCGTGCCTCATCTAGCCCAAGGTTCTCACTCCTGAGCGTAAAGGCCGCTTCATCGAGGCTGTCTGCCACTTCATCGCCTTCGAGACGACGAACGAAGGTAAGGATCCATTGGAACTTCTCAGTACTGAGCCAGATACCTTCTCGGAGCGGACGCGTCACTCCAGCATAGACAAGAGCCCGAGACATGAGGCTTGAAAGTGGTGCGCCTCGGTCCTGTAGGTAGTTTAAACAATCGCATACCTTCCTGAAGGCCATCCGTGAGGTCAATAGTGGCGACTTGGCCATGGCGTATGCGACATGATGCACCAGCTGTATCCTCTCGTGTGACAGAGGGCTGTTGGCTACTGAACGCAATTGCGTTGGCAGAGAGTTTGCATAGTCCGGTCGTATCAGCAAATCGAATACAGCTTGAGACCTGACCGCGCGACTGTCGGTCAGAGCGAACAACAACTCCGGTACACTTGAAAGCCATTGGTGGCTTTGCGAACGGGTGAAGACGTCCAACGCCCATTGTGTTTTCTCTATGTCGATGAAATATCGTATGATATCCACGGCCACCGGATAAGGGATTCGAACGTTGGTCCTAGTAAGCTTCGCAAACAGATGATACGTCCACACGGGTGACTTGTGATGCTTCAGCACTTGAAACAGATCACTGAGCCAACCAGCATAATCAATCTTGTTTTCGCTCAACAAAGTGAATAGATGAAACCAGGCTCCGCCCCGGCTCGGGTAGACACCGTCTCGGTCTGGCTTGCAGCGATCGTGGAGCGTCGATGCGAGGGTGTCGAAAATCTCCTGACGTTCTTCAAGGGTCGCTCGGTGGGTACGTGACCGATCAGGGGACCGAGACATGGTATATCCTAGTCCATAGGTTTGAAAGGGATCTTCCACCTTGGCACCGTGCCGACTGTGGACAGTTGGTGGAGGTTGTAATGGTAGGTCGCGTACTGTATCTGGCGTTGCATTGCTTGTTACATCTGAAATAACAGACCCTGCGAGGTCTAACTCTGACATTTCAGGGTCCGATACTTCCAGTATGGAAGGCTTTATCCAATTGTGCAAGACAATAGTAGCGGCATCTGCGGGGTGGAGGGACCGTAGGTGGGTACCGAGCTCAGCGATGGTGAATTTCAACGCGAGAAAAGGGTAAAGAACCGTGGCACCTATTGAAGAAGGCTGATAGATCGAGGGATAGAAGAGACCGAGATCTACAAGCTCANNGCAATTAAGCCTCTCGATGCAACTGTTGCGGGCAACCTTTGGATTTTCGAGACTTTTGCCAATGAATTTCTTGGTAGCATGTTCTATGACACGGTCAAAATATGCAGAGGGGATCATGCTCAAGGTGAGCATCAGCTGATCTGAAGGTCCAGGCCACATGGTTCGTGATATGGCTGTTCTGAGGTGCCTGGCCAGGAGTCGAGGGGCCAAAGCTCCACAAAGTGGACTAGATGCAGCTATGAGCTTAGAGACACCTGGCGATGGAGGTAGAGAAAGTGAGTTCTTGAGCAATTTAATAACAAGACGCTCTGGAGGGTTGTTTGGAGCACAAACGTCCACCAAGGATCCAAGAAGCATTGAGTTGACCTCCAACAGTAATCGATCATCAATTCCTGCAGTTTCTCTCGGTATCTCGAGGATGTCCGACAACTCTTTTTCCGGTATAGTGCCTAAGGCGATCTTATCGCACACAAGACGAACACAGTCCATAACCTGCTCAGAAGGGCTCTTTGTAGCGAAAAGATGGACGAGGTATGTATGGGTGTTGTGATTGTCCTGGTGGTCCAAGTCGCTCTGCAGGAAGGCCAAAACTTGATCAGGAGTGGATCGGTATAACAAGGAGTAGAAGGCGGCTTTGCTGAAGGTTTGAGAGACATCAGAGCCAGAGTGCATGCTAGTATATGCTTGAGCCAGTGAGTCCAGGGTGCGACATGAAGCCAGTAGAACTCTGTACTCTTTGAAAGATAGTGGAGATTGGNNGGCGGTGGTGGAACGGCACGAGGGGTACAAGGCTTGTAAGACGTGGGAGGCGTCCGAGGTATTGGAGGAGCGGGAGGAGTGNTCGTGTGGTGGACTCGGGGCACGCGACTGTGCCGTACTCGGTGGAGCCCATAGCGAGGTCATGTCAAGACCGCCAGAGCCGAAGAGAGTGCCAAAGTCAGGCATCAGGCCTGGAGAGGGACTGGGCATACTGAGCCCAGCCATGCGTCTCCTAGCAAGGCGACGACGGGACTCCAATGGCCCCGGCACATTGCTGCCATGGCGTCTGGTGTTGGTATGGCTGTGATTTACCAGACAGGTGTTGGCAAAGCGACGATAGGCGGCAGCGAGGGTGTCATCGGAGATCCAGATGTACGGCTGGAGTCGACATGGCATGGAAGGCGCCTGGCAATTCGGCGATTGACTGACTGATACAAGAAAGTCCAACAGGAAAGTGCATTATGCAAGGTCGGCGGGCAGCTGCGATGCTGCGCCAAGGCCGCGTCCATCGCAGTTTCCCTTCGCGCATCTCGAAATGTTCCGCCGTGCACTGTGACTTTGTCCATTCACTCTCCGCTCCACAACCGTCACTTCCTAATGATTCTACGATCAATAGCCTTACGGCAAGGTACGTCGTCTCTCTTTCCGTGCCCCAGCGAGCAATACTTATATCTCAGCANNGGCCGCAGAGCGGTGGCCAAGCCCGCACGATGCCTTCACTCATCAGCCATTTGCCTGCAACAGAACCAACCCATTGACCCCGCCTCGTACTCGTTCTCCTCGCGCATTCAACCTCCAGTAGACGGTGACCAGGTCGCTCGTGATTACCGCGCTTTCAAGCACCACCAAGAAGTCACCAACCGCATTGGATCCGTTGTTTCGCCCAGGTACCAGCCGCATACCCAACTCACCCAACCGCCCTCGCCCGATGAGATTTCCCTCGAACTCCTTCTTGCCTCGCAATCCCATCTGGGTCACTCTACGTCGCTCTGGAACCCCGCCAACGCCCGCTACATCTTTGGTGTACGCCAGGGTGTCCACATCATCTCGCTTGACCAGACCGCCTCTCACTTGCGCAGAGCATGTTCTGTCGTTCGTGGTGTAGCTCAACGTGGTGGTTTGATCCTGTTCGTCGGTACTCGTGAGGGACAAGAGAGAATTGTTGTCAAGGCAGCTGAGCTTGCTGGTGGCTGCCATCTGTTCGACCGCTGGATTCCTGGAAGCATTACCAACGGTGCTCAGATCTTGGGCAGGTGCCGTACAAAAGTCGTTGACGAGAATGACAAGGAGATCAAGGGCTTCGAAGAGCAGCTCGAAGCAAAGGGTGCTCTCAAGCCCGACTTGGTCGTCTGCCTGAACCCGCTGGAGAACTACGTCTTGTTGCACGAGTGTGGTTTGAACAACATTCCCACGATTGGTGTCATTGACACTGATGCAAACCCCACCTGGGTCACCTATCCCATTCCCGCCAACGATGACAGGTACATATGCTTTGTTCCGCTTCTGTGTACGTGATCACTGACCAGTGCTAGTCTTCGTTGCATCAACCTCATCGGGGGCGTTCTTGGACGTGCCGCAGAGTCAGGCTTGAAATCTCGTCTTGGTCAGGCTGCCAATGGTGTTGTCACTTACGCAGCACGCCACAACCTGGCTCCCCCAACCGCTGACCAGATTGCCGCTGCCTACGAAGCCGAACGTTCGTTTGCCAGAAACAACGCTTTCGACCAGGACGCCGACCAACGCATCGTCACTTCGTCCGCCCCTGCTGATGAAGACGCAAGAATTCAAGAAAAGGCTGACACGACAATGATGAGCGCATTCGAGTATGCTCAATTCGCTGATTTCGAGGAGGAGGCCACGGGTGCTGCCATCGAGATGCACTACCCTGACCAGAAATCACCCGAGACAGCGGAGATGGCTGAATTGAGAGAGAATCTCCGCCGCACCCACCGCGCCTTGAATATTCCAGTTGAAGGCGAGCCAACATATTTCGAGAGCGAGCCAATCGATACCGAGACTGCAGTCGAGCTTGAAGCAGAAACACAAGACATGATGGATGAGCCACTTACTCAACAGGAAGCTGCTGCACTGCACTCTCAGGATGGTGGTAAGGGTGAGAACCCCTACGAAGGCGGCAGTTACCGTAGCGCTCTCAAGATGCGTAAGAACGCTGCCGACGCCACGCTTAGCAGAATGGTCGCTCTCAAGAGAAGGGCCTACGGAGAGGAGTTGTCTGCCGAAGACCAAGAGGTTCTACGCAAGCTGGACGAAGCAGCCAAGAACGCGCCTGCGGCTGATGAAGGCGAGTTCGCGCTGCCTCCGAGACGCCCATCGTAGTCGCCCCTTGTACAAACTGTATCATGTAAAGCATAAAATTGGGTTCTGGGACGGAGAAAAGCCTGGCGTTCATTTGAGTCGGTGTGTATGGAAATCTGACCTTTGCAAACCAACATTTCTTGTATTATACCACTTGTTCGGAATCGAGAGTTTCAAAATCACTTTTGTATTGTTCTTTTGACAAAAGAGCTAATCCAAGGCCCCTGAGTACAGGCCAATCGCGTCTAGCTGATCAAGCGCATAGTCAATTCGACACTAATGAGATAGTCAGCATAATCGCATCGTCGGGACCAACAGGAGCACTCACGTAGCAAAGGTACCAGCAGATACAGGCATGGCTCTCAACAAAGTAGGACCCAATCCTCTCCAGAAACCTCTCATACCTTCACCTCTCCATGTCTGCGCGAAGGTATCACGCATGCTCTTGTACTTTTGCTGAGCACCAAAGCCATCACTCTGCATCTTCGACTTGATGACATCGAAAGGATAACTTCCGAGCCAGAGGGCCTCACCAGCCAGACCACCATACAACGCGATCTTCCAGGTGGGGATTTCCTTGCGCTCGATACCGTTGCGCTTGGCATCCTGGTTCATCATGAATTCGAAAGCGGTGAACCAAACACCGTAGGCCTGGGCTTCACGGAACCAGGTCACGCCTGTGCCGCGGTAGAGGCCTTTGAGCACGCCTTCGTGGGCGCAGAGTTTCTTGACGCAGTCGATGGGGCCGTTGTAGAGGCGTGCTGCACCGTGGGGCTGCGTTTGCAGACGGATACGAATGTGTTCGATAGGAGAGGACATTAGTGTGTTGGCGATACCGGCGAAGGCGCCGGCTGCATAGTATTGGCCGTATGAGAGCGGCTGGGGTGTTTCAAGGACACCGCCGGTCTTTGCTGCGTTCTGGCGCTCAAAGGCGCGGCGAGCATAGTGGAATGCTCCAAATTGGACAGACACCTTGACTATGTCAGACTGGCTTCTTTTTGTGTTTCATCTTCTGCCAATGCTGCCGGATGAGTGAAAAGGTTTACTTACGCATGCACCAATACCGATAAGTGGTGTTAACGTGCCCTTGTAGAAAGCAGCTGCACCNTCATTCTTCAAGATCTTGGATGCAGCATCTGCTGCGCCCGAGTACTGCGTCGTTGTTTGCAGGCGAACCTTGACAATATCTATCGAATTGTATCAGAACTACGTTCTTCCAATCCAGAGTATCCAGCGCTCTTACCGAAGGGCTGTCCTACAAGATAAACATCGTCAGCGTGTACTCAAGTATCATCGTGATCATTATTTTGTTCCCAAGCAATATACTGTCTTCCTCTGAGCTTGCCCAAGATATGTCTGGCCCATTGATCGCGCCTTGCTCTTTCTGTTCCCTTCACTCTCGTCCTCGATGTGACTTCCCCCATGTTCGCCAAGTTTACTCACCAATCAACACTTGTGCAACACCACCGACTGCACCCGCAAACAGATCCTTGACGGCGCGACTGCCGCCTTCTCTTTCAATCTCTTCTACTGCGTCGGCCATTTTTTACTATCGAGTCGATTGATTGGAAAAAGAAAAGGAATCTCCAAGAGAGATAGTGCAAGTCATAAGGCGTCGTCGCTTCACCCCGTTCTCAACGCCGTGGTCGGCCGTGCCTTCCCTTTCTGTCAAACGCTTGCGTGATTACTCCTTGCCCGCCCATGACACATTTTTGCATTTCATATCGATACCTCGGGCAGATTCGTACTTGATATCTGGTGCTCCAGCTCGCTAAAAGGTCGAACTTCTGCATGTGCTGAACAACAAGAAATCTAGACTCGAGTCATTGACCAGTGCTAACCTCTCCCTCCTTCTCTTAAAAGTCCTAGAATGACCACTAGCAGCCACAAGACTTCTGCAGATCTATGACTTGTACAGAAAGCATACAGCTGACTTGATCAGACGACGGTCCTGGATAGCAAACCAGTATGTGCGCTGCCATACCTGCAAAATGGCTTGATAATTCTGGTGAGGGGACGACCCTGCTCATCAAAGTCATGAATTGATCGAGTTGCGAACCGACGTTCACTTCTTTTCTTGTTCTTTGTGTCTGCTACCATCGAGTCACATAGTTGTTTGGTAGACTTGTGGTATGTGATTTCTTAGTATGTACATCGAGAGTAGTTCGGAAACATATTCCTTGCGAGACGGCTGTGCTTACACAAAAGCATATGGGACACTGAGACATGTTTGAGATGCAAATGCTTGTTTCATGATTTCATTGATAATGTATATCTCTACTCGGCCTTCCATCGGCGGCCACCACCCTGTTGCCAGAGCCAGACAGCCTCCGTAGCATAGGACTTTGCGCCCATATGCCTTCCTCCTGCAGCGCCTCTGCCCTCGCTCTCGGCTAGACAGATCTCAAGCACACTCTCCTTCTTGACTTCAAACCACAGTCCTCTTGCCAATTCTCCAAGCGTGTCTTTAGCGCCGACTGTGCCTTGACCCTCTTCTCCAGGATCGCCAAACTCGCCTTTACCGAGTCTATACAGGACACGTCCGAGCGTCTGGAAAGCTACACATCGTTGGGCAGGTACGCTGGACCTGGCCAACATGGCGAGTTCGGGTATCGTATAACCCGCAGCGTCAGGAGCATCGCCGTGATGATGCAGACCCATCGTGACCGGAATTTCCGCTGCAAGACTCGGAGGAATCAAGGCGCCAGTGAAAGCAAAACGAATATCTTTTGGATCAAGGGATGTCTGAGACGTTGAATACGCGTTTTTCGGCGTAGAAGTCATCCATTCCAACTTTTCTGGATCGGCGGGTAGATCAGGAAAGTACTTTTCGTGCAAGTCTTCGAGGAAGTTCGGGTCTGAAGGGTCGAGTGATGGTGGTTGAGGAGGTCGCGGGAAGTGGATGGTTGAGTCTGTTGGGAGAGCAACTTCTGCTGCGGCCTCGTGACCAGAATGATCGTGCGTGTGGTGTTTTGAAGAAGTATCATTTCCATTGCGAGTACCATGTCCGACTTCTGCGCCTGTTGGCTCGTCTTTCACTTCAGTAAACTTGACAGTCTTACGAGGCTTCGTGACGTCTGGTTGTGGTTTGGCTTCCTGCTTTGTCTCTTCTATCTTCTCCCGCAGCCCAGGGAAATCCTCGTTACTTCCACCTTCTTCGATGGTTGCGCGACCCAGCAGACGCTGAATCAAAGAAGGATCGAGTGACGAAAGCAGTTCTCTCCGCTCTTCCTCTATTTCTTCAGGCGACATCTCAGCGATCCTTTGGCGGTTCTCCTCATCTATGCGCCGCCTCTCGGTAGTCATGAAATCGTCATCGTCGTCTTCCAGGTCGTTGCTCTGAGGTTGTGGTGTCGGCGCGATGGGCTCCACATCCTGTTGTCTACTCTTCTTGAACCTGGACTGTACGTTGCGTTTGCGATGTGCAGGGAAGCCACCGGTCGAGTTCTTGAAGGCGGGTGGTTGCGGCGGCGCGGGTGCGGCTGTTGGCTTGCGTTCCAGGACGTCGGCGACAAAGTTGAATGGATTGAAGACCTTGGGAGCACTGTCGACTTCTGGTGAGTTCTGAGCGTCAAAGTCGTCTATACTGAACTGCTGTCCTCGGAGTGTCATGATGTCTGTGTTTACAGCTCGGAGCTGTCAAACATTTTTAGGAAAAGAGAGATCGGATTGGTTATGCACGAGGCTGCGGGAAGCCCCACTATTTTCCCGGCTGCCTATTCTTAAATCGGAGCAACATCGATCCTCACTCAAAGTAGGTAGACCCTGGACGACGTTCATGCATCCACGCATTAAACCACAGCGATTCTCGAGTGACGTGTCCTGACTGAATTATAGTATTCAGATAGAATTTGGTGCTCAACATATCGGTTCATTATTGCATGAACCCTTGTCTGACAATCACTCGACACGTCTCGTCGGCAATCCTAGCAAGCCAAGCTTTTCAGTAATGCTCGGGATCTGATCTACTTGCAGTCTTTGTATTCGACTGGTGATTCAGATGCGCAAGACGGATCTACAATGATATCGGAGAGAGTGAATATGTGGCCAGCATCATGAGAACCTATCACGAGGGTGCAGGTGTCCAACAGCTGCAATATACTGATGGTTGGAAGCAATAGGCACACCTTACCCCCGAGAGGATAGTTAGAATGACCCGAATTACGGATGTCACAGCACGTTCTTTAGCGCCCCTCATGCCTAAATCATAACTGGCCTTAGCTGGGTTTGTTCGTTTGATCGTTCTCGGCCACTTGTTCCCGCAGCCCAGCAGCGCAGGAAACCCTGGGCTCACGCTGAGCTTCTAAGAGGCCATCATCGCGCACTTTCTGTCTCTCTTCCTTCCCCTTTCTTCTTTCTTTCTCTTTCAACTTGCCGTGTTGGCTTCTTGTACGCCTAAGACTTCCCTGCTCTTCACATCTGTTCATTTTTGTGGTCTTCCATCAACCATCATCAGCCATCGAGCGTTACATCAAGTCCAAGTCTTTTGCCGTCTTTGCCATCAAGACCAGTGCATTCGACTATTGCTTTCTTGTCGTCGTCGCTCGTGCCGCTGAGCCCCGTCCGAATTTCGAATTCCAAACCGTCGTCGGCTTTGGTGGTCGCTTTAAAGCCTCCCGCACAGCTTCGAGTGGTTTGACCACACCCATATCTCTTCGGCTAAGAAACATCACCTTATTGCTGGCAATTGCAACTGTGGTCTTGCAGTTTTGATCTTGCGCTTTGCATTTTCCAATTCGGTATTCTGGTCGCATCGCCTGTTCTTTCTCAGCCGCCGTACTACCTTCAACCCTTTTTTTTGTTTTTGGTGTTCGTCATGGCCGCGGTCGGCGATGGACAAAGCTCCACAGGCTCCTCGCCCATGTCTTCTCCGCCTCATGGGCTTTCTGATACCATCAGTGTCGCGAAGCCCGCGCAGCCTCAGTTTCTGCGTCCTGGAGATGTCGCATTTCCCCAACTTTCTCGTCCACCACAACCACAACCCGCTACGTCAACTTCTACAAATACCACAAATGGCAACGCCAAGGCCGCATCACATGACCCTACCAAAAAGGTCAAACAAACACGCAAGAGGAGAGATCCTGAGGTAGTGGCAGCAGAAAAGGCAGAAAAGGCTAAGAAGGCTGCTGAAAAGGCCGAAAAGGCGGCAGAGAAGGCCGCCGCTGCAGCGGAGCCTGCCAAAGAAAAGAAGCCTCGCAAGCCTCGTGAACCCAAGGACCCCAATGCCCCGACAGCTGGCTCGCGTAAGAAACAGAAGACTGATGCATCGGCCAATTCCACGCCTACTGCGAGCCGTCAACCAACTCTTGGTGTTATGGTTGGCAAATTTCAGACGCCACTTCCTCCCACTCCAACCGTACAGCAAACACAGCCTGTACAAATCATGAAGAGTGAAGAAAAGAAGCCCATTGTTGCACCTCCTCCAGCCCCTGCACGGCCTGCCTCCAGTGGTCAAAGATATGACCCCATCCGCGCCTCTATGACCGTGGACCCTTACTCAACCCCTGCCAACACATCGATTGCTTCACTTCAAGTCTCACCACATGCGCACAGAGCAAGCGCGTCACCTGCAATCGCAAGTCTGATCAATCCTCCTGCTCCTAGTGACACGCTCATGTCTCCTCCTGTGGTTCCATCTGTCCCTGCTCAGATGAAGTCACCGAGCGTCTCTGCTGCCATGCCTCCTCCTCCCAGCGTCAATCGTCAGCCTGAAGTCCAACTCATGTCAAACACCCTCACGAACAATTCACCCCAAACAATCTCGCACCCAAGCGCTGTAGTGATGGAAGACGCCATGGAGATTGACGCCCACGACGAGCAAAAGCCAGCACAGGTCGTCACTAAAGTTGCAGACAAGGAAAAGGAGAAGGACAACCAAAAGCCCACCGCCAAACCATCGTCCGCCCCAGCACAGAAGGCCAAGCGTGCCTCGCCCCCGGCGCCTACTGGCAGTGGTCTGCTTTCTGGCAGCGACATCTTCGGAGGACCGTCAGCCGTCACCGAGGATCACAAACGCCATGGAGTGAATATCGATATCGAGATTCCTCTTAACCCGGCGGGTAACAACACAATCAACATCGCCCAAGAGATCTTGAAGAAGTATGGCAAGAACGCCATCAATCCTCGCGCTGCAGCACACCGCGAACGTCTCTTACAAGTCGCCGCTGCAGCCAACCGCCTAGAGCCCGGTACTGGTGACGATATCTCTGTTGGTGACCTCAACTCCGAGGCCGAGAATGACAGTAACGTTGAAATGGGTGGCATGGAAGAAGACAAGAAGGGCGACGATGAGCCTAAGAAGCGCCGCCGTAGAAAGGTGGAGGACTACGACAAGGAAGACGATTTCATCGACGACACAGAACTGGCCTGGGAAGAAGGCGCAGCAGTTGCTAAGGATGGCTTCTTTGTCTATTCAGGCCCGCTTGTACCTGAGGGAGAGAAGGCTCAGATCGAGACTTCTGCGCCCTCTGGTCGTGGAAGAGGTCGCGGCCGTGGACGCGGTCGTGGAGGCGCTACTGGTGTCACTCACGCTCAACTCGCCGCGAAGAACGCCGATCCATCAGCTGCAGTGACTGCTCCGACAACTGGCAGAGGCAGAGGCCGTGGCCGCGGCACTGGAGCAACTCGCAAGCCACGCATCACCAAGGCCGACAAGGAGAAGATGGAGAGCGAAAAGGTGCAACGTGAGCGCCAGGCTGCTGCTCTTCCTCAGGCGAACCCTGCAGCAGTCTTTCTGACTCCTGCTAGCATGGCGCAGGTCTGAGCTCCTTTCGAATGTATTGCTTTGGATTGTTGTTATTGTCCCGAAGGACAGGACAAGACATGGAGTTTACGGAGTATAAGAGGTTCACAGCGATCATGAGATGTTGCTTATGCATTGTTCTTTTTGGCGGAAGGTGTCGGAGTTTGGGGGAGGAAGTCGCTATCGGGGTTCATGAGTTTTCTTCTTTCACGTTTCTTTGTTTCTTTTTTCTTTTTGCTTCTGCTCTTCTGCACGAGAAGGGCATCTTTTACATTGCTTGCATGACTACACACAGCGAGCGGAGGAGAATAGCTACAAAGATTGATTAAGTGGAAACGCGAGCTACACACGAAAACGCGTCTCACGAAGAACCAATGGAACATACAATTCATACCACAAATCAAACCATACCATATCAGAACACTATACTCTTCAACCTATCATCCATACTTTGACTAATCATTTGCGATAAAGGAGTCAACAGTAATCACAATCAATATGCTCGCAATAAAAAAGTCTGAAAAGAGCACGCCGAGCTGTGCAGTCAATGTACTGCCCTGCCGCATCCAACACAACGGACCCGTCAACGCAAGCACAAGACACTGGACACCAGAAGTCAGTCCGGATAGCAACGAAACCAGCACATCAACAGCATACTTCCGCGGCAGAAAGTTGAATGGCAAAGTCGTAAACTTGCCCGATGGATACAGAGGTAAGTGTCTTTTTTCTCTTTCTTTTCTTCTCAACAAACAAATAAACCGAAAACACCATCACCATCACCATTATCCTTTTTCCTAATACACCAAGAAAAAACAAAAACTGACCAACTTTCTTCCCAATANNGGCGCTATACTTCAAAGAACCGATACAATCCTCCCGACCACAATACCAACAGCCCTCGTGCCAGAACAAGAACAAGAAGAACAAGACCCAACACCAGAAACAAAAGTCCTTCAGGAACTTGCAACGTTCGACAAGATTATTGTCTATGGCCATGAAGTTCAACCGGATGCTCAAGAAGACGTATATGTCAAGGGTATTGATGAGTGGATTGGTTTGGCTGGTGCGGTAAGTTGATTCCTTCTCTCCCGTGTCAATTGTGAAGGAGACAGAGGGCTGATTGGGAGAAACCAGATGAATTCGTTTTGATACATGAACCAGAGTAGAAGTGAAATGGTGTTTTTGCTGAGCGTCACAGGCAGGGTGGGACCAGAATACATTGGTCTGGCATTCTCAGATGTTCCCGGTACTTGGAGGATACATAAGACGGAGCATGCACGGGTTATGTGGAGCGATTCGTTCAAGAGAATCATCACAGCTTGTAACATGAAATTGATTCTATTGTACAGCCCGAGGCCTGAGCAGCTTTCCTGCTTCGAAAAGGCCATGCATTATTGCCATCAAATGCCAGTGCTCCCTTTGTCATAATGCGCCAGTGCGCCACATGAAGATGATCTACTCGTTGCCCCTTTTACTCGCCTCATGCAGCCCAAATCTCCTGACCGGAACTCTCGATCCAGTTTCCGAGCTTGTTGACACCGTCGTCCCAAGCACGCAGTCTTTCGCGCATGTTAACGATCTGACCCTTGTCCAACACCTTGGGCTGGACCCATGTTATCCTGGCAACTTCTGCGACCTGGTCGATAGTTCCACGCACAAGGCCCAGGCTGAGTGCCTTCATGATGAGGTGCTCGATCTCGTTCGGCTGGACTTTAGTCTGCTGGGCGATCTCGGTGAACGTCATGGCACGGTCGTGAGGTGGGCGGCGGAAGACGGTCTCGGTCAGAGCGGACAAGCTGATTTTNTGGTACAAGAAGTTCTGGTGCTCCTTAAGCAGGTCGTTCTTGCCCATGTGTGCAGCCAAGACATCGTAGGCGCCAAGATCGCCCTTGTTGAAGGCGATGATAAGATCACGCAGCCAAGCGTGTTGAGTGTTCTGAAGCGTGTCGAGGATAGGGTGGAGAAGAAGTTCACCAAAGTTGTAGATTGAGTCGGAAATGAGGGCAGCGATCGAGAGGTCGTAAGCGATGCGCTGGCGGTCTTCGAGGGAAAGAGATTCGAGGTCGATACATGCGAGGTAGAGGAGGGTGGTGCGATAGTAGGCGGCGAACTCGTGCTTGGCTTGGTGATAGTCGGCGCTGACGCGGTAGAACGAGGCGTGAACGACGGACTCAACCGAGTCGAATGTGTCAAGAATCTGCTCGCACTGGTCGAGATCCTTGCGGGCTTCATCGTACTTCTTCAAGCGCAACTCGACGTTCGCTACGGCGGTCTTAGCGTAGACAAAGGCGTCCTGTGATGCGGGCTTGTCAACGCCCGAGGCGAGGTTGGTGAGGAATCCGAAGCGCTCGTTGTCGTCNTGCAGAGTCATTGTTAGCGATGAAGGCAGATCTGACAGAAGGAGAAGGCTACCTTTGCATTGTGAAGCAGTGCTCAGACCGAGAGTGACAAGCTGCAGTTGGTTGATCTTGTCGGCGAAAGTCTTGATGAACTGGTTGTAGAGAGGGAGGCGCTGCTTCTGACTGTGGTCGTTTTGGAAGTAGAGGACAAGGTCGTTGGTCAGTTCGTGCCACAGCTTGCGCTCCCATAGGTCTTCGAATTGGAGAAAGTAGTGCTGAACATCTTCGGGGGCGGCGTCACGCTGATCGGCGAGCAGGTTGGGGATGGTGTCGACATCCATCTTGGCACAGAGATTGAGGTGTGCAAGTCGCGAGAGTTTGAAGGATGCGGCGAGTAGATGGTGGGTTGTGGTGATGAAAGTCAGATGTCAAACAGATGCTTGCTCGGTGTCGTTTGGAGCTCACACAAGTGGAAGGTGCTCGTAGTGACGCTGTCAGTGCACGCACCTTCGGCCGGCTCGTCGCAGCACCAAGTCGCTCGCGGAAGTCTCCGAACCTCCGAGCGGACTGGCTTGGCTGTACCTCGCGTTGCTGACCGTTCGGGACGTACAATCGATATATACCCTAATCTACGCAACAATGAGCCAGATCGCGAGCAGCATGGCTCTGCAGAGGCAGCTCGCCAGATCCGGCACCCAATTCGCAAAGACGTCGGTCCCGCGCGTCCAGTCACGAAGCCTTCAGGACATCGCCATCACCAGAACCGGCAAGCCCATCATCAGAATCTCCGGTGGAAGGNTACCACTCGCCAGTCCAACCCACTCGTACTTTCCTTGCTGACTCTGTTCGCCAACAGATCCTCTCTCGGAGGTTGGTCCCATGCGAAACGACCCTCTCCACTGATCCATCCCGACTAACCCTCAACAAGGCCATACCGCTACCGTCTTTGGTGCCACTGGTTTCCTCGGCCGCTACGTCGTCAACAGACTCGGTACACGATCCTCGACCCAATTCACCTACTCCAATGCTAAACTCAGCCCATAGNCTCGTGCTGGATGCACCGTCGTCGTCCCCTTCCGTGAGGAGATGGCCAAGCGCCATCTCAAGGTCTCGGGTGACCTGGGTCGTGTTGTCTTCCTCGTACGCTTGTCCTCATACTTGACTCATTGCGCCAACATGCGCTGACAAGCACAAAAGGAAATGGATCTCCGCAACACCGCTTCCATCGAAGAGTCTGTCCGTCACTCCGACATTGTCTACAACTTGATCGGTCGCGACTACCCCACCAAGAACTTCGACCTCGAGGACGTCCACGTCGAGGGTGCCACCCGTATCGCCGACGCTGTCGCCAAGTACGACGTCGACCGCTTCGTCCACGTTTCCTCGCACTCCGTTTCCAAGGACTCGCCCTCCGAGTTCTACCGCACCAAGGCCCGTGGTGAGGAGGCTGTCCGCAACATCTTCCCCGAGACAACCATTGTCCGCCCTGCCCCTCTGTTTGGCTTCGAGGACCGTCTGCTCCACCGCATCGCAAAGGCTTCCAACATGTTCACATCCAACAACATGCAAGAACGCTTCTACCCTGTCCACGCCATTGACGTTGGTGAGGCCCTCGAGAAGATGTGCCACGACGACAGCACCGCTGGTGAGACTTACGAGCTTTACGGCCCCAAGCAATACCAGATGGCAGAGATCAAGGAGCTTGTCGAGCGCGAAATCTTGAAGAGCAGACGTCACATCAACATCCCCTCTCAAATCATGACCCCCATCGCACAGTTGATGAACAAGCTCGTCTGGTACAGCGTCATGAGCAAGGACTCGGTCGCCCGCGAGTTCATCGACCAGACCATTGACCCTACAGCAAAGACCTTCAAGGACTTGGGTATTGAGCCCACCGACCTTGCCAACTTCACATACCACTACCTTGTAAGTTGCTGCGCCGCCATATAACTCGTTGATCACGTTGCTAACAACCATCACAGCNAAGCATACCGTAGTTCATCCTACTACGACTTGCCTCCCATGACCGAGCGTGAGAAGAGAGAGGAGAAGAAGTACCTCCACGTTCTCGACGACCAGTAAATATTTCGCAAAGAAGCGGTTGTTGTATTTCCTTTTTTTTTGTCCCATTGTAGAAAACAATATATTTCACCGTTCGAGCGTTCATGATTACTGGTCGACTGCCCTGAACATGTCCTTTCGGTTTCATAACCTGCATTGTGCATTGTCCCTGAGCACTGTTACATACTGTAACACGGATTTAGCAAGGATGTTGGGTATTCTTACACTTTTGTCCCGGAAAATCAGAGGATGAGAAGAGTGGTCTTTTACATGGTTATTAACATCACAAAACAACAGTAGGGAAGAGAATGTATAAACAGAGATGTTTCCACTCAGCTAATCCACTATGTACAAAAAGGGGGGGGGGGGGGGGGGGGTGTTTCTTCTAGCTCATTGTACGTACATTGTGAAAGGCGTCTTTCGAAGGTTGAACAAAAGAAGAAGAAGAAACGCAAAAGAAAAACAAGCAACCAAAAACCCGCCCCCGAAAAAACAAGCTAAACATTGCCATGTTTCGTGTTTCATAAAACCTTCACCTCAATTCCTGCTGCGCGAGTTCGATAGGGAAGAAGGAAAAAAAAAAAGAAGCAATTGGTGTGCAAGTCCAAACAAGAAATCATGTGTGCCTCTCCACTCTCGTGCTGTTTGCCACCCACCAGACGTATCAGACTAGACTTTCTCTGTACAGGATAGTAAATGGAAAAGCGAGGTCAAGGGGAAAAGATGATATGATGCAGATATAGAAGGTAGAAAGTCAATCGAAGCTGAGACGAGTTTGTGTGAGAAGAAGAAAGAGAGAGGTGCTTGCATGAAAGAACAACTCGGGAAAAGAAATGGGGTATCGTGACAAGACGAGACAACGCTTGAAACACATACAGAGGAGATGGAGAGGGCCAGGTCGAGTAAAAGTGGAAGAGAAATGGAGCAATGGAAACCAAGGGCTGAACCAGAAGACTGAGAAGATTGGAGGAGTCATGTCGTCCCCTCACTCTTCTTCGATCTTTTCGGGAACCCTGCTGGCGCCTTCCATGTGTGCGGAATGCCCCGTAGGTCCATGGTGTTGTTGTGGTGAGGTGACGTTGACATACCCGCTAGTCGCGTTCATGTTTTGACCGTGTTGTGCGAGTGCGTCGAGCGACTGTTGACGAGGCGTCGTCGATTCTGTCTTGACGCCATGAACACCGGGCGGATGCATAGGAGACTGTGACTTCTTGGAAGCCTTCTCCGATGTCGCCGAATGTACAGAGTGCTGTGAGCTGGTTCGAGGTGATACTCTCCCGTTCTGTTGAAGTGATTAACCGTCCGCACTTGCGCGTGAATTTGTTGCCGATTGACTTACCAGCTTGGCCCATCTCAGACCACAGCTGTTGCAAAGATCTCGCTGTCCGCTTGGGCCTCTCCTCCACTCGGGCGTTACTCTGGTGTGACAGTTGGCACAATCTTTCTGCATCTGACCAGCACCCTTTCTCCTCTTTCGCTTTTTCTTCGCAGCCAACAAAGATTGTACTTCCTCTGCTAGCATCCGGTTCTTCTTCTCCAACTGTCTGATCTCGTACTGCCAAGAAGAGGACTTAGTCGTTTTGAGTTCATCAAACAGGTTATCTTCCGAGGCCAATGCTCCGTCTTGGCGACCAAGCAGGAGTCCGTTTTGGCCCGAGTAAGTGGGAGCTGCGCCGTCTGTAGATTGGAGCTGCATTAGTGATTGTGGAGTATTGTCGCCCATAAGCATTGGCGTTGTAGGTGTGAATCTGCCGGACAACACAGATTCCGACCCACGTTGACTCAGCGCTGGTCGAGAGGATGAATTGCCCCGCTGGTGCTTGATGAGACGTGTTTGAGCGACAATGAATGTCGGCTTGTGTCCTTCTGTCGCATCACCAGGATACAATGTCGTGAAAGCCTGGAGGACGTGTCCACGGCGATTGATCATCTCGTGTCTAACGGATGCTTTCTTACCGGTACGCGCGTGCTCCAGAACTCGTCCAAACTCGGCCTTGGAATCTGCTCTCATGAGAGATTGGATGCTTACTCCTACAAGCTCATCCGGCTGACGGTCGAGAAGCTGTCTTACGTTCGATGACACGAACAGGAACATGCCTGACGTCGACATCTTGGTCCAAAGCTCGTTTTCACCGACTCCATTGTTTCCAGTCAACTCGTTTCTGCTGAGTGCGTAGACCGGACGTTCTCTTCCGACCATGATGATTGATTTTCGACCCTTGCCCTGTTCGGTATGAAGCGATCCGTGGCCCTCGAACCACATATAACCACTGTTCTTCCTACGGATGCGGAAAACGACGTTGACTGATGCTCCAGTAGAAGTGTCCTTGAGATCTCTTGTTACAGGCACGATATCACTAGGGTGACAGATTGATGAAAGTGCTGTGCCAATAATTTCTCCAGGTTCATATTCGAGGACCCTCGATGCAGATGGAGAAATCCATTGAAACAAGCCCTTGAGAGACAGAACATGGATGACGTCGTCTGTGTTTTCGAGGAGTACTTTGTCCCACATGCGTTTGGCGAAATCCGATTCTCCGGTTCCAATCGTGCTGAGAATAGCGGAGACGTCGTCTCTCGGTATCGTTTGACCAAGCTCTCCTCTGTTGGCAGTCGACTCTGGGGCGTTCATAACGTAGCGTGGCATTGTCATGCCTCTTTGATAGTTGATCGAGTAAGTGCCATCGGGATTTCTATCGGTCACGGCATTTGGTTGTTCTACCAAATCGACCTGAAACCCGACAAAGAACTTGACCTGATCTGTGTCCCAAGAAATTGGGATCATTGTTAATAAGTTCATAAAGGGTTGGCCACCTCGTCGATAGTTGATCAATGAAATTTGAGCTTCCCTTCGAAGATTGATCATGTTCTTGAGGTAGAGCACCGAGTCATCATCGACATATTTGCGTCGAACTCCAGCTTCGACATTGCCGTCTGGTGATTGTAGAAATCTGCAATTCCGGCCGAGGATCATGTGTCTGGTATAGCCGGTGAGCCGTTCGAAGTTGTCTGAGCAATAAACAATAGGAAAGTCATCCTTTTCTGCATCACACACTACAAAAGCACAAGACAAATCGACGGAACCGATATTGATCTCTGGATTTGGTCGAGTCGCGACGCGCATCNNTATTCCAACGTCAGCTCTTGTGCCCCACGCTATCATGACAGTGATATGTACCAGAACTCCAAGCATATCGAAACCAGTCGAGGAGTATGCGTTCTTGTATTGAGAATGCATGTGAGGTTTGCCTGTCATTGTAGATGGCCATCCACCNTGTTTCAGAGTGAGTTTGTGGGTTATGCGAAAGCACTAGCGATAGAACAAACCTTCCGGTGTAGGCCAATTGAAACCCTGGTTATTCGGATTATATCGTGACGGGTCTGGTGAACGAGACCTTTGATCCATATGGCGACCTCTGTCCATGCCTACATCTTGTTGCGAGCCAGGTTGAGGATTTTGAGGCTGCGCTTTGAATCCTGAGTGTTGCCTTTGGTTTTGTGGTTGATGATTGCTATTTTGTCGCTGTGGAGTGGGCTGGCGTGACTGTTGGTGTGTATTTTGCATGGTTTGACTTGTCGATGATCTACTATGCGAGTTCTCGAGAGACGGCCTCTTCGGAGGGTTGGGGTTTCCACCAGCTTCTGGAGATTGTGCGTACATGTTGTTGGGCACAGAAGTATTGAGGGGAGAATTCATCATTCCGTGGTGGTAGGAAGGGCGATTATACGTAAGCATTGGTCGATCAATGCTCGGACTGTTGTAACCAAGGGATGACATGTGCATAGGAGTGTTGATGTAGGGACTGTTGAGATCCATGTCAATGTTGGAGAGGTGTGCAGGAGATTGGTAGGATGAGGTCGATGGCATCATTGGCATAAAAGAAGTTGTTGGGGCGAAACCATTGTCGATGGCCATGTCACCGCCACCGGTAGAGGGTTGTCTGCTTTGAATGTTGTTGGGGTTGGCTTGGCTGGCGGCCATATAAGCTGTAGCGTCAACCATGTCTGAGTTTGGAAGGCTGAACTGGTAGGCATCCAGGGGACCAGTGGGGGAGGTGCCTGTGAATTCCATCATAGACATACGCCTTGGGTCGTCGGTATCCATGGGCTGAGTCTGATGTGATTGTTGTTGCTGTTGTTGACCTGGATGAAATACACCGGACATGCTCTGTCTCCGCATGAATTTGGCGTTCTGGCTGACGATATCGTCGAGGGATTGTCCGGCCATGGCGTCCATGGCAGCTCCTTGGGCCATGATATGTCCGTTGGCCGACATGTCCATCTGCTGCATGCCATCGCCTTGGTGCCCGTGCCCCGAGGCATAGGGATTGTAGCCGCTCATGATTCAAGGGTCCGGGAGGTCATGTGCGCAAAGGGTGTCGAAGTCGCGGCACCAACGAGATGGGGCTTTGCGCGCGGGAACGTTCAAGGACGTCGAGGGGTAGCAGAGGCGAGAGCCAGCCGGCGGCGTTTCGCGCGTGTCGCGGGTCGCTCGAACGTGGCCGAGTCGTTGACGGTCGGGTTTCGCAAAATCCCAGGGGAATGGAGCAGGCGGCGTGACGATGAGCTGGGCTTCGGTTCGTGTAGCAACAAGAGAATTGAAAGTCGGATTCAAGGCGGGTGGGTGGTGCCGCCGAGCCAACCACGCTAAGTCAGAGAAGACGTCAGTCCCCTCGACGAGGCTCAAGATCTTCTCGCTCCTTCAACGTACTGTAGCTCTATGCAAAACAACTAACTAAACAGAGCCGACCCCCTCAAGCTTGTGGACGAGCTGCTGGCATTTGTTTTGGTGTGACCCTTGGCCTCTACAGTATATGGTTGGTTCTCGGCAGCGACGGATCTGCATTGCACCGAAACGCTGGGTTTTTACCTGGAATAATCTTCCAACGCAGTTTATGGATAGCTGAGCCACACCCACATTCGAACATTTCTTGTTCTGCCCATTGAAACTCTCTAATCGCGTGTGAAATGCTCGACCTTCAACGACATCTCAAAGTGGTTATTGTACTGTACCCAAAGCGCTCCAACCGACAAGGTTGCTACGCATACTTTACTCGGCCGCGGGAGAGCTCAGAAAAGAGCAGGAGCGGCCTCCGGATGACCCATCTGGGTGGCAGCTGTCAGCTGCTCACAATAATTCAACAATTTCTGATCATTTCGTATTCTCTTACGCGGGGTCTTCTATGTCTCTGTATCGATGGTGCTCGACTTGAACGGATTAGTGGCATGTTTCCGTTCTTGTATTTCTCTTGTGCTCTAGTTTGTACGATACAGATATGGATGGATAGTTGTCGCCAAGCTGTCCAGCGGAGGACCATCTTCTGAAAGTTCAGATCTGAAGAAGTCCGATTACTCCAGATCTGTCGTGTGGCGTGTCCTCGAGATCTCCCACGATGCAAGAACGCGTTTGCGACCAAGTTTGAGGGCTGGGACGGATCGAGATAGGGCTTCTCACGTGATTGTGGCATGCTAGATGGATGTCGGAGGTTGTAAGCTCCGTTGTAAGCTGTGACGACGATAGTAGCGTAGTGAGAACGTCGCTGAGGCAAGTGAGTGCCAACCCATCAACACACTGCGTCTTTGCATCAGGCTATCGTGCACCGTCGCCGCCCTCGCCCACTCTAAAACCGACAACGCTCAAGCACGCACACACATCAACACAGTAGCCCATCATGGCCGACATCGCCGTCGACTCGTACGCAAACACTGTGCCGCCGCACAAGAAACAGCTCTCATCATCCATCCCAAACATCGAATCGCTCGAAGGCATGGGCGCCGACTCTGACGACCAATACTCCACATTCAAAAAGCTCCAGAGACAGCTCGAGTGCGTTGTGGGTCCTCTTGATGGATGGATTCATGCTAACCATAGCCAGATACATCAAGCTGCAAGAAGAGTACATCAAGGATGAGCAAAGATCGCTGAAGAGAGAGCTTGTGCGCGCACAGGAGGAGATCAAGAGGATACAGAGCGTGCCGCTTGTCATTGGACAGTTCATGGAGGCTATCGATCAGAAGTGTGTATGCTTGACACAGGACAAAGCGTCACGTGCTAACCACAGCCAGCACCGGAATCGTACAATCGTCAACCGGATCCAACTATGTCGTTCGCATCCTCTCAACACTCGACCGTGAGCTCCTCAAGCCCTCATCTTCCGTTGCCCTTCATCGCCACTCGAACTCCCTCGTCGACATTCTTCCCCCAGAGGCAGACTCTTCTATCGCCATGCTTGGTGCAGACGAGAAGCCAGATATCTCCTACGCTGATGTCGGAGGATTGGACATGCAAAAGCAGGAAATCAGAGAGGCTGTTGAACTGCCCCTTACACACTTCGACCTCTACCACCAGATCGGTATCGACCCTCCTCGTGGTGTCCTCCTCTACGGCCCTCCTGGTACCGGAAAGACCATGTTGGTTAAGGCCGTTGCCAATAGCACCACAGCATCCTTCATCAGAGTTGTTGGTTCCGAGTTCGTCCAGAAGTATCTGGGTGAGGGTCCTCGCATGGTCAGAGATGTTTTCCGCATGGCTCGCGAAAACAGTCCTTGTATCATCTTCATCGATGAGATCGACGCTATCGCCACCAAGCGTTTCGATGCTCAGACCGGTGCCGACAGAGAAGTTCAGCGTATCTTGCTGGAGCTGCTCAACCAGATGGATGGTTTCGATCAAACCAGTAACGTCAAGGTCATCATGGCCACCAATCGTGCCGACACTCTGGATCCTGCCCTCCTCCGTCCTGGCCGTCTCGACAGAAAGATCGAGTTCCCCAACCTTCGCGACAGACGTGAGCGAAGACTGATCTTCAGCACCATCGCCAGCAAGATGAGCTTGAGTCCCGAAGTTGATCTTGACAGTCTTATTGTTCGCAACGATCCCCTCAGTGGTGCTGTCATCGCTGCCATCATGCAGGAGGCTGGTCTGCGAGCCGTCAGAAAGAACCGCTACAACATCATTCAACAGGATCTCGAGGACGCCTACACTAGCCAGGTCAAGGGAGCGTCCGAGGCCGACAAGTTTGACTTCTACAAGTAAGCTTTGATTTCTCTGGGCGGTAGCCTTTGTGTACACTAGACTAGCATGGCAAAAGGGGAGCGGGTTCTGTTAGGGAAAGGGTCTGCTTGCTGGGTATGCAACTTGCAGGCATTCAGGTAGACGATCATAATGGCAGACACACATATCACGACACATTGCACTGGAGACACGGAATGCTTTTGACCGTCTTTTATTTTGTTCGCTAAGGGAAAGCCCAGTGTTTACTTGACTTCCGACTATGCGCCGGATAGGACTGGTACTACTTGACACAGCATCAACGCATTTAAGCGGCAATGGTGACCTCAACCTCAACACCGGCCTCGATGTTGATGATGATCTGCTTGACGACCTCGGTGGGGGCGTTAAGGCTAGAGAGACAGAGTCAGCGTGACGTTCAAAAGCGTCTGGATGGCAGCGGCAAAACTCACTCGATGAGACGCTTGTGGATTCTCATCTCGAAGGTGTCCCAGGTCTTGGAACCCTCACCACAGGGGNNGGTCTTGCGGGTGGTGATCTTGAGGTTCTTGGTGGGGNNGAGACGGACAGGGCCCTTAACACGGAGGTCCTTCGACTTTGCGCGGTCGATGAGCTCGGTGCAGACCTTCTCGAGGGACTGAACCTTGCGAGAGGTGAGGGTGATGCGGATCTTGTGGATCTTGGGGGCATCGGCCTGGCCGGTCTTCTTGGGGTCCTGGAACGACATTTTGGAGATGGGTTGGTGCTGTCGCGACGTGTTAGTTGATCGTCGCAAGGTGTCGCTAGCTGCAACAAGGCATTCTCACCTGGTCAAAAGACGGATATGGCAATCAAGACTCGGGCAGAATGTCCACGGCTAAGTGATGATTGGCCTTTTTGATGGTCAGAAATCGAAATGCGAATTTGCGCGATCAGAAGTTCTGTGTGGGTCAACCGCGGGTGCCAAGACCCCGCGCTTTCCTGAACTGGCGACCGTAATAGCGCTCGGACCCAATTCGACATCGTCACCTCGTCATACTCGCTGTCTCAACTTTTTGACCATCTTGTGAACTTGACTTGCTTGTTGACTTTCTCGCTTTCAGACACATTGATTCCCAGCCTGGACGATCGAGGACCTCCCTTATCAGTTCTATCTCCAAAACCACTGGCCTGGACCGTTCAATGAGTCTGCCACCACTTGCTTCTTATCCTCCGGCGAAAGTTCGCAAGGACCTGGGACCAGATGAATGGGAAGCATGTCTTGATGCTTGGTTGTCACTTTCAACCCTTTACTTGAGACTCGGAAAGTCAGCATTCGAAAGTGCAGCTCGTAATGAGCAATCTTTGGTCCCCTTCCTCACATCTTATTACCAAGTATCAGCTCAAGAACGCCAACAGCATGGACAAAACCAGGCAAAGGAGTACACCTTACGAAAGGCTTGCTTCATTCTCACTCACCGCATTCTCTTGACAAATTCTAATCCTCCGACACCTCTGCTTCAATGGGACTTCCTCTCCGATTTCAGTCATGTCTACATGAAGACACAGAGCCTGGATCTGCTTCTGCAGAAGCTCTGGCGTACTAGGCACTCTGAGCTCGATCGTTCTCTTCAAAACTTCTTGTCGACGACAATCAAGCAACTTGAATCATCGAAGCCTGACGCAGCTGAGCCCAATGTAAAACGCATTGTCCCTCTCCTTTTCTCTTCTCATGAGGCTGGCGCAATCGTTTTGACAAGTTCTGAACTTGTAGACGCAATGGCATCAGCATACCTTCGAAGCACACTTGAACTGCAGAAATCTCTCGTCTCAGTCCTGTACTATGGTCTTCTTTCCCTGACCAGAGGCGACAAGCCCAACTACTCTCTTCTGTTCGACCATCTCTACGGCTTGAAAAATCAAGCTAGCAACTCTCAGATCTCAATCTTGGCAGACCTAGTCACCAATACTTCCTTGCTGTCCAAGCTAAGGACCACAATCACTGGAAAGAACGCAGAGCGAGCACAGGGCCTGGCCAACACTCTTTCGTCCCTCCTTTCGCCTTCGATTGCAAGACCCAAAAGAACGCGCAAGGTGAACAAGGGAAAAGGGAAGGCGACAGTAGAAGAGTTTGGCCATGGTGCTATCTCGGGCGAGCACAACGTTCATCGAGTTGGCTTCATATCCCAAATCCAGGATCTGTTCCCAGATCTTGGATCAGGGTTTATCGCCAGATTATGGAACGAATATCACGACGACCCAGAGCAAGTTACTGCCCGTCTTCTTGATGATTCGCTGCCCGATCACCTACGGTCTCTCGATCGGACCGAAGAGCTGTCATATTCTAAGGCCGATGCTCAACATACAGAGCAACAGAAGATAGACTATCTGGCACCACGCAGTACACCGCCTCCACAGCGCCGGAATGTCTTTGATAATGATGAATTTGACCGACTTGAGGTGGATGCATCACGCCTGCACCTCGGCAGGAAGAACGCAAAGCTTACTGCAGATGCATTGTTGGAAGACAGAAGCGCTGCGCCCGCAAAGAGCGCGATTCTTTCTGCATTAGCCGCATTCGACTCGGACGACGACGAACGTGATGATACCTATGACGAAGCAGATGTGGGAGGTTATGTTGATTCTGCAAGACCAGATGGCGAAGAATCAAGGGACACGGATACAGGAAACCAGGGAGAAAATGAGGAAGCACTGTTCCGTGCCTGGCGCATGGATCGCGGAGTCTTTGAACGTACATCTGACGTTCGTCGAAGCTCTGCTCGTGCTGCCCTTAAAAGCGAGACTGGCATGCAAGACGAAGCCATCGAAGGCTGGGCCGTCATGCTTAACCGTGACCCGAGACGCCTCAAGCGGTTGGAGGCAAGATATTCTGCCTTCAGCGGTGCGCAACCGGAATTGGAAAGGACGGCCTATAGGGATAGCGAGGCCACCGAAGATTCAGATAATGGGCCTGGTGGTCGAGGCGGAAGAGGTGGAGGTCGGGGAAGAGGCCGAGGTGGACGTGGACGCGGCAGAGGTGGTAGAGGTGGAGGCAATACAGCTGGCCCTCCTAGCGAGAGCAATACTCAGGCTGCCAGACAACGGAAAGAGGCACGTGGATCAAACCGAAGAGAAGGAAGGGCGAGAAAGATGGCCAGAGCTGGCTTCGCTGGTTAGTAAGAATAGCTCGATGAGTAACAGAACGCTACCGCAACATAATAGAGAACATGCGTGCAGCAGAGAAAAAGCTAGACCAAAATCTGTTCGACCTCGCAGATTTTTGAGTTTGACGAAGAGGGACTGCTTCGCCGATAGCAAAGTGACTGGTTACGTTTCGACCTTGATCGGATCTTACGATCTGCTCACAGCCTGGAAACTTTGTGGATCGATTACCCTTGGTCACCTGGTGATTTCATGATCGCAGAGCATGTCAAAGAAGGATATGTCACGTTTGGGCGATCAGTTGCGGGAATGGCTCAGACTGCACATAAGCCATCACGTAGCTTGCACTACACGTAGCTGAGAATATATCGGCATTCTCGGCAACGATAGCAAGAGGCGAATAAAAGCATCAGAGATTACAGAGATTATCATTAGATCATCGATGATATGTAACTTCGAAGACAACTGTGATGTCCAACCATGCTTTCGGCATTTGATCAATAAAACAGACCTTTCTGCCACCAAGCGCATCTCGCATTGGCAGCAGGATCTCTCATCTGTCCAATGGTTCTCGGTCCCAGAGTCTGGACAGTTGCATTGCTGCCATACATGGGGAAGAAAGGCGCGCCTCTGATATTGGGGTTGCCAGTCTTTGCGAATTCGGTAATGTATTCCTGCATAGCCAGGGCGACGGGAACATTCTGTACGCCAAATGAGGTGCCTCCTGCGCCGGCAGTAGCGCTACCATTGCCGTTGTAGTAGGTGTATGCGATATCCTGACCGTGGATTGAAGGAGGCACGTCAAAGAGATAGGCGTGAGTCTGGTTGTTGTAAGCCTTGTTGAGCCAGACGGCATTGCAAGTGAAAATGGCCTCGGACAGGATGGCAGAAACACGAGCAATCTGGTTGGTGTAGTTTTGAGCTTGGCTGCCATCGAAGACCGGTGGGTAAAGAGTTTGGGTGATGTAGTCTAGAGTTTCTGGCATGTAGCTGAGTGCAGGGAAACTTGTGGTCAGGAAGGTGTTCAGAGCAGTGTCGTTGTTGATGAAGGGGTTTGTGAATAGAAGGCCTTCATCTGCGTTGTGGCCGGTCATGACGGAGACATTCTTGTCGAATTGGCCACGGGCGAGCAATTGGCCTGGTAGTGCTGGGACAAAGTCGCCGTCTACACTGGGTCCATAGACGAATTGACCGTAAGGCGCTGAGCCAATTTGTTTTGCATTCGCGGCGATTATGGCAGAAGAAGGCAGTTTGCGTGCCTCCGCCAAAGAGGATACATTCAGAAGAGCGAGGAAGTCATTGAAGACGCCTTCCTCAGCGGACGGAGAGACAACAGGGAAGAAGCCAGGCGACTGAGGTACTGCACCTGCGAAGGGCACTGGACCTTTGAGGCCACCGAAGGCCNNTGCTCTATAGTCAGCTTCAAGTCTCGCAAGATCGACAAGAATGATTCTTACAGTAATCTGATGCATAATTGAGCCGCCACCTGCTGATTCACCAAACACTGTCACGTTCTTCGGGTCGCCTNNGTTTCGGAGTGGTTAGACAAAACTGTTCTCAACGGACAACTGTTTCATCAACTTACCTCCAAAGAGATGAATGTTCTGCTGTACCCATTCGAGAGCAAAGCGCTGGTCCCATAAGCCGGCATTTGCGGTTGCGTTTTCCTGGAAAGTGGGACCCGAGAGCCAACCCATAGCACCGAGTCTGTAGTTCATAGCCACATAGATAACACCGCTAGAATTGTCCGATTGAGATCGCTCGAGCAGACCAGCAGGGTTTCCGCTACCAGCCTTGGATCCTGCTGTGTATCCACCGCCGTATATCCAGACTAGAACGGGGTGTTGCTCATTAGAGTTGAAGATGGCTTCGGGAACCATGACATCGAGGAAGAGACAGTCTTCGTTCTGGGTAGGGTCCGGCACGGTAGCCGCAGAGGAATTGCTCGAGGTGGTCTGGAAGTCTGACATGGTGAAGTTGGTCTTGTTGGCTAGCAGGTACTCTGGGATCCATTGTCCAGCAATGGCATCCCATGCTGGGTTGGCCTGAGGGCATATGCGGTTGACGTTTCCTGTCTGCACCTGGGTTCGGTTTACAGCAGGAGCTTGTGGAGCTGCAAAACGAAGGTCACCGACTGGAGCAGCGGCATAACGAATGTTGGAGAAGTTGTAGTAGCCGCCAGTCACCTTGGATTGTTAGCGAATTGGCCATCAAGGAAGTAGCAATACGCTCACGTTGTATGAGGAAGCTTGTTGCCGCGCATATCCGAGATCCACAATGGGCAATGGTTCAGACGAGCTCGAGTTTTGAGCAATCACAGCTGTTGACAGTCCGAGGACGGCTGCCGCTGTCAAAAGAGAAATGCCACGCATATTTCTTTGCAGTATCAAGTACAAGCGTCAAGGAAGAGAGGAAGCACACGAGAGAATTGAGAAAAGGTAGATTTGAAGCTCTTTATATACCATAGCGCTTATCCGGCAAACCGAGGGGTAGACTATGAGCTCATGGATGGTTGACTAGAGGCTGACACGAGGGCTTCGACTTGCTCGAGATGGTACGAAGCGAACGAGGGCGGGTTAGCATGGTCCTCGGTAGTGGTGAACATCAAGCCCTCAAGTATACCCCTCACGTCGACCGAGGAGTGATGCGCAAGCCATGGGCTTTGCGGACCGTCATAGCAGTTCCTTGCTTGGGCGGCAGGCTTGCACTAAGACGATGGCTCCATCCTGCATGAGTTATACGAGTACGATTGGGAGGGCTGAGGCATTGGTGTCTACGAGTTCGAACATGTCCAAGATGGATAGAGTGTGGAACACGGTTGGCGACCAGATCAAGATCAACGGTGGAGGCGGCACAGAAAGTGCGGGGGACAAGAAAGCTGGACGGAAGCTGGACGGAAGCTGCTCAAAAGCGATCCGATCCTCAGAGGCCAGCCGAGCGGTGCGAGGCAGGTCATAACGCGTCAAAGGCTGTCGTAAGGTTCAGAGTAAAATGCAAGCGAGACAGCAGTCAAAAGAGGAAGGTTCGAACAAGAAGGACCCTGGACATGTTTGCTCCAACGAGAGGCGGTGAGGACGTCGGCCATGTGTCTTGGCGGCAGACGCTGCGGTTGATGGGCAAATTTTGGAAAGTTGCAGGTTTGGCCATTCAGGTAGATCGCGACTGCCCGACATCGATCCGCTGCCAGGACTATAGCCAAAGAAAGGATGAGTGCGACCAACGGACCAGCCATGTCGCAAGGACAGAAACGTAAAAGAGAAGAGAAGGATGTGAACAACAAGAAGGCGCAAAGCGACAAACCTCCAGCGACCATATACAAAAATCTGCAACTTGCCGAAAAGCCCGTATACAAGAACCTACAGATCGCCGAGGCACTCAAGGCTCAATCGAAATCAAAGAAGCAGCGTCTCGACAGGTCGCAAAAGGTCGAGAAGCCAAAGTTCAAGAACCTTCAGATCGCCGAATCGCAAAAGACAAGCGACGACAAAACGCAGAAGGTCGAGTCGCAGAAGCAGGGTAACGGACCTCATAGACCACACAACCCACTGGCCTCTCGCCAGAACAAGTTACTACAAGTCCGCCAGAGCCTGCCCATCTGGCCCCAGGCTGCCAATATCCGCGATGCGCTCCTCGAGAACCACGTCCTGATCCTTGCCGGTGAGACTGGTAGTGGAAAATCGACCCAGGTTCCTCAGTTCCTACATACCTCTGCGTGGTGCACTGGGCGTATTGCCGTTACCCAGCCGCGTCGTGTCGCCGCTGTCTCGCTCGCCCGCCGTGTCGCCGAAGAAATGGGCACCNCCCTTGGAAAGAGCCCGCAATCGCTAGTCGGTTACAATGTGCGTTTCGACGACAACGTTGGCAAGAACAACAGAATCAAGTTCCTTACCGAGGGAATGTTGTTGCAAGAAATGTTGAGAGACCCTGCCTTGACAGAATACAGCTGCGTCGTTGTTGATGAAGTTCACGAGCGAAGTGTCAATGTAGATTTGCTTCTAGGTTTCCTAAGAGGTCTTGTGACCGGTACGAGTGAAGCGGCCAACAAGCGAAAAGGAAAGCCTCTCAAGGTCGTTGTCATGAGTGCTACAGCCGATACCGAGAAGTTGAAGGACTTCTTCAGCGAAGGCTTTGGACAACCTTCGAGCGAAGACAGCATACCCACTATCAACGGCGATACCTCAATTTCGGACGACAAAGAGGCGCCCGTTGGAAAGTTACAAGAGCCATCTATCTCGAACCCAAGCAAAATTTCAACATGTTTTGTGGAGGGTCGGATGTATCCTGTACAGACGGAATACCTATCTGAACCTACACGAGACTTTTCAGAAGCAGCCTTGTTACAAATCTTCCAGATCCACCGTAAGGAACCCATGCCCGGAGACATTCTGGTCTTCTTGACTGGTGGAGACGTCATCACGAATCTACAACAAGCAATCGAGGACATGATACCAAATGTAATCACCAAAGACTCTGGCTTACCGAAGCTACTTGTATTGCCATTATATGCAGCACTTTCCCAGGCCCAACAACAAGCCATTTTCTCGCCCGCTCCTCTTAACACACGCAAAGTAATTTTGGCAACTAACATTGCTGAAACGTCAATTACGGTACCAGGTGTTCGCTTTGTCGTTGACAGTGGAAAGGCCAAGATCAAGCAGTTCCGCAATCGCCTCGGTCTCGACTCGCTCCTTGTCAAGGACATTTCCAAATCTTCCGCCATCCAACGTCAAGGTCGTGCAGGCAGAGAAGCAGCCGGCAAGTGTTTCCGCCTGTACACGAAATCCAATTTCGAAACTCTAGAGAAGGACACGGTTCCTGAGATTCTGCGATGCGACTTGAGTTCAGCAGTGCTCACCATGAAGGCAAGAGGCGTTCATGATGTTATGGACTTTCCACTCTTGACTCGCCCATCGAGAGAAGCGATGGAGCGTGCGCTCNTGCAACTACTCCAACTCGATGCACTGAAGCCCGAAGATGGAAATATCAGTGACTTGGGTCGTAAGATCGCAAGATTGCCCCTGACCCCAGCTCACGGCAGAACAATCATAGCAGCTGCCGATCCTGAGATGGGATGTCTGTTGCCCGTGATCGACATCGTAGCTTGCTTCAACTCGGAGAACATCTTCCTCGAAGTCAAGGATCAAGACGCAAACGACGAGGCAAGAGAAGCTCGCAACAAACTCTCACGCCGTCAAGGAGATCACTTGACCCTGCTCAGCGCCGTACAAGCCTACGCCTCCGAACGCACTGACCGCAAGCAATGGGCCAAGCAACATCTGGTCTCACACCGCTCCATGCAAAACGTCATGGATGTCCGCAAACAACTTCGTGCTCAATGCCAACAAGCCAAACTCCTTACCAAAGAACAACTCGCTACTGCCGACGATGATGATGACACTAATGCAATCTCCGAGTCTACGGGCAACAACATCTTGAAGTGCTTCCTTCGCGGCTTCCCCACGAATGTCGCCCGACTGGTACCTGATGGTAGTTATAGGACTATCCATGGACATATGGCTGTGGCTATTCATCCCAGCAGTGTACTATATGGCAGGAAGCTTGAAGCCATCTTGTACAATGAGTTTGTGTATACGAATAGGACGTATGCTCGTAGTGTCAGTGCTATACAGGTGAACTGGCTGGAAGAGATATATGCGGCACCGAACTAGGGTTGAACCAGCTGTATAGGCCATAATCTAATCACAAACAACAAGTTCTGTTACCAGTTCACCTTGTATAATTCGCCGAAGATGGTCTTCATGTATGCAGTCGCCTCGGCAAGCGTCGTCGTCTTTTTGTACTCCTTCAATCGAGCAGGAGTGAGTTTATGTTCCATCTCCAGGAACTTGGCCATGCCGCCATAAACCCCATTGCCGCTGCTGGTATCTGCTCCGTGTCCAGTTGTAAAGTCGATCATGGTTTGTTGCCCGGATGAGAGTTTGGATTTAGGTATGTTTTGCAAGTGCGTGAGTTTTGCGTCAACTTCCTCGTCTGTAAATCGTCCTGGGTGATATTTTTCACGCCTGTGTTCCATCTATCGTGTCGATACTGTGAAAACGAACATGTTACTTGCCTACCTAGTCAGGGAAGGTGACAGCGAAAGGACTCTCAAAAGGTCAAAATAAGCTTGGTCCGATCGGCAATCGATTTCCCGAAGAGGGTGTCCGACAGCGCCGATGCTCACGCCGAGGACGGGCGTCCGCCAATTTTGCCGTGTCTTCGGGCCAGACCATTCAACATTGTACAAATAGTGAATCATCGTTGTTGTCTCTTCGTCCTTTTGTTTCGTTCAACTGCTGAGATCCATGTTGTTGTAGTATTGCAAGGTGCTTACAGGTAGTTGGCCGATATGCGTCAAGTCGGATCTGCTCTATGGCCGAAGCTGAGGGCCGTGCAGGTGTACGGAGCCAATACTGGTGTAGGCAAGACGGTCGTCAGTACATTGCTCTGCAAAGCTCTACGCAAGAGGCTGCCAGGTTACAACGTACATTACTTGAAACCAATCTCGACGGGACCGCTCGATGATCAGGATAACCGGTATGTATATCTGGACACCTGGGTGGAAGACAAACACTGAACCTCTGGAAGCCATATAACACGATACTCGAAAGACATAACATCCAAAACACTACTCCAATTCGACGACCCAGTCAGCCCTCATATCGCTGCCAGGATATCCAAGGAACCAATCGATGATCAGAGCATTTTGACTCGTGTTTACGATGAATTGCTTGGCTATGCTACCGGAAAGGATGCCGTAGCAGTCGTTGAGACTGCTGGTGGTGTTCTCTCTCCAGCGCCTTCTGGAAATGTGCAGGCGGACCTCTACCGCCCTCTAAGACTACCCGCATTGCTTGTGGGTGACCATCGCTTGGGCGGTATTGGCACGACCATTTCTTCTTGGGAATCACTTCATGTCCGCGGATATGATGTAAACTCTGTTCTGCTCTTCGAGGACTCAAGATACGACAATCACACTTACTTGAAAGACTACTTCAAGGAAAGAGGCATCTTGACTCTTTCTTTGCCACCACCTCCTGACCTCAAATCTACCCAAGCAGAAGACGAGCGATCTATGAAACAATACTACGACTCGGCCAGCAGCTCGTCCAGCCTCGAACAGTGCATCGACAACATCATCCGCACTCATGATCAAAGACTGTCTAGCTTACAATCATTGCCCAAGAGAGCCGACAGCAGCATCTGGCATCCATTCATGCAACATACAGAAAGATCTGAGCAGAACATTCTGGCAATCGACTCAGCCTATGGCGACTACTTTCAAACTCACAACTCGTCCGGCTCTGGCTCGAAAGAGGGCAACCAACTCAAACCTGCATTTGATGGCTCGGCATCATGGTGGACACAAGGTCTCGGTCATGGAAACCCTGCATTGGCACTTACTGCTGCACATGCTGCTGGCCGTTATGGCCATGTCATGTTTGCCGGTGCTGCACACGAACCTGCTGTGTCGCTTTCCGAGACGCTGCTCGAGAACATTGGCAATCCTCGTCTGTCAAAGGTCTTCTTTAGCGATAATGGAAGCACTGGCATGGAAGTTGGCGTCAAGATGGCGCTCAAAGCAGCCAGTAAGCGCTACGGTTGGTCTCCAGACGATGAAATCTTGATCCTCGGTCTCAAGGGTAGTTATCACGGCGACACCATCGGTACCATGGACTTGTCAGAACCATCGACATACAACAAGAAGGTGGAATGGTACTCTGGCCGTGGCCACTGGTTCGACTTTCCACTTGTCAAGATGCAAGAGGGCAAGTGGATCGTCGAGCCTCCTGCAGGTATGGAGGAAGAGTTTGGCCCTGTTCGTTCTTTCTCCAGTCTGGATGAGGTTTTCGCACTATCAGGCAGAAAGGCCGATGCTGAGCGTTACGAGTCTTACATCAAGACTTCTCTCGAAGCTTTGACTGCAGAAGGCAAGAAGTTCGGCGCTCTCATTATGGAGCCAGTCATCCTCGGCGCTGGCGGTATGCTCTTCAGTGACCCTCTCTTCCAACACATGCTGGTCAAGGTTACACGTGAGCAGTGTCCAGAACTCTACGGCAACCCTGAAGCTACTCCGGACTCGGAGCTTGCATGGAAGGGCGTTCCTGTAGTCTTTGACGAAGTGTTCACTGGTCTGTACCGTCTTGGCCGTTTCAGCAGTTCATCGTTTGTCGGTGTCCAGCCCGATATATCTGTCCATGCCAAGCTGCTTACTGGTGGATTGCTGCCTCTATGTACCACTCTTGCCAGCGAGAGCATTTTCGAGGCCTTCTTGAGTCCCGAGAAGTCGGACGCTCTGCTGCATGGCCACAGCTATACTGCACATGCCGTGGGCTGCGATATCGCCAGATACTCTCTCAAGACTATGAAAGAAATGGATGAAGGCGCCACTTGGACCAGCTTCAAGTCCGCCTGGAAACAAGAGGACGATGCCAAGCAGAGCCTCTGGAGCATGTGGTCGCAAGACTTTGTGCGTGATCTTTCGCTCAGACCAAACGTCGAGAGCGTGTTTGCCATTGGCTCTGTTCTGGCAATCTCGCTCAAGGATCCTGCTGGCTCTGGATATACCTCGACGGCTGCGACTGGATTGAGAGACACACTCCTTCATGACTCCTCATCCGAGAATGCCATTCACTCGCGTGTCTTGGGCAACGTGTTGTATCTGATGGCCAGCATGACCACGTCACCGGACACGATCGCAAGTATTCAGAGGAAGGTGCAAGCTGCAATGGACTGAGGAACGTTTTTTTGTAGAAGTAGACCTGTAAAATATCTCCGAGATGATGGATACACATAGATAAAGCATGTCTTTAAACACGATATTCGTTCAATATTTTCATAGACTTGTCACATTGCGTATTACTGAGAAGCAAATGATAAGTCTAGCTTCTGCGCTTTCTAACACCTGACACCCTGCTCTTTCGCGATCCTGTAAATCTCGGTGCATATTTTGTCGACGTCCGTCTTCTTCAGTGGCACGCGGTGTGTGCCGTCCCATTCAACAAGCGTCACACCATCGGAATGACAATACCTTTGCATCAGATCTCTGTGCAGATGCAAACCAGCATCATTCAGGCCATGTACATGAATCGTCGGTAGCCTGAGGATATGCTCGTTAGGTCCATCGTACTTGAAGCCCTCGCTGATCTCGCCAGCGCCCAATGTGGCCGGCCCAATCGAATATTCAGACAGCTGCATCAACGGCTGCCTTCCAGCTAATAGGACGGCGAACTTGTAGTCTGTGTCTGCATACTCCGTCTTTTCAACGCGCACCTGCTGGTCATACAGCAAGCTCGCCGCAAGCTTGGCGCCCTGGCTAAAGCCCATCAAGCCCACCCAAGGCCCTGTACCAGGATCGCTGCTCTTGCAAGTCTCAATCGCATACATGACTTCTTCGATTGCGGTCTCGTTGTCGACGTCTGCGTGTTCGGGTAGCCAACGCAGCCAGCGGCGGAAAGGACCATAGTCTTCGTAGACGGGAGCGATGCCTGGGCCTGGAGCGCAGTAGAAGGGCCCGTCTGCGAAGACGAGGCGGAAGGTAGGTAGGGCTTTGATGAGGCTGCGAGCTTGGAGTTGGAAGATTTCGGCCGTGACCCCTCCGCCGTGGAGGCAGAGGATGCGAGGGAGCGAGAGATCGACGGGTTTCGGAGGTGTGGTGGTCATGTTGGGTGTATATGCCTCTGAAAGGCTATTCGTGTTCGTGTCCGTCTGGACGGTGGTCGATGTTTCTTGACGTGATCGTATGGCTCGTATGGTATATCAGCTATGGCGTGTATGCTCAAAGGGTGGCAGTCGTAAGTAGAGTCAGGTGATTGTAACAATATCAAAGCTGCAAGGTAAGTCAGAGATAGGGAAAAGCAATACTACCAGATGTGCACTATCTTATCATTCGCCAGACGAGCGGAAGCATCGATCGGACGCAAGTGTTTCATTGCTCACATCATCTACCCGGACCGGCTCTCCATGTCCCTTACCGCTGTTGCCCAATCCCGACATTTGCGCGCGCTGCCAGATTTAGAATATCTCCGACAGTCATCGGAGGTTTTGCATTCAACATGCCATGTTGGTTCATGTATTGCACGTGTGCAGAACAAGAGAGAAGCTCGAACTGAAGTACTCTTGACCGTGACGATGGATTTGAGCTCGGACCATCTATCTTTACCATCTTGACCATCCGTCCTTAGCCCTTTCTTCCATTCTTCCATTCTCTATCGCCGACACGAAACATGCATATACAGATGAGCAGCGATCGAGTATCCCGCTTCACATATCTGTACCACCACTGATCCCTCAGTCAATAACATCGTCCCTCAAATCGAACAACTGCCTGATGACCTCGTCTGCCTTGCTGCGAATCGCGTTGTGGTACATGACATTGGTCGTGAAGGTCTTGCATCCTTTGATCTTTTCTGCCGTCTCGCGAGAGTAATCGTAGTCGACATACATCNNTAGAATCGAATTCGTCAATCACATTGTCGTTGACCAATCTTCCTGGCTTCAACTCACATCTTCTTGGTACGCGGCTGCGTACACAGGAACCTCATTTTTGCTGAGCTGCTCCTCGTCAAACAATGCTGGCCAATCAGAGTCCGCAGCAACTCTGTTTGCGACGTCTTGGATCTTGCGAAGTTCACTGTAATCTTCAAACATCCAACTGAATATCNNTGTACTGTGTCAGCTAGTCTTGAATCTCACCATGGTGTGCTAAAAACATACCATCTCGCCTGTAAAGTATACAGGTCCCTCCGAAGTGATTTGGAACTCTGGGAACTCGTTGCGCACGCGTTCAGCAGACCAATCGGGTGCTTTGCTACCAAGTTGTCAGCAAAGCGCAGGTTAAGCAGACATGCTGTACTTACCCNNTTCGCAGTAGATCTGCTCGTGCAAGATAGCGTATATGACTCCTTCGTCGAAAGGCGTGAGCGCATCGACGGCAGCGAGCGTGCCTCTAGTCAAATGACCGAAAGCTTCAATATCATAGGCCGCACGCAGCACGGCTTCATGCACGCTATCAATGCCTCCGTGCATTCCGAATATGATGCCCATTTGCTGGAAGCGTCTTGCGGTCAAATTGCCTCCGGTCGGTAATTTGATGACTCCGTCACCAAAGCGCTGCAAGTATTTGACAATCGTCTTGACCCTGTCAACGTCCTCGGGGTACTTGTTGTAATAGTCCTTGTTTCGCTTGGCCACTCTTTTGAATAGTGCTCTATAGACTGGATCGGGTTGCTTTACAAGCGGTTGGAGGCCGCCATATATGAAAGCTTCACGCAGTCCTTGAGGGTAGAATGAGAGATATGTGATGCTGCAGAATCCACCAAAGCTCTGTCCCATTATGCTCCACTTCTGCTTCTCAGAGGGGTAGTCTGCGGTCAAGGATTGTCGAATGGCCTCGCAGTCTCGTACGATGCTGTCAGCACGGAAGAGCTTGAGATATCTCGCCTGTACATCATTCTCTCCACGCAAGCCCAGCGTACTGGGCGTAATTGGAGTACTGAGGCCAGTACCTCTTTGATCAAGGTAGAGCATTTGGTAGCCTTTGTCCAAGATAGTCCAGGTGAAGGGATAAGCACTTGGGTGTCGGCAAGGCCCTCCAGGGCCGCCATTCAAGAAGACCATCCATGGCAGTTGGCTCTTCTTCTCGTCATGATCACTAGGATCTGCGGGTGATTCATGCTTTCTCACGCTTCGAGCAAAGATGCGAATGGTCCCGGAATCCGGCTTTGAGTAGTCTTTGGGCACATCGAAGAAGTGTTCGGTGACCCTCAGCTTACCTGTAGTGGATCAAGTGTCAACACGTATCATCCACAGATAAGCACCTTGCAACTGAGACGTAGAGTGAAGGCTTGAATAATTTGTTATCGTACCAGGTATCTGATGAGTCCTCTGCTCCACTATCTTGGCCGCAGCAACTTTTATCGAGTGAGCCATTTCGTGTCAAGTAGGTAAGATGGATAGACCTTGTGCGGGAGGGGAACTAAGGGTGGAGTCGATGACAGACGGTATGAAGCCCCACAGTATTGACACCATGGTTGGCTCCTGCCTGTCTTTTGTGGTGCAGCTATCATAATTAACATGTAGAGAGAGATTTCAAGCAAGAGTATGTTCTTGTGAGATAGCCTTCAGTATACAGTTGAGAGTCGTAATGCTGTTTTGCGAAACAGCTAATGCTCGAGCAAGATAGAGGGGGCTTTCACACCGAGGGTGTGGTTAATAGCGTGCGCTCGGAGTCTGCTACACCGACGATCGCCAACAAGATTCGTCCACCACAGATATATTTACAGCTCGTACGAAAAAGCTGAAATCCACACCAAAATTCTACAATTTCTAAGCAACCATGGTCAAGAAGGACAAGGGCAAGAAGGAGGCCAAGAAAGCTCGAGTGGCAGCTAAGCAGGAGAAGGTCGCCAAAAAGTCTGAAAAGAAAGCCAAGAACAAGAAGGACGCCGACGACAGCGATGTTGAAGAGGCCGATCTGGACGCGATCCTAGCAGAATACGCAAAGAAGCAGGAACAATTCTTGAAGGTCACCGAAGACACTATTTCTGGCCCGTCACCAAGAAGTGCTTCCACTTTTATCGCCTCACCTTCGGACGGCAGAGAACTTTTCCTGTTTGGAGGCGAACACTACAATGGAGCCATCGCAAACTTCTACAACGACTTGTACATTTACAGAATCAACTCGGATGAATGGCGCAAGGTGACTAGTCCTAACTCGCCCTTGCCTCGCAGTGGACATGCTATGTGCAGAGGCGGCAACACTGGCGGCATCTATATGTTCGGTGGAGAATTCAGTTCACCAAAACAGGGCACTTTCTACCATTACAACGATTTCTGGAGCTTGGAGCCATCGACCAGGGAGTGGACCAAAATCGAGACCAAGGGACCATCTCCATCCGCCAGAAGTGGACATCGTATGGTGGCCTTCAAACGCTACATCATCCTTTTCGGAGGCTTCCAGGACACATCACAACAAACCAAGTATTTGAATGATCTCTACATCTACGACTGCCAAACATTCCAATGGCACATCCCGGTCCTGCCGCCTGCCGCTATGCGACCCGATCCTAGATCATCTTTCTCCTTCCTGCCTCACGAGACTGGAGCAGTTCTATATGGTGGATACTCTAGAATCAAGACTTCGGCCTCGGCTGGAAAGTCGAAGGGAGGCAGACAAGCTTCTCGTGTCATCATGAAACCGATGGTACATCAAGACACTTGGTTCTTGCGAATCACGCCACCTCCTGCGGAAGCTCCTATGAATACGCTACCGACAGTTCGCTGGGAGAAGAGGAAGAAGCCCGTCAACTCGCCCAACCCAGCTCGCGCTGGTGCGACTATGGTGCATCACAAGGGAAGAGGCATTGCATTTGGTGGTGTGCACGATGTCGAGGAAGACGAAGAAGGCATTGACAGCGAGTTCTTCAACCAGTTGCTTGCTTTCAACATCGATCGTAACCGTTTCTTCCAATTGGGTCTCAGAAAGCCGCGTGCTCAGCCCGCAAAGAAGCAAGGCGGTGGCAACGAACGTGGCGGTAGACGTGGAAGAGGAAAGGCAGATGAAGAAGAGCTGTTGCGCAATCTTGCTCTGATCGAGGGCAAGGGCTCTCTGGACGACGGCGAGCTTCCTATCAAGCGTGATGACGACTCCGACGATGAGGACGTCAAGATCGAGAAGCCCGTACAATACGAGATGCCTCATCCTCGATTCAACGCTCAGCTCGCAGTTCAAGACGACACTCTCTACATCTATGGTGGCACTTTCGAAAAGGGCGATCGCGAATTCACATTCGACGAAATGCACAGTATTGATCTCGGCAAGCTCGATGGCGCTAAGGAGATCTTCCGTCGCGAGCTCGAAGACTGGCAGGGTAGTGAGGATGAGGACAGCGAGGACGAAGACGATGATGAGGACGACGAGGAAGACGAGAGCGAAGACGAGACCGCCGGCACTTCCACTCCTGCCACCTCTGTTGCACCCGAAGAGATTGCCAGGCCTGAAGATGTGGCCAAGAAGCAAGCAGCAGAAGATGAAGAGCCAGAAGATGAGGCAGCGACCGAGAAGTCCGACGGTCTTCCTGGCCCGCGTCCCTTCGAATCTCTGCGTGAATTCTTCTCTCGCACAAACCACCAATGGCAAGACATCATTCTGGAAGAACACAAGTTCAAGCACGCAACCCAGATTACAGAGAGATCGGTCAAGGAGATCCGTAAGAGTGCATTCGAGCGTGCTGAACAGAAATGGTGGGATGTCAGAGAAGAGATGCAAGTTCTGGAAGACGAGCAGGAGGCTGCCGGTATTGGTGAAGTTGTTGCGCTCGAGTCTCGCGGTGAAGGTAGCGGTGGTGGTGGTGCTGGCAGGAGAAGATAGTTGGGATATACACTTGAATCATAGACACAAAATGCAAGGAAATGATTTGAAAACACAGTCGTTTCATACATTGTACTGGAGTTCAGCTTATGTAAAAAGTTGACTAAAGAGTGTGAGGTGGAACAATCGTACGCAATCCACAAACAAAGTCTTAGGTATCGACTCCCTTAGAAGAACCATCCCAGGACGTGCCAATTCTCTGTGAGGAAGAAGCAAGAAACGAAAAACTTCCAAACTATACTTGCTCAAGAGCAAACAAATTGTGGGAAACCACCAGCACGTCTGACACTCTACTTGGTCTGGACGTAGATGTCAGAGCTACCGCTGCTCTGGTAACCCTCGGTAGCGACGATTTGGTAATAGTGTTGACCAAGGTTGAGACCGAATCTGGCCCAGGCATTGAAGTGATTCTGCATAGTGACGGCGCCACCGACACGCTTGCCCTGGCGAACAGACCAGTATTGCTGGAAGGTGCGAGTACCGTCGATGGAGGGCTGGTTCNNTAAAGGTGAAGGTACAATTAGCATGTCTCTTATGTCTGAGCATAGAACAGATAGCACTCCAAATCCCATCTGATGGGTTCTGGTTCATGCTATCTGTACCTTTTCTTTACGTACGGTGCGAGTAGAGACGTAGACATTGTAGTTGCCGCCATCGGTGGAGAAACTACCCTTGTACTGAGCACCGCTGCTGGGGTCATACGTGCCAAACGACTCAATGACATAGTACTCGACGAGCGGGTTGCGTGTCCATCCGTAGACAGCAAGATAGCCGTTGCCAGAAGGGTTGAAGCTACCACCGTAGTTGATGGTNGCTTGGAGTAGTGTCAGAAAGTTTCAAAGTGGAGAGGAAGAGCTCAGATAGACATACCGGCCAGTACCAGGGTTCCAGCCCTTTCCACCAACAAAGTTGCCAGTGTTCTGCCACTGAACAGAGTAACGAGAACCCTCACCAAGAGTGAATTGGGCATTGCCGCCGCCATCAGTCCACCAAGAGTAGAAGTATCCATTGTGAGTGCCCTCAGCGCTGGGAGTACCTGCACGCTTGGAGAGGAGAGTCGAGTTTCCGTCGTCAACCTCCTCGGTAAGGAAGTCGAAGGGGGCGGCCAGCACCGTAGTAGCAGCCATCAAGGCGCAGAGGAAGGACTTGAACGAAACCATATTGATAAAAACCAGGCTTGATCTCAGAAGTTTGGTGAATAGAGCGATGGTTTGATTTCCTAGCGAGGCCATCCTGATTTATATCTTTTCTTCTTCTCTCATCTTTCGCACTGAGCTCGTAATTCTACCCATATCGATTGAGCCTAAACAAATTGTCGTACACTGTCCACACACTGATCAACGTTTAGACATGGTGATGATTCCGGCGTCTCGCCTATGCACAAGATGGAGGGGATTCTGCTTTGTTTCTCTTGGTGTTCTTGGTATTCTTGGCTCGACAAGCAACGCGAAGGGGATGCCAATGCTATCTTATATACCCGTATACGGCCGCACACCGGTTAAAAGAACGAGTACCTGCCAAGGTCAGGCTTAGAATGCGAGAAGTGTTCTAGTCAATGATCACAAGGAGCCGGATCAGCATGGTGATTTGCCTATAGCTTGACAAAGAAGGGAGAGGAGAGCCTGTTAATGCAAACAACATGGATATAGCCGCGTTGCCAAGCAGACTATTGTATCAGAACAAGCGAGCCGAAGAGCCGCCTCCTCGTTCTAAGCCAAGTTATACAACTAGTCCAACGCAGCGTACTGTAATAGGTAGCACGGCGAGAGGTTCGTGGCCGCCATGTGTATGACTTGGACTTCCAGAGCTTCCATGAGTTCAGGCTGTTCGGAAATACAGATGATCATCCCTCATATCTGAGCATACGGTCATCCGTAGCGATACCAGTCCACAGTTGCTGATCGCATATAGTGTAGATGGCGCGGAAGCCGCGTGATAAACTACAGCAACAATTCAGCGCGTAGGAAATCAAGGTCACTGTAACCGTCCTGGAAACCGCAATCCAGAGGCCCATCTGACCCGTCCAGACTCGGCCGTGCCAATGGCATCGTGGTGGTCGGTTTCGTTTCAGAGAGCAGATCCGCATGAGGCCAATTTACGTTTGGCAGCAGCGCTTTGGAGAGAAGTAGCGAAGGAGTACTTGGCAGAATGTCCACCGCCTTTCAGGCGGGGTATATAGATCCGAACGATAAGATTGACCTCTTGCTCGCTTCCTCGGCTGTTCTTTCCTACTTTCGCTTTTGCCAGTCACGACTTGCGGATTGCAAACACATCCAGGACATCTGCCTTGACCTCTTCGTCTCGTTATGAAGCAAGAAGCACGTCATCTTACCATACATTCGATCACCTGCCGCGCGTTCCATGTTGGATAAAGGTTTCGTTCTCAAGAGGATACTCCAACAGGTCTGGGACCTTCTCCTAAGCCTGGAATATCGAGAATCTACTGTGGAATACCGGAACGTCCTACTCCAATTTGTGATTGATCAAATGGCAACAGTCCATCTCTAGTCTCCTTTACAGTGTCTCCAACACTAGACCGCCCGAGAATAGCCTGGATGTAAGGCCGAGTGACTATGTATGCTTGAGCGTCGATGGCGGCTAAATTCATGTATCGTACTGTAGGTCTCCAACAACTCTGTTAGATTGGAGTCTCGCATCAAGGCTGCCTTAACATCGACTCGGAGAACTGGGCAATCATTCAAGGACCTTTTGCCAGTCTCGTCCCAATTCACAGTGACTGCCTGAGCTCGATGTAGTTCTCATATACGCACTTGCAACTTTGCCCATGTTCCAAACGATGCCGAAGGCCATAAGTCTACCCTGGCATAATTCGGCTAAGACCTGCACCAAATGCCTCGGTTGTAGTATCCAGGATGGTCCCGACACCTTGAAGCAGGTATGCATTGCCCTCTCCATGTGCTGGAATACGTAGAGCATTTAGATGTAAAGCTACACACTTGTCTGTGTGGACAAAGCGGTATCTAGTGAGAGCAGCTACTCATGGAATCTTTTCTCTTTCTCTGGTTACACCTCTAGTCTGAAAGCTTTTGGGTTGTTACAGTCTTACGGTCGTTCACGTTCCTTGTGTGAGGACGACAGCTCCCAATCTTCTGCTTATGGGAGGGATACATGTCTCTGTTACACTAGCACTTCTGCTGGGCCACAGTCCCATATCAACGGAACTCGTTGACAGCTAAAGACGCGACAGCTCAAAAGTACACGGTTACCAACACAGGAGAGAACGATCAAAAAAAACACGCCGAGGCATCTAATAGCTGCGTTGATTTCGATCTCGTGGCATCATCATCATCATTACACTCTATGCTTATCATGTGCAGGCATGATCTCATCACTATCCTGACAGCTGGAGCTCTTTTCTTCTTCTTCGTCATCGTGGTCTTTCATCTCTCGTACAGGGTTCTCGCCATCCTCCGCTCCTAGCATCTCGATGCCTTTCTCAAGTATATGGCCTTTGTTTACTCGTTCCTGTTGCGCTTCGCCCTTTTCGGGGTCGCGGACAACGTTGCCATCAGCTTTGACAGCTCCCAAAGTTTGCTTCTCTTCCGCCTTGCCATCAGCACTCTGAGCACTCTTCTTGTAGACGCTCCAACCACCGCCCCAACCAAACCATCCTTCCGCCCACGGACCGCGCGCGAAACAGCAGATCAATGCGGCACCGATGCTGGCAACACTGTAGCTGCCTGAGACAATCCATCCACCTCTTGCGTACAAGTGATTGCCAGCAGCTGTACCGACAAGCTGGCCGCAGAACGTCGCAACCATGAAAGCCGTGTTGACACGGTTGCGTGCTTTAGGTGCGATGCTGTAAATGGCGCTTCTATTGGCGATCTGGGCTGTCTGCAAGCCAAAGTCGTTGAAGAAAGCTTGGATGACTGGCCCAGCGATCGTGATGCGGCCGGTGTAAGTACCGATGCAGATGCCCAGCATACACCAGCACTCGCCTAGAATTACGGAGAACAATGGCACGAAGCGATCGATGACATACTTTGCCCAGACCGGTCCAATAAACATACTCGCTATACCGATGAGCGAGAAGAGACCGATTGTCAATGAGTCATAGTTGTATGGTGCTCCAGCGAGGAGAAAGGTCAATGTCGTCCAGAAGCAGGTGAATGTTGCCGCTGTAAAGAAGGTGACAAAACAGGCTTGCACCAGCACTGGCTCTGTGAAGAGCATCTCGAGGATCGACCAGAGAATCTTGAAGTAATTGATGCCGTTGGGGTTGGTTGAAGGGTAGTCTGGCATGAAGAGCCAGAGCAAGGCAAAGATGGCATACTGAAGTCCTAAGGCTAGCCAGTAGATGTTGCGCCATGCTATCAGATGTTATCAGCTAATGGTAGACCACTTTACAGAAGTGAGCTTACAGGTATAGTTAGTAAGTACACCAGACAAGAGTCGAGCTATCAGCATGCCTAACAGGAGACCCGAGGTGACGATCGACAGAGATGCCGCCCTTTTACTGGGAGGTGCAAGATCGCCAACCAGAGGAAGCATAAGCTGTGGTGTAACGGTAGTGACAGCCGTGACGAAAGAGATTGCAGTGAAGGCAGCCAAATCCTTGGTTATACAGACCCCGATCNNCTAGATAAGAAGGACATATGAGTAAAGTACACTCGTATGTCATATCGACGATACATACCACATAGTTGCAGTAAAGAACACAAGTGACAGTACAAATGGTCTTCGTGGTAAAAGGTCGCCCAACGGGCACAAAAACAAGAGACCAGCCGCATAACCTGCCTGCATGACAGTCGGGATCTGCGACACCTTCTCATAAGGCACATTGAATTCCTCCGCCAGAATGTTAAGGATGGGATGACTGTAGTAGAGATTGGCGACTGTAAAAGCACCAGCAAACCCGAACAAGACGTTCAACGCCATGCTGAATTCTGGAGGCTTCTCGGGGTCCCAGCGACATCGTGGTGGAGTGTATGTTATGATGTTGTAGATACGCGACCATGTGGAATTCGTCTTTGTTTCCTTCTCTTGTATATGTTGGCCGTCCGATCCTGAAGAGTATCCTTGATCCAGCGATAAGTTTGACGGCGAGTTGTGCTTTACATCATCTTGCGCCATCCTATGGTTGACGCGCTGCAATCACTCGACAGCAACTTCTGGTTTACGATGGCAAGGGAATGGAGGTCTTTGCTTTCAAGAGAAGAGAGGGAGATTCATAGATACGGGTAGCACGACATCTATGTACGTAGGTAGAGGGTGCATGCCTATTGCTTGTCTACGAGCCGCATTTCCGGTGAGATCTTGAACCTGTCCGGTGTTGATCATCGTTCGGCCCTCCGCCTCCGCATTTAAGAAAGACAAAAGTGTGTCCACCTTGTCAGAATAGTCTTGGGGAATGCATACCTAAACAGATGAAGGGTCCCTACGTGCTCTGTGAGCCTACTGAGAACCTCTTTCTAGCCAGATCGGTAGAAACATTGAATTATCAAGGCACTGAGAAGATGTGATCGTGATTAGAGGGTGATGGTACACAGAGAGTGAGAAGCCGGACAGAAAGCCGCAAATACTGCGGTTTAACATGAGGTGAGGTTAAGACAAAGCCAGCCGGACCGCCAAGACAGGCCCCAGAAAAGCTAGCGTCTGCGCTCAGGCTTCACGCCATGCCCAAACAGGTAGTGCTCACTATCTGGTGCAGAAAAAACTTTCTTCCAGCCATCACCACATCAGAATTGTGACCCTAATGCCATAGATGAGCAAAATAAATGGTCAGTACGGGGTCGAACCCGCGACCTTGGCGTGCCATGCGTCAAGAGGATATTAGCACCACGCTCTAACCAACTGAGCTAACCGACCTGTTTGGTGAAGGCTCGTCAGGCCAATTAGTACTCAATGCCTAAGACAAGCACCATGGCAAACAATGGCGGCGCTGTTTAGCCTTCTTGCCATCACAAGCATCGTGAGAAGCGTCAATGGTGGTTGACTGTGTTGAACTGCTCGTCTCAGAGAGCGGTCAAATATGTTTCCGAGAGTATGTAGTGTTCTGGTCTCCAGCAATTTAAATCGCAAGAGATGCAGATCATGTGGGCTTCTGAGGTGAAGTCGTACCAGTTTGCAAAAAACATCCGTGACGCTTGTACGATCAACCAAAGGACCAGAGATTATGATAGAGGCTGCATTCAGATGAAGGCATCCTTCGTTCTGAACGACAGAAACACCAGAACTTTGTTGGTGGTAAATGTCTTGGTTATCGTCTTGGATGTATTGCCGAGTGGTCAACCCTGACCTTGTATGTAAGGCCAAAACGTGACATCCCCAAAAGGCCAGAAGCATGGCCATTTGCAGTACTCAGAGGAGGTCAGCATCGTATTCGGCTAAATCACTTGCCTGAATACAGGTATACCCTTGTCTCGTTTCTGTTGATGGTGCTAGCCGGCTGTTAAGAGTGCGACATTCTGGAATGCGGCCGGAAGCCTTGAGAAGAATCTTGCGCCAAGCTAGGAGGACAAGGAACCGATCGATGATAAGCAATGTCTGATGCTTACTCGACACGCGTCCCGAGCGTCTCGATGTCTGGTATGGTCGGTGGTGGTAGGGATCAATAGATCGCACCAGATGCAGGTGGTTGACCAGCCTCCCTCCCCACTTGTCTTGCTACCCATCAAACCGGGATTATTCTCGCAGGAACATGTTCCCCGCTAGAGGAAGCCACATATGCTCTCGGTCGACAGTCCGAACCAATTAATTGATTACTATTCGATAGAGACAGTCGGTATGCAAGGGTGGTCGAAGGATCGAGACCGTTCAAAGATCTCGAACCGTCCGCTGGATCTCTGAGACAAGCTTAATCTCGCCGGCAATCGATGCGACTAGAATTGCAAGACAGCACAAAGGACAGCAGCTTTGAACATGGTTTATAGAGGCTCTCGCGGGAACGAAAAGCATCGGTGTATACTTGCTCTCTTTCACACATGCACTCACACAGCAGCAGTGCCATATACAGCACAACCGTTTAACCCGTTGGACGTCACTAGGAGCTTTTTGACCCCAGTAACGGCATTTCCGCAAAGCAGTCAGCGGACCATTGACTATATCGAGTTAGATTTGGCGGCAAGACCTATAACGCATATACGATTCAATCCGATCCTTGGGAAAAGCCACGACCGTTGGTCAATACAAACGTTGGAACTTGGATGAGTACGCCTTTGTGCTTATAGCGGAAGAGAGTCCGAAAGATAGCCCGGCAACAGACGGCATACCTAGCTCACCACAATATATACGAACCTTGCCTTGCTTCTGGGCCGGAGCCGATGACACTCTCTTGAGCTCATGAACGATCGATCATCTCAACATAAACACATAACCACCTACCTGCCATCTGAGAAACATCACATTACAATACCGCCGACCGATTGAATGACAACCGCTACCACCACCCGGACTCGCTGTGAACAAGCAATGTTCGACTCACCAGTGATGGCGAGCATGGATGTTCACACCGCCATACTACAAGAAGTGGCCAAGAAGCACGTCGACCTCATCAACGGCATGAACGCTCTGTATGCCACCCTGATCAAGATGCGATACCTTCGCGAGGATGAGGTCATCTATCCTCCCTACGGAGTGTGCGGCAAACCTGCAGTAGCCGTCGACAGATTAAGAGCCATGGGATTCGTGCCAGAGGCAATCGCTCTCATGGAACTGCTACCTTACCCATCGAACGAGGCACTGGAACACTGGTCAGAGCAAGAGGAGGGTATACCGATCGCACCAGACAGTGGTGCCATGTCATATCTCGAAGGCCACGAATGGGATGGCACGATAGCAACATCCAGACAACCACTACGGGCCGGTGAGACTGGCTTACCAGCGTGGGCCTTCAAGATCACATTCTGTGGCGAGAACTGGGGCACAGAGTACTTGTACGACACAAGAGATAGTAAGTTAGATATGCACACGAAAGCAATGTCTCGTAGCTAACAACCTTGGTTACAGAGAGAATGAGACGCTGGGCCTCCAAGAGTGAAAGTACAGAGTACGAGCATCAGCCCAACCGAGCAACAATACAGTCCTGGGATCTTTTGCGCAACGAGCTACTCAGCCTAGACTGGATTCCATGGCGTGACGAAGGCGAATGTTACCAAGCTCTCAACATACATGCACGACCAAGCCTGCTCTCTGGTGTAGGCGCGACAAATCGCTACGAGGAATACGACGGCGAGACGGAAATGCTGCAAGACGAGCGAACGAAACTAAAGCGACACATCGAGGCGGCCCGAATGAGGATTCCTGCCCTCAATGTTGCCTTGAGAGCAGGCCGACAGCGATCAGGTTCGTTGAGTACCGACGAGCTCAAGCGGCTGGTTGCTGAGCATAGGATCTCGATAGAGCACTCTCCGACTCGACATGTACAACCAGAAGGTTGGGGCATTGGAATGGTGCTGGATGGCGTGGAGCGCAACGCACCGGACAATAAAGCACTGCGACAGAAAATCTTGTCCATGCGACACGCCAGTGCCCAGCAACTGCGCAATACCGCAATGGAATATGGATGTTCTATTCCAGAAGTACCGGCGCCACCTCCTGCACCACCATTGGAACTGGATGCCAAGGTGGAGGTTGCGAGAGCTGTGCAGAACATGTTCACTGTCAAGCGTCAATTGTTCCAGGAGTGTGAGTGGGAGGAAAGGTTTGACGGTGACAAGTTCGAGGCAAGACGGGATGAGTTGCTGGACGAGTATCATTCTTTCTTCATGCTGCTAGGACCCAAGGGTCAGAACATCCATGATCCTGTCGAGGGAGCGTGGTTGAGGGACTGGTTCAGGCAGAAGGCTGGCGAGAAGGCTGTTTAATTAATTGAGACATGATAACCACGAGAGAAATGAATGATATGTAATGCGCGGCTTTGATGCCCACAGCCTCGATTGTTTTGTTTCGTGATGGTCGTTTCTCGTGAAGAAGGTGGTGGTAGGTAATGATAGTATAACCATCAAGGTCTTGGTCAAGACCCGAGCTTGCCGTGCCTTTGGTGTTGAATCTCCGTAGCAGACGCAGACAACGAGTCTGTCAGCTATTGGAACACCAATCCACCGTCTTAGCTATGTCCAAGCGAACGCTTCTCGGCAGTATGCTCGTTCTGTTGCATGCCCGTCGTGGCGGCAGATATGGGTACTTTCGGAGCATCTCGTTTCTGGCCACTGGGCCTTTCGGTCAAGCTGGGTGCTCGTGGTCGTCGCTTGCCCTGGGCTTTGCCGCCGATGATGGGAATGTGGTAGGCGCATGAGCGGTAGAGGTAGAAGACCAAGTCGTAGAGAAGGAGGAGAGCCCATGGGCCCATTGTGACGACACCTAATAGCAACNNTGTGTCGAGACCTGTCAGTCGGCATGTTTGTGTAGTAGGAGGGTAGGTGAGGAGTACGAATATACTCGAGATCCATCCTTCAATGTCGCTCAGGTGCGTGGGCAGCAGCGAGTACCAGCCCATGATTGTGTAGCTGGCAAGTGCGAAGGCTGTTTCGAACCGCTGCTTCTGTCGGCGGGTGTATTAACCGAGCTATGTCTACGTTGGAGTAGAGATTGTCAAGTACAAGAAGCAGTTGAGACCGACAGATTGGTTGGTCTCGGTTGCCCTATGCATCTCAATTCAACGTAACCGTCGTCGGTAGCAAAGGTGTCGCCAAGGCTTCGTCATCCTCGAGATGCGATCGAGGGGTCAACAACAAGTCACGATTCCATGTCCGATCGCCTCGAGTCTGGACAATCGTTCTTGTTACGGACCTTGTGGTAAACGAGAAGCCTTGCAAAGAAGCCTCACCACCGCTCAGATCTACAGTGGCTTGACAACAGTTCACGCTACGCCCAAGTATTTCAGCCGCAACCCTGGCAAGACCGCCACCACGCCCGCACTTACAAAACAACACCGCTATCCGTGTTCTCTCCAATCAAACAGAGTGATTTGTTAGCAATATAGAGTTATAGGGTATCTGACCGATAGACAGCCGTGCTGCCTGTTGCGAATAACCGAGTCGGACAAGGAGGACAAGCTCATTGGGTACCCTTGAGCCGTACTCCGATCACATGCACCACCGACGGCTGCCTAGCTGCCACATGAACAGGTAGGAAGGATTGAAACGTTGTTCACAATCCACAGCTCTTTCTGTTTATCTTTTCCTTGAACACCTTTGTTCCTTCCTGAATCTTTCTGACCATGAAGCCATTTATGCTCCAATCCATTCACAAGACCATGCCTGGCTCACCTACCAGACAGTTCCTGCGTCAATTGACCAGCGCAGACGCCCTCCTCGAGCTGGACGCCAGACTGCAGGTCTGGCAAGATGAAGATCCTCTCAACGAGGAGCCCATATTCCCTCCCCCGCCTGACGCCCTACCACAACAATCAAATGTCCCGAGAAGTGACTTTGACTGGGGCCGTTATGCTGAATCCCTTGAACGCTCTCGGCGACGACGCCTCGAAACTCAGCTAGAACCGACTTCCTCTGTACGAGACTACCAGGCATCAATCATCGAGCACCAGGCTGCTCTGAGAGACAACGATCCACACTCGCGGGAAAGTGTCCTCGCACGAGAGCGTCTCGAAGACCAACGATATAATGCCATTGCCGAAAACATACGCTTGACCCACTCGTCACGACAACGTTTGGTAGCATCTTTGGATCGTATCCCAGACCGGGACACCGCCTTCATAAGGGACCGCTTCGAGAACGAGGAATACGATGCCGAATATGAACGCTTAAGGCAAGCACGCATCGAGCGTGAGGGTGCAGGGTTCCCACCTCATGTTGGAGAGCAACGTTATACTATTCCAGACGCAGTTGACAGTTATATCGCCGACCCGCCGTTGCCTGCATTGGAGAAGGGCAAGGAAGCACGAACGATGGATGACATGTCCTTCCTTACTCTGCACGCCGAGGGTGGCGATGCCACTCTGACAATAAAAGATCCGTACACAAAAAAGACCACAGTGCTCAAGGACATGAATCTCACAACGATAGAATTGATAGCACCAGTCCTGGCTTTCAGCTTCGAAGAATCCAGGAACGGACCAAAGTACTCGATTCAAGACGTGTCGTTGACAGCTGTGCTGTGCATGCTCCGACACATCTACACCATGGAACACTACGTACCAGGCGACTGTGTTCACGACCAAATGTCTGCGCTGCTCCACATTGAAATCTTTCATCTGGCCTCCACCTACGACATCAGCAGTCTAAAGACAATGGTCAAAGCACGCGTATTCCTAGAGCTGGAGCTCTCAACCAGCTACCCAGGCCCACCGAAAGATTTGTGCAAAGCACTTGCATACGCATACGAGCACCTGCCAAACGAAAACGACATTACCAAAACACTGGCACACTACTGCATCACTTGCTTCTTGCAACACCGACTCAACGAAGACGAACTGTTTACGACTTTTCATTACAACTGCCGTCCCTTCCAGCGCGACCTGTGTGTCATTCTACGCGAAAACGGCTTCGAGGACGAGTGCGCCCCTACCCTTATACAGCTCCCCGTCAAGACTTCCGACATCCCCACACGCTGGCCCACCGTCGTCGATGCAGACCCGCAGGGCAGCTTCTTGGAAGACGAGTTTGACAATGAAGTCAAGCGCCGCACCAACATTTCTCAGCTGGACAAGTTGAGGATTCACTTCCGCATTGCGCTACCGTTGAGATGAAACGAGGAAGGTAAAGAAAATCTTTTGAGGTAGAAAACGATGCAAAAGAAGAAAAGAGGGCATGAAGGACGTGATTTTCTTTTTTCTTCCCGCTTTAAGCTTGTTGTCTTCTGCGCTTGCCGATCTGGGCCGAGAAACCGGTCTTGATGGCAGAGACGGAACGTCTGGAACCGCACGAGTTGCAGGTGACGAAGTAGAGACGGTTCTCACCCTTGTTGAGCTCCGTGTCTGGCGAGCGGCAGGTCTTGCAAGTAACGTACTCGACNTGTTTGGTATTTGTTAGCTTCTTGGGTATTTTTTTTGTAGTAGATAACAGAAATGCACAAAAAATGATGGCTCGAAGGGAGAAAAGGGATAGAAACGCACCAATATATCTTCTCAAAACGTTCTCCAACTGCTTCTGCTGGAAACGACCCTTGATGACGAGTTGACCCTGACCGGCGACGGAACCAGAGGTACCCAATTCGGAGAAGAGGAACTGGGTGACGTGCTCGTCGGTTCTCTTCATACGGCGACAGATTTCGGAAATGTTGGCAAAAATGGTCTTCTTGTTTCCTTCACGCAAGCACTGAGGAGGAGGGATCTTGTACGACTTGCCGCCGCTAGAGGCAAGGTCGGGGTTGTGGTGGTTGAGTTGGGAGAAGAAGCGAGTGAGCAGCAGAGGGTACTCGATGGGTGTGGTGTTGCTGTGCTGCCAGATGCCGGTTCCCTTTTCCAGATCGCCCTCCTGGCTGGTGGACTGTTGCACGACGGGCTCGTCGTCGTTGGCCTCTTCGTTGGCGCCGGCCTCGGCCAGCTTGGCCTCAAAGTCGTCGGCCTCGGTCTTCTTGGCCTTCTTCTTCTTCTTCTTGAGGGCCGAGGGGTCGAATTCGGCGTCGGCGGCGGGAGCCTCTGCGTCGTCGGCCGACTTTTCCTTCTTGGATGACGACTTCTTCTTCTTCTTGGCGAGGCCCTCGAACATGGCGGTCATCTCGTCGACGCCTCCTTCTGTGGGTGTCGCGGGTGGTGAGCTGGTGTCCTCTTCTTGTGCTTGTCTGGCTGCGGGGAGCTTCTTGTTCGTACCGGCAGAGTGAGTCTCGGCGCTCGACTTGTCGCCATGTTGCTCGGTGGCTTCGGTGACCTGGCCGTTGCTGTCGACGATGGTGGTGCCCTCGCTGAAGGCGACCGACTTGCGCGGCTTGCGCTCTTCCTGTGTTGGACTGCAGTCAGCCACTGTTCTTTCTCCTGACTTCTGGATACGCGCTTGGGGACCACTGACAATATCGGCCATGATTGCGGTTTCTATCTGATCCAAAGAATGCGTTTCGTGTAGTGTACAGGCGGTGGACAGGCGAACAAAGGGTGTACTTGTCGGTGACTCAAAAGTTGCTGCAGCAAGGCCACAAGCGAATGACGCCCGCCCAAATCTTGTCTTGGCACGGCAGATAAATAAATAAATGCAAACAAACAGAGCACGTCTCTGCCGCTCCTCTTGTCTGGCAAACACGTGCACACTTGGACTTTACATCTTACGGAATATAAACAAATCAAAATCGGATTCAGAATCAGATTCAAGCGTTCCTTCTCTCTGGTCTTGTCCATGCAAACATGAAATCTATCACATGGAGGTAGGTCTATGGGCCTGCTAAAGCCATCGCTCTGGACACCATCATGTTTTCTCTCTCCCACGCATATCACACCCCAACAATAATCGAGGAGAAGTGGCAACGCCAAAGACTGCACTACCACGCAACCAAGACGCCCGAATTCCTCGAGAAACGAAACTTACCTGTGTCAAACTTGTTATGTTCCCGGCAAACCCTGACTGGGACCAGATAATGCCCAAAGGCTACGAGGACATCATGACCCTCAAGTATTTGAAAGCACGAAAGCAACAGCTTGACGGATCTGGAGCACTGCCGTCTAATTATGGACGAGGTACATTGATCCCAAATGCACAACACGGTACCTTTGGCGAACTCAATCAACGAAGCAAACTAAGATTGCAAGGTTATGGACCGATGATAATCGAAAGAAAGAAGAACGAGGGCATTAGGTCGAGGCGACTAAACAACTTCCAACGCCTGCAAAGAGAAACCAGCAATACGAGATAAAGAAAAAGGAAAGAAGTGTGTGCAAACATTGAAACACTTTCAGTTCTTCATTCGTCAAGTCCAACAACACGTTCCAGCAATCGGATGTATTCTGGCGGACAAGGTTCCTCGCCACTTCTCAGTTTGTCCGCCAGAGCCTCGACCCTCTCCTGAATCATGTCACCGTACAGAACTTTCGAATCAAGGAGGTCGAGCACAGGCAGCACAAAGACGATCGGGGAGTTGCGATCGATCAGCTTGTGAAGCAAACTTCTGTCCTGGAGACTAAGACCAGAGTATTGCGGAATGGGTACAGCAGCGTTAGTCTGGATATCTCCTGCATATTGGACCAGCTGCTCCAGAGTGTACAGCAGAATTCCAGCAATCCTGATCTGGAGAGAGATGGCCATCTTCTTCTGACCATGGACTATGATAAAGGAGCGCAGGCGGCCAACCTCGACACGAAGGGCTTCAGCGGTAGCATCGAGATTGCTGTCAATAGGCGTGCGATTCGCCATCCAGTAACCAAAGTCGAAGAAAATCCGTTCGATACGACTGTGGATTTTTGTGAGATGCAAGAAATCTCGCTCTTCTTCGGGGACAGCTGCTCCCAGCGCAATGAGCAGGAATGGCTGTGACTTGACCTGCTTGATCACTTCGTTCTTGTACCGTGCAAAGAGTGCNTCTGCAACACAATCAGAACACAATAAAAGTTGGCAGTGCAGAAGAAGAGGTTAGACTCACTGTGACTCCTGCTGCAACATCTCAAAGTTGTCCTGACCATGCTGTTTGGAAAGCACCCCGCAAGGCTCGAAAGTCGACAGGATATGGGTAGCGGTTTGCTCAACCAATCTAGTGTCTTGCTGATCCATGGGATCTTGCTTCCACCAACCTGCACGCCGAGCAAGGTTCCCAAGACCCTTGTCTTGCAGCCAAGTATGGAAATTCAGAGTCTCATCATCCTCAGCCTCACGGGCAGCCTCCCCTTTATTGGAGATTTGGTACTTGAAGCGAGACCTGGCTTCACGAGGTACAGCAGTGCTCAGAATCTGATCGTCTACCCACCAGATGTGTCGACAAGCGCGAGGACCGTTGTTTGGGCAGGTCGAACAAATCGGCGTTCCTTCATCCGGGATAGTGACGTGGATGCGCTCTTGTAGCTCGAAGTGAAAGTCATTGTTGCGCTCGTAACAGCGTACCATGGATATGCTGTTGTTGCAAAGCCCCTCTGTAGCGTTCTTCAGAGACGGCGGGCTCAGCGATTCGACATCGTATGCAAGTCCGGTCTGCACAGCAGTAACAATGCGACTGTGCCTCGTCAGTCTTGTCTGTAAGACACGAGAGTCAGTCTGCATAAGGTCATGCTTACGGCTGTCTCGGCTGAGAGCAGGTCTGAGCCCGAGTGCTTGGTGTAGCCATCTTGCGAGGTTCGAATAGTATTGCTTAGTAGTGACTTTTACCCTTGAGCAAAGTGCCTTTGTTGTACAGGAGGATGCAAGACGAGGAAAGGAGCACTTATAAACCATCGTCATGGTCAATGAACATAAGGTCTCGATACCTGTAAGAAGAATGTTGCATCGGAGACTTCGCACCAACCACAACAGAGCAACTCACTGTTGGTAAGATAGTTCAATCAAGCTATCCCATAGTCCCTTTCTCCAGTTGCATGTTAGAGTTCACAGCATCAAGCACGATAGAGGACACCCTCTGTGTCATTCGGCACTGGCCAAGGGGAGCATAATTGCTGTATTGGTTGTTGGGTGGGGTGGGTTAGCATGGCATGTGTTGGAGTTCCCAAAAGCTTGATTAAAGAACGGGCATTGGCCAAGTGCACCGGAGAGTAATTTTCCCGAGGTACCCGGCAAGGCAAGGAGTATTGAAGGAGAGAGTAGTGATTGTGCTCGAGTGGCACGGCCATCTAGTCGGGCTACGCCCTGAGTGACAAGATAGGCATATGAAAACAACGGGCAGGAAGGCTGAACGCCATACAGATGAGTGACGGCATGGCAGCATGCAAGATCAGTCACCTGAGCGCTACATACGGAAGGTAGCTCAATGATTGCCTGTACTAACATGTAGAAGCAGGGGCTGACCCAACCCTGGCTTGCGAGTCAAGATGAGCAGTACAGCATGCTGCACTCGATTGTTGCAATGACCGACGAAAGCGGGTAGATCTACAACGCAGGTGAGGCGATACAAGGGAAATGTATCGACAATGCATTGGTAGTGCAAGAGTTGACAGCATGTACTGTAGCGACTGACGTGGAGTCTGGGTTTGTTCCCTCCCTGGGACTCGACACAGGCATTGATGTGCTGCAGCCGCAACCAACGGTGGTACGCGAATGGTGCCACCAACGATTGTTGTTGCTTGTCAAAAGCTTGATAATTACGGAAGCGAAAAGTAGAAGCAAGAGAGTCCATATAAGCGCTGGTAGGTTAGCCGCCGGGTGTGAAAACCATATTTACCTGAGGAAGAGTGCTCCAGTAAGGCCAGTATGCTGGAAACGAGTCGAGTCAGACCAGGCGGCTAAGTCGGCACAGACAGGTCATGGACGGTTCGTGAGATAGCCATGGCAGCTAAGGTTGTTAGTGGCATGTTCCTAAGGAAGTGTGATTGTCCCAACAGTTGGCAGAGAACGCCGCATCCACGCTGATTAGCCGAACGACTTCCCAATAGATCAAAAGCAAAGGTAGTAGTGGTGAGCGAAGCGAGGGAGAACAAGAGGATGGGAGTATGTTGGTGAAAAAGGTTGAGAAGCCATGGTTTGGGCCGTAAATTTCATGATGAAAACCTAAGAAAGACGTAACGTGACAGCCGCGCATGTGATGGCGGCCTTTCAACTCCTGAGCGCCGTCCGCAATGCCTATGCCCTCCTTCGTGTTGTACAGAATACGTACGCTTGTCGTCCGCGGTCTAATTTGCGCCTGGTTCGATCTTGTCTAATCCTGTCTGCCCTTGAGCAGTCTCTTGGTGACCTTGTCCTTCTCGATGATGTAGACGTGTGCTCCCCAACCCGAAAGAGCGTCGCGGTCGACGGCGTTGAGCAGAGCTTGTGAGATGGTTTCGAAGAGATCCTCAGGGCCCTGGTGTGCATGTCAGTATACAGAATTGTTGTAGAGGAATATTCATGACATGTCATACAAGNNATCGGGTTCCCACAAGCCCTCACAAGTACCGAATAGCTGGTCGCTAGCAGTTCCGCTGACGATGAAATCCTTCGCAAAGTCGATACAGCCGATGCTGTCGAAGCCGCAGATGAAGGGCTTTCCGGTAGTGTGGTTGATGCCGGCAATGACGGGACTGATAAAGTATGGGCCGAAGCGCTTCTCGTATAGGGAAGATGAAACCAAGTTGGCCATGGTCTGAGGTGAGATCTGGCGCTCCTCGCGCAGGCGGTACATGTTGACCTTGTAGCGGAACAGTTCGCTGACAGTCTGGACGTCGGTGGCGAGACCAGTCAGGCCGAGGTATACATCGCCGTAGTTGAAGATCTTGGGGAAGTTGTTGGAGACAGTCAGAGCTTGGAGACCGAGGCGGAGATCGCAGGCGATGGCGACACAGTCCTTGCCGACCATGGCAACACAGGCACCACCGTCTATCGAGCTTGTCAGTGGAGAACGATCGAGTGACGACGAAGATGTGACGGACTTATTGAGAAGGGGTTGGACTAGATGATGGTTAGCTGGTTGTATTCATGGTATAGAGGTATGCGTGCACTCACCATGGTTGTGACGAGAGGATTAAATGGCGATTAGAGGCGGGAGCGATGTTGGATGGAGGGTCGACAGAGACAGAGAAGGCGCGACCTGCAAAGTGACAGAGGCAGAAAGGCAGAGCTGTATGGGTAGTTGGACTAGATGGTTGCTGTCAAGCTGTTGTAGCTGGGCAGGTGCGACTCTCCCCGGCCTGCATGACGCCGACGCCGCCTTTGGAAGGAGCCCAGTGAGCTTGCGGCCCCGGCGGAGAACGGCAAGTGCCGCTTGGATTCTCCATCGAAACATTGAATCGCTCTGCGCCGACGAGGTCAGGTAGAGAACAGGCCCCGACAAACCCACAATGGCGACAATCAATCCGCAGCATGTGCGACTCGCAGAGTCACTGCCCCCGCGACTCCTCAACTTCTTCAAGCGCTACCCACCAGCCGCTCTCTCGCAATCTACCACCATCGCCGCCAACACTTCCTCGGCCGACGCAAATGCAAACACTCCCACTTCGATCTCAGAAAACACCCTCTCGGAATCATCGCTACAACCCGAAAACCCATTCATGCCCTTCAAGAACCCCATCACCCAAAGGTGGCAGCCCGCCTCTTTCTCTCTCCGCAAGCAATCCGAACTTATCAAACTCGCCATCAAGCACAACGTTGTCTCGTTGCTCCCATACACGCACAAACTGCCCGAGGAGGTTGCTCGTCGCCGCGCAGAGCACGGTCTCCGCGTCAAGGGTACCGGTGTTGGCCAGAAGGTCAAGGGAAAGATGTGGGAGCGTACACTCAAGGGCAGATTGGACCAGCGCGAGAAGGCCATGGTTGCCATGCCCGAGATGATTCGCCACTGGAAGGAGAGAGGTCACGGAAGAGGCTGGAAGAAATGGCCCAAGAACTAGATGTCTGCCTCCCGCTTTCCTTGGACATCAATCTGCACAAAATCGGCGTTATTATCTTGTTGGGGGAACACTTGTATCGGCATACCACAATTGTACATTACTTACAAACCAGACGGCCTGCTGGCCTTTTTCACACTTCCATGCTACTTCTACGTTCCTTGGAGAGCCATCGGCTGACATCAAGGACTTGACATGAACCAGAGCATCAATAGTGCTTTACATATTGTCATACATTCATATGCGGCCTAATAAGTTATCCAGGCCATTCTACTTCTTCTCCTGCTGCATTCTCTCGTGCTCGTTCTGGACGATCTTCGGCACCTCGTCCTCAATGCTTTGCTCCTGAGGCTTCCAGCCCAACACCTCCTTGAACCTTCTAGCCTTGCCTCTAGAGTTCCAGCCCCAACTGACGGCCTCGAACCCAGCAGTCTTCTTTGCGGTCTCCATGTCCATCTGCTCCGTCTTGACTTCCTTGAGCAGACCCTGCTGCTTAGCACTCTCGGCAATAACCTTGCTCAGGTCTCCCCAAACGTGCTCGCCGTTCTCGGTAAAGTAGTAGCCATTCTTGCCCCAGAGCTTGGAGTCAGTATTGTTCTTTGCTGCTTCCTCGACCAGAAGGACAAAGGCGCGAGCCAAGTCGTGGACATGCACATTGTTCCACATTGCCTTGCCGCCGCCAATGAGAGGCGCGGCTTGGATGTCCAGCACCGTTTTTGCGAGTTCGTACACCTGACGGCCACGGGTGAGAGAGGGTCCTCTTCCATCGCCGTAGATAGTGGGAGGACAGACGATGGCCGTCTTGACGACACCAGATGCGTTTGTGCCGGCATTGATGACAATCTCGTCGACGTTCTTGTGGAAGGCTTCTTTGGGAAGACCGATCAACTCATCCACACCGTCCAGGTCGTCAAAGACTTTGTCGGTGTGTTCACCAAACTTGTCCGCTGATGAGTCGAAGTAGGTCAAGATACCAGTTCCACCGGTGTGTAGCCAGTAGCCTGGCTTTGACGCGCTGTGACCAGAGGCAAGGCCTTCAGCAATAGCCTTTGCGGCTCCCTCGTGGTCAGAGGCATCCGCGGTGTCTGACATACTATTAGTGTTGTGATCACCAATATAGAGTGACTGAAGTCAAGACTCACGAATGACAATGTCTGCCTTGGAGGCTTCCTCCTTCAGCAAGTCGCTGCTATCGTTGTCTCCTTGTACGGTCTTGACCTTGGGGAACTTGTCCGTGACAGACTTGCCCTTTTCAGGCGTGCGTACCAAAGCCGTGTATGAGTACTCGGGATGCTTGTTGTAAAGCTCATATAGAGTGTCGCCGCCGATGTAGCCAGTGGCTCCGGTAATGAAGATGTTGACCATTCTGATTGAGTTTGTCAGAATAGACTTGATGTAATGGTTCCTTGATAAGTAGTAGAAGAAGAAGAAATAGATGACCGGATGAATATATATCCAAGCGGTCCTTCACAGCTCCACGTGTGACGTCGCTGGTATCAACCCTAGCCGGAGATGTCATCCGAGATCTGATAACGACATTCTTCGATCCTCCGGAAACCCCCTCGCGCCACATGAGACTTTAACATGCAATCACGCTGTGTTGTTCACATTTGGTCTCGCACTTGATAGAAGGTGGCATAAAATGCTTTTTCAATGAAGTCTCTAGTAAACACCTGAGAGCAAAGAGACAGACAGACTTTCAAAGATCCCCACTCCCCTTGTGTACCTGGTTATTTCCCAACTCCCCATATCCTCATAATGACCAAGAGCTCCCATGCAATTAAATAAAAACGAAAAAGGATTCTCTGCTGAGCCCTGACAAAGAGAGCTCGTCGTCACTTTGACATCTACTCGACAGTGACACTCTTGGCCAAGTTTCTGGGGAAGTCGACGTTCAAACCCTCAGCAACGGCAAGCCAGTAGGCCATGAGCTGGAGAGGAATGACGTTGAGCAGACCTTGTAGAACGTCAATTGTCTGGGGCACCTCGATCTTGTCGGTCTTGTCACCAGGGAACTCGCTGTCGTTCTTGCTGCAAATGACAATAGGACGACCCTTGCGAGCAATGACCTGCTGGTATGCGTTAAGGGACTTGGCGAAGAGGCTGTCGCGTGTGAGGATCATGACAATGGGCAGAGACTCGTCGACCAGAGCAAGCACACCGTGCTTAAGCTCACCGGACATGACGGCCTCGCAGTGAAGGTACGAGATTTCCTTGATCTTCAGAGCACCCTCGAGAGCAGTGGCGTGCTGAGCACCACGTCCGAGGAGGAGCAGGGACTTCTGGTTCTTGAATTTGAGGCACAGGTTCTTGATGTCCTGGTCCTGCTGGAGGATCTCCTTGAACTGCTCGGAAATCTTGCCGAGGCCCTCCATAATGGCCTCTCTTCTGGCCTGCTTGGATGCACGGTCCTCACTGAGCGACAGAGCGAACATAACCATGCAGACGAACTGAGAGGTGTAGGCCTTGGTCGATGCGACACCGATCTCAGGACCAGCGTTGATGTGGACACCACAGTGAGTCATCATAGAGATGGAAGAACCGACAGCATTGACAATACCGACAGTCAAGGCACCACGCTCGAGACAGTGGCGGAGAGCCAAAAGAGAGTCAGCGGTCTCACCAGACTGGGAGACGAAGACGCAAGTGTCGTCACGGAAGACAGGGGCCTGTCTGTCGAGGAAGTCGGAAGCCAACTCCACAGAGATGGGGATCTCAGTCAGCTCCTCGAAAACACCACGAACAGCCATACACGAGTGGTACGAAGTACCGCAAGCAATGAAGATGATTCTGCGGCAGCGACGGATGGTGGTAATGTACTGCTTGAGACCACCCAGAGTGATGGTCTTGTCCTCAAGGTTGAGGCGACCACGCATGGCGTTGACAATGGATTCAGGCTGCTCGAAAATCTCCTTCTGCATGAAGTGATCGTAACGGCCCTTCATGATCTCCTGGAGCTCGATCTCGATGGTCTGAATAGCACGAACGTTGGAAGCGCCAGAGTCCTTGGACAGACGGTGAATATTCAGCTGACCGTCGTGGATGTGGGCAATGTCGTCGTCCTCGAGGTAGAGAACCTTCTTGGTGTGCTCGACGATGGCCGAAGGGTCGGAGGACAGGAAAAACTCAATGGGCTGAGGAGCACCGTCCTCGGAGAAGAAGGCGCGCGATTGAGAGCGGTGAAGCAGGCTCTTGTCGGGAGGAGCCAGGAGGTTGTTGGCCTTCTTAAGGGCAACGTTCTGCGAAGCAGCTTCGGCAGGGAGAGGACCGGCATCGCCAAACTCAACATCAACAAAGTCAACCTTCATCTTTCTCTGTGTGCGGACACCAATGACCAGAGGAGAACCCTTGCGGGCAGCAACGACCTCGGAGGGGAAGTGGATGGACTTGAGCAGGAGACCAAAGGCACCCTGGAGCTCCTTGATGACGGCCTTTACGAGAGTGGTGAAGTCGATGTTGGGGTGCTCGTCGAAGATGTACTTGGCCAGCTTGGCGATGGCCTCGGTGTCGGTCTCAGTCTCGAATTTGAAGCCCTTGGTCTCGAGCAGAGCTCTCAGCTCCTTGTAGTTGGTGATGATACCATTGTGAACGACGGCGAACTCCCACTTGGGGTCGGATCTGGATGCAAACTTGTGTCAGACTTGGGTGTGTTTCTGCCGCAGCTCTTTCTCTGGCGCATACCTGTGGGGGTGGCAGTTGACACGCGAGGGAGGACCGTGAGTGGCCCAACGGGTGTGGGCAATACCGGCGTGTGCGTCAAAGACCTTTGTGAGGTCGGGCTTCTCTTCCTCGATGAGCTGCTTCAACTTGGCGACCTTGCCGACCTCCTTGAAAGCAAACACTTCATTTCTCTTGTCTCCGTCGATCGCCAGACCAGCTGAGTCGTATCCACGGTATTCGAGACGCGCAAGACCTGCTATGCGTTAGCTGATTGCGCTTGCTGCGGCTCTGACCAGAGCTCAGGGGTCGTGTGAGAGCATACCATTCACAAGCGTGTCGAGAATCGTCTTTCTGTCCTTCTCCACCAAGTAGTTGATGTAGCCGAAAATGCCACTGTTGCCCATGTTAGCAGGCCCTTCTACATGTCTTTCGGCGTCGTTATTGCGGCCGTCGAGCTCTTTGCTTACCACATGATGCCGTGTAAATAGTGAACGGGCTTTGCTCAAAACCTAAATGCGGAGCAGAAAGCAGATCGGTCGCACTCTTCGGACTGTTGGGTAAACCTGACAGTTGCAGGAAGTATTAAGAAGAATCGAAATAGAGAGATGTTTGAAAAATCAATGGCGTTGAGGAGCAGAGGGAGAGAATGGGAGACGGCGGACGGGGCAAGCAACGAGCTCTTATAAATGCACGGCCCCAAACACACCCCAGAGCTGCTGTTTCTCAGGCAATCTGTTCATGTCCCCGACATGTTTCAGACCAACAGCCAATTCGGCCTCTCCCCTGTTTCTGCCCGCCTGACTAGCTGCCACCATTCCTTGCACTGCTCACCGTACATAGTACTCGGTACCTTCTGTCTTCATCTACACGCCTCTCCACTGGCCTGTGACTCTCGTGTTCCTGCATATAAATACCGTCGCCCTCCCGATGGTGCCACTGGCTGAACCCGCCGCAAGCCAAGAGCTCCCCAGGTACCCAAAATAGCTTCCTCCAGATGTCGTCCGCTGCGCCCTCTGATTGACCAGAAGCACCGAGAAGCACTAGCTGCACTCGACACGCCTTGCTAGCACTTATCTTATCGGCGGCTGTTGTGCTTGTAAACATCTTTCGACCTCAAAGCATTGGCCGGCTGAGCCTCTTTCCCATTCGTAAGCTGCATCTCGTCGTCACTTTTTGGAAAAAAAACAACAACGCCTGTCAAGCGGCTGGGAGTCGGCGGGGCTTTAGGTTGGGCCCGCGGCGAAGAAGCTCGAAGCTGTGTCTGCTCTTGTCTTCCGCTTTACAGTCATCCGTCTCAAAAGCGCTGGTGTCTCCTCAATTCTACAAGTCTATTCGTTCCGTCTAGCAGACCGCCTGATAAAAGCAATGCCTCCCACCGTCATTCTCATCAGACATGGCCAAGCACTGCACAACGTCAATCATAAGTGATATCCTTCACCGCCGAGGCTTCCTAAGAACACCATGCCTGACGCGTCCTGCACAAGAATATGACATCCCCGACCCGCCGCTCACAGAGCTGGGCCAGCAGCAATGCCGCGTGCTCGAGCAGCATCTTCGCCAGCATGTGCCACTCGCCCACCTGATCGAGCGTATAATCACTAGTCCTATGCGCCGTACCTTGGAAACCACCGCTCTGGGTCTCGACTTCTTTATCAAAAGGGGTATCCCTGTAGAAGCCAATGCTCTCTGGCAAGGTAAACACCCTCTTTTTCATTTCTACTCAACCAATACACGACTCGTGGACCTCAAAAGGACTGTATAGCCGTTTCCAGACTATACACGAAAGCCGATGAAGGGCGCAGCACACCGTTAACCGTTGACTTATTTTCGGACATTCGTAATGCATTGATGTCGCTCGGCATTCGTCTGCCCTGCATGTCGATCTCTTTTGCTATACATCAATACGTTCTCTCGTCGACCAAGCAATGATAACTGCCCTCGGTAGTCTCCTGGAATTCTCCAACGGTTCTCTATTTTCCTGCGAGTTAGCTGCCCAGGTTTTGTTGCGCCATCTCCAGCCCATGACTTCTGGGATCTTGATTTAATCTTACCAGGACCGAATCTCGCAATAGTATACTGTCGCAACGCAGCTTGCGTTTGACCTATGCGGTCTTGTTTATAGAGCTTTTCTGATTCCAAAATACTCCACGGATCATCACCTCGACTGCAGTTCCTAAACATGGAATTACTACTCATATTCTACAAGTCAAACAGCATTACAACAACACGTTCAAAGAAACACCCAGACTAACCCTACATGCAACCTAGAAAACTCAGACAAGCCCTGCGACACAGGCAGCCCCTCCAAGACATGAAACCCACATTCCCGCACTTCGACTACTCGACCGTCGACCCCCTCTGGCCCTCCAAAACCGGCCCTTATGCCTTTACGCGCACCGCAACCGTCGCACGCGGTCAATCCTGCCTCCGCGACCTGCACTCGCGCAAGGAAAAGGTCATTGCCGTGGTCTCGCATTCGGGCTTTTTGAGATGTGCAATCAGTCTTTGCAAGTATGCCAATGCTGATTATCGCATCTTCGATTTCAAGGATACAGAGAAAGGTGAGGATTTGGAGTTGGTCGAGTGGAAGGAGACGGAGGAGAATGGAGGTGGGTTGGGTGAGAGTGAAAAGGGCAGGGCGGTGATTGAGGACAACGACTTCCCTGAGGAACAGGCTGAGGAGGTCAAGAAGCAGTTGGGTGGAAAGACTGACGGTGAGGCTGCCAAAGAGATCCCTGAGAAGAAGTAGACATAGAACGAAGACGAGATAGAGTTACAGATACGATTAGAGTTGTGATTTGTCCCATGATGAACCTCCCCGGGATAAGTATGCAAAATCTCACACTATGACCCTCCCTGAAACTCCTATGCGCCTAACGATGCTGTCGCGGCCGTTCCTCCATTATTCACCCCCACTCTGTTATGCTGAACCGGAACTTCTCCATATGAAACACTAAATCCTCTACAACTCCATATCGTCATCGTATGAAGCAACATCGTGCGAGGCAAAGCTACGCTGTTGCTCAACTTGAGCATTCATGGCCTGCAGCTGCTCAAAGTTGCGTGCCTGTGCCCATGAAGCATGTGCATCCTCCATTTCCTTTGAGCGATCATGCTGCTCGACCTGTGAGCGCCACAGCCCGCCGGAACAAGAGGCATATACAGGCTCGCTGTGCGCCGAATGGGCATAGCCAGATTCCATGTAGGGCTCTGCCTGTGCTTCATCCACCTGATCACGCATACGCTCTTCATAACGTAACGCTGCCAGCTGCTCTTCGTGTGCCAGGCTCGTCTCTTGCTGCCAGTGGTGGGAAGACTGTGGNGGAGAGATGCGCCAGAGTTCAAGCAGGCGTAGTCGCTGTTCGTAGTCTGCGTTAGTGAAAAGCTTGACTTGCGAATTGCTCAGCGACGTAGGATCGATGTCGTGGTTGCGCAGCATCGACGCTAGATGGATGGGTGTGATGTTGTTGCTGTCGGATGGACTGCCACTCAGCGGAGAGTCGGCTCGTTGGGCTGCTGCTTGGTGTTGCTCTGACGCTGCTGAGACGTGCATGTAGCTCATGGGAGTGTAATGCTGTGAACTGTAGTAGATGGGCTGTGCGGTGTGGCCCAGGAATTGCTGGTCTGGTGTAGACTGGGGCAATTTTTGGTTCAGGCTCATGTTGTGGGCAAAGAGTCTGGCCAACTCGTCTTGTTGATATTGCGACATGGTGGTGATGTTGATGTAGTGTTTCTCCTGTTGCTGATACGTGCTCTGGGCCGAGTGTCAGTTGGCTGTCTCTGCTGAGAGAAGGCCTTCGTTTGACGTGTTCGACGAGATATGATTCAGGCAGAAGCGGAATGCACGGAAGGAGATGCGGAAGGTGCGTGAGAGACTCGAAAGGTGAGTGAGACAAAGACAAGACGTGAAATGGAGAAAGGAAAAGGTCGAGATTGCGGCGTGGGAAAAAACGGACTGGTATTGCTCCAACCTGATGTGTCTCTGCCCAACCGTGCTCCACCTAGGAGAAGGCTAATATGGAGTGGAAACAAGCGGTGTCCAAGGGGCGGCGGGGTAAATGAGCAATCCGACTATCAGGAGTATAGTCGCAGAGCGAACGGACACGGAAAGGGATGCTATCTACTATGGTCAAGTCGAAGAATACTGGCAGAGAAATGCAGTGTTATAGAGGAGATATGGTGGGAGAGGGCGGGGTTGGAAAAGTTGGTGGGCGGAAACGGCAGGAGCATCGTCATCAACAACGAGGCTTATCCATGTCACATGGCTTATTGTTGGACAAGAGCAGTGAGGGCAGAGGGCATCTGGCCTCTTGTGTCTGAGAAATATACTTGTATGAACTTAGTTTTTTGTCCAAGGGAGAAAAAGACCTATTGATTTGTATCTTGTCAGACTGCAGTAGGAGAAATGGTCGATCTTCATGGACGGGGAGGCTCAGGATGACAGGGTGACGGTAGTCGGCGCTTGGCGTGCGTCTTCCGCCGTGGATGGAGCTCGTTGATGGCGGACCGGGAGAGCTGCGTCGATGCATCACAGACTGAATAGCCAAACGCCAAACACCCAATCTTTGCATCTGCGCATCTGTGTCTTCCGTGTACCTTTCACTCACTCATCTGATTCAGCCTCTGTTGAATCTCTACCCCTTCTCTACTCTACCGAACCCACCTCGCCTTCCTCTTCACACCGTCATCAACCGCAACCATGGTCAGTTAACGCCGCTTCATGTTGGCGCATTACACCTCGTCGCTAACACCTATCTCAAGACTTCGATAGGAACGGGCTACGATCTTTCCAACTCGGTCTTCTCTCCCGATGGACGTAACTTCCAGGTGAGTCCATCAACTCTTATCCATTGCGAATCGCATCAACTGATTACCGATCTAGNNGTCGAATATGCCATGAAGGCAGTCGAGAACGGTGGCACTTGCGTTGGTATCAGATGTCGCGATGGTGTTGTTCTGGCTCTGGAAAAGCTCGTCACTTCTAAGCTGTTGAAGAAGGACGCAAACAAGAGGATAGCCACTGTCGATCGCAACATTGGTGTCGTATGTTCAGTCCGTATCTTACACTGACCACGCCCAGCTGACAATATAACTCCAGNNGTCTCTACTGGTCTCCTCCCTGATGGTCGCCACTTTGTCAGCCGTGCTCGCGATGAGGCATCGTCATGGCGTTCTCTCTACAAGCAACCTATTCCCGTCGCCTCCCTTGCCGACCGCATGGGCTCATACGTCCAAGCCTACACCCTCTACTCATCAGTTCGTCCTTTCGGTATTTCCGCCATCATCGGTGGTTGGGATTCCGAGCTCGAAGTGCCCGTCGACGCACAAGTCGGTTCAGGTCCATCGAGCGGCAGTGGCGGCAAGGTGCCCGACGCAAAGGAGGGCGGCCCATACCTCTACATGATCGAACCATCTGGATCGTACTGGGGATACTACGGTGCAGCTACTGGCAAGGGAAGACAAGCAGCCAAAGCGGAACTTGAGAAGCTGAAGCTCACCCCCGACCAGGGCGGCATCAGTCTGGAAGAGGGTGTCAAGGAGGCGGCAAGAATCATCTACGTGGCACACGAGGACAGCAAGGACAAGGAGTTCGAGCTGGAGATGACATGGATCAGCAAGGTTGACGGACCTACCAAGGGTAGACATGAAGAGGTGCCGAAGGAGATGCTCGAGGAGGCAGAGCGCCTGGCCAAGAAGGCACTTGAGGGCGATGACGATGAGATGGAGGAATAAACAATTACTCATGACATGTACGATATAGCACGCAGGGGCCTGGGATTCTGAATCAATGGATTACAAGCAGGCAATGCGTACACGGAAATGGCTATTTTACATTTTGAAGAAGACGAAATCGCACTAGTCTTTTTATACAATGGGGCCCTTGTCGAAACCGGTGTTGTCACCGAGTTTCTGTCTCTTTTCAACTCTGTTGTCGACAGCTCCCCAGTTGACGGATTTCCACCACTCGATCAGGTACTTTGCCTTTCCGTCGACGCCATATTGGGGCAGGTAGCAGTGCTCCCAAGTGCTGACACAGAGCGCAGGAGTGATGAGCTCAGTACCCGGAGGAAGCTTGGGTGTGTCTCTTCCACGAGCAGAGGTGGAACCGAAGGAGCCAGCTGAGCCATTGTATCCAGTTGCCGTGCTCTGGTCAACACCCTGTTGGCGGTAGATGGCTTCAGGGTATGGAGTGCCAGCATTGTAGGTGGTCATGATTCTGTATTCGGGCAGGGATGATGTGTTGCCAGCGGCCGAGGTGGAGCGCTGCTTTGCTTGGACCAGCCAGACGAAACCAGGACCAGTCATTGCGTTTGCGGTGGTCAGCATTGTCCTCCAGAGCGTATCGATGCTGCCGAACGACTTGATAAGGGCTTCTTTGAGGAGAGGGTAGTTGTCGAGGTGGTTGGTATCGAGGGAGGGCGACAGCGAATCGAAGAAGAAATGCGTGTTGTGGGCCATGCTGGCGGCGGAGAAGACGGCGGCCATGCTAGGGTTTCGAGCAAAGGAAAGGACAAGTTGCTTGGTGGTCGAGTTCTCGTGGTCGGAGCCTTCAGAGTGGACGAGTTAGAGCGGTGGACTATCATGTCGCGTGGGTCTAGGCATAGCAACCTTTNNTGTGGCTTTGTTCAATCGGTCGACGAGGAAGGCCATGTTCTGGTTGTATGCGATGTCGTACGACTCCTTGGTCATGAAACCGGCGACTCCATTTGATTCAAACTCTTCCTTGTAGATTAGGTTGGGCACCTCGTGGAGCGACCTCGATATTGAGGCATGGAATTGTCTCGCNCTGCGCAGAGCGTGGTAAGTGAGTGTATGTGGCATGGAACGAGGGAGGGACCTTACGCTGAGACGCGATACCACCGAAGGAGCCCATGCGCTTCTCGAGCGTGCTAACGTGTGTAGAACCATTGCTTCTTGCTGTATATGCCGACGGCGAGGGTCAAAAGTCTCAAGACCGCTGTATAATTCAAAGTCGCCGGACGGAGATTTCCGATTGCGGTCGCCGGTCGTTGCTACTGCTCAGAACTATGTCTGCAATGATTTGAACAGTGGAACAGACGATTCTTTATAGAGTTTGGATTCTATCAGAATACTCTCAATAGCAAAAGCTGCTTTTCTCGGGCACAATTGGTGCTGGAATCGAACAGGCAGGTCCGCAATGGTGGAAGTTGCAGCCGGGGCTGAGAAGGGCGCCGACCCGAGATGAACATGGTCATTCTACACGACCAGTACCAGACCAAGTACATTCTCCATTTCTTCACCAATTCTGCAACCATGCCGACCACTTGACTCTACCAATCCAGCATTATTCATCCGCTTCCAGCCTTCTACTCGTCGCATATACTCTCTTTCGCAGCTTAGAATCTTTTCAACAACCCCTTTCCGCTCCTGCACGTGGCCACCAACGACAAGATGGCTAGTACAGTCAGTAAGAGACAGCAGGCCCGCAACGAGCGCATGCTGCAGGATCTGTTGAAAGTCCCCGGAAACGACAGGTGTGCCGACTGCGCTGCGAGGAACNCCAGGTGAGCAAGCCTGAAGAAACACGGCACTTTCTGGAAACTGCGTGCTGACATTGTCCAAGCATGGTCGAGTTGGAGCGTGAGTTCTGGTCGCCTCCCTGTTCTGAGCCTTTCTGATAACATTCACAGCNTGGGAATCTTCCTCTGCATGAGCTGCGCCGCCATACATCGCAAAATGGGCACCCACATCTCAAAAGTCAAGTCGTTGAGCATGGATAGCTGGTCCCCCGACCAGGTCGACAACATGAAGCGCGTAGGAAATGTCGTCTCCAAGCGCACCTTCAACCCACAGAACGTCCGGCCCGACATTCCCACCGATGCTGACGAGGTCGGCGGTGTCATGGAACGCTTCATCCGCCAAAAGTACGAGCACAAAGCCTTTGTTGGCGCGAGACCTAGAAGTCACACGATCGGTGGCGCCAGTGTCAGTTCGACCGAAGGAGTTCCACCGCCTCTACCGCCAAAGCCTGGAAAGAAGTTCGGCTTCTCGCTCGGTGTCCGCTCATCGTCTGCCACTCAACAGAGATTCACACCTCCACTGTCGCCCGCCTTGACTGGTTCGGATGGTCGCTCGACGCCGCCGGTTGGAAAGATGAACAAGCCTTCGCGAGTGTTTGGATCTAATGTCGGAAACCAAGAGGAAGAAACATTTGACACAAAACTGGCTTCGCTGAGAGAGATGGGCTTCCCGGACACACGCCGCAACTCGATGGTTCTGAAGAATGTCAATGGAAACTTAGACAAGGCAGTTGAGACGCTTGTGCGCTTGGGCGATACTACTTCAGGAGCACAGGGTACCCTGACGCCCATGTCAGGCAGCACTAGCAGCTCCAACGCAAACGGCATCTACATCGAGAAACAGAGGGCCCAACCAGAAAAGGCCGCTTCTTCGACGAACCCCTTTGATGCGCTGGATCTACAGCCTCCACGCCGCGCCTTTACTCAACNNCCGCTCTCTCGACTGCAGCACCGCAACCTTCTTATAACCCCTTCCTCCAACCTCAAGCACAGCCCCAGGCTCAGCAGTCTCTTCAGAACTCTTTCTCGACCATGCAGATCTCCAATCANNACAACCTCAGCAGTACCAAAACAACCCATTCATGCCTCAGCAGATGCAGCAGCCCCTACAGGCCCCTACATATCCCCCTCAGGACACACAACAGTACCAACAGCCTCAGCCACAGTCTAACCCCTTTTGAGGAAAACTCAATCTCAAACATTCGCTCCCTCAAATCCATTTGGCATACAGTTATCAGCCGCCCCACAAAACCCATGGCTCGCACAGTCTCAAGTGCAGACACCACAAGCACAGTCGCCTGGTGCCTTTTACCAGCCTCAACAAGACTTCTTCTCGGCACAGCCACAACAATCTCAATATCAGCAACAACTACAGCAGCAGAATCCGTATCAACAACCTCAGCAGCTGGCTCCTCAACACACCTCTAACCCCTACGCAAACATGGCACCTCAGCCGAACTCCAATCCTTTCCAGTTACCTCAATCCAGTCAGCCGGAACCTTACCAATCCTACCAGTCCGCTCAACAGCAGATGCCTCAGCAACAGCAACAACAACTATACCCACAACCTACCGGCCGCTATGGCAAGACAGACATTATGGCACTCTACAACCAACCCCAATTGGCACCATCAAGACCCCTTGAATCACTCCCTGAGAACGGCATGGCACCTGCAGTCATGCCCCAGCAACAACAGCAACAGATCCAAGTACCATATCAAATGCAGCAGCCTCCGCAAAGAAGTGTCACTATGCCAGTGGGAAGTGGCAGCATGAATCCCTTCGGCACCGGTTTCTCCGCACCTCAACAAGATCAGCAAGCTAGACCTGGCGCCAGACATGTCAGTCAGGAAAGCAGAGACTTTGTGGGCATGGGCAATAGGCCACATAGTCCTGATGCATTTGCGAGTTTGAGTGCGAGGTACGCTCGTTGATCTTGCCCTCTTGTCTTTTGAAAATATACCCATTGTTTTGTTCTTCGATTGGGTTGGTTCGTACTTCCCTTGTTGTTTTCTTCTTTCATGTGGGCCGCTTCTCTTTAGCATCTTGCCGTCCTTCTCGAGGCCCGTTCGACCTTTTTTTTCTCTCTCTAGGGTTGCGGGTTTTGTCTTGTCATAGCCACGACTCCCTTTCCTGTACATATATTTGCTTCTTTCTTCTTCTTCTTCTTCTTCTTCTTCTTGCATCCAGGGAACGAAGACAAGACATTGGTCTTCTTGGACAAGCCCGCTCCCATGTTTTCCGTTCTCTCTATGTGTGTGCATTGTGGTTCGAGTGAGCTTTGGGAATAGATGCTTTGCACTGAGACTTGTCGAATGTGTCTGCGTCTTTCTAAGCTCATTCGTTTCCAAATCCACGAGCTTGTCTTCAACCCGGTAATACTTGCTAGTATGTCTTCGCTCATCCCAAGGGTATCTCTGTAGTAGACGTTTAACAAGGCATCTTGGTTGCGAGCTTGCCCGATAGCAGGGTCACCCCGCTATACTACTTTGACGTGATAGATTGAGTCTTGGATTCAGAGTTGCGATCGAAGAGAGTCGTTGACACAATGGCTCTCGGTCACCACAGTCTTGTTCCTCCAAAGTGTTCATATTGAACTCCCGTGTGACAGACTTTGGTGTAACGGGAAGACGGACCAATATGAATACCCAAAGAGGAAGGTGCGGGGCCCTCGAAGCCTAGCGCAGTCACGGTGTATATATATCCACTTCACCTTGATGTTTGACACATCGTCTACTTCTCCTCAAACGAGACCTTCAGAATGACCGTCAGAGCCCAAAAATTCACACCAGAGGTGTTGCTCTCGGCACCACGCCGATCAGCAGGCGTACCTAATGCTGACGGCACTTTGGTTCTCTACACCACGAGCACGTACTCCTTCGAATCTCATACCAAGACTGTCGAGTTGAGAAGCCTGGATACCAAGTCTAACGAGAGCACTCTCCTGGTCCAAGAGAACACCATTAGCGAACCTGTCTGGTTGCCCGGCGACAAGGATGTCTTTGCCTGCCTCAAGGGCGAGGACAAGGGCAAGACTTCTATCCTCATTGCAACAACCAAATCTACCTCTGACTGGAAAGATTCGACGTACACCGCTGGATCAATCGATGCTCCTGCAAGCAGCCTGAAGATCACGCAACTTTCTGACTCTTCTTACGCGGTTGTTCTGGCCGCCCAATGCTTTCCAGACGGATCTTTGTACAACAGTGAAACAGCTCCCAAAACTCACTCGACTGGAAAGCTGTACAAGAACTTGTTCGTGAGGCATTGGGACGACTATGTTACTCCACAGAAGAACACCTTGTGGTACGCTACTCTGACCAAGGCCAAGGATGGCAAGTTCGAGTTGAGCAAGTGGGTCAACGCCCTCAAGGGAGCCGCTGGTCTTGAGAGTCCTGTTCCACCCTTTGGAGGTGCGGACAGTTTCGATGTCAGCAAATCTGGTATCGTGTTTGTCTCCAAAGACCCCAAGGCCAGTCCTGCTTTGAGTACCAAGTGCAATGTGTACTATATCGAGCTTCACACATTTGCTGAGGATCCTGCCCCCAAGCCTTTCGAATACAAGATTCACAACTTCGAAGGCGCTAGTACCTCACCTGTCTTCTCTCCGGATGGCAAGAAAGCGGTCTTCTTGAGCTTGTCTACTGCTGGATACGAGAGCGACAAGTCTCAGATCTTCTTGATTGAAGATTTGAAGAAGGGTTCGGCCAAGCGTATATTTGACCAAACGAAGGAGGGAAATCTAGACAAGAGCCCACAAGTATGTTGTCCCGATATGTTTAATGCACTTTAAGCTGATCTAGTAAGANACCTCGTCTTTAGCCACGACGGCAAGACTTTGTACTTCTCTGCCGAAGACGAAGGATACGGCCGCCTCTTTGCCTTGACATCAGTAGGTTCTGACGTCAAGGTATTGCGCCCACTTACAAAAACCGGTTCTGTCTCGGATGTGCGACCCCTGGAGTCAGGAGATGTATTCTACACCAGCAGCTCTCTCGTCGACTACTCTTCGTACAGCATTATCGGAAGCTCGGAAGCCGAGGCACAAAATGCGAAATGGACACACTCGTCATCCAAGGGTGGTTCTTCTCTGGGTCTGAAGGCCTCTCAGGTCTCTTCGATTCATACACCTGCTTCAGACCCGACGGTGAACAAGACTGTACATTCTTGGGTATACAAGCCATCCAACTTTGAGGAAGGCAAGAAGTACCCACTTGCTCTCCTGATTCATGGTGGACCTCAAGGATCCTGGGGAGACTCGTGGAGTACAAGATGGAACCCTGCTGTCTATGCAGAGCAAGGCNTGTAGGTTACTTTTGACGATTGCACAGTCCGACTCGACTGACTCTTTCCAGATGTGGTTGTCACACCAAACATTACTGGTTCGACAGGTTATGGCCAGGCTTTTACAGATGCCATCAGAAAGGATTGGGGCGGTGCACCTTACAACGACCTTGTCAATGTCATGGACTGGATCGAGAAGAAGATGCCTGAAGTCGACATGACAAGAGCAGTGGCTCTCGGTGCGAGCTATGGTGGATACATGGTCAACTGGCTCAACGGTCACGATCTGGGGCGCAGATTCAAAGCACTCGTCTGCCACGACGGCATTTTCTCGTTTGCTGGTGGTCTGCTTGCCACGGAGGAGCTTTACTTTCCTNTGTACGTCTCGAGTAATGTGTCAATCAGTCTCACATGGGCAACATGCTAACTGTCTCCTTCAGTCCACGACCTGGGTGGTACACCTTGGTACTCTCCCNCCAAGAACCAAACCACTGATGACGCCAAAGAAACATTTGGACAGACTTCACTTGATGCCTGGATCAAGAATGACCCAAGCCGCTACCTCGACCACTGGCAAACACCTCAACTGGTTATCCACAACGAAAAAGACTATCGTCTGTGCATCTCTGAAGGACTTGCAGCTTTCAATGTTCTCCAAGCCCGTGGCATTGATAGCCAGTTCCTCACATTCCCTGTAAGTAGAAAGGATGTTAGGCGCATATCTTGGTATGTTCACTAACAGTTGTTTTTCTAGGATGAAAATCACTGGGTCCTCAAGCCAGAGAATAGCTTGGTGTGGCACAAGGTTGTGCTGAACTGGATCAACAAGTATGCCGGTCTCCCTGCGTACTGTGAGGATGATGAAGAGAGTGAGAGTTTCTTTGGTGGAGTGAAGGAGAACAAGGAAGAGCTCGTCGAGATGGCTGGTATGGGCAAGCCCGAGACTTGATGCTTTAGTACTATTGTTATGTAAGGGAACTTGATTAACCGCATTCAAAAGTCTTGTTTCTCCTTTGTGTGGGTGAGGATGGGAAGCAGCGATCTATGGCTCTTACTCAAGCAGCGTAACTCCACCTTTGTTCGAGACCGTCGGAGTATGCTCTGCTGTACAACACAAAATGCCCTCAGGAGCCTTGTCATGAAGCCGAGTACTGGAATTGTATTGTCATGTCTAGGTCCATGTGTGGAATAGGCATTCTTTTGCAGTGAGCCAGCTCACGCAAGCAATCGAGACCAGTTTCCGGCATACAGACATTAGATATGGCAACAGAAGACTACGATCAAAAGCTAATCTTCCAACGGATCGCCATCTTCAGGCAAAGCCGCAATGACATCGTCAACCATGGAGAGCAACTCATCAACATCCGGTCTCTCGGCCGGCTCAACCCTCAAACACCTCCTAACCACATCCTTGATCATCTCGGTAATGGGCGCGTCCTTGACAGCCGCAGCATCGGCATTCGTCGGCATCTTTTGCTTTCCCCTACTCTTGTTCGCTTGCGCATTGTGCTCGTCCGGAAACCTCCAGTCGCCGCCCAAAACACACAGACTCAAACTTCCTCCTGTTTCTTCGCTGCGGGCTTCAAAGGGCGATTTGCCGACCAGACAGGCGTATAGTGTGCAGCCCAGACTCCAGATGTCTACTTTTGTGTCGATGACCGAGTCGGTTTTGACGTCGAAGAGTTCGGGGGCGCGGTAGGGCATTGTGCTGTGTTCGGCGGCTGTGTCTTGGACTTGGAGGGCGAGGGCGCGTGAGGTGATGGGGGTGGGTGAAGGGGCTAGTGAGCCAAGGTCCATGAGGATGGGTGATTGTCCGTCGTCGGAAATCATAATGTTGCCNTGTGGTGGGAGGTAATTAGTCTTTTGGGTGTTTGCGGTATGTTGGAGATTGTGCTGCTTACCGGGCTTGATGTCGCGATGTGCGTATGCTCTGGTCTGGCCGTCGGACATGCCTTCTTGTGCCATGGTGATCTCGCCTTCCATCAATGGCTCGGCATCCCCTAGCTCGTCGTCGTCGTCTCGGTCATGGTCTTCTCCTCTGTCGGCTCTTGCAGCATCGGCTCGTACCCGCTTGGCTCTTGCCTGTGCACCTTTACCACCCGGAGCACGGCCAACCTTGTAGTTGTGCATTGCCTGTAATGCCTCACAGACACCGCGGAACAGCACCATCAGCCTGCGCTCAGGAAACTTTGCGCCATTGACGAGGTTGGCATTGATAGCGTCTTGCAGGTTGCCGCGACGGTAGTAGGGAAGAAGAATATAGACCGTCTTTGCGGACGGGTCGCTGCGATCCGGGATGACGGCATGGTCGAGGGCGTGGATGATGTTGGGATGCGGCTGGAACAAGCTGTATGCTTCGACCTCTTTGAGCGCCAGAGCCACCGACTCTGCTCCAAACGGACATCGGATCTTCTTCAAGGCGTATAGGTTTGGCGACGGCGGTGACTGGACCAGGTAGACGTATGAGAAGCCGCCCTCTCCCAAAAGTCGGAGGATCTTGTATGAGCGGCCATTGATCTTGAGGGCGGGATTGCTCGGAAAGCAGTTGAAGCAGTTGGTGAGCTGCCACATCAAATCCAATACGTATGAAGACATTGTCGCCGACATGTTGGAATTACAGAGAGGCACAGGCTGGTCAGAGGTTGGTATAAGTGTCTTGTGTTAACACGACAACCTCCAGGACCCTGCGGCTCGGTTGACATGACGATCCGCCAAGACTTGTAGTATGCGACGGCTATACTCGAGCGACGGCAGCGTCGGCCCAGATGGTTGAGAATCCAATCTACAGCTCCTAGTGCCTGTCTAGTCTATCTCTAAACCCTTCCTCTTCGTCTCCATCGCCGTGTCGGAACACCTTGTCCAGATCCTGCGCGTCGTCTGCATCATCGTCGAAGTCATCGCGGTAATCTTGGTCGCTTCGCAGACTGATACCATCATCACCACGAATCGCCTCGGTAGCTTCCCTCTCCATAGCATCGTCCGAGTACTCGTATCTGCCCTCCTCTTCGAAGTCGTCTCCATCTGGTGCTTCCCCGCGAATAGCAGCCTCGCGCTCCTCGGCCTCCAGCTCTTGGGCTCTAGCCTTGGTTTTGGTGTACATGATCCATCCTGTAGCCAGACCGGCAGTCAACCCAATTGCTATGCTGAGATAACTGATGGCCTTTGTCTTGGCGTCCATCTTGTCTCCGCTGTCGGCAATGCGTCCGAGCTGGCTGCCAACGAACACATGTAGAAGCAGCTTGGGACTTGCCGCTGCTGTCGCTGCCATGAACTGTGGCCACTGTACTGTAGGAATTGTAGAAATGGCTCCATTCGAGAGCGAATATGGTAGTGGGCACAGTCTGATCATCATCAGAAGCTTGATGCCATCGTGTTTCAGAGTCAAGGCGAGTGCTGCGAAGCGCTTGTCGTTCTCCGTAAGTCTGGTCACGTATGACTTCAATAGTGTGCGTGATGCGAGGAACGAGGCCGTGCTGCCGATGATTGTGCCGGATGCTACGATGAGCCATCTGCCATACAGTTAGTCGCTGAGCACACATGGAGGACTCGTATGACAACTGACCCCNTTGGGCACACCATAGACGAAGCCAGCCAATGTCACACAGGTAGAATAGCCGATCAGAGGTGGAAAGCTGACCAAAAAGGTCGCGGCCCACAGGATCATCCAGCCGCCAGTGATGTTCCTCCAGCGCTTAGCCACGGGCGACATGGCATGGAATATCCTCTCATTGTATACAAGGAATAGAATGCCGAGCACCAGCGTTACGACGCCTGCGATCACCAACAGTATGCGTTTCGCAGGGCTGAGGCCGAACAATGTCTTTGCAGCATTGCGTTGTATTTTGGCCGCCTGAGCGAGGATGCCGCCTGACTTGGTGCGGCGATTTGATCGTGGCACCGACGTTGACCTTCGAGAAAATACGGGCGAGTTGGATTGAGAGCGACGGTCTTGCTCATCTATAGGCAGCGCCAGAGCGCGGGCGGTCGAATTGTAGTCGGTCATGTCTGGGTAAAGTGAAGGAGGCTATGACTTCATACGGCAGGTCGCGGTTGCAGCTGGCGAGTTGGAGCAAAGAGACCAACGCTGTCGGACGATTGTCGTTCTGTATAGAGAGAGGCGGCTCTGTGCTGAAAAATAGTCAAGATATGATGTTAGGAAACAAGAGGAAAGGTACAATGCTGGAGCGGAGCCATGCGGCAGCTGCTCAGCTCGTGCATGATGCATTGCCTTATCATATCTCCGCTGAAATCTCCGTCCGAGGCTCTACCTTTGGCCAACTCTATATTTGGGATAGCCTCAAACACTCGCGCCTTCATCCATGTCAACAGACTACAAAAGAACATGCTTCGACCACAAAGTCAATAATGAGTGTGTGCTCGCATTACCATGAGAGACAGACTAACAGAATAGACATTAGCCCTCAATCCGAGGTCCAAAAACGCCAATCCCATCTGCTGCGGCAAACCCATTTGCTCACAGACAGTCCACCTATGCCTAACACCCCGATCCATACATGTGCAAGTCCCAATGCCGGCAGAAAACTATGTACAGTCAAGCCAAAATGATGCGTCGCTGGGACGAAGAAGAGGACGAACACAGGAAATACTGCATCTGATGCCAAGTACAAATGAGATGTGCAGCCTGAGAAAGACACGCTACGATGCCGCCGCCGCTTTCTTACGACCAAACAGCGTCCTGGATCGACCGCGTGATTTCTTTACGGGCTCTGGAGTCTCTTCCCGAGGAGGTGGATCTGGCATATATTTGGGCTTGTAAATNCCTGTCGACTTGTCAGTGTCATACACGCTTCACCATACGCTGAGACAAACATACCAACTGTTGCCCGCCATACTCATACCCTTGTCCGCAGCCTGGCGGTAGAACTCCGCTGCCTTCTTCAAGTCTTTCCTGCACCCAACTCCTTGGGTGTAACAGAACCCCGCTTCAGCAAGAGCGTCCGTATCGCCCCAGCTTCCAGCAATCTCGAAACATCTGACTGCAAGTGACTTGTCCTTTGGGATGCCCCACCCGTTCATGTATGACATGCCAAGCTCATAGATGGCAAGTGCGAACTGGGCTTTGCGTGCTTTTTGTTCCTTCGATACTGCTTGTGAGCCGTCGTTACTACTGTCTTCGATAAACTCCACTCCAGCGGAATCGACTGCGCGTCTCAGCCATGATACACCCTCGGCTTGGTTGGGACGCATGCCCCATCCGTGTCGACATGCGAGAGCATACAGCAGCATTGCTGTGGGGAGTCCAGCTTTGGCGGCCAAGCGAAGATGATATGTGGATTTGCTGAGAGAGCCTGAAGAGTGGCATTCAATGCCTTTTTCGAGATGTTGTTCTGGTGATAGACCAGCTATGTCAGTGGAAGGGCTGTTTCGAATATGCGATCCTGCCCTGATTGTACGATTTGTGCTTTCGGATGCAATTGATGGGGTTTGAGGTGTGGTCTTTTTAGTCAGCCGGCTAGGTGAAGGAGCCGGATACTCGGCCGATCTATCCCGGGTTGACCCCGATGCTGGACTCTGCCCGCGCGGTGTACCAGGTTCGGGGCTGAGCATAGGGTTATCAAGATTCGGGCTTGGTAGAGGACTCTCGGCTATCTTGGGCTCCAATCCAGTAGGCTGCTGTTCCCATTTGATCTGGTGCTGGGCCCATGAAGATCTTGCTTCCACAGAATCTCTGTCGAGCATACGGCCACGGGGCAGTGAGTACTTGGAGTATACGTACGAGGGCGCACCCGGTCCCGGTCGTACAATTGGAGTCTCCTCACCACTAAAACAGTCTCTGTCCGACAAAGCACCAGAAATGTCTGTTGCGCTGTCCGAGTTTTGACGACCGACTGGAGTCCTAACACGCATAGTTTGCGTCGAGTTGGCACTTCTGGCGGGTTGTGACATTGTCGAGTCATTAGATGGCTGCCGTTCGATAGCACGCCGGGTATCGACCGTCAAATTGATTTCGGCACCTGGCCTAGCGAGCGAGTCGCCTCGCGGTCTGGAAAAGTTGAAGGATGGGCGAGGCAAGTCTGAAGATACAGAGTACTCGGACAAATTTGAAGGAGAACGAGAGACGGGCAGCATTTCCGGGCTGAATGGAGTACGTGCCTTCCTGGATGGGCCAACCTCAAGTGATCCAGATGGACTGCCGTTGTCCTCTTCGGCACTGTCGATGACCGACCTAATACTAGCGATACTACGCGCTGATCTTGGATGTACGGGCGACCGAGGAGGTGCCAGATTGTTGTCTTGTCTTCTCGAAGATTCGTTGGTCAATGTCCGTGGTTGCGAGGATTGGATCGAGTCGATACTGCTGGTGAGACTAGGCAAGGCGGGAGAGGCTTCGTCGGTTTTGATATTCCTGGAATCAAATGGCTCTGGCGATGAAGAGCGCGGCACCTTTATGCCAAAATAGCCCTTCTCTTCGTGCTCAGTATCCGCTTCCTTGATAGGTTCTGGTACGCTAGGCACATCTTGATCGTCTCGGACGACATTTCCTAGCATGGGGTAATGCGACACAGGGCGGTAAACAGCACCATTGGGTGTTTGCGCTTGCAGGCGGGGTCGCCATTGATTCTCCTCTTCCTCATCATCGTCCTCCTCTTGGTCTTCGTCGTACAGACTTTCAATGCCGCTCGAGACAGATCTGAAATATCCGGGTCGTTTTGCGAGTTCATCGGCGATGTCCTGGTGTGGCAGCCTGCTCATGCGTCGTCCAGCCTTGGAACTCTCCTCCAACTTCCTCGCGAGGGCGCGTGAGTGTAAGGCGAAAGCATCGAGTGGGGAGAGAGCAGGCGGTATTTCACCGGCTCGAGGCGACGGCAGGTCCATGTGGAAGTTTGGGCGAGTACGACTAGGGNNGAGGCGGTCGTGGCCTCGAGCGGCGTTCAAATCGAGGTTTTGAGGTCGCTTAGCCATGGTTGATAGGGAATGAGTGGGGTTCCAGATTAATTGCCTTTCCAGAAAGTGTTAATTGGTCGCCCTATAGAGCAGTCGGCAATGTGTTGATCTCCTGCAAGGGAGGGTGTCGCCAGCGGCCAGTGCAGGTGCGTAGGAGGTATCAATGCTTGTCAAAATAGAGGGATCAATGCAGACCAGGGCGCTGGCCAATTCGCATTCGTGGTTCTGTTGTATAAAAGGAGTGGATTGGTAAAGTAGGATTGCGAGATCAAGATTGGATCGCCGGCGGGCCAAGAACGTGGCGATGAGACGCTATCAAGGTAGCCGCGTGGAAGCAAGTTAAAGGAGCGTGTTCAGCGGACGAGCACCACAGCACAGTGTGTCGTGTCGAGGTTAGCAGAATGTGAAGAGATGTAAAACAGCACAGAACGGCAGCAGAAGCCAGACGACGGCTGTGNAATACGATGCGTTGATTGGGCTAGTCAAATCTACCAAGACCACGAACATGGNNTCGTCCCCCGTGACTGCTACTGCAATAGACATGTGGATCTCGTGCAGCGCCGCCATATGGTTTGTACGGGACCCTTGAAAACGGTCTTCTTTTGCCGTGCTCCATCCCTCTATCCGTTTGTGCAATGTCTGTTTCGGTTGCGTTGCCCGCATAGCAACAATCACCGCTTCGACTTCTTCCACTACTCCCCGATCATATTCTTACGTCAATTCGAAGGCTAAGCGANCTGACCTCGTTTGCACTGGCTGCCCTGTCGGGATGTCTGTTGTTTGATGTGCTTTTGACGCCCTTGAACAGTGGCTTGGATGTCTGGGGCCTCGGCTTTTCAACCCCACTTTTGTTTTGGCTTAACAAGAGTTCGCACGCGCAGTCGCAACCTCGCAATATCTGTGCCCCCTGAGCTGGGAGACCTGGTTAGGGATCTGCGAACCTGGGAATTCAGCATACAATCAACATCGGATCGTTCACCACTTCTACCATCATCTAACAACAGGTACTACCGTTGCAACGTCTTCCGCCGGACGGATTGCTGAGCGTCCCAGCGTCTTGACCCGCTTTCTAATCTTGGTCGTGAGTAAAGTATATCATTATTAGCTTGCTGCCGATTACTACAATAGGTCTTCATCGCAGCTACAGGCTAGAACTCAGCCGACAAAGCACCCTCTGTTGCTTCTCCAGCCGAGCATATTCATCGACGTGTACATGGAACAGGGCCCTATTGTATCAAATCTTCTCCCATGTAATCGATCGGTCGCTTGACGAGTCTTCGAGTTCAGGAGTTTGCTGATCCTCGTTTCTCGGTGCATGCTGCAATCCCATCATCCAACCTACAACTCCACTGGGAACCCACGATCCGATCCAGTCATAGATCAGGCTACCCCTGCCAACGTGCCATGTACGACTAGGGTTGCTGCTGTGCAACGCATCAAACATGGCCTCGTGGAGTTTGCGTATCGATGTACCCGGCATGCCCCTGGCCTTCTTATTCTCATCTCTTTTCTGTTTGCTCCCGGCGATCTCGATGTTTCCGAGCTTGAAGTGACAAGCATGTAATCCTTGAAGGCTGAGTTCTGACGACAAGGATGCAGCGAATGCGCCCAGTGCAGAGGATACGGTGCTTTCGATTGCACGATAAGGCGGTCGCAATGACGAAACAACGTTTGGTGTCAGAAGGAGTATTTTGCTCTTGAACTCGGTCACGAGTGGAAGCATATGTTGTGCGACGGTGATGGTGTGCAAGATTTTTGCGTTCAGAGCGGTTGACCAAGCTTCTGGTGAGAGCTGTGAGATAGATCCCACGGCGACGGATGAGATATCTGGAACGAGAATGACGCCTGCTAATGTTAGGCGATGAGCAGAAGCTCCATCAAAAGCATGATGATGGCGGGCCAGGAAATGATGAAATCTTTGCATTTGTCCTTCGGCCTTGTCGGGCTACTCATAGTCAGTCATGGTGTGCCGTTTCAATCACCAAAGAGCACTCACGTGGATGAGATCAAGGTCAAAGGGGAGCACATCTGGACGCAACTGCTTGCGGAGGTGTTCTTCATCTTCTCTGGTGCTCGTGATGACATAGACGATAAAGCCACGACGCTCCAAGTCCATGGCGATGGCAGTACTGAGTGGTGAAGTCGGAGAGCCAGCAAGGACGACAACCTCTGTCCTTGCACCATTGTTCGACTTCCTAGCTCTTCTCTTTTTTACATGTGTCGACCTCTGTATGAAGACCAGAACAGCACCTGTACCAACAAAGGCGAGGATGCCAGCACTCAGAGCAGTGTTGCGCGACACCCATCGGTTGACTTGATTCCAATATGTGGCAGGAATCAGTGTGCGAGATGGCGGTGGTGGCGGAGGACGAGGTCGCATCTGCTCGGGTAGCCAGTCTCGTAGTTGGGTCGCAACATTTTCGAAGTGTCTCTCTACGCCGCCAGCAAAGTCATTGTACTGCTGCCGTGCCGAGTCGATGAAAAACTGGGCATCGGTCATGTCTGGCAGCTTGGTCGTTGTGTCTGATGAGTGGTGAAGATGCAGGCAGGTCTCGCGACCAGCCGCCAGCTTCCTCGAGCCTTCTCGAAAAACACCGTCATGGTTTCCCTGTGATGCGGGGTCTCAAGCAGGGAAGCTGTGCCGAGCGAGCGCTTGTTTCATTCTCGTGCTTGGGCCTGATTTCCATGCCTCCCTCGTCCACTTCATTGACTCTGCGATGGCCAGCGCTTCTGAGCAGCCTGCTGGCTTGTAATTACAACTATAGAGTGTGGGTTTGACGCAAGACATGAGTCGACACGCAACGCCTCGTCGTGGTCGTCTTGGCGCCTTCCATCCAGAGCCGTGTGTGTTGCAGCCTCGCCACTGCTGACGAAGTCGTTTGTTGTCTTTGACTGCAAAATACCAATCTTGCCTTGTTATGAAGTGACCTTGACACGAATCGCAGCCTCCACTCCACGTAATGGAAGTGAAAGCGTGCTCACCAGCTCACAGCACCTTCTGCGAGCGCCGCTGATCTTGCTGTAAACGCAGTCTTGCAGCGTCCACGACTTGACTATTACCAGTCTATCGCTGCGTTGGGACGACACCTTCCTCAGCTTCCTCAGGCCCTCGTACCAGAACAATCATGTTCCCGCACGGCAACAATATCAGGGTTGGTGGTCCGTCGAATCATCAAAAATCGTACCCGTCGTCGTTTCAGGAACACGATGCGCTCTTTGGTTCGTACGAGCACCTTCAAGACTGTCCCCAACCCGAAGATGCCCTTCTCCGGCTGCGAAAGATAGCCTCTCTCGTCAAGCCTCTGATGAGAAAGCGCTCCTGGAAGGTCAAAGTTCTAAGCGAATTTCTACCTGACGATGGGCGTCTGCTGGGTTTAAATATCAACAAAACGCACAAGATCTGTGTACGTCTACGATACACGCACAATCCCAGCGCCTTCCTTCCGATCGAACAATGCGTCGACACGCTTCTGCACGAGCTCTCACATATCGTCTTTGGTGACCACGATTCCAACTTCCACGCTCTCTGGGACGAATTGAGAGACGATCACGAAACACTCCTACTCAGAGGCTATACCGGCGAGGGCTTTTTGACTGGTGGCAAGAAGCTCGGCGGTGGTCCCGTGCCTCCACAGCATGAGATGAGGCGTCTAGCGCGTGCTAATGCAGAGCAGCGTCGTGTGCTACAAAAGGGTTCTGGCAGGACGGTCGGAGGAAAGCGAGTACCCCCAGGGGCAGATCTTCGCAAGGTCCTGGCAGATGCAGCAGACCGCAGAGCAACCGTTGATCGCGGATGTGCATCTGGCACTGCTCAGGCCAACAATCTGGCAGAACAGGCTGGCAGACACACCTTCAAAACCAAGGCAGAAGAAGACGATGCCAACAATCGCGCTATCGCAGAGGCATTGTTCGATCTCATCGAGGAAGAAGAAGCTCAGAAAATGAAAGGCACTTTCAGTACACCTTCACCAAGCGGTGGTCTGACATGGTCCAAAGAACATGGACTCGCTACAACAGGACCCAGCACGTCTGATTTTGATTTGCCCAGGAGCGAGGAAGAACAGATGAGGTGGGCACTGCAGGAGAGTCTGAAAGATGGCCACTCTCGAAAGCGCCCTCTATCCATGGACGATGACCTTCAGATCCTTACCAAGCCACCACTTCCGCCCAAACCACCACTTGGTTCAGACTTCAGAAATGACACGCCAGTCATCGATTTGACCGAGGACGACGATGACGAAGTTCACGCCGAAATCCCAGACGCCCATCAACGAGCTGACCCTGGCAGCTGGGCATGTCAAGTGTGTACTTGCATCAACTCACAAGCGCATCTAGCTTGCGATGCTTGTGGAGTGGAGCGTCCAGCATTCATGACCCCAAACGTTAAACCTAGCACTGCTGGCCGCAGAAACGATACACGTCCTACGCCAGCATACCCAGAGAATAAGCAGGCCAAGAAAGAATCACAGGGATGGAACTGTAGAGAGTGTGGCACCTTTGTGGAGCATATGTGGTGGTGTTGCACCCTTTGCGGTCTAATGAAGGATCGCTCGTGAAGGACGATGAGGCGAAGAAGCAGAAATGAAACATGGTGTGTCGCTCGTGACGATTGAATTCAACGGCTCCGCCACATCCTTGACGGCGCTGCATTATTTTCCTTCTGCGTCGATAACAGACAGGTATTGCTCTACGCCCCCATGAAATTATGTAGCAGTCTTATACGCGAGTTTTGCGCATTGGGCGGTTGCTGCAGCGTGATGAGCAGAGTTCGCAGATGACTTTGCCTGCCCGCAGCCCATCCGCGCTCGGCCCATCATCGCGCTGCTGCTCTACCGGTAGTCTAGCTATATACCAACCCAAACATGTGTTTCAGTTCCCAGAGTATTTTCGTAGGGATCTGGTGACCAGCAAAACGTGGTCGTGACTCAAGTCCAAAAGAAAAGGCGTCCAGACCAGGCGTTACTCTATTTACGTTAATGTAATAGAGTGGTTGCTTTGCCGCTCGTTGATCGCTTAACGACCGATAATCGTTCATCCAATCTCTTCGGGATTCGGACTTTTTTCTCACCTACTCAACAAACATTCCCCGACCGGTGAAAGCATTCCTCCCTTCTCCTTGCTTGCAAGACTTCGATATACATTATCTGGGCTGGAGATTCCGGAGCTGCGGGTACACAATGTTCGACCGATGGGTTCGTGAGCCCTACCGCCTCGCCACGACCGAGGACTATACTTCGCGCTTCGCAACCTCATGGTTCCTCTCCCCTCTACAACTGGCCGTATGGCGTGGCATTGTCGCTTTATATGCCTTTGTTGTCATTTTCATCAATCTAGGCCATGAAGGGAGCGTACAAGCAGGCCGATCATTTAGTTACTTTACTGTGCTCGGATATTGGGGGCTCGCTTTCTACTACGCTGTATCGTGCGCCCATTCAGCAAGTTTCTGGTTCTACGGCGAGTCTTGGTTGCAGAAATGGCCGGGTTCCCTTCAATGGCTGCATTCGTTGTTCTATGCCACTGTCACAGTGTTTCCTTTCGTCGTCACTGGTAGGCGTTCAATTAGATCGTTATGGCCGACGTAATGCTAATACAACCATGATANNGCCGTCTTTTGGGGTGCTCTTTCTAACGGAGCTTTCGCTAACGAGTGGACGACGTGGTCGAACATTAGCCAGCATGCACTCAACTCTGTCATGGCATTTGGCGAGATTGTGATTCCGCGCACGCTGCCGCATCCTTGGATCAACATTGTGCCACTCGTCATTCTGCTAGCACTTTACCTTGGCCTCGCCTATCTAACTTATTCTACTCAACACTTCTATGTGTATCCCTTTTTGGATCCGTGAGTATATCCAGTGTTGATGATGAAAATATTCCGCTTGCTTACTGGTGTAACAGAANGAAATGGGAAGGGTCTGATCGCTGGAGCTTGTATCGGCATCCTGGCTGCCGCAATCGTCGTCTTCACTATCGTCCATTTCTTGATCAAGCTGCGCGAGTGGATCACCGAGACCAGACTTGGGCTCTACGGAAACTTGTCTACCCGTAATGGCAGATTGATCAAGACCCAGACCCACGAGACTGTCGAATTGAACAATATCAGAACCAAGGATTCCGCAGTCTAGGGGCAATCTCTTCTCTCTACTTCCTCATCTATTCTCCGCACAGATACCCCTCCCGACACATGTGTTTGGTCAAGCGCACTCTTTTCATGGCAAGGGCAGAAATAAGCGGCAACGCATTATGATTAATATACCGTAACTAATAGCGAGCTTCCATCGTAACATCATCAACAGAAAGGCATCATGCATACCTTCCTTATAGTGCCATAGGTTTGTAGAAAACTCTGACGGCAACTTTCGAAGCATCTTCTGGGTGCTTACGTGGTCACTTCAAATCTGGTCGCCCTTGCTCTGGCCGGTTTCCTCGTCCAAAGCAGTCATGCCATACGATTGCTTCGACTCTCTCTTTGACAGCTTTCGCCTGTGACGGATAACACATGTGTAGATCAGAGTTCCGTAGAAGAATGCNTCTGTCATCTCATCAGTATTCTTGCACTCATCTCAACACAGAATCGCTTACGTGGCAATGATCGTGCCAACCCAGTCCAACAATGACTTGTATCCGCCATAGATGATTGCAAAAAGCCCAAGCATCTCGATGATGAAGGCGATCGAAGAAAAGACGCTCAGGATGATTTGTGTTGTGAGCATTGTTTTGGCAGGCAAGTTCTTCTTGTGGAACCTGACAATCTCAAAGATTATTATGAATAGAGCGATGAACCATAGTATGATGAGGATGACTGCTGAGATGTATGCGAATGTCGCACGACTCCGACTGTTTTGTACCGATGGTAAGCGTGGTTTGATTGCGAGGACACCTCATATGACTAACACTGTATAATCGTCGTAATACGCCCAGGAGTTGTAGATGTCGTAGTGTGACAGGAACAAGATGTAGCCGGCGATGGTTGTCAATGTCGCCAATATCTGCATGGTCCACATCGGGATGAGAACCTTCCCAGACCAAGCAGTCTTTCTGTTGTGATTCATCTCTGTAGTCGGTGCAATTGTCATAATGATGATGGAAAGCGACTTTGAATTGTTTCTGTATCGTCTCTGTGAGGAAGTTCTAGTATTTATGTATGCCAGCTCAGAGAAGGCATGTCTTGATCCTTGGCGAAGGATCAGGCACAGTACAGCGGGGCTCCTGGTTTTTATCCTGTTGCCTTGGACGATTTCGTATTTCCCCTCCCTGCAAAGCCACGAAGGAGCAGATCTTCCTCGCAGCGGCTTTGAGATGGCTGTGTTGCTGCTTGGATCTGCCGAATTATGTCTAGTTTGCAGATATGATCGTCAAAGAATGATGCGCATGTGTCAGTCTTCCTTCGGCTGCTTCTATTTACAGCTGGGCCTGATTCAATGTCGACGGCACACAAATCCGATACAACGTTTTGCTATAGCACAAGACGCGTGATGAGGTATGCAGCCATCTAGGCAATTGCCAGAAACTTCGACCGCTCATTCATGCTCTCAAAGGCTTCTGATCCATTGAACCTCTGCTCATACCTGTGGGAGAGCCATGATATTCTGCTGCAATGTGAAGGAGCGAGCTATCGAGTCTGAAGAGATGGGCGAAAAGGAAAGAGTGCTTGGACACCGAGGCAAACTAGCCTCAGGTGCCAAGGCAGAGTAGAGTATGCAATATTGCACAAATGCTTACATTAAACTAACGTCACCACGACAAAAGTTCAGCACTTCTCTACACACCCATTCGCAACGGCAGCCATACTCAAGACCCGTGAGGGATATAGGTATAAGTCGATCTGTAGAATTTCGGCACCTTAGGGCAGATCCGGACATTTCTGTGTCCAATCAACCGATCGATGTACGATCAGAATATCTACGGAGTTTGACATGGACTGTCGGTTCTGCTGTATATTCGAAGAATCGTGCTGGATCGATGGCGATGTCCAAAGCTTGTCTAAGTTTGGAAGAAGGAGCTGATGCCTGGAACCTGAACTTGAACTTCAACCAGGCGAACGACCGAGTTTATCTTTACCTCAATAGTAAGCTTGCGAGACACCAATGTCTATAGGAATGGACTGATGTAGGATGTGATACCCAGTGGTCATTACTGACTAACTGCAGCATGAAAGTGCCTTTCAGTACTCTTGCTGGAGACCGTGAGACCCAGAAAGAGGTGGCATAATTCAGCAACTGGACCTATTGTCGACAAGGATGCCACCGATCAGGGATCTAGGAGACATAGTGTTGCACTATAAAGTGTCTGGCGGATGTGTCTCGAAAGGTCACATGGAAAAGTCTCAAGCACTTTATGATGACCCCCTATATTCTAAAGATCGTCACGGTATGTTATTGTGTGAGCTTCTGACTGACAATCCTTAGAGAATGGTAAGGGAGTAACAAAGTCTAGAGTCTGGTATTGCTGATATAGTCTTACTGAGCTTAGCACTCAGGACCGTGACAAGCTGAGCATTGTGCAGTGATGAAGTCGGCATCAAGGAAGTCCCCAGATCTTCTTTGAAGTTCTGGAACAGGAGGTCGACCGGATTGACTGTCGAGCTCAGGTCTAAGACACATGAATGTTGTGCTGGCAGCTTCAAGCGTACTTCCTACCATCTTCTGAGACACCGACTTTGTCTTCATCAACAAAGCGTCGATGTCATCGATCCGTCGACACCAAAAGTGAGTGGAACTATCTGGCTGCTTGAAATGTTTCCTTTCCCCCACCTGCGAATCCGAACGTGTTGTTTCTCTTTCATTTACACCTTTCTATTCCTTTCTCGCCATCTCTACTAACATTTTCGAACACACAGTTTTCGATAGATCATTCTTCTCTGACCTTCCCATCTCTGCCTGTTTCCCCATATATTCCAGATTCTTGCACCCGCACTGAGAACTTTCTCGATCGATCTGTTTATGTGAGTCTTCTCTTGAATACATCTTCACAACCTGCACCTCAGCAGCGCTTTTGCTCAGCCCAATCCCTCACCAGACGCGTCAATCTTCTGTCTACACATCACAGTCTTACCCCTCAAATCTGACCATTCTTGGTAGCAACAACATCAACAACACCAGTCCACATCACTTCATCAAAAATGCCTGCCGCTCTCTCCGACACCCAGAACCGTTATCTGGCCCTTGCATGGCTCTGCATTGATGCCGAACCCAAGGTACACTCTCACTCCCAGCACAAACGATTATCCTTGATTGCCAGATCCTGTAATGCAAGGTATCTGCAGTGCATGATAGCTGAACAAAATCAAGGATCTAACGAGTCATCTCATATGGCGAATCCAAGCTGACGTGTTCATTTCTCTTCCAACAGANTCGACTACGAGAAGTTCTCTCATCTTACCGGATCCAAGACCGCAAACTCGGCTCGTGAGATGTTGCGCGTCACCAAGAAGAAGCTCCTCGAGTTCGACACTACCCTCTCAACCACCGACGGCACTGTTGCTCCTCCCAACACTCCTGCTGTGAAGACACCCAGAAAGAAGGCTACCAAGGCCACTCCCAAGACCAAGAGTACCACGGCCAAGGGAAACAAGAAGCGCAAGGTCGCCAGTGACGGTGAGGACGACGAAGAAACCCCTCTCAAGAACAAGACTGTCGTCAAGTCCGAGCCTGTCGATGATGGCTCCGAGGCTGGTGCCGGCGCTGGTGCCGAGCTCGAAGATGCTGAAGTTTGAAGTAGCTTGGAGCTTGCTAATATCTAAGCACGCTCGTGGTTCGAAAGCATGTACAAACAAGATCAATGACAATGAGACGATGGGATAAGCAAGAAGCAAATGGAAGTGCGAAGGCAAAGGGGAGCAATCAAGCAGGATGTAACATATCAATCACGAAAAGTCTCCTTTGCGCGTCACTCTCCCTAATAATCTTCAGTAAGAATGGTCCTTGAAATGTTCAATACCATCAATTCAATCAGAAAGCCAAGATCAATGCTGAACCTTTCAAAGATTATAGTCGCTATACAAGAGCCGCCCACACAACTCACTTGCCCAGTTATGCACCATTCAAACTTACTCCACCCCTGCGTGACAAAACTCAAGATCAGTATACCTCTGAGCGAATACCTGGCCCTCTGCTGCCTGAAGGTCGAGCGGAGATTGAATTTACTGGACGTGTTTTCTACGTGTTTCTCATACCTTGAACTGCTATGGAAGTGTTGAACTCGAATGCAAGGATCATGTATATGTAGACTGCGAAGTCTACGGATTATCGAGAGCAAACATCTGCTTGTTATATATGTCTATCAATGTGTTTTCATCTCTTTCAAGCTACCCTAATAACTATCCTTACCTCTCCTATGGTGAGGCATTGAGAACTTTTGAGCAGCATGCCAGAAGAAGGGCAAGGGAAAGGCCCATCCTGGCTCGAGAGCTTGCTTTGGTCAGCAGTTCTCTCAGTGCATCGACTACCAACATGTATCGCGGCATTCACTCTGCTGGGATTCTTTCCCAGTGTCGAGTTGAAGGCCAGTGTTACAAGCATTACAATAACACAACCTCCAGAGCTGATGGTTGTTACCAGATGTACAAATCTACGATGACACTGTTTCTGCACTGAGCCAGCATGCTGAAGGTCATCTCGATCCTCATGTTACTCGGCCTGGAACACCAAAGGGTCTCTCCGAACGATTGCGCTGCCGTCCTGATCAAGGACTCCCAGCAAGGACCTCATACTAGCTTAGCAGCATTTGATACTGGCTATCTCCTCCAAGTCGGTCTCCTTCCACGCTCTGGAGTCCACAAAGGCCCAGGCTACGTCTCTCGTATCCTTCGCGTCCCATCCCGCATGACCTTTGAGAGGCTATCTGATGCCATCAACACCTGGTTTTCGATAAACAATTGGCAAGACTTTCTGGGAACGGATCATACATACATACGCTTGCAGGACATTCCTCGATCCGGTCTTCCAAACTAATTGTGGACCTATTGGATACGAAGGGGGTACCAGTAGGATAGTTTTACAAAATAACCATAACTCATCACAACCTGGTTTGCTGCTCTAGTATTCAGTTGTGATCATGACTGTGCCTAAGACTCAGAGCGATCAAGGGCTTGCAAAATGAGAAATTGTTGGATACAAGGTGTTGAAATAAGACTAGGGTATCAGCCTCGAGCTATCATTCGTTACGTCGTTAGAGATGGTGCAGGAGACGAGCCGACTCCTAGAACAAGAGTCCTCCCAGAAGAGCACCTCCCATAAGGCCTCCCATAAGGGGCATACCCAGACCACCTCCGTAGCCGTAGCCATAAGGACGTGCGTAACCGTAGGCTGGACGGCCGTACATGCCGTAGCCGCCACCCATGCCACCACCATAGCCGCCCATGCCACCACCACCATAGCCTCCCATGCCACCGCCATACGGGGAGCCGAAAGGATTGATCATGCGGACGTTTTGCTGTTGGCTTGTAGCGCCTTGGGGAGGGGTGAGGTAGCAGTCACGACCTTCACGGTCTCTGCCGATGAGTTGAGGCTGGCCAGTTTGGACGGCTCTTTGCATGGCCTGGCGAAGTTCGAGGTGACGCTGGTATGCGCGCTGTTCTTCATCGGCACGCTTCTTGCGCTGGGCTTCGCGTTCTGGGTGGGTGCTAGAGGTGACCTTGTCCTTGATCTTGCGGCCAAACTTCTTCATGCCAGAGGGATTCGAGTCCTGACGTGCAGGGGGACCTCTGGGGTCATGGTCGTCATCTTCTGAGCTCTCGGCGACGATGTCGGCATCGGTAGGGACACGGCTTAGGCCTCTGATGCGGGCGCGCTGCTCGGGCGACAAGGAGGCCATGTACTCGTCATCGTCGTAGGGGTGGTGCCAGATGGCGCGCTCGGTGCGTGTGTCGACATAGAACTGATGGCTGCTCTGAGGGTCATACTGTCTGATCCAGCCTTCAGGGACTTCGCGGCCCGCGTCTTCCATTGAGCGGCGGTGGTCTGGGGGNATTCCATTGCGGGTCTTGTGAGGAGTGGGGTCGCTCTTGCTGTAAGGAGGNGGCTGATCTCCAGAGACTTGGGCGGTTGATGAAGACGCCATAGTTGTGGTGGATCTCTAGGTGATTGAGAAGGTAGAAGGGTTCAATGAAGAGAGAAGGAAGCTTTCGCCCGATCGTGGTTTCCTTGTTCACTTGTGCTCCGTTGCTTCCTCAGTCGATGACGCGCATCATACGTTGTTGCGCCACTGTGGGGCAGAGCTTCAGCCACAGTCCAGTCGCTGAGCACGGACTAGAAACGCGTGATCGCGTCCGCCGAAGTTGATTGATTGAAAGACATTGCATTGTTCCTCTCCAAGTACAGCAATCATCTCATTTGATCGCTATCATGTCTCTCAAACGCAAGGCAGCTGACATTGTGGCCGCCGAAGCAANNAAAAAGCCAAAGGCGAACAGCTCGATCACCAGTTTCTTTGGCCCTCCCAAAACCAACCCATCAACGTCATCAACCAATCCGTCCAAAGGTCTAACCGACCCTGCTCCTGCAGTCAAGTTCGACAAGGAGAAATGGGTCGCCGGTCTGAGCGAAGAACAGAAGACACTGCTCAAGCTCGAGATTGAAACATTGCATGAGAGTTGGCTTGCCGTACTCAAAGATGAAATCACCACCAAGTCATTCCTTGATCTGAAGAAATTCCTTAAGAGCGAAGCCGAGGCCGGCAAGAAGATCTTTCCTCCGTCAGAAGATGTCTACAGCTGGTGCGTCTGGTCGAACTATATCGTTATGCCATTCCTACTGACACAATCTCCAGGTNCACGACACACGCCGCTCAGCACCGTCAAGGCCGTTATCCTCGGCCAGGACCCATACCACAACCTCAACCAGGCCCATGGTCTTTGCTTCTCCGTCAGACCCCCAACTCCTGCTCCTCCATCGCTCCAGAATATCTACAAAGCTTTGAAANAGGAATACCCGTCTTTCGAGCCTCCGCCGAACAAAGGAGGCTTGCTCACACCATGGGCTGATCGCGGTGTGCTGCTGCTGAATACTTGCCTCACCGTTCGCGCCCACGAGGCCAATTCACATTCTGGCAAGGGCTGGGAGAAATTCACACAAAAGGTTATTGATCTGGTCTGCCAGAAGCGTACTCACGGTGTTGTCTTCTTGGCCTGGGGTTCTCCTGCCCAGAAGCGCTGTGCAGGTATCAATGGCTCGAAGCACTATGTGCTTAAGAGCGTCCATCCCAGTCCTTTGAGCGCCCACAAAGGCTTTGTGAGTTCTTCTCATCTTTTCTAAAAGCGTTTATCTAATCAATTATCTAGTNTCGACTGTGGCCACTTTACCAAGGCAAACGAATGGCTCAAGGAGAGATATGGCGATGATGGTGTGATTGACTGGAACCTCAATGTTGCTCCTGAAGACGCAGGCGTCTAGTGATATTGTGGATCTGTATATTAGCTGTAATTAGCGTGTCGAAAGTAGAAGAATAAGAAGAGCACTACTTCAAACTTCTAATGATGAAATTCCATCTTTTTAGCGTGACCCTGTTCGTGGACGCTGAAACAATTTCTTCTTGGCAGACTGGACCATTTTTCCTGCTCAACAGTCCTCGCATACCAGTCACAAAACAACACAAGATGCCAGCAATAAAGAGACAAGCGAAAGCAGATAAGCCCAAGAGGCTAAGAAAGCGCAAGGCCAGAACTGAAGGTGTGTTCTGATGATATAACATGTTGTGCGCATTCATTGACTGAAAACATTCAGTCTCGGATTCATCAGAATCATCAGACTCCTCATCATCGTCAGAGTCTGACAGCAGTGATTCGGAGCCTACACCTAAGAAGCAGACTGCCGTCAAGTCCAAGGCAAAGGCGAAGACCGTACAAAGGGTATGTGATTCTACACTTTTACTCTGCAGTTTTCGATCATGCTCCTCTTTTTTTTTCTTGCGCGCCTCGTCTTTCGTCAGTCGAGATTACATTCGCATCTGAGTTTTTTCGTTGTTTTACTTGATAATACACGGATATGCGATAGAAGCTCCTTCAAGCTCTTCAACTAGCACAGCCATTGACTTGTCGTGCAGTCACCCTCAAGGTCATCCTCCCCAGAAGAAGATCAGACCACCCCTCCCTCTACAAGTGGACCTCAGGTCAGAGAGACAGAGGCCGAAGATGCGTTCACCTCATTCTACCTCCGCCAGATGACAACCGAATTTGCCGAGGACCTCGACAAGATCCGCTCAGCAGGTGACTTCAACGACAAGTCTCTTGGCCTGCTGATTGGCGCACTGAAGCAAGGCCGCGAATGCTTCGACCGACACGACAGATTGGCTGTTGGCAAAGCTATCGTCGCTGCCAGTCAATGAGTATGTCTGGGCCCAAAACCTTAAGTGGTACTCCTGTGCTTCCAAGCTGCCTGCATATCTCAACTCTTTTCACGTGAAGGAAGCGTTGATGGAGGGAGGTGTGGGGTCACTGCCTATTGCAAACAGAGCGCAAGGATGCCAACTTCTCGTTCTGTTGGGAGGGATCACGGATGAGATCTGTAACCAGGGGCCACATGTTCTTCGGGCCAGGATCCGCCAGTTCATGGCACCCGTAACACCAGATACGCGAGAGAGATTGAGTGGTCTTCAACGATAAGGATTCTTGCATGGGACGATCGATCTACAGTCACTTTGACTATACGAGAGTACTTACTGTGGGTGTCTTTGCATGGTAGACTGCACGATGGAGGAGTGAAGTTGCAGCAAGGGTCTAGGTCTTGGAGCAACAAGCAAACAACCACACCAAAGGACATGGAGAGAGACATCCAGCCTTTCGGACACAATGCCGGGTCTACTCGAAGTACAGAGCTACGCGGAGCGGAGAAGGATTCACCGAGATCTTCCAAATACGCAATCCCTCGTCCCAAACAAACCCGTCGAGTCAAAAGGCTCAGCCCACACAAGCGCTGCTGACATGTCATTCGAGCATAACCGTGACTATTTCCTGCTGTGCGCAATATTCGAAACCGGGTCCAATCACTGTGTCGTATGATTTACGCGTTTTTTGCCTTCTAGACATTTTGCCCATAACAAGGTCAAGATTGTCCTACCAGGCAGATGGATCTACCGCTAGCCGCAGAGCCTATGTAGTGGCGGCATAAAGCTCCGCTTCTGGTGCGGCTCAAACAGCTCTTTCACGAGTTACGTCTTTGCGCTTCGCTCGGGACAACATGCCGCCGGGCGGAGCCAGCGGCGGTGCCAGCACGCACGCGCGGGATGGCTCTGCTGGCAGAAAAGATATCGTGCGCCCCCGTTTTTAGATAGGGCACCCTGGCTCAACAACAGTACATTTTGGCGACCAATGTTGTTGTTGTGCAGTGGTTCCTTTGTGAAGTTGCTCTCTCGCTTTCTGCCGTTCACGAAACGTGGGGAGCCGAACATGGCGTCTACGTACCTTTATTGGCAGACGTGAGTAAATGGTTGCTGGCGTGAATCGAGAAGCAACATGGCGTTCTCTTTGGCTCTTGTCCTTAATTCGAGAGCTTCTGGACCGACTGACGCCTGTTTGTTAAACAACGAAAGTTGAGGCTCGAAGGTTGACAGAGTGCACACGCAGCTGACCCAGTATCTGAGGGGAGCTTGGGGCAGCGTAGTGCGTCGCGGATTAGTGAACAGTGGGAGCTGCTAAGACTGACGGATGGCTTTAATTAGTGCTTCCGCTGGTCTAGCACGAACCTCAGTACAACTTTACAAGTTCTCAGGCATCAGATCTCTCGATCGCATGCGTGCCGAAAGCTGCAAGATCTGCCATGGCAATCCTACAGACTCACGTGCACAGGAACGGCCGTGAGGGCCCAGCATACTGCTTCAAGGAATTGATGAACGGCAAAGTTCCCATACTCGAGCAAGCGAAAAGGACGGTAATAGCGACCTAGTCTCGGTGTACACACTGTCTGTACGCACCTCTGGTCTTCTGCCGGTAATTCTCAAGGAAATTAATTAACACGTCTGATGAGAACCTCACCTGATAGCAAAAATCAGTCCGAGTCAGGACGGGAAAGAGCATCCACAGTGATCCAACTTCCAAGGACCTACAGGGACTAACGGACCAGCATAAGTTACCGCATCTCAGGGAAATTTCTGTCGAGAAAGAGGGTCACATCCGATCTGCTCATCTGTTTCGAACTGCAGGCAAGGATGTGTACGCGTGAGGCGTGCGGCTCATCAACAGCCCTGAATAAAGTATCCAATCAGATGTGGTGCTGCGGAGAGTAACCATGCGTGACGGAAAGAGCTTGCGAACAACGTCGTCCGTCGAACAAAGAAACCACCAGAGTCATGGATCATGCTCTTTCTGCTGTATCTCCTCGCAAATCCTCTTGCGGCTCTGTTGACAGCAAGTGCACAACTGAGACAAAGGCTCGCGTCAGTCAATCTCTTGCCCGACCTGGAAGTTGCAACGACCGCAGCGTCATCTCGAAGTTTTCCAGCAACCGTTTGGAGGCCCACTGGAAAGATGCTTGCGGCCGAGAAAACCACACGCTTCGGGGGGTTTTCGCGTGCAGCAGCGCCTCTCATGCGTAGGCCATGGCAGCGCGCTAGGCACATTTACCCCACGCTATCAGTGAGATTTAGCATCGCCAGCACCGAGTTTAATATTGCTTAGCGGAATAGGCGCCGATTGACTCGCAGGGTTGAAAAGCCGGTCGAATTGTTGGCGAAGGGGAAATGTTGATTTTCTCGATCCGATCTCAGCAATCCGCTTCTCAGACAAGACGATATTGGACCAGCGACTCACGTTTGATCATGTGCTGTAGCTCCAAGGTGAGCGCATCGCCAATGCAAGGTGAGGGATGTTCTAGCAGTGAGAGACTGAATGGATCCCAAGCAAATTATCAACGAGATTGCTGGGACAATTCTGACCAGTGACCACCCACCCTGAGCTGGGAGCATACGGGACAGATCTTGCAAGCACGATGCTAGCGGCTGCAATCCACTGTGCCGGAGAATATCTCGTACCTCGTTATGGAGATCCGGGTAGTACGAGATCTAAGGTGATGCTTGTTCTGCTGACTAGGGTGTAGGATTTCTCCGTCCTCAATTATTGTCACTAAACAGCATTGTGCAGCATTGGAACAAAAACATCACGTCCCGTATTTTCGCGAATGCTTCCTAGTTTCAGCTTGAGATGGGCTACGCAAGCCCGACAGCCCTGAGGCGTCACTATTGAGCCCGCATCTATATTATTGATACTTCCCTTGCATGGAAAAATGTCTCTTGGTGCTGTGCTACCATGCATGCAGATGCGGCGGACGCGATATCTAGATAAGCGAGGCATTCGCCACACTCAATCGACTTTCTTATGTTGCCCCGGAATGTCACAAGGTACGTACCCAGGCCGAACGGACCCATTTGAGACTGTGGAACCACGCTACCTAAGATGTGTATGGTAGAGTAAAAGCCTGCGCAAGCACGCTCACCTACGAGCATGACGAAAACTGGTGAGATTCTGGCGTGACAAACCCATAGGCAAAACAGAGACGATTGCTCCAGATATCGGAGCTATGACGGAAGACGTACCAGCTTTTGGACCAGTTCCCGTGGCCGGTGAGCTGTCTACGGGCGGGCCGTTGTGACCTGAGAGCCTGATGGTGGAACTTTACGATTGGCGCGAACCGTACCAAATTAACCGACCCGCCCAAAAACTTAGCTGCATCGAATGTGTATCTGGGGGAATCTGTGGGCGTTAACAAACGTCGAAGTGACACCGGAGGAGCAGGCTAAACCGAGGGCTGATCGAGAAGAGACATTTGGAAGCCTGTGGCGATCAGTCTGCCAATACGCCCCGAACAGTATTGGGTCGCAAGCATGCGAAAGACGATCGCGGTAGCTGCCTTCAGCCACGTCAGATTGTTTCTAACTACCATGTTGATCCTCAAGGACACAGGGACAGAACAACAAGCCGTTTTGCTCGCAAGGCACATTCCAAGGAGGCTCACCGCTGTGTTGAGTTGAATGCACGAGGGTTGTCAAACCACACAGCGACATCTGTGTGATATGAGCCTGAACAGGTCTAAGGCCGATGAGAGCATAGACAACATCGTTGCTGTCGAGCAGCAGCCATCTGCATCAACACGCAGAGGGAGCTTAACTCGCCGTTTGGCTTCACAGGTGACAAGAGTGACGTGAGAGGAGTTGAGGTTTGCAGAACCGGGTGCCAGGCCCAAGTGGGCAGGAGGAGATGGGGGAACGTGGCGTTGAGAGCGCTCAGATAAACGACAAGATCGTGCATCCACAATGCTCCGAGCGCGTGTCCCGCTACTCCACTCAGATCGGCCAATCACCCCAGCTCCCGAAAACACGATACCGAGTGATCGAAGGCCCTCGAGGTGGGCCGCCATCGTGGTCCAAGCGGCCAGAAAGAGTTGGCGCGATTCGAAGCTCAGCCTTCAACCTCGGCGGCTTCTACCAATGACACCAGACTGCAAATCCCACGCCCTCTTGTCTCTAGCCCCGATCTGATGCTGCAAGGCTTTTATGTCCCCGACCGCCCTCCTCAATTCTCATCCTTCCTTTCCATCGACAATCTTCGTCTTTTGAACATTTGTTATTAGACAAATCGAGTTCAAGCTATCACTTCACACCCCATACCCCAACAACCTCTTCCGGTTTACTGGTTATCTCGTTTGCCTCTGCATCAAGATACCACTCTCGCGGTACCACCCAGCTACAGAACCAATCGTTGCAGCCTCTGGCATAATTCTTCGAGACCCCTTCTCTCAAGGACTACTTCTGTGACCTTACAATCTCGGCCCTCGTCTCCACACAAGCCACACAAACACCACCTTTCATCGACATGCCTCCTCTCAGATCTATCCCCGCAGCCAAGCCCGTCAAGACGGAGCGTACCCACGAAGAGAACCAGGAGAGGTTTGTACTACCCTTTACTCTAGTCCGCATCGATTCTGACCTTGTCCCANGAGCATACATCGCTGCCTCTCGTCGCAGTGACCGTAGTCTTGAGGCTCGTGTCGAGTCTGCTCGTCGTGCTTCCGAGATTCACAAGAGACGCACAGGCAGATCTCTTCGTGTAACCGAGCAAGATGTTATCAACGAGGAGATGTATGAGGAAGAGGATGACGACCTACCCATGCAATACCGTCGTCTTACCGCTCATCTCCAGACTTCGAACGCCGACTTCGATCGTAGACTGGCTGCATACCTCACCAATCATGTTGCCATGCGTGCTGCCCTCGGCCAAACCATGGGCGACCAGTACAACCCTCAGCAATACTCCAACGCCCCTCAGTTTGCCAACCAGCTCGGCCAGTTCCCTCAGTCATTCCCCAACCCCATGCTTCCGCCCCAGATGGCCAACAGATCACCTCAGAGCTTCCGTGCATCGCCTTATCCCCAACAGAGTTTCCGCCAAAACATGCATGGTCGCTCGGCATCTATCGCCACTCCTCAGGAACTACAGCACATGAACAACTTCCCTTCAGTGCAAAGTCCAAACACTGCCTTTATCAAGCCCGAGGACCGTCGCATGTCTCTTCCCGTTCAACCACAGCAAAATCCCGCTTCTTCGCCGCCACACCTTACCTCTGCCTCGCGGACTTCGTCATCCACTAGCCTCACCAACCTAAAGCACGAAGCAGCTAAGCAGGGTAACGGCCAGACATCGCCAACGGCTCAGACCTCACCGCCAGCATACCCTGCTTCCTACAACAATGTCTCGCCTGCCTTCGATCCTAGCATGATGAACATGATGCCTTTCTCCACTTCCTTGCCTCACGAATCACAGCAACTGCTTGGTCCTGCTTTTGACCAAAACGATGCCTTTTCGCAGATGCTCATGGGTGGCTATGGCCAGCAGCAATCTCAACCTTTTTACACCTACAACCCCAACCCTTCCAAGTTCAAGGGTGGCAGCCCTTGCTTTGATGGTATCAATCAGACTCTCGCTCCCGGCATGCTTGACAACAACATGGACAAGTACAGCACACCGATGTCTGGTGTCGACTCTGCTCTTACGCCATCAACCACATTCGGATATGACTCCAACTTTGACCCTCTCAAGGGATTCACACACAACAACGTTAGTGGCATGACGACACCTGGCGAGAACGACTGGTCGAATCTCTTCGACTCGAACGCTTGGGAGGAGCAAGGTTCGCAGCCTGCTGCTGCCAACTGAGATCATCTCTCAATCTTCTTCTAATCTTCACTTCTAATTTCTATTGTATTGATATACCTGATTTGGAGGAAACCTGGTGTCTTGATGATACCTACATGGGCAACGGACACACTGATAAAATGGGAGGATAACTCTGCGGGGTGGCGTTCTATGATTCCAAACAGGGAGTTTCCTATGGCTGGGCTATGGAAATGTCGATGGCGTTTTATGGTAATGATTGAGCTTCACGATGAATGAACAATGACATGACTGCTCTTCTGAAGAGCGGTCCAACTTCTCTCACAAACATGCTTGACAATTCCTGAATTCCAACGTGTTTATGATGCAAATTTGTCTCAATTGGGACGGCTGGTTTTGGAGCTGTATTCACATCTGGATAACAACAGTCAACAAGCAGTCTAGTGGTGATTAGTGGGAAGCAACGAAATGGAGGAGGCGAGAAACAAGAAGCAAAAAGCAATTGGAAAGGCCAGGATTCGGGCGCATGTTCCTGCGCGAAAGGGCCAGCGGGAATTTAGCCCGCAAGAAGGCTATTTGTCACGGCGTGCAGCCTTTAGCCTCGCATTGGCGAGGAGAAAAAGAGGGGTCACTGCTGAGCTGAGAGCCAGGCACGTACGTCGTACGCGGCGTTTTCGACAGCAGGGCGACGTGAGCAACCCTGTCATTCTGCAACCGATACAGCTGCTGGTTTGGCGATTTCCACAGCCGTCAGCCCCGATCTCTCCGATGCTGAGCAACGGCCCGCGTGTATCTACAGATCTCGCACACTACAGACAAGCCTTCTGCTCGCGAGATCTCCAGAGATCTATGAGGTGGCTGGCGGCATCGAGGGAAAGGCGTGGGAGAAGGCGATCGCAGCAAGGCAGGGAACGGGTAGCAACGGATGAGCGACAATCGCGAGCAAAGCAAAGTGAGACAGGGCAAGGGAACACGGAAGATAGATTGGATAGGATAGATTGGGTTTTGTACGGTAGATCCGAGAGAAAGCTGAGGCCTTTATCTGGCCAGCAGATTCAAACTGATCTCTGCAAGAAGAAGCGACGAGATGGTGCCGCTGAAAGAGGTGACAGCGGAAATCGCCGGCTTCGACCCCGCGTGGCGCTCTGCACAGCTTCGATCGGGCTGAAGGTCAAGACTCCGAGAGAGGGCTAGGCTTGGCAGACCATCTCGCCCGGCAAGTGACTGAAGGTGCCGTTCGCATCGTGCCAGTCCAGCACAATCGATCTTGTTGCACCAGGACATCATGACCCTTGCGGCATGCCTCCTACCAATCCCTCTCGTACCCTCCTGACCGCGCCGCTCCCTCGTCGCTGCTACACCGTCGGTAGCCTCTCTCACGCCGCCGCTGCTCGACCAAACTCGTCGACGTCATCACCACTACGGTATCGCTCTGACACACGACCAGCGACGACGACGACAGCGGCAAGACAGGAGAATGTTTGCAGTTCGTTACCATGTGCACGGCGAGGCTATGCCACCATAGCCGGCGACCCAATGTCGGCAGCCTCGACGGATCCCTCTTCGTCGTCTTCGCCATCGCCACCAAACGACATGCCATGGCCCAAGGCTCCGAAAGGTCATTCGCACCCTACCCCATATCAGATCCTCTCGACAACCGAATCCGAGCCGTACAGCAAACGCCGCTTTTATGAGCTGGTAAAACTATATCATCCCGATTCTGGCGCCTGCGAGAAGCACCATCATCACCATAGCGTACCACAGCCATTGCGCCTAGAACGATATCGCCTGGTCGTAGCCGCCCATACCATTCTCTCGGATCCGGACAAACGCAAGATGTACGACCGCTTCGGCGCTGGATGGAGTGGTGTGCCCAGCACAGCGGGCGGTAAACCTGGAGCCGGAACACCCGCAGGTCCTTTCAGCGGATGGCGCCATCATGCAGACTCGGACATCTGGGGAAATGCCACATGGGAGGACTGGGAACGTTTCTACGCTCGTCGAGATGGTGTGGCCCAACAACCACGATATCTCTCCAATGGCAACTTCATCCTATGCGTCATCTTGCTCGCAATGATAGGGGCCTCGCTGAATATAAGCCGAGCAGAATCTGAAGGTGACAAGGTCGTGGCAGCAAGGGATCTGGTTCACGATCGCGCGAGCAAGGAACTTAGACGTGTGCGTCAATTATCCGAAAACAGGCCTAAGGAAGAGCGTATCCAGTTTTTCCTCAAGCAAAGAGAGGCTACTATGCATGGTGTTGGCGTTGAGAGCTTGAGGGACGACAAGGTAGCCAAGTTGTTGCCCGAGCAGGAGACCTGCTTGAGCGAAGAGCTACGAAATGGTGGAAGCGAATCATGACCCTTTCTTTATGTATGTATGTATATCATCTCTACCATCTTTTTGATGGACCATAAGGCGGGCGGGCGTTCTGGGTGTGTAGAAACCCATTGGTCTTCTCTTGTTCTTCATCCGGCAATGGATATGTCTTTATAATCACACCTCCTCCGGCCAACACGCTTCTGCTCGTTCGATGCGTGGTTTACCATCCGGCGGGTGTGGTTGTTGGTGAGGTTTTGTCAGTCCTGCGTTGCTAAATTCTCGTCTGGTTTCTGCCAACACTAATGTTTTCAAGTGATTCCGTATAATTCTTTGATCAATCGCTTCGAATTCATATCACACCATCGCTCGTTCAATCCCACTGACTAGAGTTGTAAGAGTATCCTGGTCGTGAGCATTCATGTGCTGCCAGGGTGCTCCTAGAAGCAATATCTACTACTCGAGTTGGTATCACTATCATTGCTTTGCAACTCATATTTGACTAGAGAACAGAACGCATAGAAGCCTCACTGTCACACGAATATCGGACGATCTGGTTTTGAGAAGCATAAATTCATTCATACATAGATTACATGTTGACATTCGTTAATTAAACAGGACACGAACTTCATCCAGCGCTCAAGCAACAACAAAGCCCTTCCAGCCATCAAGTGCATTTCTGCATTCCTTCTCGTACATGGGGAAACCACCAGGGAAGTTGAGCTGTTCTCTCGGCTTGCCGGGGATGTTGGCGCCCATGTACCACGAATCAGTGTTGGGGAACAGTGTCTTGTCGTTGAGCTCGGTGACGAGTGAGTGCCAGCCAGTCTCCGCATCCTTTGTGGCTTCGATCTTCTTCTTGCCGGTCTTTTGCATTGTGGCAATGGCGTCGACGATCCAGTCGCCTTGGACTTCGACACAGGTGGGTCCGTTGCTGAAGGCGGTGGGGCCTTGGGCACCGTACAGGAAGAACATGTTCNNTGTGAGATGGGTCAGTAATGCTGTATGTTTGGATGAGAATAAGAGTATGCTTACAGGGAATCCGTTGCAGGTCATACCCAGGTATGTCCAAGTACCGTTCTTCCATCTCTCGGCCAAGTCCTTGCCTTCGGTATCCTTTAGGCCCATGTTCTTCATGCCGCCAGTGACGGAGTCGAAGCCAGTAGCAAGAGCGATAATGTCGAATTCTCTGAGCTTACCGTCGCTGGTAACAATACCGGTCTCTGTGAACTCTGTGATGGGTGTGTCCCTGACGTTGACAACATCGTTCTCAGCTCGGTCCATCAACTCGTAGAAGTTTTGCTCTAGAGAAGGACGCTTGGTTCCCCATGCGTGGGGAGCCTTGAGAGGAGCGAGGATGTCACGCTTGCGAGGATCGGCAATGCGGGCTCTTGTCTTCTTGACCCAGAAGTTGTAAGCCTGGTCGTTGGCCTTGCTGTCGAACAAGAGATCCTTGTAGTTTGCCAGCCAGAACTTGAAGCCACCCTCTGACCACAGCTCCTCGTAGAACTTCTCACGCTCTTCCTCGTTGTCGTCGAATGTGTTCTTCTCGACAAAGTCGTATGAGAATCCGGCAAAGGTGGTGAGACGGTTGCGGTAGATTTCGGGGTACTCTGCTTTGGCGTTCTGCTGCTCCTCCTTGGTCAAGTCGCGTTGACGCATGGGCAGGCAAAGGTTGGGAGTGCGCTGGAATACGGTGACGCTAGCAGCATCCTTTGCTGTCTCCTGGGCGATCTGAATACCGGTACTGCCTGTGCCGATGACGGCAACGCGCTTGCCCTTGACGTTGACGCCCTCGTCGGGCCAGAAAGAACTGTGGTGAAGCTCGCCCTTGAAATCGGTAAGACCCTTCCAGTCAGGGNNGAAGTGACGCTTGGCTGCGAAGCCAATGGCGTTGATCAAGTACTTGCACTTTGCAGTGCGGCCGTCTTCGGTCTTGACCTCCCAAGTGTTTGACTCGGCATCGAATTGAGAGCCAATGACACGGGTATTGAAACTGACATCCTTCTTGATATCCAGAGTCTCCTCAACATGGATGAAGTAATCACGGAGTTCGTTGAAGTCAGGATACTTCTGAGTCCATGTCCAGTCCTTCCAGACTTTCTCAATCGAGTATTCGTAGATGGGGACTTGTGTGTCAACGCGGGCTCCTGGGTAGCAGTTCCATCGCCAGACACCACCAAGCTCGTTTGCGGCTTCGAAGATCTTGACATTGAGACCGACCTCATCACGGAGCTTGTGAAGGAGGTAGACACCACCGAAACCGGCACCGACAATGAGGACATCGCAGGTAAGGTCCTTGGAATATGTGCTGTTCTCCTCGGGATGCATTGGTGCATTGGGGTTGGTTGCACCAATATCTGTTCGTAGATGTACCATGATGAATGATGTGAGTATGTATGCCGAATGAACGATTGATAGAAAATGGCTTCTGTTTCCTCGAGCCCGTCGATAGTCTTTATATCTATTCTTCGACCATCTTGCCACGGAACGGACTCCAGTCGGCCTACCTTCCCAAACATCTCCCGATCACCCCCTCGAGTCTCTGGGCCTCCAAACGAAGGAACTTTGCCGCAGGCCCTCGTGGTATCCCCAGATAAACTCGTGATTTAGACATTCCGGGAACCGGGGACTCCGCAAAAGAGGTTCAACGGTTGGGTGGGGGATGCGGGGGAGGCCAAGATCACCAATTTCGAAGAGGGCAGGTGCGCCGACTATATCGCTCGGGAAACCTGCCTTTTTGGTGCGTGTTGACCTAAGATTGTTAGTCCCACGAGTGTTGTTGGGTCCGGAAGTGCTTGGCTATGCGGATCGAGACTTGAAGGAGCAGATGTCAGGTGAGATGGATCTCGCTCGCCCGGGACGTTTACAGGAGGATTGAAGCAAGCTACAGCAGGTCTGCTTCCACAGGTCTTTTTGGTTCATCCTGGCGAGTATCTCTCTTCCTAGGAATACAGGCAAGGGTGGCTGAATAGTCCTGAATGCCTGTGAGTCACGACAAGGCAAGTCACAAAGGACTGATCATTAGGACCCTGAGATTGAGAGGCAGATAACTGATTGGTACTTTCCTATGCTATGCTATGCAGAAGTACCGGAGCAGTAAGGAGGTAAAAGCAGGGGCAAAAACATTAATGAAAGTGGGCAGACTTTTGCTGCGGTCCAATGAGAAAACAATCAGCTGAAGAAACACAAAAGAGCGCCCGACGCCTCATCCAAGTAGTTATTCGCAATGGTATGCAGGCACCGGGCCACTGGAGATTCTGGGGTACTGGGGTACTGGGGTACAAAACTGAAGATCGACCAAAGAGGAGATCCGGAACGCCGCCATCTCTCAGTGCTAACACGCGATCAAGTCCAAAAAGGTTCCTTTTCGCCGCGCGTCTGTTTTCTGAAGATTGTTGGTCATACGTAAGTTCGGTCGAATTCTGTCCAAAATTGTCGACTGCCGTTGTGTGTTGCAGAAATCGCGTCTCCAAGGGTTGGACAGTCTTCCTCTCATTCTGCTGAGTGTGGGAGGCGGCACCTAGACTTAGGAAAGCAAGCTGCTCACGATGTCTTTCATGTAGTCCTCGTCGGGGTCGATGGAGCGGTCAGGCTCTTCCTCGTCCTCGTCCTCGTCTCCATCCTCGTCGTCAGGAATGAACTTCTTGGAAGCGCTAGTGCTCTTTCCCTTGTTGGGTGTCTTCTTTGTAGCAGCCTTTGTAGCAGCCTTTGTAGCAGCCTTTGTAGCAGCCTTTGTAGCAGTCTTTGTAGCAGTCTTTGTAGGAGCCTTTCTGGTAGAGGCTCTCTTTCTGGTAGTAGGAGGCGGGATGTTCACGACAGCTTTACCCTGCTTGATTGTGACATTGCGAGCGTTGTAGCGAGAGGTTGTCTTCGACGTGGCTGGCTTGGCTGTCATCCTGACTCTGATACGGTTGCCATTCTCATCAAGTGGGCGGTTTGTACGGTTGTTCTGGTATCTTCTGGATGTCTTTGCGTCGGATATGGCCAAACGTCTCATCAGTTCAGCTTTGGTGCCGCTCGGGTCTTCGTTGCGTGCCTTCAACAACTCCTTGAGCTGCTCGATACTGCTAGTCTTGTCTTCATTGTTCAGTCGCGAGACAATGATAGGCTTACATTCCTTCATGCGGTTCAGAAGCATGCCGCGTGAGCGCAGGATGTCTTGCAACTCATCGATGGTGCACCAATTACGGGGATCTGCAGGGAAGCCGTCAGAAGGAATGGCAGGCTGCTGAGACGCGCTTCCGATGATATCAGCAGGCTTGGTGACCGGCATGACCAGACTGGAAACTGCGACTGGTGCAACGGGCTGGACAACACCAACGAACTCATGGGCGCGAGCATTAATAGCAGCTTCGGTAGCATTGATGTCCTCATTACGAATTTGGTCGGCTGTGTTCTTGTAGGCGTATCTGCTCTTGGGTGGGTGAACAATGGTGGTCTCTTCAGGCNNTCGGGGGTGACACCATTGTTCTTCTCCTTTTTCTTCTGTATAGCAGCTACTTCTTTCTTCAATTGCTGGTGGAGACGGGTAAAGAATCTGTGCTTTCTCTCGTTGTAGAGGCGATCTTCACGGGCGGCTTCGAGTGCGCTCTGCTTGCGCTTCTTTGCAAGGGTAACTGCTTCGGACAGAGATTGGCGATACTCCTTTTCGTCCTTCTTCTTTTTAGCTCGGAGCGCAGCTTGAGTCTCCTTGCGCTGACGAGCAGCAATCTTGTGGACAGTGTTGTCTTTCTTTGAACGCTTCTTCTCCNTCAGCCGCAGCAGCTTCACGCTGTGCTTCTTCCTCCTTACGTAGCTTGTAGGCGGCGATACGCTCTTCACGTTCACGGGCACGAGCCTCAGGATCGGGATCAACCTCGGGTGGGCAGCGAGCAGTGCCATTGAGGCGTGCTTCGTGACGCTGTTGACAAGCCTTGGCTGAGAAGCGCTCACGAGGAAGACGCTTGTTGAGGTTTTGGGCCGTCCAAGTCCAGCGCTTCTGCTCAAGCTTTTCCAATTCGACTTGGAACTTCTTGTCAGCAACCTCATATGCTTCGTCGAGCATTTCATCCTAGACTGGGTCAGTAAAGAAGACACCTATTGGGCCTGGTCTGCAAATCCTTACCTCTCCAAGGTGCCAGTCGGTCAGCTCTTCGTCGAGCAACTTCTCCTCGTATTCTTGTGTCTTCTTGCGAATACGCATCCAGCGGCATGCGACACTTCTAGCCTCGTAGCAGGTGAAGCCCTTCTCGATAAGACGGTCACGGATAACGTCATCCTTGTAACCCTGCTGCTTCATGTCGACAATCATCTGGTCTTCCTCGTCAAGGTCGACAGTGATGGGCTTGAACGAGGGGGCATGGCCACCTTTGACCGTAGTACCCATCTTGAATCTCTTTGTACGCTTGCTGGGGAGGACTTCATCTGCAGCGGGACGTTTCTTTGAGCCCTTGCCCATGAACGGGTTCTGTTTGTGACCCTATCTGATGTCAGCTTTGCATAATCGACCCAATNNTACTGGCTTCATTTTGTACCTCGTCAGCATCATCAGCGTATTCGTCATCGTTCTCGCTATCGTCCTCGCCGTCCGGGTGTGGGGCGATCGGACAAGTGAAGGGGACGAGGACATCGGCTGCAATGAGACAGAAATGTTAGTTCTGAGCCGGAATATCAGGTGAGAGTAACCTACATGGTGTTCCGAAGAAGAGCTCTTCAGTCAGAGCGTTCTGATCTGCCGACATGGGGGGCTTGAATGTTAGTTGGAGTGCTTGTTGACAGGGTCGAATACTTCGACGTAGGGCAGTCGGACTGTAGGATATTTGGCTGTGGTTAGTGCAAGATCATGAAGCAGTTGTATGTGTAGTTAGGGATAATCAAAGTAATGATGGGCAGAGTAGGAAGGAGAGCCTGGGAGTGAAAATGTAGAACCTGGCACTTCGATTCTCGAGTCGCCTCGATCGTCTGTTTAAGAAGCCGCCATGTGAGGATCGAGCTTACCTTGACTGAACAGCGGGTCCGCAATAATGGCACGGAGGGGCTGTGAGTAAAGAATCCTAAAGGGGCAGGATGTAAGACAGCGAGTGTGCAAAGTTGTGAAGGCGAGCCCAGTGTTGACACTCTTGCGCACAGACCTCGGACGTGTTACTTGGATCGCGAGTGCCGGCGCAGCGCGATACGCTCGGACGTGAGATGCTTTGTGAGAGCGCGATGTACCGAGCATTTATGAGTGATGGAGATGTCTCAAGGCCGCTAAGCGCGAATGACGGCGCAGTGCGATAAAATCGTGTAAGGATGCTTTGTGAAAGCGGAACTTGCATGCAAAAGGTATCGAGACCTGTTATGATGTGAACCACGAGTGACAACGCAGCGCGATAAGCCTGCACGTGAGATGCTTTGGGAGAATATGATGTAGGTACCAAGCAGTGATGAGTTTCAGAGATACCCAGAGGCTACAACTGGTGGCTGCCGGACGCGAATGACGGCGCAACGTGATGGAGCTGCGTGGGGATGCCCAGTGAAAGCGAAACTTACATGTTAAGGGCAGAAATTATTGGGGAAACGCGAGTGACTGTGCAGCGCGATGAGGTTACGCATAGATGTCTGGAGGAGCAGGAAGTTACTGGGCAGGAGAGATAGGGGCTCTGAAGGGCATAGTTTGATGGCGAACGACAGTCCTCTCACGACGACATAGAGTGATATTATAAGCTACAAAAATGCACAATTGCTTTTCAAGCCGGAAATGTGGCCACAGAGATACCCTAAGACGTTGTCTCTCTGTGGACATGACCTGCTTCTGTAAAGTGTTGTGCATTTCTGTAGCCACTCATGATACATGCTGTTGCACATGAGAGCGGGTAGAGACAGGAAAAAGATAAGATAAAAGATAAGATAAAAGATGAAAGATTCAAAAGAAAGCCACAACATACACGAACATGGTCATAGCATACTTCACTCGCTTCCTTGATTTCGCATCGGCTTTCCTGCATGGAGATATGCGCTGAACCACAGATGACACGTCAACATTCTGGTGGGTGGGGTTGTTGTGGTGCAGCTCATTGTGGTCAGTTGGAAGTAATGGAAAGAAAGAAAGAGCGACTTGCCGAAGCTTGGGGATCAAGCGAAGTCCACACGTCCATCAAACAAAGCAAACAGCCTAAGCCCCCTTCCATTGTGCTTTCTTCCACCATCGTCTCATCCAAGAATAAATTCCAACTTTTGACCATTTCCCTCTCTCAGCTGTATCGCCATCTTGTAAATACACCATCCCGGGCCGTCCTTCCGCTAGTGTTGCCCACTGGGGTTCTTCAGTCGGTCTCGAATTTCCTCCTTACTTAGCCGCCTGCTGCAGTCCCGAAATCATGACCTTATGACACGAAACTCACACACCAAAGGAGAACCATTCGATTGATTTTGCTTTGCATGGACGGATCTCTGGTATTCTCATCGGCCCGTTGCATGAACGCGTCAAACACGATGGTTGGATACAGAGATAGCACGAGTAGTTCCTTCACAGAGCTAACAAGTAGGTACATCTCAATACGAGCTCTGATGCGAACAGGTGGGTCGTCATAGGTGATGGTGTATTCGATGAATCTAAGAGCCAAGAGGAGGCACCTGTACATGCATGACCAGAAGAAAAACGCAACCCTCGGTATCCTCTATACTAATCTTCAAGCGGCCAATGATAGTCACCGCTAGCTGACTACCAGACCTCCTTGTACGGTGTACGTTCGTCGACTCCACCTAGGGACTCCTCTGAGTAGCTCCGCTGTCGACAGGCTTGCGGCAGAATCTGCATCGAGCCTTCTCACCTCCGTGTTTAGACTTTGCGAGAAAAGGAAAAGCAAGAAGCCGGACCTAGTCGTCAGCTCTATTGGGTTTCATTCGCCGATTCCAGACAGTGCTCATTCTGTATTTCACACTTATGGTCGGAGCAGCCGAAGACGCCTATCACAAGACAGTGGCGAGTCATCAGGCATTCTCCTGTTTGGGGTGGCAAGACTGTGCGCCAGTCATGTCAGCAACCGTTCATCTGCGGCAGATTATTAAGTGTTTTCTCCGAAGGTAGTCGCAGGTTAACAGGATGAAGAACCGTCCTTGAGGCGTCCGAATGAAGCGGCTTGCAGCCGCAACCGGATAGTTGCATCTCTCGACTTGGACCTCGGAAACTTTTGCGATAGATCGCCAGTTTTCCCTTCTAGCAGTAAAATTGCGCGGTCAATAAGTGGACGAAATCATCCCGGTCGTCAGCAAGTCATGTTGGCGTTACCACGACGACTTTGCTGGTCTCAATCATTGCCGGACAATTCTGAGCGCGCCGACAGTTACCACCGTGTTCCTTGTTTAGGTCGCGGTTAGACCCAATACGACTGACAGCTTGCATCTGCAACAACGGAGAGAAAACTCGCACCTCACGACCAACTCCCGCCGCGGTGCTTCGTTACAACGAAGGCAAAAGACGCTAAGCGCAAGTATAAAGCTGGCGATGCCGCAACTCTTCCTCGATAACCCAAACAACAACTGGATTGCTTCGAGAAGACCAAGCCTTTCATAAATCACTTCATCTCTCAGTCGAAGACATCGAGCTCAACATGTCCAGCCCTGCCTCGGCCGACAGCGACGCCCTCGGGTGGTACGATGTCACCAAGACGTACTGCGTCATTGGCATCGAGTCAAGCGACACCGGCATTCTGGAACGTTCCGAGAATGAACGCTTTCTATCCCAAATCCAACCCATGGCTGGCCTAGGAGATGGCTACAACGAAGAAGACGACACGCAAGCCGGATTGGCATTGTCATTCAGCATCGACTCATTCACAGATGTGACGGAAGGCCACAAGTTCGGACAAGACCCAGAGCAGTGCGATATTCTTCTGGGCGAAGATAATGGAGATAGCGTGGATGGGCTGCACTTTAGAGTGCAGCTGGATTACACCNAGCAGGTTCCTGAGTTGGACATTTACAATTGCAGCCCGAGAGGGACCAGAGTCGACGACAAGCTGCTTTCTGGACTCGCGCAACGTACCCGTGTTTACCAGGGTGAGGCTGTGACGATCACAGCCGGGACTGTGTCACTCATGCTTTTGTTTCCTCTCCTAGACCTCAGCAATCGCAAGACGCGATCTAGATGGGCAGAATTGAAGACAACAGCGTGGTCTTTGCTTCGGCCTTCCACACGTCAAGCGCTTGTCCCGAGAGACGCACGCCAGAGATATCTCGACGCAGAGGAAGACTGCATTTGGCAAGAGGCACGACCATTCCGTTCCGAGACCGGTAGCATGACGGTAACACTCGCCAAAGGCAAGCAGAAGCAAAAGACCGGCTTCCCTGTCGTACTGAAGAAACTACGAGACAGAAAGGGCGACGCCAGGGAAGAACGTATCAACATGGGCGAGACAGCAGCCATGACCCGAGTCCGGCACGAGAATGTCGTCTCTGCTTTTCGCGAACAGTGGCCTCAGGGCAACGTAATTCTCGTCGAGCACACTCCTCATGGCAACATCACCGACTTCATTCGCAACCACAGCGCCAGACGACTGAAGGAAGACGCTGTGATGGATCTCGCCCTGCAAACCCTCAAAGCCCTTTCCTACCTCGCATCGCAGGGGATATCGCACCGTGACCTCAAGCCCACCAAGATCATCGTGTTTCGGACCGACCCTCCCCTCTTCAAACTCACAGAATTCGGCGGCGAGGATTTGATAGACGCACGACAATACCTTGCCGACCGCATCGCAGACGACACAATCGACTACGTCGCCCCCGAAATCTTCGAACGCGGTGCAGGCGCTTTGCCTTCCAAGACCGACGTCTGGAGTTTAGGTATCGTCATGTGGGAGTTGCTGGTCGGTAACACGCCAGTGCCGTTCCTGGAGGAGATGAACTACATGTCTTGCTTCCGCGCCATCTTGAACTGGCAGCCCAGAGTCAAGGAGCTGCAAGAGTATGGGGTCAGCGATGAAGGACAGGAATTGATGATGAGAATGGTGGAGAGGACGCCAAAGTTCAGACCCGATGTCGAGACATTGAAGGGTGATGAGTGTTTTGATTACCTCGAGTATGTGAGGAAGAATGAGCCGTGCGAGTAAGTCTTGTCTTTCCTGACTGCTGCTGCTGCTTTACCAGCAGAGATGCTAACGACGTGGTGTAGTTTGCAAGATTGCTTGTTGTGAAGCACATACATGAAAACACATGTGACGGACGGATAAATTGTTTGTGACCAAAAAAAAAGCATGGGTGGATCAAATGGGCATTTGGGATATCCGGGCGTCTCGTTTCTGTGGTAGGGAAGCATATTATGATCGAAAAGGTATGATGTTTAAGATGCATTTGGAAAGAGGATTGGAGAATACATACGAGCCAATTACTGCGAATATTTATCACACCTTATGAGTACTACGTTAACACGATTCTTAATGCAGTAACATAGCCGCGTTCACGAGGAGAGACAAGGTCATGGTGAAAAAAGATCGCTCAATGCGATCATGGATGCAGTAAAAGTACATGTTATGCCAAGCTATTGCGTGTTTCTTTCTGCATTCGTCGTCGGGCATGATAGAAGTCGGAAAAGTCGTGAGAAGTTGAACAGGTGTCTTTTAGACGGACAACAGAGAACAAATCAAGGATCTCTGTCTGCACCACCGTGACCAGCCNNCTGCGACTGTGGTTAGCACATGCAGAGGAAGAAAAGTGACGATTGAGGAAAAGCTTACCAGAACTCCTTGCCAACCTTGTCGCCCTTCTTGCTCTTGTCGTCACCGAGCTTCTCGGCGGCCTGATCGGCCTTCTCGTCCATCTCCTTGTTATGCTGCTTCACATCCTCAGGAAGGTCTTTCTCGGCAGGGGTGGATTGGTTCTTGTTAAGCTTGGGTTCCAAGCCTTTTGTCGACTTTGGGCGGTCTTCGCTCATTCTTCTAGCCGTGGTGGAAAAGCTCTTCTTTTGTTGCTTTGCAGCTCCAGTGTTGTGGCCGGTGCTGTCGGCCTTGGTAGCGCCGCCACTGCCCTGACCGGCCTTTGGGGGAGGAGGACCAGGGTGCTCCTTGTCGGCCGAAGGGTTGGCGCCTTGTTCTTGGGGCTTCTCACCCTTGGGGTCACCTGAACCGCTGCCGTAGTCTTGATTGGCCATTCTTCTGGCCATGGTGGAGAAGCTCTTCTTTTGCTGCTTTGCTGCTCCAGTGTTGTGACCGGTGCTGTCTGCCTTGGTGGCACCACCGCTGCCTTGGCCAACCTTGGGAGGAGGAGGACCAGGGTGTTCCTTGTCGGCAGAGGGGTTTGCGCCTTGCTCTTGGGGCTTCTCGCCCTTGGGGTCGCCAGAACCGCTGCCGTAATCTGAGGATGCGAAGCGTCTGCCGCTGACGCTCAGGGCGGGGCTACGAGCAAAGGTGCGAGGAGCATTGCGGAGGAAGGTTGTGCGTAAGAGACTCATGGTGAATTGATGGATGCAATGTTTTGTTTTGGTATTGAAGGAAGAAGAGAAGGGTTCAGAAAAACAATTGAGAGCAATCGCGTGTCGTCCCTGGGAAACGGAAACTACATCATCGAGGCAGCTTCACATCAGTGATGTCACCAGGTGACCTTTCCCCACACTAGATTTTATGCAGCACAATTCATGAACCACATCAATGCACCACCACGAAGAGATCAGGATAATTGGAAGACACGAAAAGAATAGCACGTTCAATGTGCAGAGGTAGATTTCATTACAAAACATCTCAAGGCTTGGGTATTCAACAGCAGGTACAAGAATCCTTTTTCCAAATACAATCGCTTTTAACAAGCAGTCGCTGTCCAAAGCAGTCCAAGAAACGCCATAAATGCAAAAATGGAGTGCTCAGATGATAATCTCATCTTCGAGCATACTCCCATCGCCCGTGGTTTCCCATGCGCTCCAAGTATTCCGCTGAGCGTCTTCCTGCGCATGCCGTGCATGGCCTGCAGTCTCTTGGTCCGCCCATCGTACATCGTCCACTATATTGTTGCTAGTGTAGTACGCCGACCGTGGGCCAGGAGGTCCAATCTTTACTTTTGCAGCCGAACCCCAAGCTCCCGGGGAAGCTGGGTAGTACTTGTATCTTTGTTGCCCCCAGACGACTGTCCACAACCATGCAGCCGAAGATGCGAGCGGGGATATCAACGGAGTCAAGGGCCGTGATGCCAGTGTGGGTAGAACATAAGGGAAGCGTGGTGCGTGCGGGTCTACACCAAATCCGTGCATCTTAGTCGCAAATCTCGGGGGACTGACGATGGAGCTGAGCGTCCATTCGATGACTAGCCATATCCAAAACAATGTGCATGCCAGTCCGAGCCAAGTCAATCGGAAGCCTAGCGGAGCTCGAGTACTGCGACGGAAATACCAGCCCCAATACTCATTCCACGCGGCGCGAAGCACACTGGTTGGTCGTCCGCATTGTACACATTGTGTGCCTGCTACATGCTGATGACCACCTTGAGTATCGCTCGACCGAGAGATAGACCCCCTCGAGGCGGATGCGATAGCTTCATCCAAAGCACGGCTGTTGTTGGTCTGAGATTTTGGTTTGGATGTGACACTTGTGCCGCTCAACATCTTCTTGACCCCTCCAAGAGCGGACCATCTCTGCCGTAGGTCTGCGTCTTGTTGTGAAATCTGTGCATCATCCTTGGAACCAGACTTTGGCTCTTGCTTTTCCTTCGCGGTATTCACACGGGTTGTATCCTGCTTATTGTTTGCCTGCGAATTTGGAAGCTGGGCCAATGGTACGTTCGGAAGGTCAAGTCTCAGAGTATTGTCGGCAGAGGGGGCCATAACGTCCTCCAAACTGGCAATGGTGGAGTCACCAAGCGTTGGATCGTCGTCTTCTCGCCGCTTTCCGTTCCGGAGATCTTTGAGTACAGCATCCAATGCAGAAGAGGGCAAACTCGGTTCGCTGATCGAACGCTGATGTAAATCTTCAGCGACTGACTGGACAGGTTCGGAAGGTCGTCGATCGACCCGAGATGTAGCAGCATGGTTCGACTGACGAGTAGTCTGTGGTGTATCGATCCAGGCGCCCATCACCACAGGAGTCTTCGCAGGTAACTGTCGCTCGGGTGGTCTTGAGGGAGTGACCATGGGTTCCGAAGGCGCAGGTTCTGGAATCTCGACTACTTCGGGTGCTTGTGATGAGTCACCCTGCTCAACGTAAACGAGCTCAGGGCCTTTGACGACTTCAGGAGCTTGCGGTGAATCTCCCCTGAACAACGATCGCGTAGACTGCTTTGGGTATTTGTCCGACCACGCAGTATCCTGGTGAGGAGGATTGGTTGCTGGCATGGTATCCTTGGCTGAGGTAGGTGAGGGCGAAGCGCTTGGAGTCCTAGACAGCCTTTTAAGCAATGCCAGGGAGTCTGCCTTTCGCTGTGCAGGTCGTGGAGTAATGGCAGGCATTTCGCTGGTCTCGACAGTTTTGTACAGGGATCGGGCTGACTGACGCGGTGCCAGGGGTATGTTCTCTTTATTGGAAATGGTTGGTTTGGGACCCTGCGCTGAGCTAGGTCCTGCATAGTTGTCTCGGTAGGAAGGCGATACTGTCTCGTTTACTGTCTGTTGTCTTGCTTGGTGACGAGTGGACGAGGAAGCGCGAGCTTCGTAGATCTGAACTTCACGCTCGCGGATCTGATCAATAGTCAAGCGAGAACGTGAAGGTACGGCAGGTGTGGAGACCAGGAGCGAGGCGGCACTAAAGTCTTGGTCTAGGTTCCACTGGTCGATATGACTGTCCCGCTCTTCGACGATTGCTTGTCTCTCAATGGTATGGGCGTGTCTTGTTGGCGGAGAGACATGGGCAGACGAGTATATTGAGTCGTTTGCAGCATCTGCCCAGTCGATATTGGGACTCGATTGTATGTTGGTCAGGGACTGGTCGTGGATCTGCCGCATCCACGCGTGATTTGGTCTTCCTTTTCTCCCCCATGCTCGCGGCGGGTTCAATGGGGGATCGGATGCGGTGCTGCCAGAGAGGCTAGCTGGATGGTGTTCGGGCTGATGCGAAGGCGGATTGTAGACATTGTTGCGCTCGAGGTTGTCGAGGCTGAGGGCGGCGCGTGGCAGGGGCTTTGCTTTCCTAAAGGCGTGCGACGATGTCAAGGCCGAGATGCGCTGGGCGTCTTTTGTATGTTGGAGAAGCTTGCGACCGAATTCATCCGAGCCATCGAGGGAGCTGAGGTCGGAGAAGTTGGAGGCGTCGTCGTAGTGCGACATGGTTGCGACGACTCGAAGGTGAAGAGGTATTGATGTTTATGGCAGCATGCAGGTGTTTGTATGCACATTCATGTCCAGGGCGACGAGTGGAATGGTCTGCTATGCGTCATAGTGGTTGAGAATGGTTATGCGACCAGGATTGGACAGACACGACGAGAGCTAGAAAATGTCAAGATGATGGCATGCGAGTCTGTTGTTGATGCGTCCGCCTTTGTTGACGCCTTTTGCGCGTGTCAGGGTGACCGGAGAGGTCCAAGCTCGGTCACCCCCACGTCGTCCCTCGGAAGCCGCCAACCTGCGTCGTCCATACCAGCGGCCCGCCAGACGACAGTTCAGACATCCAATTCTCCTCATACACACACTGCAACCATGGCCGAATTCAACTGGCGCACAATCAACATCGACGCTCTCGACCCCGAATCCTCCACAAACTTCGACCTCTCCACCCTGACACCAGCTGTCCAACCCGTCAGCCACCAAGACGTCCAAGCCCTCAGCCAGCAGATCAGACAACTATGGCGTGGAGGTGATGCCGAGGGTGCTCTGCGCGGTGCTCTCGAGAACGCCCCCTATGGAGCCGATGCTCCATCCAAGGACTCGTACATGCAGACCGTCACCGAAGTCCTGCAACAAGTCCGCACCGCCGACATGGGTCCCTTATTGCAGCGCATCTACACATCTGAAGGCGGCTCTGAGCTATGCGACACCCTGATGAAGTACCTGTAATCATTCATCTAACATCTCTCTGCCCGACATGCGCTGAACCATCCCAGATACAAGGGCATGGCCTCTGGTGCCTCCACCACCAACCCTTCCAAGAACGTCACACCACAAGTCACCGGCTTCTCCCAGGTCCAACCGCGCAACACTGCCGAGGGCCAGGGTGGAAACATGGGTGTCTTTTTGAGTTGGCACGAGAAGGTATTCCCAAGTTACTGCCTTTACCATATGTACCCTACTGACCATACACTCTCCTACAGGNTCATCGAAGTCGCTGGTCCCGGAACAATCGTACGCGTCATGTCGGACCGTAGAACCGTTTGAAATATTCGACTCATGTACATTACGAAAATACCCAACTAGAAGCGTTACTATCCATCACCTCCACACGCGCCATGGCGCTGTCCATCAAAATTGTGGCGGAAGGCATATCGACCGAACCGTCACATAGCAACTTTACTTGAGGTTGAACACGCAAGAAAGGAAAGGATAGAAGGGTTGGTATGTGGTGAATATATGTATCGGAGTCTCTCGTAGGAGTAACCCTTCATACAAAGGTATGCTATTTTGTAAAGGTACATCCCAAGAACGCCATGCATGCAGTGTCAAAAGCAACTCTAGTGGGTATCTGCTGCAAGCAATAAATAAAAGAAATGCCAGCTCGTCAGACTTCATTAATACAACCCAAAGCATATAGGGTATCATCATTAAAATATGCCATCAGGTACTCAGTATCTGAGTACCCTAATCATCATTGCAAACCCGCTGCTCAAACGTGGGCAGGGTTGACGGGAGGTGCGCTTGAATCAAAGCTGTGGTGGTTCGACGTCTCTGCAGATGCCTCATGGGCCTGAGTAGGCTCGTGAACATGGGCAGCTTCAGGACGGTTGGGGCGAAGGGCTTCGGGCTGCTCGCCAGTGAGGGGNTTGGTCAAAGGCTTCTCTGATGCATGTCCAGAGACAAAGTTGGACTCGACATCGACGTTGTTCTTCTTGGCCTCGCGGACATGTGTGCTCCAGGGTCCGACCTTCTCATCGTGGGTCTTGCCAACGACAAGGATGACAGTGCTGGCAATGACGAAAATCCAGCCGATCCATCCGAAGACGACCGAAGTCACGATACGGGCGCTGTGTCTGTAGTCGAGAGGGGTCTTGCCGTTCTCCATGACCAGTCTGTCTCCATCGGCGGTGCTGAGACCGATAACGTATGCGTTCTTCGTGGCGACAATGACAGTCATGGCGATACAACTGGCGAGGTGGATGAAGATACCAGCAATGGCAGAGAGCTTCCATCCAAGTCTGACACCGTGGTCTTCGTGTCTCTCAGGCCAGATCAAGTCGAAGAAGAAAGCGCCACCAAAAATGGTAGCAACGTAGATTCCGGCGAAGATGTTGTAAGAGGCGACACCAACGTAGTCGTTGTTGTACTCGCTAGCGCCAGGACCGCCATGAGACTCAATGTACTTTTGCTGACTCACGAACCGTGACAAGGCATCAGTTCCGAGGGACTCTGAGACGACACAGAAGATCATGGCGAGTTGGTACACAATGAATTTCGTTCTTCTCAGGTGGTAGACGTTGTTCCACATGTTGGCATTGCCGAATTTGGACCATGTGAACTCGCTAAAAGGCAAGCCAAAGATGACGGGCGCCATCTTGTTTTGATGTTGGTGGTTGAGGTTGGTGAAAAGGTTGATGTGCTTGATAAAGCAGACAGTTTCGGTTCCTGGTGGGGTTTAGGAGCAATAAATGGTGGCGATGCCGATATGGTTGATTTCTAATCCCAAGGATGAGGTGGAAGTCGGCAGGGAGGTTGGAAGGGTCCAAAAGGGTATGAAACGGAAGAGGAAGGAGTGGTGGAGCGTGGGCGGAAGGTGCATTTAAGAAGAGAAAAGCAGCAGTTCATCATCCCCGTACTCGAATGACCAACGTCCGTAATATCATGCCTATCTCGTTCTGTGCCGACCAACAATTTTTCCTTGCGGCCGTCAACTCTTCCTCCCTTGTAAGTTATGCGACGCCCTTGACGCAGCACAAGCACACGGATCGATTCCGATAAGCTTAATTCCGAATAGCCGCGTCGATCCTCGACGCCACCGACGTCTCAAGGCTTAATCCGAAAAGCATCCTCATACGATACGACCTCAAACACAACGAAGAGCCTCAAAAAGGCTTTTTGAGGTCGATTCGCCACCGACGAATACCATGCTCATCACCCTCATGTACTTTGTCAATTTGCATGCCCTATCCCCTCGGCCACGGATGTGTTGTTTGTGCATACAACTCTTCGTCTCAACCTCCATTCTCCAGACGACACTCCAGTGCACAGACGATCAACACGTCGACGTCATGCGTACCCACCTGTATGCGGCTTGAACCACGAATTAAATTGTTATGACGGAGTCGGGTTCATGACCGTCGTTGATGCCAAAGCAGAACTCACACCCAACCTCCTAACGTCTTACAATTCCATGTATCCCCACACAGTCCTCAGAGATTTATTCAGATCAGTTCCTAGATCACGATGACGGCTCGGCGGTTCTAGCTGTGTGCCTCAGTATCCAGAGTTCTGACGTGGACAGTGAGACAACCATGTAACCAGAATTCTCTGATATTGGGCGAATCAGAATGCCTTGGGCAGTTTCGGTCGAAAGCAGGAAATAGGTACAGGATATCGTTGCTGCAGCCTATACCGGTAACCCCTATCTTGAAGTTCCAGGGTGTTGCTAGGCACATCAATCTCTTGGCCAAACAAACGGTGTGCCGTTCATCATGACCCATTGTTATCTATATGGGCGAGGTAGGCAGTCCAGAGTGCACACAGAGAGGCTAAGAAGATGGTGAATGCATCGCAAGGCTCTTCATCCATACCTCCTCGTCAGCGAGCAGGATTTGAGAGTATCGGAAGTTCGACGCAACTCATTCCGTATCCGTTCAACGAAACGATCTGATCGACAACTACGGTATGCACCACCATGAGATCTTCATGAAGCGAGACTAGACTTGTTGTCAACTTGTCATGCAAAGCGACTCGGTCTTCTGGCTGTCATGTCTTGCCTGTTTACGAACGTCATCTATTGAAGGTGACAAATGAAGCAATGCACGTGAATCAAGAATGTAACTTCTACACTGTCCTTCTGAATGTTTTCATACTCGAAGCAACACAGTAGGGAGAGCGAACTCTGTCACCTCCTTACCGTGTGCTAAAGTCCGTAACTCTACCCTGCTCCCACCGGAGCCTAGAGCGAAGTGTGCATTATAGAAAGGCGTAACTGCTTTCTGAAGCAGAGGATTGACCAAAGAGAGTCGCCTAGATGTTGGCTCTGAGCCTCGTTTGTTTATAAAATTGTGCATTTTCACAGCTACACGCGTTACAGAGTATATTGTACAGGTCGACGGCTGGCGTTTCACAACTCGTGTGCCTGGGCTGCCACAGTACGTGGTGCCTCTTGTATCAGAACATTGTCTAGTCCTCCCGTGTGCCAGTCACAGTGCATCCATAAAAACGCATATTCCTTTCTGTAACAGAGCGATTGCCACAGAGAAAAGGTCTCGTTTAGCATCTCCGTGGCGAAATCTCTGCTCAGAAAGAAACTGTGCATTTCTATAGCTTACGATAATACAGTGGACTAGTGAGGAAAGAGCTCGGTCATAAGAGCTATGGATGTCTCCTTAAAAAAAATTGTGAGGCTGAAACCCATGCTCTGTCGGCTCTGTCTGAAGGACTTGTCTCAAGCTTGGAAACAAATGCTGCATTTCCATGGCTTGCCTGTCACCGATGGTACAGGCGCGGGAGTAGAAGGTAGCAGATTGCACAAAACTCCCAGTCGTGCTCACTTGGTTGCAGTGATACCATTATTGTGATGTCTTGACGTTGACATGGCGCCATAAAACCAGAAATGGAGTGGCTGGGTTTATGCCAAGACTGTCGACAAAACACATGTCAACGCGGGGAGAGCTGGGGTTATGGCTGAACAGCATCCTCAAGCTATACGAACAGCATCTGAATGGAAGTAGCTGATTGTCAAATTGTTGACTGAGATACACGCTGGTAAGAGGTTCACTGTGTTATCTTGCAGAAATCATGGAAAGCAATGGATCAGAAAGGTGCTGTGAACCTCCGAACAACAATGCGATGTTCAACTCATTACGTCACGCGTCGTAGCAGCCGATGACGCCCTGCTACTTGATTTCCTCATAAGACGACCGTACTTTTCTTCCTCGCACATCTCTCCCTCTTTCACCTACCTAAATTAATTTCGGTATCCGCAAACATGAGATTCAACTTCGCGACCGCCGCTGTGCTCGCCCTCGGCGCGCAGTCTGTTGCCGCCAGCACCTGGTTCAGCAAAGCTGGTAAGTGAAGAATGTTCGTTGATGACAGCTGGCTCGCCATTGGATTGTCCATCGAATGCACCTCGGAGTATTCCCTAGACGATCAGTGGAGCCTGCTACAGCTTCTCGATACGGCTGTTGAGCTGTGTCGAGATGATGTGGTGTATCCTGCGACTGACAAGATTTGCAGCTTACAACAAGTGGCATGAGACCGAGTTGGAGAGATGGCTCTCTGACCACGATGTCCCCTACCCTACCCCTGCCGACCGCAAGGATCTCGTCGACCTAGTCAAGACCAACTGGGACGAGAAGGTTGCTCAGCCCTACAACAGCTGGGACACCAAGCAGCTCCAGAACTACATCTCAAGCTCTGGCCAGCAGGTCAAGAAGGGCACTGAGCAGAACAAGGACAGCCTTGTCAGCCAGGTCAAGTCGTACTGGTATGAGACTGCCGACCAAGCCTCGGACGCCTATTCGTCTGTCCAGGACTGGGTCTTTGACAGCTGGACCGACTCGCAGCTCAAGTCTTTCCTCGACTACCACAGCATTCCCAACCCCTCTCCTCGCTCCCGCGACACCCTGCTTCACTCTGCTCGTTCCAACTACCAGTCCGTCGCCAAGAAGGCTGGTGAGACCACCGCTTACCCCGGCAACTGGCTCTACTCGCAGTGGGCCGACTCTGACCTCAAGGCCTGGCTCGATGAGCGTGGCATTCCTGTCCCTCAACCCAGCTCTCGTGACAAGATGATCGCTGCCCTTCGCCGCAACTCCCGCACTGCATCCAACCAGGCTGCTAAGGCTGCCGCCTCTGCATCTTCTTCTGCCGCCGGCGCCCAGCAGTCGCTGTCTGAGCAGCTCCTCAACTCTTGGTCCGAGAGCCAGCTCAAGCAGTGGTTCGACAAGAACGGCATCAAGGTTCCCCAGGGCTCCAAGCGCAACGAGCTGATCGCCCTCGCCCGCAAGCACAGCGCTAAGCTTTCCGGTGACAACGTCTCCGCCTCGGCCTCTTCGCTCTACGGTGAGGCTTCCAAGTCTGCCGGCTCCGTCTACAACGCCGCTTCTGGTGCTATTGGCAACTCTGCTTCTTCCGCCTCTGGCGCTGCGGCCAAATCTGCTTCCTCCGCCTCGGGTGTTGCAGCAAAGTCTGCTTCTTCCGCCTCTGGTGTTGCTGGCAAGTCTGCCTCTTCGCTTTCCGGCGCTGCCGCCAAGTCTGCCCACTCGGCCACCAACGCCGCTGGCAGCCAGTTCGCATCTGCCACTGATTCGGCTTACGGTTCCGCTCAGTACTGGTTCGACTGGGCCAAGGCTCAGATCGGCATTGGTGGTGAGGAGGCCAAGGCTTCTCTCGCTTCCATCTCCAGCGTTGCCTCTGCTTCTGCCTCTTCCCTTTCCAGCTACGCCTCCGCATCTGGTTCGTCCGGCTACAACGCTGCCACCGATGCTGCTGCTGCTTCCGCCTCCTCTGCCTCGAGCGTCGCTGGTGACTATGCCAACAGCGCCTACGATGCTGCCGCCGCTTCTGGCAAGTCTGCCACCGATGCCGCTGGCAAGTCGGCTTCTTCTCTGACTGGTGCTGCCGCCAAGTCCGCCTCGTCCGCATCCAGCGCCGCTTCGGTCGCTGCTTCCAAGTCGTCGTCATCTCTTTCCAGCGCTGCTGCCAAGTCTGCCTCGTCCGTCTCTGCTTCTGGCCCCAAGTCTGCTAGCAGCGCTGCCAGCAGTGCCTCCAAGGGCGCCGCCGGCTACGCCCAGCAGGCTGCCGATGCAGTCAGCGAGAACGCCAGCTCGGCCAAGCACAGAGCTTCCGAGGCTGCCCAGAGAGCTACCGACCGCGTCAAGGAGGAGCTCTAAGTCATTCATAACAACCCCAGCAAGAAATGAAAAAAAGCCGAAATGAATCTTTACGAATCATGATGATCGGAGGAGGAAATGGCGATGCCAATGTGCCTGTACTTTTATCATAGCCAACGACACTGATGACCCAAGAGGGTTACCTCTTGTTTCCCTAGCTAGTTTATCAATAACCTTTTTGTTCTTCATTTTCATGCTCCTCGTTTATGTTGTATTGGTTTCATGGGTGCACTCTTATAATTATAATATTTCGTATCATGCTCGTGATTGTAAGATACCCTACGGATGTGTCCTCCGTCCCCGGCACCATTCTCAAAGCTCAAACAATCGCTGTATTCAGCTATAATGTACATGATGATGCTTCGTCCACGCCGACACGTCCGTTTCGCCTTCTCGGACTTTGATTTCTTTTTTCTTTCTTCTTTCTTTTTTCTCAGATATTGCTGCTGGTATGACCCTGCACGCTCATCTTCATGGTCCCCAATCCCAGGAGTCTCACAGATCTGTAGACTAAGGATGGGAGGTATGTAGTATATCTCATTGATGAGCATAAGCCATGTAAAGTAATCGCATGGTTTAGTAAGGTATCTGGCCTTGCAATGACTTTAATAATTTAATGTAGAGGACATGAGATGAGATCGTCGTCGGCAAGGGGAGGTCGTTACCTTGAAACTACAATCTAACATAATCAGACATCTACAGTGCAAGTATGCTTAAGATCTAGATACTTGCTGCGATTGACCGACCCGGGAACATATGGTACAAGTATCGGTAGAGTGGATTCAATCCATACAGAAAGACAGGATTGCCTCGTGGTTTGGGGTGATCTCAAAAAGCCACACACAGTAGGCTGAAAACTGCAGGTATCTTGACGACCGCAATGGACATATCGGTACTACTTCCATGAGGTATTGGAAGCTAGGCGGAACCGGTATGGAGCTATATAGTTCGTGTGTGTGTGGTTGAGCAATATTAAACAGCAAAACAACACAGCATCCGGCCCCATCAATACCTCTCAATCAACCATGCGTGTCGTGACCTTTCATCCATCTCTTCAAGCATCTGCTTCTCAGCCCTCTTCATAACCACGTAACCATCGATCAGCTCAGGGCTCACGTACTTCTTCAGCACCGTAATTCCATCAAGCCCGTCTAGTGACTCCTCGAGCGACTCGGACATTTTCCTCTTGATGCCGAGTTCTTCTCGCTGAGTATCGGTCAGGTATGCCGGGTTCTCAGTACAGTCTTTCATCTCCATTTGTTTACTGCTCTCTACACCATTCAGACCGGCAGCAAGTAGAGCAGAGAGAGCAAGGTAAGGGTTTGCGAAGCCGTCCAGACAGCGAACCTCCCATCGACCTTGCTTGATCTTGCGGAGTGGCACTTCTCTATTTTGTGTTCCCCATGCCACCCAAATACCATTGGTCCACATGTCTTTGGCAACACGGTCGTAACTTACTTCGTTGGGCAGTAAAAAGGCACACAGAGAAGGCAGCTGATCGAGAATGCCGGCGAAGAATGACAACTCCTTCTTTTCCAGCTCTTCTATGGATAGACTGGTTGAGTTGAGCGAGATGTGCACATGTTGACCTGAGCCCACATTGTTGAGAGGCACTGGATGTAGCGTAGCACGGAGTTTATGTAGACGAGCGATCTGTTGAACGACCTGGCGTGCTTGTATGAGCGTGTCAACTGCCTCGACGACAGGCAAAGGTGGTAGTACGAATTCATATTGTCCGGGTCCAGATTCGGAGTGGAATTGTTGCACATCGATACCAATGTTCGCCAGCTCGTCCGCAATCTCAGCAAGTACTGGCAATGCAACCTCGAATTGCTCCGGAGTGAAAGTACCCCAAGCGTGGTTCGTCGTCCAGGGCTCGTATTGCCCTTTGGAATCTTGTTTCAGGAACACCACTTCGATCTCGAAGCCAGCTAAGAATGTGACCCCATGGTCATTCATGAAGCGATCTGTCAGGCTCCGAAGAGTGTTTCTCGGAAAAAGATGTGAGCGAAGGTTGTTNTTTTCGTTGTGAAAAGATCCTATCACCGTAGCAGAAGCAAGCGGGTCCCTAGAATGTGACAACTTCAATGAAAAAATGTCAGGCTCGACGTAAAGTTGACCTGTGGATGAGACTGCCGAAGTGACACGATCGTTCTGCAGAGTGCCTGTATTACCTAGTGAGATGCCAATGTGGTCTCCATTGGTTATCATGCGACGGAAGCTGGCGATTGGTAGCATCCTAACACGCAGCGTATTAAGATAATCGAGCCATTGGACGTAGATAAATTTCAACTCTGGGTGCTGTTCAAAGAACTTTGTGAACATGTCCATATCGTAGGGCTTCTCGTGTAGCTCAGTCTCTTTCCACGCGAGCTGTAGAGGCTGAGGGGCTTGCAAGATCCTAGCTTCGCGGTTGCTCTGGGCTCTGGTTCGTCGTGGTTGCTCATTCTGTCAAAGGTATCAACAGGGGTTCGACTAACCCGTCAATCGTTTCCCTACAAGATCACATGCATTTTCCTGCTTGTGCAGACTCAGAGTGTTTGGGGAACATACCAGTTCGGGTCCTGGGAGCTCTGCCTCGAGATTGTACACTCGCTTCGCATTGTTGAAGTAGATATCCTGTGCAGCTTGGATGGCTTGCTCAGCCGTGAGATCATCATTCTCCACATACTCTACAAGGACCTTCTCGAATGATTGTCTGAACTGCTTCAATGCAAGCCAGTAGACCTCTCCGAAATGATGGGCATCGGTACTGAAGAGCAACTTCGAGAAAGGTGTTATTTCCATGCATTGACGCAGGATAGTCTCTTGTCCGTTCCTGCTGACCTGAGGAAATACCTCACCGAGGTCAAGGTAGACGTTCTTGTAGACTGTGGCAAGGTATCCGGCTTGGCGCATGTATGGGTAAGATGTGTGCAGAAGGATCATCTGAACGTCAGGGTAGGCAATAATGAGAGATTGAAGGTGAGAGGGGTCGGACAGCAGCAGATTGATGTCTGCATCGCCAAGACCGGTATGAAACTGAAGCGGCTTGCTTATTGAGTCTTGCTTGGCTGCTGCGCTCAGAAGTCGACATGTTGAGATGACGAGGCTGTCGTTCAGTCCCTTGGACTCGATACGAAAATCATCTCGCAAGCAATGAGGAAGATAACCGCTTTGGAAAGCCTCGAGACCATTCGTAGCTATCTGAACATCTCCAGCGATCTTGACATCCAGACCAGTTCGATAGCATATCACAGACTTGAATCCTGCTACGTCCGGATCATTAATCTCGGTAACGATGGAGGACTCGAAAGCTTGGAGGAAGGTGATCCAGGCTTCAGCACACATGTCATCGTTGTGTATGGCCGGTCCGATAGGTAGAGTGCCTTTCCTGTACATCTCACGCAAAATGTCGGCAGCCACAGTTTCGATTCGAACGATGCGCAGTGTCTTGTCGAGAATGAAGTCATCGTGCCAATCGAAAAGGTAGACGGTCGTATCATCGAGACCGTCGTCCATGAGAATGGTGTGTATTCCAGTAAAGCATCTCTGGAGAAAGCTCTCGAAGTCTCCTTGCAAGATGTCTGCTCTCTTATCCATCAAGTCGCCCCATGTTGCATTATTTCCAAGGTCATAGAGTTCGCATAATTGGCGAACAGCCCGGATGTGCGATAGCGACGTTTTTGTGTCTTGAAGAGCATCTCCTTGTGCTTCTGTTGTTGCGGTTAGCAGGTCGTGAGCTTCTTGCTTCGACGGCAGCAGAAGGTTATGAGCGTGATTGTCAATAACTGGGCACGAACGAACAACGTTCCTTAGATCGTCCAGAGTAGCCATGTATGCTTGTCCAGACAAGTTCTCGATATAACAAGATCATGGGCAATTCGCGACTTCCATGTTAAACACGCGGCCCTTATCGATAAGCCGAGGTCTCTGCCATGTGCGTACACAGACAGTCACAACCTCACGATCAACTCCTCTCCCGAACGACATATAGTGCCGTTGTATGCCATAGAACTACAAATGCAGCGCAGAGGTCTGGCCATAGAGATATTCATGGGTAATTCTATCTCCGTGGAACTCGCTTTGTTGTGGAAACTACTGTGCAATCCTATAGCTACTCGTGATTGTCTCTAGCACACAGGGAGAACATATCAAGCCTTTCACGATAACACAGAGCAATGTTTCAAGTTACAATCCCCATGTACTCATAGAAAATGTTCTGAGGTTGAGGTGATCTGTATCATGGTATTCATTAGACGAAGCCCAGCTCGTCATTAATTGTGTTCCCGTGTCCTCCAGTCTGTTTCTGATGTACTATAGTTCGATAGCGAGCTTACTCGTTCTTCTTGATGACCTTCTTGCCCATGCTAAGACCTAGACCGTAATCATAGACAAGAGAACCTCCCAAGTTGGCGCCAAACATTAACAGAGCTCCCAGCACAATGCTTGCGCCGACCATCCAGGTCTGAGGCTCGTAGGCCATAGGGTTGAGTCCCTCCTTGATGTACTCCAAGCTCGAAGTGCTTCTTCTCTTGTACCAGATCCAGGCCGACACGGCGATGACAATGTCGTTGACCAAGGCGTGTGCAATCAGGACCTTGGACTTTGCCTTTAGCTTTCCGCTCTGGTCGTAAAGACCTTGGTTCTGGACCATCTGGGCGGCTTGAGCGATTCCAGAGGCGGCCGCGGGGAGAGCGGTGAGGACACCGAGTCCGAGGGCCCAGTAACCAATACGTGTGGTCTCGACGACAGTGGGGAGGTAGCTGATCAGGGTGCTGGGAAGGTATGGGCGAACGACATGGAGGGCATCGAGACCGTAAGCCGTGCTCAAGAAAGCAATGGGCCAGTGAACGGTTGCAGGATGGACGGGGTGACTACGCAGATAAATATGTCAGCTCTTTGCGGTGGCATAGCTCATTGTTGTCGCTGCTCAACAAGCAACAATGTGGGGAAAGCTTGCATGACTTACTCGAGAGACATGATTGATGGTATCAACAAGACTTGGTGCAATTGTGAGAAGTGTAATAGTAAGGGGCTCTCGGAGAATTAAGCTGGAATCGTGAGAGAAGCAAACAAACAGTTTCTAAATATTGTTTCCCTGCTTGGACAAGTAGACGAATGTTGATCGGCCCCTCCGCTCCCGGCGAAGTGCAGCTCTGAGAATGGTCATAATTTGGTCATCAATCCTGCATCCAACCGTGATTCCTGCGTTCACAACATCTCGGGAACAGAACACAAATAACCTTGGAAGACTCTTCATCCGAAGGCTATAGAACAGGTTGGCGCCTAGCTTGGTGTTACTCTAATCGTTTCCATCCACATAGAAATACAGCTGTCTGAGATAAGCAAAGATCAAAGAAAAGACTGAGCTAGGAGCTTGGGCCTTCTATGACAGAAAGAGCCTCTCCGAAAGAACTGAGCCAAGGACCGTGAATAGGTACAGAGAGCAAAAGAAGAACGTTCTGGGAAGATGCAAAAAGAATGGTTGATTAAGGTCGTACTGGGGCTCGAACCCACTGGGCGATGTTAGATTTGGTTCAGATGAACATCTTGATTGGTCGAAACTTACGGACTCGAGAAGATTTGATGGTAATCAAAATCTCGCGTGCTAACCGCTACACTATACAACCGAGTTGTTGCAGCAAATTTCATTATTACAACATATATTAGTGACGTGCACGTGCAGGCAGCTGTACTAAAGCATCGAACGTCTCGAGGACATGTATCAGACCAAATCAAAATCAAGTGCAAGATCAAAGTTCCTGTCATTCATCATTGCTGTGCCAATCTTGTATGTACTAGCCTCCTGGTCCAGCTCTGTAGCAATTCCAATCGTCATCAAAGTCATGTTTCTCATCAAGGTCATCTCCCATACATCCATCAGCACCTGTCCCAGCCAACAACACATCCCTCATCTTCATCATCCTCACCACTCTGCACAGCATTATCATCACTCCCACTCCCATATCTCTGATCTTCCTCATCGATAACGCCATTCCCATCTTCCTCAATCCCAGGCCCCTTTTCGGCAATCTCACTCTCAATCAAGCTCTTCAACAACCCGCAGAACTCGGCGTGCAGGCGCACAAAGAAGTACTCGTCTCCAACAATCTCAGCCAGACTGCGAGTTTTGGGGACGTTTGCTAGCGGGGAGGCTGCAGATAGGGAGGAGCGAGGGTAGCCGTCTGGGTCTACGGATTTGGCGGACAGGAAACTTGACACGGGTGTGACGGCTGCAGACGTGGGTGCTGGTTTCTGCGGATGGCTTGTCGTAGACACAATGGACGAGGCTTGAGAGTGTGTGCGTTGTGGCTGTGGGGGGGACACGGGTGGAGGAGTGCGTTCAGCGGAGCCCATCGACATTGGTGGTGAAGGTGTAGCACTCGAACTGTAGCTACGCAAGGATCCGACATTTGCGGCAGACGGTTCAATTGGCGAGGCTTCTGCGCTTTCTCCCTGTTGTATAGTGGACAGATGTGTTTCAGCAAGCGTGACGATGGACTTGGCCCACGCTTCAAAAGCACGCCGGACGGTCATCTGGTGTCGGAACAGGGAGCGCGAGCCCACGGCTACAAACGCATATGCTCTTCTCTGTCCCCTAGCTCTTGGATCCGGCAGGCGAAAGACATGTGCGACATTGACAGTCCTTGGATCTTTTGGTCCTTGGGTAGCCAAATCGGTGGTCAAGGTCATGGAACCGGAATTCTGGCCACGAGGCAGAGACTCCACAGCTAAGGCGCGTGTGCAGGCATCGCGCAGCAGGGGATTGGAGGGCGCTCGCGTGGTCGCAAAGGTCGAATCACGCCATTTGCTGCGAAGTACGGGCGGAGTTGTTGTTGCGGCTGGCACGTTGTATGAGCAGTTGGCGCAACTTGTGCCCGTCTCGTTCGGCGGCGGCGATGTTGCAGTCGGCGACTGGACCGAAGTCGTCAGAAGTGCTTGCGGTCCATGGATCTCGCAGAAATGCCCAAGCGATATCAGCGTGTCTGCCATATGGGTCGATGACCAGGAGCAGGGTCAGCGTGCTTTGGCTCGCGTGGCATTGGCTGTGGGGCCGATCAACAGACGACTCTCCGCCAAAACAACCTCCTCTCATCTTTGACCTATCATGCTATCATAAGCCACAGGAATGCACAATTGAATCTCATTATAGGGATACCACCATGGAGAGGCTTAAACACAATCTTCTCTCCGTGGACATCGCTCTGCTATATGAGAGATTGTGCATTTCTACAACTACACTGTCACTGTCTATTGCACATCGGGAGGCTTCCTCACACCTTTGGCCTGTCACCGCCTTGACGATAGGTTGAGTCTCAAACAAGAAGGTGTTCTCAAAGGTTCTGTTCGGTAGCCAGTTATTCATCTCCCAGCTACGCTCCCCAAAAGCTATATTTGACTAAAACTAGCAAAAATGTCTTGATAGCCATGCCGGTCATACTGCAATGGGTATTCCTCATAGCTCTCTCAACCATCACTTGATCGTTGGAAACACTTCCAGCCTCTCGAAAGCTTACTCGGTCATCTTGTACTCTGACCAGATATTAGCAATTAACATTTCCGGACTTAGAGCAACAGACTTACTGCTAACAACCATGAATGTAGCCTCGTTAGGAGCCAAGCCGTTGTCCGGAGCCGCCTGAATTTGTTCCTGAATGGCACCCGCAAAGGTCAGGTCGCTGGTGATGACTTGGTCGAACTGTCCCCAAACAATCATCTCCTCTGAAGCGAGCACTTGTTCGGCTTTGAGCTGACGCAGAAAGTCGGCGTATGATAGATCACGCCAATCCTCAAGCGACTCTGGGGGTGCATCCTTTCCATTCACAGCAATCTGACAGCGCCATAGTGGGAATGAAACGATCTTGCGGTTCCAGGGATCTGAGGAACTCGGTCTGATAACCAAGATCGTCTCAGCCAGCTTTGGTATGGGCTCTAGGTCCTCAGACTCTATTGGACTGTGCTCAGTAGATGGGAGTACCGAGTCGATTCTGGGGTTTGTGGGCTTATCGAATGGTGACTCCGAAAGCCCTTTGACGAGCTGATCACGGGGCGATGGTGTTCTTTTGTTGACCGATCCGAAGCTGAAAGGATTGCGAGGACGTCCCCGGGTGCGTATGACGAGGCTGTCTTCGTTGAGGTAAGGCACTACGTGCGTCGGCTCGCTGGGATTTGGCTTTGAAGAATCGATTTTCTTTGCTACCTTCTTCTTGGACACGGTCTTGGTTACACCCAGCTTCTTGTTGTAGTCAAANAGGTAGTTCGAGAGCACCTTGGCAATTGAGCTCTCAGTCCAGTTTTGTGACGCCTTAGACCAGTTCCATTTGCCCTGAAATTGGGTCAGGATTTGGTGCTTGTGGGACGCGTAGAGTGCGTTGCGATCTTTGCCGATTGGAGTTGGAGCAATTGTCCTTGCGGATGCGCGCAGCGCTTGTTCCAGGCTTTGTTCGTCGACTGTCAACAAGCCATGCATGGTGGCGATCTTTTTGGCATTGTGAGCCAAACCGACCTTTCCTGTATCTTTGGGCATGGCGAATTGATGAAGACGGAGAGCAGATGACAATGAGGATGGGAATCAGTGATGAGGAGTTGAGGTAATTGTTGGGTTAAGCGTCTGGTTCTTGAGGTGGAAGGAAGTAATTGACACGTGCAAGACTCGACGGCCACTTCCTGTTTGGCAACTACCAGCAAAGCGGGTTCGTGCTCCTTCCTCACAGATGTCTTCTCGTAGTCGCAATGCAACTTGTCTTTCCAGAGAGGTTGCAGAAGGAGACAATCATAGTTCCCACTAGCTATGGAGATCACAATACTTTCTAGAACCAGACGTTGTCCAAGGAGAGATGTCACCTTAGAGCTATCTCTGAGCTCACACTTCTGGTTTAGCAAACAACTGTACATTTCTATCGCATACTATAACACCATCTGCTGACCGTGGAGAAGCGCTATCTATCGAAGCTGACCACATGTTCTCTGAATAGGCCCGTCATTTACAGCTTCACTGGATAAATTGATCTCGTTTCGATTCATATATTGACATAAGTGCATGTATCATTTCTATTTCCGGCCCGGAAGAACCACCCGATCGTCGTCATCCTAGTTCGTGTTCTCGTCATGATTTTCTAACACAGGTCGAACTGCAAAACAGTAATACTGTACTTGGGCACATCCCAAGACCAAGCAGAACCATTCTCCGAGCTTGCGGTCGATTCAACTTCAGCAGGACGAGGCACAACCTCGGTCTTGTTGCCGACATAATTGTACGAGTTGAGGTCGCTAGCAGTGATAGAGGTACCGTTGACGCCTGAGTAAGCCGAGGGAATGTTGACGCTCAGAGGTACAGTGGAGTTCAAGGTGTTGATCACCTTGAGGTAGACAGCGTTCTTTTCCTCGTCAATGCTGGCTGCCCAGTAAAGAGGGTTGATCTGTCCTTCCGTGGCAGTGACAGGCAATGTCTCGGTACCGCGGTAGTGGGCGAACAGCCACTGTTGCCAGTAACTAGCACTCAGCACTGTGTTGTCATGCAGAGCATCATACGAAATCATGTCGGGAGTCCAGTTGGTGAAGTTGCGGTTCTGGAGTGAAGGTGCGTATGAGGACATCTTGACAGTGTGAGGATTGCGCTCGGCACCGAGTGCATAGACACCCTCAGCAATGGCAGAGAGGAGACGAGGGTACTGAACATGGACATCAAGAGGGTAAGAGTAGTTGACGACGCCAGAAGGTGTGTCAATCTGGATGACCGAGTATTCACCCAACAGGACAGTGACGTTGGTGTTGTTTGTTTCCTGCTGCCAATTGTCCCACAGATCGAAGTTGGTCAAGAACCAAGAGGGTTCCTGGTACCCGTGCCAGTCCCACATATTTCCATCCGGAATGGAGATGTTGTAGTTAGCGGCATTCTCGTTGAAGGCAGTGCTGATATAGGTGATGTCAGGGTATGCCTTCTTCAAGCCATCATACATGATCTGGAAGCGATAAGGGTAGGTAACGCTGAACCAATCTTCATTGCCAATCTCGACAAAATTGATCTTGAAAGGCTCAGGGTGTCCGTCGGCAACACGTCTAGCACCCCATTTGGTAGAGTTATCGCCCATACAATACTCGAGCTCGTCCAAGGCTTCTTGCAAAATTTCAGGCATCTGCTCAGGAGGATAGGAAGCACCGTTCTGTCCGTAGACATCGAGAGAGAAGCCAGAGTATACAGCTAGGACGGGCTCGATGTCCATGGCTTCGGTCCATTCCAGGTATTCAAGCAAACCAAGACCTTGAGTATTGTAGTAATTCCAGTCACCAACACGACCAGGGCGGTCCTGCAGCGGACCAAGAGTCTCCCACCATTTCCATCTCTGGGCAGGACTAAAGCCCTCAAGATTGTTACCACCAGGGAATCTCAAGAATTGAGGATTGAGGTCGTAGAAACCTTGAGCGATGTCAGGACGAAGACCGTTCTTGTAGCCTTTGAAGGTCTCGGGGAACACCGAGACCAGGTTGAAGTAGAAGGTCTGTCCAGCAACTTGAGCACCATCAAAGGTGATGGCAAAAGTGTTGTTGGCATCAGGAGCAGTTGCATTAGGATGCAAAGTAGTTTCAAGCTGCTTGAAATCGATATAGGTGGGTGTGACGTTCTTGAAGGTCGAGCTTGCCCAGGTCTCACCAGTAACGTTTGAGCGCAAGGATACAGTGATATCACTCGCGTTGCCCTGAGTGTTACGAGGGTAGTTGTTCAGGTAGAACAGCGAGGCGTTGTATTGCTGGGGACGGACATCGAAGCCCCACCAACCGAAATTCTGGAATCCGACTTCTCCAGTGGCATTGAGAGGAAAGTCGATCTGTAGAGAAGTCTCCAAAGCATCCGAGAGAGGGTGAAGGATATCGAGAGTCATGCGGACACCCTGACCGATGGGTGCCCACGCGGTCATGACAGGATCGAACGGAACGATTGGGTTCTCGGAGTCAGTCACATACGTACCAACATAGCCATCGAGTGTCGAGACGATTGCGTTGGACCCNTAGGCTGCATGAGTGAAGTTTGATGGTTATAAGATACTCTACACACCTTGGAAAGCACGGTTGGCAATCATTTCTGCGTAGATTCCACCATCTCCAGAGTGGTTAATGTCCTAAGAGACGTGGTCAGTTGAAGGGTGACATTGTTCAGAATTGATAAGGCTTACCTCATGCATGATGCCATAGAGGTAGGGAGAAGTGGCATTACGATTACTGCAGTCGACCGTATCAATGTGCAAGGCGACCGGTGAGTTGTCATTGCGAGTGGCATTGATATACGCTTGGTAAGAGGGAAGAGAGGAGGATAAAGCGGTATCGTTGTTGAACTGGCGTGGAGCGACATGAGGCAGCCTTCTGGCACTGACTACGCCAGCGCCAGCAAGGATAACAGTTGCAAGACCAAGCATCTTCGTTTGACTCCAACGTCGAAGAACCGAGATGCCAATGGTGAAAGCATAGTGGGCATGCTTTGCTCTATATATTGAGCCATTTGAAATTATCCTGATCATACAAGGCCAAGGGAGGATTCGCCGCGATAGATGTGGAAGCACCCGTAAACACTGAAATGTTCTCATGGAGACCATGTCATAGACCATCGAAACCCACCGGTAGCGGCGTGGTTCCTGCAGAGAAGAAGTTGGATCCACCAATGACAATGGCGAGGGGCTATCAAGGTGGAGGCTGGGGAAGTAGAGCCAAGGTGCGGGGATGGAGAACCACACATCACGGCTAAATGCGGATCACTATACCAAGCCGATGGAGGCATCTTGAAGCAGATCATCGGGCAAATAGGGTTTGACACATGAATTACCAACCTGTTTGCAGGTCGCAATGAGCCGGCGTGCAGCAAAAACAGAGCGCATCCTTGCTCAATGTCCGTAACCTCACCCGCTGCCTGCATATCGATGGCTGGGAGACCACTGCCTAAGCCTCTTGTTCTGCAAGGCCTCACAATGAAGTGACAAGGATGGAGTTGACCGAATCGAATCATTTGCTCCACCAATGGCCCGGTGTTTTCTTGCTCTGACCTCTTCGACCTAGAGATGAGCTGACATTACCATTGACGTGGGACTTTTGCGCTCCATCTCCATCCATCAGTTTCCTCCACAACTCTGCGATTGGGATCCGTTTTGCTGGAAGCATACTATACTGCAGACTGTACAGACTCTTGCGATGAATTGGCGGAACAAAACGGCCGGTGAAAAGGCACAAGAACACGCTAGGTGAGAGGTAGTGTTTGCGAATGCGATATGCGAGCTGTGCATACTGAGAGAACGTTTCTGAAAACGGCAGAGGCACCGACTGTAACATGTTAGTATCCGGATAGCCTAGACGCTGGACAAGGCTCAATACCTGTAGCTGTATATGCGCAGTGGGTGCAATGTCGGGGTTCGTAGAACCATGTTGATGAGAAGAATCGAATGCAGAAGGGGTATCACGAAGTTCAAAACGTATGCCACCTNNGTTTGAATGGTTAGAGAGGCCCCATGTACATGCACTTGGTCTGATCATACCTGGTAGTCGCTGAGAATCTTTGATCCTTAGCATGAGTGCGAAAAGAGGGAAATGGTTCAAGCAAGCCAGCCAAGTGTCCAAAGCAGCTTTGAAAGCAATTATGCCCATACGCGCGCCAGCAAAAGTTGCATAAAAGACACCAATTGTAGGGAGCAGGAATGTCAGAAGCGTGAATAAAATCGTACCCAGGAGCAGCTGGTCAAGGTCGTAATCGCACGAGTCGATGCGGTTTCGGAGGACGTTTCGTTTCTTGCCACGAAAAAGATGGAAGAGCGAAACTATTATGGTGAGCTGCCAGTTGTATATGCGGGCCGAGGCGATGTAAAAGGCGTAAACGTGAATCGTCAAAATGGAAAGTAAATCTGAGAAGAGTGAGATGGGCATGCTTGCGCCAGCAAAGCTCGAGAAGCCTATGACCTGGATGACATGAGGAAGCAGAGGTCGAATGTTTGTCATACATTCAGCCCAGTAGTCAATGATCCAGAGGAAGAGATCACCAAGAAACTGTGCCAAGTCTCCATTGAGTTTAAGGCCAGCAGGATAATCCATCAGCCAACATATCATGCGTTGAAGACCATCGATGAACCAAGAGTCGACAATAGACTCGACTTGACCCGCGACGTAGTCTGAATTCTCGATGATGTACGAGCCGATGGCAATTCCAATAATTATGTCGTTTGCGACAAGCCAAAGACTGTTGTAGAACCGAATGTACTCGGGGTGGCTGTTTGTGACGCTTCCCCAGTCGGTGCGTCGCTTGCGCAGTGTAAGGTATTGAATTGGCCAGTAACAAAACTGCTGCAGGCGAATGTCGATTTGCTGCGCGGTAGCCGAGATGTCTTTGAGAGCGGCGGCATCTGGGATGGGTCGCCATTCGAGAATCTTCAACCATGCCTCACCAGCAATACGATGACCGACCAGAGCCAGCACTAGCAACCGAGTAATGACCGGATAGACATAGGCAAAGAAGGCGTGGTGTATACCATAGCGAGTGTAGTCCCAGAGGTCGGCGGCCGACTCAGCCATGCGCTCGCTCACACTCATGCTGCGTTTCGTACGCTGTCCCACGAAGCCGATATTCTTTCGCATCAACTCGTCAATCTCGTATGAGCAATTGATTTGGTTCAATATGACGGGCAGAGCAATCTCCTTCGAGGTACGGGCATGATGGACGACAGTGTGCATGCGCAACTTGTCGACCAGCTGCTGCTTTCGCGCTTTATCAGCCGCCTCTTCAGCACCAAAGCCTCCGACTTGTGTCCTGCCTGCTCTTTCTTGTGCGTCCGATAGAGTTAGAGAGATGGGCGTGAGGGACAGGTATTGCATGCGATAGGGATTGGGTCGATCGAAGGTGACCACCTGCAGTGAAATGGACGGTTCGCCAGGGCAATGCACTTGAGGAATTGTAGAACGGAGATTGTAGTAGACCTGGATAGACGAGGGGTTGAATGTGAGGGAGGGCGCGCGCTCCGGGTTCAGCGTTCCTAGGACCTGCAATGGCAAGCGGCCACACCTGTCGATGATACGCTCAATGGGATGGGGACTGCCACGAAAGAGGACGCCCATTCGGAGAGCATTGTCGACGTTGCGTGCCNNTGTGTTTGTATTAGCCAATGTCGAGGCGAATGCTGGCACACCGTCTCGGAGACTGACATCAACCTCGGACAAGACGGTCACGATGACCATGTCCAGGTCCGAGTTCCTCCATCCTACAATGACGCCTGCTTTGTCGGAACGGGCAAGGTCGGTAGGCCAGAAGATGCGCATCAAGCCATTGGGGGCGATCATGAAGGTCTAGAAGGAGCCTCGTCGTTTCAATTGTTCACGCGCCGAGAGACCTAGAGCTGGACGAGGATGCTTCTTTATGTCAGGAGGGATTCCTGCCGACGAGACGATTGCACTGACTATATCGCTCTCTCGGGCAGCTATGCGCTCGATGGGGATGATCAGGACGACGAAGAAGATGCTAAGGGCCAGAAAGGCCTTCAACGAGCGAGTCTGCAATGCTGTCAGTCATGCACCGCGCAGTGGTAGAGGCATAGGGAGGCGCACAATAACACCTTTGTCCCAGGCAAAGATGGCCAGTTCATACAGGCGGGTGACGAGATCCCAGCGAGCGGTGATGTACCCAGCTACGAAGATGCCAAGCGTGAGGACGGAGAATGGGTGCATGAATTGCCTCGCTCATGACCAGAGTCGATGTCTATGTCGCGGATGATGCGCGCCCTCTTGGCAGCGAGCAGCGAGTTGTCCGAGTATCGACGGGCCTTTGGGGAAGGGGTGCAAGGCAGATGGAGCGACGGATATCAGCAGTGGAGCATGACGATGAAGGAGCCAGAGTTCAGAGAGGCTTGGAAATTGCCTTTCTCCTGGTCAGCGTCCAGCCGCGCAATCGTCGCCCTCGGTGCTCTCCAACATGCTCCTGCCTCCCCAGATGCCAACTCCAGAACTGACCCTGACTTGGTCTGTGCCCCCATGCGACCCTCCATCCAAAAGCGGAAGCAGCGAATCGCGACAAAATCCCTGGTCTTCCCTTTCTTGACCAGCTCGCTATCGCCGACATACGATAGTGATACTCGCATGTTTTGAGCCTGGTCGCGTAGAGGTCGTGTTTGCCGTTCACTGTTCGTCTTGTCGGACTCCCTTCCCTCGCTTTGTCAATCTCGCCCTGGTTATGCTTGATATTATGCAGCAAGCCCTGTAATTTTCCAACATCAACCTTCAATTGCCGACTTTGATCGCTCTGTATGATCAATGTTCGGACGCGTCCAGCACGGTAATGCCCCAGGTGGTGGCGGAGGCGGTAGAGTCTGCTCTTTCTACCAACAGGGTCGTTGCAAGTTCGGAGGTAAGCTCAATGATTCTTCTTCTTTGTGTTTGCTGCAAGTGCTGATCTCTCCATCCANNGACAACTGCAAATTCGACCATCCTGGCGCCAACAAACCTCAGGACGGTGGAAACCGATTTCAGGCACTCGAAAATCAGGGTAACACCTTTGGTCAGGGAAATCGAAACAACCAGCGACCGCCTGCTCCTGGTAGAGGGCAACACTACACTAGCCAAAACTCGTAAGTACAATACGTCTTGTTCCGACCACTGAATCGCACCACTGTTCAACAGCCAGATACTGACCGCTTTNCCAGCTATGGAGTGACGAGAGATGGCATTGAAGGAGACCTTCGGAATGAGAAGCCACAATGGCCATTCTCTGCTTATGGTCCAGGCAGAGATGCTCCGACACAACTGTTCGGGGGTTTCCCGATAGAGCAGAGTCCGGAGGAGATGCGTGTACTCTACTATCAAGCTGTCGCAAGCGGTAACCCAGAGCCTGCTGTAAGTAATGCAAACCTTGACACGTCCGCTCACGATAACCTGACTACCTATACAGATGNNCAAGCCCAACAGGAGCTCATCGCTCAGGCGACTCAACAAGTAGAACGAATCCTCAGTGATCTAGACGGGGCAGTCAAATATGTCCTGGATGGAGAGAACCAACATCCAAACCGTACGGACGGATGCCAGGCTGCGGTTGGAAACGTCTTCCACAAAGGTCGAAAACTAAACTCCAAATTTTCACCCAACGCTACAGCGCAAGCAAACAACCAGCCAGTTCAGAATGGCGCATTCGGTCAGCCTTCTACTATGGCTGGCGGCGGAGCATTTGGTCAACCATCGAATCTTGGAGGGGGAAGCGGTTTTGGTCAGGCATCTAATCTTGGGCAGAACCCGAGTCCGTTTGGACAGTCGGCAAGCCCAGCGCCAACCGCAGGAGCTTTCGGCTCTCCATCAGCTCTCGGCCAGAAGCCTTCCTTTGGACAACCTGCCGCAGGATTTGGGCAGCCATCGACGCTTGGTTCGAGAGGCGCGTTCGGACAGCCTGCTGGAGGAGCCCAAGCGAGTCCATTCGCCCAGACGCCGCAGACCAACCAAGCGCAGTCATCGCCTTTCGCACAAGCCTCACAACAAGGAGGAGGGACATTTGGCCAAACTTCAGCATTGGGCCAAACGTCAACCTTCGGTCAGCAACCAAATAGTACCTTTGGACAGTCCTCTGGCTTTGGTCAGCAACCTCAGCCAGCATTCGGTCAGCCCTCAGCACCCGCTCAAACCACAGCATTTGGCCAACCTTCAGTACCCACTCAAACCACAGCATTCGGCCAACCTTCAGTATCCGCTCAAACCACTGCGTTTGGTCAACCATCAGCCCCTGTCCAACAGACACCAGCATTTGGAAAACCATCAACGCCTGCATTTGGCCAAGCATCAGCACCCACGCAGCAGAATGGCGTGTTCGGGCGGCCCTCAGCTCCACCACCGCAGCAAACTGGGTTTGGCAAGCCATCGCCGTTCGCCCAAGCACAAGAAAATCAGCAGCAGTCACCATTCGCACAAGCTGCAGCTAAACCGGCTGCACTCGGGCAGCCATCACAGCCCGTGAATAACCAAACGTTTGGTGGTGGCTTTGGAACAGCCGCCGCACCACCACAGCAACCACAGCAGCAACAGCAACAGCAACATCAGCCGCCACAGTCATTCGCGGAGCCCATGCCTCAGGGCGACTGGATCACCCGCCAACCAAACGGAACACTCAAAAGCTTCAAAGGTGCACCTGTGCAGTACCTAGCCACGAAAGAGACAGTGCCAACTCAGGAGCCGCATTATAGAAAGGCCAATGGACAGATGGAAAGGATCTGGCATCCAGAGGGCAACCCGGCGCCCAGGGCAGAGATAGAAGCACCAGCAGAAGCCTACACGGCCGAGCATGAAGCAGCATACAAGTTCGTGGCAGAGCAAGGCGTATTCAAGGACGGGATTATGCCAGAATTACCGCCCAAGTGCGAGTGGATCAGATGGGACATATAAGTTATCTAGTATGTAGTTTTAGACAGGGCAAGTAATTGCTGACGCGGAAATGTTTCCGCGAACAGACGATACACATCTCAAACCATATCGCATCTCAATCAACTTGACAAGCAACGATGGAATCAAGGGACGACACGAATAATCTCGCATCTTATGCTGTTATACCACGTTGATATGGCGCGACAAGACAAATCGGAAAAGGAGTGTCTATGACGGAGTAGGTGTTTCAAGAGCTCTTGGCCAAAAAACCGAGCGTGTCTCTTCCCCACAAGATGATGCGTATTCTGTTGATGTCACGAACAAAATCACAATGGAAGTGCGAAGACGACTGCCTCGCGAGAGGTCCTACATACACGAAAAGCAAGAGAGTGCCCCGGTTCTCGACACTGCGACATCCAAGACTGGACGTGGTGTGATCAACAGCCTGCTGGTCCTGCTTGGATACTTGGTCCACCTCCTGAAGTCGGCTGTGTATGGGTCGCCGAAGACGGACACGCGACAGAAAGAAGATCGAGAAGAGGACAAGAGCAATGAAGAAATGATACTGTTGGGTCGTATGTGCGGTGGAGTGATTGCGGTGCACGAACGACGACGCAAGAGGAGTACAGCTCTGGTCTTGTCCAGCAGTAGCAATGGAGAGGTGCCTTCGGTCCTGAAGCATGCCTCGTCCGCATATGCCTTTCTGGGTTCAGAGACGCATTCCAGAATTCTCCGGTATCTATGTCGTCTTTCTATCAAGCAGACATCAGCTAACGCGACTTCCAGCTGTCTCTCATACGGCCCGCCAATCGTCCTCGAACACGCTCCTCTCGGCACCGTCCACGCCCTCCTCTCCACCAAGACACCATACCCTTCCCTCTCGCACCCCTCAATACCCACCAAACACGCCCCTCTCGCCCTCCCACTCTCCTGGCTTCTCCAAACCTCCTCCGCCCTCCGCTTCCTGCACGACCAAAAAGTCACCCACGGCGCCATCTCCCCATCCTCTCTTTACCTTCGCTCAGACATGTCCATCGCCATCACCGACTTTACAAAATCCACAATCAATGGCCACAACAATGGTGTACCCACCAGAGCACCAAAAGAATTTGCGTTTCCCGTGGATGCGTTGAGATATGATTACTTCGATGGCGAGTTGTCTGCAAACTCTCAGGCGCTGGGGTTGGCGATTGATGCGTTTGACTTTGCGACGTTGGCTTATAGATTGTTGGTGAGAGAGGAGCCGGTGTGGGATTTGCCCACGGGTAATGGCACTTGGGCGTTGGAAGAGTTGCACGAGGCGTTGGATGAAGCGGCGCCAGAGTTGGGGGATGAGATTGTGGTGGGTTATGTGGCGAGGGATGCTTGGTGTTTGGTCTATGAGGAGGGAAAGACTTTGCAGGAGGATGTCGTGCATGCATTGCTCAGACATGGTTTCCAAGTCAGAGGCGATGAGGTTATTGGTGTCAAGGAGGCTGCCCAGGACTATGCAGAGTCGCATCACCCTTCTTGGAGGTTCGAGAAGTGAGGACTACAATTAGTCTACCTAACGTCTGTATCCATAGGAAACAAAAAAAAAGACACCCATTCAACCCTACTCCATTCTACCAAGTCTCCGCAGGAAGTATACTGTCACCCCTCGACCTCCGTTGCCTAAACACCGGATACGCAGAACTGGTCTCGCTAATCTGCCTGCTGCCTCTTCTCTGTCTAATCGTATTCATGTACCCATTAGCCCAAACGTCATTTCCAAACACATCGTCAATATCGTCCATCTCGTCCAACACACTCTGCGGCGGTTCCTCGTCAAACACATTGGACAAATCTGCATGTGCACCAAAGCTCTCCCAGAAATCCATAAAGGCGTGGCGGCGTCGCGGTCCGAGTTTGGAGCTGCGTTGCCAGAGGTATTTGCGTTCGTAGAGAGCGATGGCGAGGAGAAGGGGTGCGTTGAGGACGCGTACTGCTGTGACGTTTACTTTGTGGAACCAGCGGGGAGTGGTCAGGAATTTAATGGGTAGGAGGATGACTAGAGCAGCAACGTTGAAGGGAGGACGGAAGGCGAAGAGAGTGTCTGACTTGACACCTTCGAAAGTCAAGACCGCTCGTCTGAATTGAATCTCGGCTGTGGCGTTCTTTGCGAGGTTGGAGTACGTGTTACTGAGCATCGACACCAAGATGGTCAGGAAGAGCGTGTTGCCAATGAAGGCGAAGAGCACCATAAGGAAAGGTCCTAGCCAGCTGTGAAACTCGACAGATTTGGTGATGCCGGTGCCGTCAAGACCAAACCAGATCCACAACATCCATTTGGAAATGGTTAGGAAGCTGTGCGAAACATAGCCTTCTTGACTCTCGCTGAGCCAGCGCATGGCAAGCAAGAACCCACCAAAGCACCACACAGTAACCATCGTAAGGAATGTGAAGTCTCCCATCATGGTTCGCAACGCGATGAACAGCATGTTCTCAGGCATCAGACAGAATGCCAGTCTCGGCATCAGAATCGGTGCTCCCAGAGAAAGAATGTCGAGTGCTTGCTTGCCCACAGGTCCAGAGTCAATCCTCAGACCGTGCATGCGTATGCCAAAGTAAGCCAAGTAGATCAAAGAAAAGGCAATGTCCATAAAGGCCCACAAGTTCTCGGTGTGTACCGACCAACCATGCTCCAAGACGGATGCGAGTTCTTCGAGCACCCAACCGCTACCATAGATACAAAAGATGAGCTCTACTGTCGTGAAGTGCAAGTGCCCGGGTCCTATCTCCTTGGCCTTGTTGAACATCGTCAGCAGATACAAGCCGAACAGCACCAAGAATTGAGTGATCTCAATGACCTTGCGATTGCGAGGAACAATGAGACGATATTGGTTGAGGATTGGTGCCTTGCGAGGGTCGTAGAGAGAGATTCTGCGGTTCTTGTAGCGGTCTGGCAGAATATCGATGAAGGCAGTGGGAGTGTAGATGATACGGCCCCTGTAGACGGCATCGACAATCTTCTGGCAGGCAGATGCTGCCAAGAAGCTCTTCGACTCTGAAATGATAGCAACCTCGAGGGCTGTTAGGACTCGTTCGCGGCCTGAAGCGAACCAGCTCTCAGCAAGTGCAGAGTGAGGTCGCTTGCCTCTGTCAACTGACGGAGGGGCATTCTGGAACGGTTCGAATCCAGATACCAAGACATTGGCAAGAGTCAGAAGTCCTTCACGACCGCTGTGATCCTCGTCGAATCGGCGCAAGATTCGACTGGCCAGAACCTCGCACAAATTGGCACGAGTAATGTTGACAGTTTGGTGATGAGCTTGGAATGACTGCTGACGAAGAAACTGGACGCGATTGACCAGGAGACACCAAACNTGGTGGAAATCAGAACTGTTACAGAATGCGATATTAGATGACTTACCAATTGAAACGTCGTCTGGATCGTAAAGGTGATCAAGCAGAGGTCGCACAACAGCAGTGTTCATGCGAGGGCTCTTGAGCTGATCGAGACTATAAGGATCATCTACAACGTTTTAGCAAACTGCCAAAGACTATTGTGTCGGTATTCATGTACCAATGCATGCAATCACGAGTCTTCTGATGCGATGGATGGTCGTGTAGATGGGCAACTGCCTATGAGGGTTAGGTTGCCAAGGGATGCTATCTTTGCGAGGCGGATAGCATCCATCGTCGTCTGCAGCCTCACCATCATCGTCAAGAAGTTGTTGCTGTTCTTCACGGGACATTGCAAGTCTAACGGCCTCGCTGATGCTACGCGAAGACTGCTCTCTCGCAGAAAATCTGTCCGGCAAAGACGGGCGAAAACGCTCCGGCGAAGGAGTAGTCATGGTGATGTGTTTGTCGCCATTACCATTTTGCTGGTTTGATGACTCGGCAGTGTCCTCGTCGAGTGGCGGCGTTTGGCTGCGATCACGATAATGAGGGCTTGCTGAGTCCGGTTCAAGGTTATACTGAATCGCACTCGGGCTCGGACTAGGGCGATCATCCATCTTTGCGACTGTTATGCGCCCGTCGCTCAATGGCGTGGGAAGATGGCTGATGAAATTGTTTTTGTCTTGGTAGGATGGCCCGCATCAAACTTCACAGCTCTGGGACTGCTGAAACCCGGCGGCGTTGGCTTCAAGTTAGCAACAAAAATGCACACGGCTCAGGGAATACATCTGGTTGCAATGCACCCAGTGGCAGATGCATGTGAGCTTGAAGAGTCTGATGACGTTTCTGGGATGGCATTGCTTTACATTTATCCACGCATGTTAGATACTGTGCATAGTGCGAGAATTAAGGAGGTGAAAAATCTCGCAAGAGACAGTGACGTCCAATACGATGGCAACATTGGTCTCCCACGATGCCAACGAATCGACGTGGCGGCCAGTGTTCGTCGTGTCGTTTGTTCCTTCCAACATGGAGCTTCACGTCTCATCCAACAGTCCCAATTTTCGACATCATTGCAATGTTTCGATATCGACTCTAATCTAGCTCCACAGCTCTAGATCCGTGGTGGAGAGAACTTGTATTGCACTCTGGCCATTTCTCGATCATGTGCCAGCAGCGATTGATCACCTTTATAACCAAAGCCTTGTATGCTCTTCCTCTTCAAGATCATCTAAAGCTCGCCGAACATCATCGCCATGGAATACGATCTGACATGATTCGCTCAGGAGTTCTGCATGAGCATTAGCAATAGTCGCCAGATTCAAAAATCGCGAGACGTACCTTCAGCTCAGTCGTCAATCGCACCAACCCGTTGTTGTCCATGGTTGCCAGGAATCTTGTCACGAACCACTTGTTGCCATCTGGATCCTGGTAAAAGTGTTCTTTGGACTCACCGCCAAGATAACCTTGGATCATTGCATCGCCACCAACATGAAGCCGGCCTTCTTGTCCTCGACCCAACACGCGAATATCCCTGCTGTCGACAGAACAGACCTTGACAAGAGATCCCGGCATTACTGTGCCGAGACTGTCCAGAGTTCGATACTCTGGAGACACGCTACGCCAACCAAGAACTCCAAATCCTTCAGCCATTGTCAGAGACGATGACGCCCATTGAGTTTGTAGTGCGTGTTGTCCCTGGCCTAGCAATTTCGCGCTCATTAACCCTCCATGTACTGATAGGCTTTCGAGAGAGCTGAGGTCCCTCTGTGGTCGTGAAGGGTGCTTGATCAGTTCCTCGAGTTGTGGTGGGGAACACACAAGACGCGTACAGCGGTAAACTTCGGTCGCGGAGAGAGTTGCTTGTGCAGCAAAGAAGGCTCCTGGAAATACAATGGTTGCACCCCTCTTCCATGCAACCAGTACTGCTTCAAGAGTTGCACTGCTCGAGGACTGGCAAGTCACCAGGTATCTCTGCTGTGGAAGAATATACTGGTTCACCAGCGCAGTTCGAATGTTTAGAACAGTCAAAGGGCAGCCCTTTGGAGGGTGTTGGGAGCCTTCTGGAGTGAAAAGGACCATCGCGACGCGATCATCGGCGACATCACGTTCTTCTGGACTAGGGNNTTTGTCTCCAGCTCTGGGTACTCGAAGCCTGTATGTCTCTGGGGGTTCGAAGTTGACCCAGCCACGGAAGAAGGAGTTGACTTGCTCGTGACAAACAATCTTGACTTTGCCCGGTGTGGATAAGTCCGGATAGAGCTCGTCAAAGTTGTATGCATCTCTGAGATCGGAGACCAGTACGACACTGGTCTTCAACAGCTCAAGAGGGTATTCTCGCTCTGTGGGGCTGTTCACGGCTAGACTTGCAGGATCCAGAGGCACAAAGGTAAGCTCAAGTATGGCCGCGACCCAGAAGCCAAGCGCCCACTCTGCGCAACTTGGAAGAAAGGCAACAAGAGTGTCTCCTCTCTTGACTCCATACTCCTCCCACACAAGCGCAAGATCTCGGGCGGCTTTCATCAATTGACGATATGTCCAGGTTAAGCAGCCGGCGACTGGCTTGTCTCCCACAATGTTCCTCAGATGTCCCCAGGACTGGTGTGTGCAGATCAGAGCAATGTTGTCTGGTCCTTCGTCGTATCCTTCTTCAAGCTGCCGAAACATGAGATCAGGACACATCTGCGCACCCCAGCCACCATCGAGGATGGAGAGTCGTTTGTCGTGCTTTATAGTCGCCATGAGGTCCAGCTTGTGAGCGTGCAGACAAGAAGAAAATCAGTAAAGTTGCATTCGACGGACTTGACAATAAGTTGTACCTGCTTTAGTAGTGACCAGGTTAACCAGGTGTCGGAAGAGCGTATTGGACTGATAAAGTCTGTGTCCCGACCTAAGCTTGCGAAGGGACGGGCCCGCAGACTTGGGACAATGAATCTGCGCGACCGCTATCTTGCCAAACAGAACTGTTCCACCCAGTGTAAGACTATTGCGCGCTGTTTGGCTTGACAAGTACCAAGCAAACATCAATTACACTATAGACAAAGAAAACTCACCAACGCGAGGGTTGAGACAACAGGCAGGAGCATTGCGGCTGGCTCCTTCCATGTCGCTCTGAATCACCCTCTGTCCATCGCGCAGATTCGTTAACCTTCCTTCCCCCTCACATCAATTTGACGATTCTCGCAAATCCCATCTGGCACCCATCGCAACACCCGCGATTCTTCATAGCAACATCCAAGATGCCTGATCTCAACGATCTTCCCAACGAGTTGATGGTGGAAATCTTCTTATACTTCGACCTCAAAGACTTGACCAGATGCATGAGAGTCGACAAATCCTTCAAGACCATTANNCTTACCGAGCACTATGCCTTCGACAAGATTTTCTTCCGCACCGAACCCATCATGCCTGACGAATTCATCGATCCTGACAAGCTCCGGATCAATCCCGCTTTTGACAGACTGCACTACACCTCTCGGTCTGAAATAGAGGATGCCTGCTTTCTGTTCACAGACAAAAAGTCCGACGGAGAATCCGATGTTCGAGAGCTAGCCCTGACCGAATCGTCTGCCGCCAAACAGAATGCCACAGGGCCCGCCGTCGCCCGAATCGTGCTCAGCCCCTATGATGTCGAGGACTGGGATGTGGAGGTCGAATCTGAGCAGGGTGTGACTGTTCAAGACGTCGTGCAAGGTCTTTGTGATTACTATGAGCCTGGTGCCNCCCGCGATGGATACCACTACTTCTTCGAGGGCTCCTATAAAAGCCATAGATCAACTGAGGACGAACTCATCCTCGGCGCCCATTGGGGTTCTTGAGTGTGCAAACTTTGCTAAGGCGCAGATTGGGATGTATGATCGTTCACCGAAGTTGTTTCTTCTCGAATCATGTTAGCTACTAGCGGAACCACTCAACTCGTACGATACATATTAATGTTCAACATTTGCTCCCAAGATGACTCTGTCCAATTTTATTTGTGATGTCTGTGACCACATAGCTGCAAGAGCATCCAGTGTTTCTGGGACGAGAGCTGAGCTTGATCGGAGCGTGTCAATATCAGCTCCAGATGGACAACTCTGATCACTCCGAAAGCATGGAGCGCCTTTGATGGTTAGTCAAAGTTGTGGTACGTTATATATTGAATATCTCGATCACTGTTGGTCAAGGTGGAGTGAAAACTTTGAGTATGATCTACTTAGCTAGGAAGGTGCGTTCATGACATGAATCTCAAGCGCTTGCTTCTCGCTTGCTATCAGAACCACGCAACACCAATCAACTCCATATCAATCACGTTCACTCTCTAATTACAGTGNGCATCTCTCATCCTACTTCCATCATGCCTATCATACATGATCTTCCCAATGAGCTGCTGCTGGAAATTCTTTCATACCTCGACTACTTCGACGTTAGAGACTGCTCGGGAACCAGTAGGACGCTGAGAGCCATCGCCTATCACCCTGCTCTGGACCACAAAATGTTCCGCGCCAAACATGTCAAACACGAAGACGATACCATCGACATGGGTACCTTCGTCTGTCATCCTTATGTTCAACAGACGACGTTCTACAAAGTCATGTTGCTGCCCGAGGATCCCTTTCTCGTCATGGCAGAGTACGTCGATGAATACGACCGAGAGAACGGATTCCCGGTTCTTCATGCCCGAGGGCACGAGCACAATGCAACATCACCCCCAGTCAGCCGCATCAACTTTGACGGACTTGTCATCGAGGACAAGGATAAGGACGCTGTCACTGTTGGTCAAGTCTTGGAGGAACTTGTCCGTCGCAACGTCAGGCAGTACGAGGATAGCGAATGGAATAGCTATAGCCAAGGCACTATCGCATGTGGCTGGTACCCAGTTGGACATGAACCTGGAGAGAAGAGCCAGAAGCATCTGAAGAAGGAATGCAAAGATATCGTGATGTATACTTACTGGTACAACTGACGAGATCCCTGCATCCATTCTTTGGAGGAAAGACATTACTCTTGGAGAAGAAGATTCGGCAATCATCGGGACATTAGTAAGAGAATCCCAGGACTTCTCACAACTATGGAAGCTGATACCTGCAGACGATATCACTACATCCATTGGGCCATCACTTGACGACTTTGTTTCTGTCAGACCTGCACAACAATCATTACCATCCTATAAATACCCATTGAAGAATTTAAGAGCTAGGATAACAGTGCTAGCAAGAGAATCATATCAGAAAGCATAATCAGATGGACATATACATAACTTCATCTCCATTGTCCCCAATACGCGAACCATCATCTTTCATTGTGACTGTTTCGTCATCTCAAACAAGAGCCAACACCAAGATGCTGCACAAAAGAAGTGACACCCATAAGCGATATATATCAAACTTGACTGCAAGAAATACCTGTATTTGAAGGTCAGAATCAGCGCCCTCGAGATTGAGTGGCTCTGAATCAGATCTAGATCCGAGTCAGGGATAATCATTTGGCATTGTCATGTTACTCCAAAGTTGTAGTCCAACATTTGATAGGAGAGTGGCGTAGCGGGAGCAGTGTGGCTCGTGTCGATATCGCTTCTCTTCTTTTTCTTCTGGGGTATATGGGCATGACAGCGCAAAGAAGAGGCAGGAAGGGTTGGAAGCACATGAGTGGCCGAGTGAAAACATTATGATCAAGAAGTATAACCAAAACAATATCGTACAAAACTCAACCTTCGTGATACACAATTCATGATTCATTACAACATCTATTCCTCCTTCTTGTCTGTAGTCTCGGACTCTGACTTGTGCTGCTCCTCTTGAGTGGTTGTGCGATCGACCCAACCCTCACCCCTCAGTACACCCATGCCCTTGCGAATCATGGCACCTCTGACAGCCTTGGGTTGTGTCTCGTACAAGACGTCAATGAGGGCCAGACTGGCGGCAAAGAGCATCACGTCTCCCCCNTTGACGCCCTTCCACCAACCTCTCTTGACACCGACCTTCCAGAAGGAGTCAAGACTCATGCGTGCAGAGTAGATGAAACTGCTACGTTGACCCCTCCTCGCTACAAAGGCCCAGAGACCACTAAGGAAGCCGCTCAGGAACCAGCGTTGTGTAGCCAGTGTGTTGCGAGGGAGATATGTTGCAAACAGACAGATGGTTCCCCATGCGGTACCGATCGAACCGGTGATGAAGAGAGACATGCGCAGGATTTTTGCGGCCAGGCGGTTGAGCTGCTGCATGGGATTTTGGATGAAGGATTTGTAGGATAGAAGGGCGAAGACAGCATAGATGAGGGTGAAGAAGCGGGCGGTAGAAGGGAAGGCGGCGATGAAGTATTTGACATATGTGCGCATGCATGACGGGTCGTGAGGGTGAAGGAGAGCGCAAGAGGTATTTGTGATGGCAGGGTGTGCCGGAGCAGTGATGGGCGATAGATGTGAGATGAATGCAGGAAGATGTTGTTTGGCGGCTGGGAAGAGGATGGGAGAGACGAATGCTGGCCAGCGCAGGCGCGAGATTTCAGCCAGACCATCGACAATATCAAAGGTGGCAGGCCAGGCCTTGTCGATAGGATAGGCAGAAGGACGTCGCTGAATGTATTCAGGACTGCGTTTGAGGATGAAGCTGCCGTAGTTTGCAGGGAAGCATTCGCGGTCAAAGACGAAAGCGTGCAAGAGTTGTCCACAAGCAAAGGGCATGAGCATCCAGCTTCCTACCCAGTCAGGCTTGCCCTTCTTCCCCCAGATACCCTTCTCCTCTGCAGCATTGTAGGCGAACTCCAGAGAGCGACTGAAGGCGTAGATTGCGACGCTGATTCGCAGTTGCGAGGCAGGGCACACGCCCAGGAAGAGGCCAGACAGTGCTGCACCCACAGCAGGTGTGTACGACGATGTTAGACCAAGACTGATGCGAGGATTCCGACGGCGGAAGGGACGAGCAGAGGGTTCGAGTAACGAAGCACGGAGACGAAGGAAGAATCGATATAGTAGACGGTGGAACAGTAAGATAAGAGATAACGAGGCCGACAGGCGCAGATGAGATGCTTTGGGGCTTGCATTCTTTATATTTGTGCTATTCGAACTTGGTCAGCGCTGTGTACAAGGTGCTGGTTTCGGGCAGTCTTACCTGGCTGGCCGTAGTCTGCGCGAAATGACGTCCCAGCCTTTGAGGGCGGCATAGGTCATGGCGAAGAGGCGCAGACTGGCTCGGACTGTAGAGACACTGGCATCGTGCTTGCTTTCTACTATGGCTTCGTATCGACGTGGCAGGAGAGCACGCTTCTGTACCGAGGGGGCGCGTGATGCGAGGTATTGGTGAAGCAACTCATACTCCTTCGCACTGATGGTATAGCGAAGCGCATTGCGCGTGACGGCATCCAGCTGCGGTCGGCTGCCACTAGAAGCAGAACTGGCCGCTGACGAAGAGGCCGACTGCACCATGCTCGATCACCTTTCCTTTAAACAAGATCATAGATGTCGAACAAGCGTGACAGGGGGGAGACGGCGATACTTGAACAAACAAGCTTCTGCTCCATCAAGCCCGGGGACGCGCTGGGGAGGAGCCGAGGTTGACTGTTGACACCTTCTTTTCGTCAGGGGTCCAACGACTCTCTGCAACAAGAAACCATATCCGACAAGCCAACCATATGTTCACATGCCGGGCAAACAATCCTGATCGTTGAGAGGACCGCTGGAAGCCTTGCCATTGTTGTGAGCCTGGAAATTGCCTTGAGCGTGCCTGGTTGCCAATCACATGAAGGACGCTTCCACGAAGGATCCAGCGTCCGTGCGCGATTTATGCTTCGCAGTCTATGATGCCGCATGCATGGTCGCTGCCTCAAGCCTTCAGCTTCACTCTGCAGCACGTCTGATGCTGAGAGCGAGATCCCATCCGACCAAGTCTTTTGGCTCTCGCTGACATGAATACTGCGAGCGTGAGATCGCCTGTCGCTCCTCAATCCCCGGCCGCTGTGCCACTGTCGTGTACCTTGTGCAGAAAACGTGAGTCAGTTGGTCAAATACTTGATATTCTTCTTTGACCTTCTTCAGGTAAAATCAAGTGCGACAAGCAGAACCCATGTTCGAATTGTGTGACCTCGCAGAAAGAGTGTATCCCTGTCGTCCGCGCCAGATTACCACGTGGGAGAAATGGGGGTCGTAAGGGCATAAACTCAGAACTACGCAACAGAATCAATCGCCTGGAAGGCCTTGTTCAATCTCTCAATTCTGGTTTGCTACCCGAAAACCCAGACCTTAAATCCTTGCCGCAAAAGACGCGGACCAACAGCGAGACTCAAACATCAACTTCTTCAGGCCCTCTTACATCCAAGCAACAACCTTTTGACTCTCGCGAGGCCACTCCTGATACCACGAGGTGGCCACTGGGATCAACGCTCTGGACTCAATTGGCCCATGAGCTTAATGACATTCACACGGTGCTTGATAATGAGGACGACGACAACGACAATGAGGATGATATTGATNTCAAGCCCCCTTCTGTGCCTACCGACAGCAGTGGTACTCCAGGGGACCTGCTGTTTACTTCACAGCCAGTCACTGTTCCCATTCCTGTCGTCTCTAATAGTGATGTGTTGGAATACATCAGAATCTTCCGACGCAACGTCGACTATATCTTGAAGTTTGTTCACCTGCCTAGTTTTGAGAAACTCTTGACCGAAAAGGAACCTTACCTGGGTCATGCGCCAGAAAGCCCAGCCATCCAGGCACTCATGGCTAGTGCTTTCTACGCATGCATATGCAGTATTAGCAATTCGCATTGCCTAATTGCTTTCAACAAGAAAAGAGAAGATTTGAGGATCGAATGGCAACAAGCAACTTTCCAGTGCCTTTCACAAGTTGAGATTGTCAAGAGACCAAGCCTCGTAAGCCTACAGGCATTGTTGCTCTACATTGTGAGTCGAACATACAGAACTCGCGAGAAGTCAGCTAATCAATAAACAGNNGCGGCTCTGAGGTCACATCAAGACGATCAACAAAGCTGGATGCTAATCTCCCTGGCAGTCAGAATGGCTCAATCTTTACAACTTCATCGAGAAGAAGCCTATAACAAGTTGCCTTGGGGCCACGCTGAAGTACGTCGTCGCATATGGTATACGCTAAAAGCACTGGACTACCAAGCCGCTATGGACCGAGGAAGTGATCTGATGATAGTCTCAGGAGGGTGGACTACTAAACCCCCAAATGATCATGTCGACTCGGACTACTCACTACATGGACCTCCAACTCTGTCAAGCACAAGCTCCCCAACCGGCATGGTTTTCTACAGTATCCATTGCCATAGCAACAAACTCTTACGAGAATTGAACTGGGTATTGCCAGGTGAAGCAGAAAAGCCGCCTACACCGATACAGAGTTCGTGGAAAGTCAGACAGGACGCCATCGCGCGACTTGAGCGCACCTTTGAAGAAGATATCTTATCACACATCCAAGAAGATGGCGTGTTTCGTTTTGCTTCCGTCAGCTTTACCAAGGTTCTTCTTAGATGTGCACAGTTGTACGCGGTCCGACCGCTCCAGCGCCATCCCGAATTGACCCTGCCTCCACCCGAACATATGAACATTTTGCTCCTCGCTGTTGAAGCACTCGAAGTCAAGCGTGGCTTGCTGAGCGAAACTACCGAGCCGTGGCATTGGATCATCAAGGGCTTTGTGGATTGGCACGGCCTGGCCGTTCTGTTGGCAGAGTTGTGTAATCCTGACCAGTATGATGCACAGCTTCTAGAAAGAGCGTGGACAATTGGACTACTTTCGTTTGATGAACTCTCGGGCCAGATCGCCGAAGGAACTCAAGGTCCACTATGGAGGCCGATCAAGAAGTTGATGCGAATTGCACAGAAGAAGCGCCAGGAGAGACCGACAGTGGCGCCAACCATGGTCATACCAGGACCGTCCGACAATTATGTGGACGATTTGTCTGCCTACACAACCTCGGCGATGGATCTGATGCCGATGAATGCTGTCATG